ACCTCCGGTCCCCTCGCCCACCACCACCAAAAAGACAAATAAGTAAATAAATAAAAAACGTGAAGGGGTTGATCATGTGTTTCTCGGCACTTCAAGAACACTAGCGCCCTATTGAAAGGCTTCCCGGAAGTCGGGAAGTTTGAGGAGAGACGGGGAGCCCAAAACCCCACCCAACGCTGAGAAAGCCAGGACAGCAGCGAGAGCGTATTCAAGACGAACTCTCCTCCGGCACCAGGCTTAACTTCTGGTGTTTCATCAGTTTGAGCCTCTGCCTACAACAAAAGATACCTGAAACCATTTGAGGCGGGTGAGGAACGTTAAGAGTCGCCCTGATTCAAGCGCCGGCGGTTGCGAAGCAGAAGATAACGGAGACGATAGGCCAGCCAAGACTTTTAAAACGGGGACGACATACTTCAAGCGCGGCAGATTCTCTGCGGGAGCAAGCCAATATTTAGATGGCGCCGAGTGGTGTTTAAATCATCCTAAGGTAGCAAAGATGACGGGATGGACCCCTTATAGAAGCCCAAGAGTCTTCTTGCTTGACCCTGCATGTCTCGCCGTTCTGCGTTTCTCCATTTTCTCGTGTGATTTTTTGAGGAGCAGGCCCAGCAGCCTCCTCATTCGGGAACAACTATCACACACCTGAACCCTCATTATCTGCGCCGCTGGCCCGGCATCTTCTTCTTATCTCATGATATGCAACGATTCTCTTCTGTCTAGGCAGGCTGCTTCTCCTTGGTTATGCCGGACAGACGACTGCACTAACTATTCTCGGCGAGCGGAAGCGCGTCGACAATGCCATCACAGCGGGTCTCAAGAATCCAGCGATAGGATTATTTGTCATTTTCACGAAGCTCCAAACCATATACCTGAGCGGTGATGAGAAAGCAGGGGAACGGTGGATCTGGGCTTTGCCTTCCTGACTGCAGGGGGACCTTGGGCCCCTTGTCCCACCACTGTTGCCGATGAGTCGAGTTGCTTGATCGGCGCGTGCTATGATACCTTTCTCTGCTCTAGGGGATGCGGTTTTCCCGATAAGAGGACTCTGGCTCAACTGAACTGGTGGGCCACAGAGCTTTTTCTCCGGAGATAACTCAATGTTCGCTAACGCCTCTCATATCAGCACCGGAAGGAACGCCTTTTGCTCGACAGCCTTTCTCTCCCATCAGACGGAGGTAGAACAAGTTAGCAATTTTGCTTGTGCGGCAGATGCCAGCGAGGACTGGTATTATGGCTTCACAGCAATCTCACCACTTGAGGATGAGACGACTTCGACTTCCACAACCTCGTCAACCTCTACCGAAGCCAGCTCAAGCGATGGCCCTGCCACTACCCAGCCTTCCACCAGCACAGAATCGCTGTCACAGACCTCAACAACAAATGTCAGCCGCAGATGCCAATGCGCAGGCCACAAGCGGAAACACCACCATCAGTACGGCGCCATCGTAGGTGGCGCAGTCGGCGGTCCGGTCATCCTATGCGGCTCCGCCATCGCTATCATCTGGCTCATACGCCGGAGCAAGATGGCGGACGCCGCCAAGTCATCATCATATGGCTCGTCGATCACTGGCACGTATCCTCAGTTCAAACCGTAGCTGGATGAGGCATACGAGCGGGAGCGCGCCGAGCTCTTCGGCCGAGGGCTGACCGAGATGTCCGCACAAAGACCGGCTGCGGACGACACTGCGGACCACCGCCTTCACTTATCCCTCCAGACACCTGTGGAACTGCCTGCGGCTGAGGGTTGGAAGTGATGTTGATGATCGGAAAAGAGCTCGGTTGAGGAATTATTGCCCGTGTTTGGCGGATCACCGCAGGGCAGGGACTATTTACCACTTATACTTGTAAATAGAGGACATCGTTCAAAGCTGGCATTGTGTGGGTTGGCAATATCACTCGAAAGACCAGGGGAAACGAAAGCTGGTATATTATGTACACTTACTGATTGCATGACCCTCTGTTGTCGCACTTGAGGCGCCCTAGGTAATGAGAAATAACTTTTGCTCATCAGGCGCGCCTTTTCTTGTTTTTGTTTTTTTTTTTTTGTCTTTTTCGGCTGTGTGGGGTTCTGGAGCAGCATCATTGCACGGGATGGTGGTTACGGATTACCGTAACCCATTGTCGATGCCTAGACCGGTCGACTGCATTGGACGCACCACGGCCCGATCATTCAAGAACCACCTCAGTCCCCGCCCAAAACCACGCGACCACTTCAACTGACTGTGCCTAAATCACACATAATAACAGAACCTTAAGGAAGCCTCAACATACCCTTACTTTTCCGTGCAGCATCGGGGAGAGTAATTCAGCTCATTGGAAGACCCATAATTACCGGCCAACTGGCACTCGCGCCCGTCCAGCAACCCCTGTCTGCTCCCCGATTGAACGTTAGCCGTTCGATTCTCCTCCAATTCGTGTCCTCTCCGATTAGGTCAAAGGCTCGGCTGCTTTGCCATGGTCGTCCCAGAACCGCCAGACGATTGAAAAGCGATAGATAGTCCTTTGGGAAGAAACATGGATCCGCCGTGTGGACCGACACCCGTCCTTAATCAAGATCATGATGGCGCCAATCACGCCAACTCTCTCACCATCGACACTCACATCTCCAGGACCGAGAGGCCCCAATCAATACACGAAGAAGATGAAGGCAAAGCGACTGATGAGCTTGCCTCGATAATGCTGGCGGCTTCGAACCCAGTGTCGCCTGGGCCGCCAAGCCCGCCGCTCGATCAGATGCGAATGCAGGACTTCGTACCTCCCACGCGACCAAGCAGCACGCCGTTTCCCCAGCCCGAGCCGCGCGGCACCGAGTTGCGTTGCATCAGCTGCCCGACTGATCGATTCTTGAACACGGACGCCTCGGATTCTACGAAGCAGCCGACCGCGCAGCCGGCTGGAACAAGCGCCAGGCTGAGCCTTAACGACCTCCCCACCGAGATACACGAATGTATCCTCGACCACCTCTTCGGTTTCCGAGTTTCAGCCACGTCCAAGAGCTCCATTACGCGCTGGGGCACCGCTCTGCGCCACCCCCGCAGGAAAGAACTGTCCGAGTTGTCCCTGGTGAGCCGGCCGTGGAGGATTCTGATCCAGGAGCGACTCTACCGGCACATCAAGCTAAAGGCCTCAGTCGAGTCGCTGAGAAGCGCCATGGCCTACTTCTCGGCCCGCCCACAATTGCGATCATACGTCAAACATCTCGAGATCTGGTTCCCCGTGTTCCATCCCAAGTACCGGCCCCTGGCGCTGTCCAACGCAAACACGCTCCCGATGGTCACGCCAGAAGGTCTGACGACTGCGTCCTATGTGTTGCCCACGGACAACTGCTCTCTGGAGGAGGCCTTCTATTTCGTGGCGGAATCGCTGCCCGAGGTCCGCGTCCTGACGTTGGAAGGGGGGGAACGGAAGAAGGCGCCGAAAGTGAGACACTGGATTCGTGATTGGGACCAGCAGAGAAGTCGCGTGATGCCACAGGTTCCGTCTGTCCGCACGCTCATCTGCAAGGGACAATGGAACCTGATAAGGGGGGAGGAAGATTTCGACACCATCATGTCGGCGCTGCCCAACCTCCAGGAATGGCACGGCTCATACAGCAAGCCCAAATCGAAAAGCTACCTCACCATGGCCAAGATTCTCGGGAAGCCCCTGCGGCTGACCAGTCTCGACCTGTGCATTGAGGGAGATTACCGCCGGGAGCTGTCGGTCCCGCCCTACTTCCTCAAGGTGTCGAGCAGGGTGCACTTCTGCTCGCGATTGGCCGCGGCTGCCACGTCCCCTTCCTTGGAGCGCATTGCGTACACGGGCAGGGTGTGCAAGCAGTTCTTTATCGACCTCATGCACAGGCATGACAAGGACCCGCAGAAGATGCGCCTCAAGTCGATCGACTTGACGGTGAAGAACTGCTGCCGGCAGGTGGCGCATTGGAACGAGTCTGGCTCGGGCATCACGGACATGAACTTTATCCAGGCGTTCGAGGAGTTGGTCATTGCGGGTATCCGATCCCTGGGACGGCTCAAATTGGTCGAGTACTTGAGGATTCGCTACGTGGATCTAGGTAAAGCCCCTTCTTTCATCAACCCCCAACATGCCAAATAAAACCCACTGACACCTTGTCTCGGTGTAGACTCGCCCTTCCCTCCACTGAACCCACACTTTACGCTCCGCAACAACCGGTGCACAGGCGTTTGGAGCGAAGCCATCATCGCTGAGATGAACGCCGCCCGCCCCGCCGCCCGCTTTGAGCAGCTGTGTGAATCGTTTGGCGAGGTCAGCTACCGAAAAGACGGGCGCATGACGCTCACCCCAGAGTTTCCGACGTCATCGTTGGGGTCATCTGCGGCGAGGGCTATCTTGTCGCTCAAGATATCTAATTATGCGCTGTTGAATGGGGGGTTCTCGATCTCTTGACGGACTGGTACTTTCGTGATAAGAGGTTGAGGAGGGAAGCGGGCTGTGCCGGGGTGGATGGTCTTTATGGGAAGAAGAAGCAGGGGTTTATTGGGGGTTGCCTAATGGGTTGATTGTTTGGTAACGGGCCATCGTTGCGGCTATGGTCTTCCGACGTCTTGCTCCTTTTTTTGTCTTGACTTTATTGGTTGCCGCTGGAAGTGGTGATAGAGGCGGGGCGTTTGCGGGGGAGGGGCGGACATGCTTTTGCATCTGTTTGTCATTTTTGGGGCGGGTGGGAGGCGTTTATCAACCCCGTTGGTGGTGGGATATGTGACAATTGGGGGCCCGGTAAAGATGATAACCTACGGAGTTGGACGGAGATGGTATCAGATATCTGCCTGATTGCCCCAGGCGTGCTGGTGTGGGTTTCAGGATTCAGGACGACTTTCGAGTTCCCTCGGGAAGAGGGACGTCTTACATTGTTGCATAATAATTCGCCGTCAGATTTGGTACTGCTAACCGAGGCTGGAAATAGACTGATGATCGTGCCAGTGTGTGTGGCCAGGCAGACAACATGGAGAGGGCAATGGAACCACCGTTCCCTTGAAACTCTCGTCACTCCGTTCTATGTTTATCTGTTGTACAAGCCACGACACGCTCTCGACTTGTCGTGATGATAGATTGGCTTCACTCTATGAAGCCACCGCCTTGGGCTGCGTTCCCACATCCCCTATTATAACCCCCAGAATCCAACAGTTCACCAGAAAGAAGCCCAACGAAGCGAGCCACAACCCGGGCAAAAAGGAGCTGCGCCCCAGAAACTCCAACTCATAACCCTGCTGCAACCACAGCCCCTGGGCCGCCACCCACAGAACTAACGCCGTGACGCCGATTCTCTTGTCCGCGAGGAACGACGACCGCGGAAGATACAGCGGAAGCAGCACCATGTACCAGAGGAAGTACTACGACATATCAATTCAAGCGTTAGAGAAAGGTGTGTACACACACACAGCCAAAATGAGTGAATAAAAAGAAAACGGAAGGAAAGAGTGGAGGTGCTTACCTGGCTGGTACAAACCTTGTTGAACGTCACAAAGGCGAACGTCTGGGCGAGCATGGCTGAAGGCAAATCTTTTTGGGCCATGGCCAGCGGAATCAGGACGCAAGACAGAAGAAGCTGCGGGAGGAAGGCGGCTGACTCGATTTGGAGACCTGGGCCTGAGGAGGAGGAGGAGGCGGAGGCGAGGTACAGCTGCGTGTTGTAGGGGCTGAAGTTGTGCCGGTGGTCGATCCGGGTTACGTGGTGCAGGTAGGTGTGGTTGAGGAAGGACGGGCCGTAGCTACAGTCAGGGACACAACGGGGTGATGGTTAATGAGAGAAGGGGAAGAAGGGATGGGAAGGGTGACGAAGGGTGGGCTCACAGGGTGTACATCCATAGGTTTAGGACGAGGAAGATTGCCAGGCTGGTGATGGCGAGCTGAAGCCTTGCCCTAGTAATGAAGGCGAACAGCTTGCTGAGCAACGGAGTATGCTGCTTGTTAGGCTGCTGCGGGCTGCCCATCCTCTCCCGGTCCATCCACCACACGATGGCAGGGGCGTAGATAAAAGGGTAGATCTTGAAGTGCACGCCGAAACCCAGCAGTAGGCCCGCCAGGGTGGTCCGCCTCGCCATCACCGCCGAGAGCAGCGCCATCACCAGGACACCCAACAGCCCCTCGGAACTGCCACGCGTGCTGATGGTGGCAACCATGGGATTTAGAAGCCAGATGGCGGCATACTTCCTCGCAGTCGCAGCATCCATGTCTCTGGCCAGGACCCGCTCTAGCAGCCACCCGGCCACCAGGTCGGCGGCGGCAAACAGGACCTTTCCCGAGTTGAACAAGGCGGCGTCCAGCAGCGGGGTGCCGATCGTCTGTGCGGTAGGAAGCAAGAGCCAGGCCAGAATGGGTGTGTAGCGGTATGTCTCGCGCTCGTAGGGGCTGTGGCCGCGCGAGACGAAGTGGGCGGCGTCGGTGAAGACGAGGTAGTCGATGTCGGTGTACTTGACGGGTGAGTTGGTATCCTGCCAGAGGCCATAGAGCAGGAAGATGAGGCGGAGAATGGCGGCCGAAAGATAGAGTGGCCCGGGGCGGCGAAAGAACGAGCTGACGAGGGAGGCGCTGTTCCGGGGTGCGGAGGGGATTGCCGTCCCGGCTGGCTTGAAGGGGCTGGCCATTTTTCCGGCAATTGTGTGCTGGAGTCGAGAACAACAAGAATGGTACCGGTGATGTCTCTCTGATTCTCGATCCTGGACCCTGCTGCTCACTGAGGCATGCCTGGATTCAACACCTCAAAACTCACTTCCGCATCATCTGCTCAAGACAGGGTCGGATGTTTTCAACTCTTCTGTATGCCTGTCATTAAAAAAATGTCACCTTCCAGGGGCTTTGGGTCCGGTACCTTTGAGTGAGCGTGTGTAGCTCGGAAAATCGATGATGGGATTGTTCATTGAGATGAAGCTGGACCGCTGTTCTCACCCCTCAGTGAGGTGATGAGCGGAAGCCCCTGGACTTCAGTAAGGGTTAGGGAAGATTACCCTGGACCCTGCGATCTCATCCTCCAACCCCACTTGACTGCTTCCCTTTCATCAGTATGTCCACCTGCATGTGCAGCCTACCCGACAGTTACACCAAGGTATCGGTCTTCCATGCGCATCACACTGCCATATTGAGGTTTTCCATGTCGCAGTGGACTTGGGTGACCGGCATGGATGTCGTCACAGTGGACATCAAATCTCAGACTCGGAATTCTGCAAAACAACCCCGAAAATAAACCAAGTTGGGCTGATTCCCGTCTGCAGCAACCGATTTATGTTTATTGACATAAACAAGGAGCTGCCTTGGACCGAATTGCCCATTTCTCTCGTTACTCATTCTCTCTCTTACACTCTAACAACCGTGCCAAAACGACACCCAGCCCATCTTTCAGAAGTCTCGGTCTTTCTGTCCACAACCTCTTGCAAATCGATTTTCCTTCTCTCGTCAACCCGTCACACAAATGGCCACTATGGATCCCAAGAATAACTTCTACCTTCGGTTCCGACACTCGGTTACGGGCAAGTGATTCACCTCAAGAAGGCTGACACATGTGACTAACACACAGCCCCAGACATCCAGGAGCAGCTTGAAGCCCTCCCCAGCAAGGCAGCCGTCGGCGGCGAGCTGATGTATGCCACTGAGGACATACTGAGTCGCATCTCGCGCCTGTCCAAGGAAGTCGCTGATGCCGCTGACTTTGTCCCCGCCTATGACCACCGCGCCTACTCAGACACAGTCAAGTCCCTCCGGGACCAGTTCACTGAGGCCCAGGCCAAGTACCAGCCCAGATCCCGCTTTCAGTTCAAGCAGCGCGCCGTCAACAGCTCTGCGACACCCAAGCCTGACACCCGGAGCCTGAACCCAGCTAATGTCGACAACCACCACCGTGATTCAAACCCTAAGGCAGCCGAGGCCAAGGATGCCTCCAACACCAACACCATCACCACAGCCGCAGGGACCACCACACTGAACCAGGTCTCTTCCACCCGGGGCGACCTGACCCTCTCCGACCACACCCGCGTGCATATCACGCTCCCATCCACAGCCGCCCGCGCCGTCTCTGCCTGGACGCTGACCAACCTCGATCGGTGCATCGTGGACATGTCGGCGCAGCCGAGCAGCAACGACGATGACACCCACCCCGCCTTCGCCAGCCTGACCCTCAAGGACATCTCCGGCAGCGTCATCGTGGCGGGCCGCGTCGACGGCCCCGTGCACGTCACGAACGTGCGCGACAGCGTGGTCGTGGTGGCGGCGCGGCAGGTGCGCATCCACGACTGCGATAATGTCGTGTTTTATCTGCACTGCGTTAGCAGGCCGATTATTGAGGCGTGCAAGCGTGTGTGGTTCGCTAAGGCGCCTGCGTGTTATGTGAGTAACTTTCTTTTTCGTTCCTTTGTCTCCCTAAGGGGTAGTATTATGGGGAAGGTGTGTATTAACTGACGATGCGTGCAGTTGACCGACAAGCAAAAGGGTGAAATCAACCTGTTCGATCAGGTCGACGATTTCCAGTGGCTGAAGTCGACCGCCTCGCCCAACTGGAGTGTGCTGCCGGAGTCGGATGCTGTTCCGGAGGATGTCTGGAAGAAGCAACTTGTTGGCGGTCTGGGCCAGGCTATCGATGAGACCCTCCGCAACCTGGGCGCTGGGAAGCGGCCATGAGACCAAAGGATGGCTTCATTGTTCGGGGAACCTGACATCGCAGGCTTGTTTGGTTCTTGCGGACCATCCCGTTGAGATATCACTCACTCTCACCCTTGAGGAAGTATAAAGTGTATCCCTCAAGCCGCTGTGGCTTAAAACAATTCAAGGATCGTTTCCATCACTTGTTGGTACCAAACGCCGTTGTTGGAGTGATGCAAAATAGTGCTGCCAGTTCGCTCCTTCAGTGCCATAGCACGCCATCACCGCGCCCGTCACTTCACCTGTTGCGAGTCACCAAACACCTGGTAAGAGTACCATACCATCACTTGCTCCTATGCCCAAAACTCTCATCCAAAAGCAGCCAGCCACCATATCCCGATTCCCCGAATAGCCATGGGTATCGCTTATTCCCAAAACTTCAATAAAACCCATACCAAACTCCATCTATCAGATACCGTTTCCGATTCTTCCTCCACTCAGTCCCACATCAAACCTCATGCCCCTCACTCAACCATCCGATCCGGATTCCCTACCGCCTCCTCCTCCTCATCCACCCCGCTTCCCCGCCTCACAAAAACCAGCCCGTCCTCCTGCGTCCGCACCAATCTCCGGGCCTGCTCCCGCCGCTTCCCCTCCAGCACGCCCATTTCAGCCTCCTGCGCCGCAATCGACCGGTGCATGTCGGCCAGCGTGCGCACGGCCGCCCGCGCGCGCTGCAGCTTGTGCTTGACGCTGTCTGTTGCGGTGGGGAGGTCTTTGGGTGTGAGGAGCTTGGCGGTGATGAGGAGCTGGTTTTCTCCTCCGCTGGTGTTGGAATTCCGGTTGGGGTTGCTTGTGGCGGTGGTTGTTGCGGGGAGAGGGGTGATGGCTGTTACGCTGCCGCCTCCGCCGCCTGCTGCCGGGGTCGTCGTTAATTGGCTGCTGCTGCTGCTGTTGGCTACGGCTAAGCCTGCCAAGGGGCCGGTTGTTGTTGTTGATGTTGGGCCGGCGGTTGCGTTGGTGGTGGTGGAGGCGCCGGCGGCGCTGCGGAGGTGGGGGATGATGGCGGATAACTCGGTGACGGCGTCTACTGAGTCCGGGGAGAGGCCTGGCGGGAGGTGGGTGGCCATTGCTGGGGTGTATGATGCGAAACGTCTGTCTTGCTAAAATTGGAAGAGGGAGGGAGGTAAGAAAGTACCAATCGCAGGTCTGAGTGATGGTGGGCTCGCTGAGAAGGTTGAATGTTCGGTTTGGGTGCAGCTTTTCTGATTGGCTTCCAGGTTCCGCGTGGAGATGCGCAGCGGAGCCTGAGCTGCCGGTGATTGCTCCCTAGCGGGACGCTAAGCTGCTTGGGGCATCGACGTCAAGGTGGGGTGGTCGCTGGAACGACAGGAACAGACGCAGCCCCGCCATCTCAAACGAGTCTGATCAACGGGTGGTGCGGTTTTCAGCTCCAAGTTTTTTTTCCCGCAGTTGGTTGTCCAGTTCATTCTCCCCTGACACGCCCTTTACACATCAAATTTCAAAAAGAAAAAAAAAACCAACAGACACAGAGCAAATCCGCGACGCCATGGCCCCCGACCACAAGGCTTGCCTGAGTACGTCTCGTCGCCCCGACTCCCGCTAGTCACCTGCTACATCCTAATATACCTCGAGCTGGGATGGCTGATCATGATGCTGTTGCGGTCCTCTAGTCGTGATTGACGGCTGGGGCATCCCCTCCGAGGAGTCGCCCAAGGATGGCGACGCCATTGCTGCCGCCGACACCCCCGTCATGGACGAACTTTCCAAGAGCCCGACCGGCTTCACCGAACTCGAGGCCTCGTCCCTGGCTGTTGGTCTCCCCGAGGGCCTCATGGGCAACTCTGAAGTCGGACATCTCAATATTGGCGCCGGCCGCGTCGTCTGGCAGGACGTCGTGCGCATCGATCTCGCCGTCAAGAAGGGCGAGTTCGCCAGCAATGATGTGATTAAGAAGGTCCTGGAGGCGGCCAAGAATAGCAACGGGCGTCTTCACCTCTGCGGTCTAGTGTCCCACGGCGGTGTGGTCAGTAACCAGCTCGTACGCATAGGGAGGGGTGCTAACTCCTATTTCAGCACTCGAAGCAAACACATCTGTATGCCCTCCTCAAGGCCGCCAAGGAGTGCGGCGTGCCCAAGGTCTTCATCCACTTCTTTGGCGATGGCCGTGACACGGATCCCAAGTCGGGCGCCGCGTACATGGAGGAGCTGCTGTCGACAATCAAGGAGATTGGCGTTGGCCAGATCGCCACAGTCGTCGGTCGGTACTACGCCATGGACCGTGACAAAAGGTGGGAGCGGAATGAGATTGCGCTGAAGGGTATGGTGCTTGGCGAGGGCGAGCAGAGCGACGATCCGGTCAAGACCGTCAAGGAGCGGTACGAGAAAGGCGAGACTGACGAGTTCCTCAAGCCCATCATCGTCGGCGGCGACGAGGGCCGGATCAAGGGTGCGTGCTGCCTTGCATCCCCTCCACGGACTGAAACACTGACTTCATATAGACGGCGACAATGTCTTCTTCTTCAACTACCGGTCTGACCGTGTCCGGCAAATTACCCAGCTGTTGGGCGACGTCGACCGGTCCCCCCTGCCTGACTTCCCCTACCCCAAGATCAACCTGGTCACCATGACCCAATACAAGCTTGGCTATCCGTTCGAGATTGCCTTCAGGCCCGTGCACATGGGCAACGTGCTCGCCGAGTGGCTTGGCAAGCAAGGCGTCGAGCAAGTTCACATCGCCGAGACGGAGAAGTACGCCCACGTCACCTTCTTCTTCAACGGCGGTGTCGAGAAGGTCTTCCCCCTCGAGACGCGCGACGAGTCACAGGATCTCGTGCCTTCGAACAAGAGCGTGCCGACATACGACAAGGCGCCCGAGATGAGCGCCGACGGCGTCGCGAACCAGGTTTGCAAGCGCATGGCTGAGCAGAAGTTCCCCTTCGTCATGAACAACTTTGCCCCTCCGGACATGGTCGGCCACACGGGGGTGTACGAGGCCGCCATCGTCGGCTGCGAGGCCACGGACAAGGCCATTGGCAAGATCTACGAGGGCTGCAAGAAGTCAGGCTACATCCTCTTCATCACGGCCGACCACGGCAACGCCGAGGAGATGAAGTTCCCCGACGGCAAGCCCAAGACGTCGCACACCACCAACAAGGTTCCTTTCATCATGGCCAATGCGCCCGAGGGCTGGAGCCTGAAGAAAGAGGGTGGCGTACTGGGCGACGTCGCTCCCACTGTGCTCGAGGCCATGGGCCTGCCCATCCCCGCAGAGATGACGGGCTCGAGCTTGCTGGTCAAGTCGTGATAGGGGTTTGATACGGTACATGAGATGATGTTGATGAGAGACGGGGTCACAAGCAGGCGATATAGAGGATAGACTTGCGGTAATGGAGTGTTGTTTAAAGACCGTTAAGTGGCTTCCCCCAGAACCCGGTTTGATGTGCTACATCCTCTGCAGATGCGGTCACCAGATCTTATGGTATTGCTATCTACTCTACCCCTTGGCAAGCTGCGGCTCTGATGTTTCCTTAAGACTGCGAATTTTCTTGCAGAACACGAAGATAGGTACGGAGTACACGAGAAGGGTTGCGGCTGGCTGGGTGGGTGTTGGAGGGCTGTTGTTCATGAAATATGGCTCGGGGGCCAGTCGGCTCCATATATTTTCGAAACGCCAGGGAGTGAGTAATTGAGCCCGGGTTGGGTGACACAAGGTCTTCCTTCCCCGCATCACCTGACGCACCAAAAACGCCTCCCTTTTACTGCATGAGAGATGTCGTGAGGGGAAGTTCCAAAAGGGAAGCAGCGGTGCGGGAAGGGTGACCCCAAGAGTGGAAAGACCCGAGAGAGGAAGGGGCCACACACATTTGCACAAATAAGAGACATGCCCCGGCAAATGTTGACTTTAGGACCAGCCTCCTCGTCTCTTCCCCTCTTTTCTGATTTAGATATCCAGCCGAAAATCGACGGCGACCAGAACAACAACCACCAGCACATCAGTAACGCGAACGTCAACACCGGCCGCTGCTCGCGTGTCAGTTGCACCTGGTTGACAGGGAGACGCTAACTTCCGGTCGAGTGGAGTCTTCGATCGCGGACCACGTTTCCGTGGCAAACTCCCGTGCCAAAGTGGAGAATCCGAGTCGGGTGCGCTCGAAACAACAAGGTGTGGTTCATACAACATTTCTTTGCCTCTGTCTGGTTTAATTCCAATTTGTCTCGTCTTTCGCTGCTGTTTTTCTCGGGGGCGCATGCATAAGGACCATGCATGGTATGGACGTGATCGAGCGATTGCGATTGTTTCTAATTGACTGGGCTCAGGCTTGCGAGATGGAGTTGAGCAGGACAGCTGTGCAAGAAACAAAATGAAATTTTGTGATGGTGTTCTCCCCGGCGAGCCAGGAATCAAGAATCGCTGTGGGTAATGTACAAGGTGGCGCCGGCAGTGCCGACGATCAGACGGTCGGATCGCCCTGGAAGTTCTCCCCGATCTTGGTCTATATGGCCCCGTCTATTGTGATGCGATTCCCCGCCATTATCCCATGCACACTCCCCGTCTCATGAGTCGATGCATATGCAATACGGGTTGCATACGACTATGGACTTCTCGTACACACCCCATCCATCGCGTCCCCTTGTCCCCAATATGTACAGGCGATAGAACGCTCCCAACGAGGCATCGATGCCAATCCCGCCCGAGGTCGGAAGAGATGCGCTTAAGTCTGGCGGCCGGTTAGACTCGGGACTCTGACTCGATCGGGGCTCGCCAAGGCTACGGTAGATACTTACGAATTTGGCCATGAGGGCAACCATGAGATCGAAAAGACCAATGGCTTCGACGAAAGCGAAACCCAGAATGGCGTACGAGAAGAGCTGGCCACGGAGGGCAGGGTTGCGAGCAACGCCGTTCAGGAGAGCAGCGAAGACGAGACCGATACCGATACCAGCACCGGTGAGACCAATGGCGGCAGAGCCCATACCAATGTTCTTGGAGACCTCAACCATGGCCTGGGCGATCTCAGATTGGTAACCACGGCGCTGGACGGTGAAGGCCTGGCGGGTGGTGGCATTAATGATGGACGACATCTGCTGGCGCTTGGCGGCCTGGAAGGGAGTGGCCTTGCTGGCGGCTGCAAACATGCGAAGAGAATTTCTCCCATTAGATCGACGGTTCCGAATTGCGAACGACATCATGATCGAAGCTGCGGCGGCAGCACATGAGCAACAAACTCACCAGTCATGGTCCGCTTGCTGGTGTTGGCAATGGTGACACGGGCAGCCGGACGGGCAGCCTTGGTGGCCATCTGGGAGGCCAGGCGCGAGGCGAGCACACGGGTGGAGGCCATTGTGACTGATGGGAAGAGTATGCAGAGAATTGCAAAGACGGGTCCGGGGAGGGATGACGATGATACTCTTGGTGGTTGAGGCAGAGACGATGGCTCGACTGAGTGGCAGAGGGAAAAAGAGGAGGAAAGTGAAGAGCGAAAATCAAGAATCAGGTGGTCAGCTGGGGAAGCGGACCTCGGGCTGGTCCGGGCAACGGGCTTGAGGAGCGGAATCAAGCGACCTGAGTGGTCAATTCCATGCCTGTTTGGAAGAAATCTCCACTTGAAGCTCAGTTGTGGGTCGGGATTCTGAGCTTGGAGGACAGTGAGAAGAACAGGGAAAATTCTGCTGCGGCACTTTGGGAAATGGTCGGGCAATCTCGGACGCGGCGCTCACACAAAAACCGTGGTCGTCCCCGAGACGATTCAGCCGTTGTTCTGGGCCAACACCATCACCAAGAAAATGCCAGTCCCTCCTGGTGGACACGATCGATACGTCCAGCAACTCTATATGGAAGCTATCACGGTTGCGTTTAGCGCTCCTGAAGAAAGCTCCTGGAGTTCGGGTTTTGACAGGCAAACGGAGCTGTGGCCTGAGTTGGTGTCGCCGAAAATTTTCAGTTTCCGAGTTTGACGTCTCAGGCAATGAGCCTCCTGCTGCTCGAGCCAGGGTGCCCTGTAGGCCCCCACGAGCCCCCACTCAAGAACGAAATGGAGGGCTCCAAGTCGTCAGATCGGCGGCACACGCTCCACTGGAATCCACTGCTGCATAGGGGCTTGATCATGACGACAGGGCGAGAAAATGCCTCTCTCTTATTATTTCTAGGGGGAGTTTGGAGCGCATCGTTTGAAATACAAAACGGATCGCGACGTTTAAAAACTACCACAACCATCACCATGACCGTGGAAACGGCTGTCGCTGCAAATCTCGATATGAATGCTTTTGTGTCTGACTCACAGCAGCGGAAAATCCATACGGAACCCAAAACCGTGTTTGCAGAGGTTACACAGCAGCTCGCCGGTGCCGCTGCGAGAGCGGGTCGGATCTCGCGGCTGGATTGTTAATTGGCTGTTGCAGGCCGTTCCCGGGCGCCCGGGAACTGAGGCTGCTAAGGGGAACGAACACTGGGCCAGCCACACCGAGCCGTGGCTTCTCGATCAGACGCGGATCAGACTTGAAACAAGACCGAATTTCTGCTGCCGTTAAAGGGCCAGTTGGCGATTGAGGAATGGAATATACACTGAAGTGTCTTCCGGATCCGACGAAGGACGCTCGAGGCCACTCCCTATCGTTACGTTATAAGGCGTTGTAACGGCGTAATCAAGCGAATGCTTGTCCGAGGCACATAATTGGCCGACTGGTGTAGTGGTTATCACGTCTCGTTCACAGCAGTTGGACACAAGAAGTTCTTCTACCGAGAAGGTGCCAGGTTCGATCCCTGGGTCGGTCATACTTTTGCTCTCTTCTAGCTCACCAGCCAAGCTTCTGGTTTTGATGGTTTTTTGTTGTACCGGATAAGCGCCTTTCATAGGCAACCCCAACCCTCGTCGGGATGTCTATCTCCACCTTCGATCATAAATAACTATACCCACTCGCTCCAGCTCACGCCCTGCCGATACACGCGCCCCTCCGTCTCAAACTGCGGCCCCTCGGCGTCTAGCAGGTAGCCCAGCTCGCAGCGGTCGTAGCGGACCTTTTTTTGTTGTTGTTCGTAAAACACATCAAAGCGGCTGTTGAGGGCGTCGTGCAGGTTCTGGACATTGCCGGCGGGGTGCAGGGCGTGCCACGGCCGGACACAGGTCTTGCCCTTGCACGACTTGAGTACGAAGAGCAGGGCGTCGAGCCGGGCAATGACTTTTTCAAAGGGTACCCCGAGGAAGGCGGTCGGTGGCGTGGCGGAGCTGCGCAGGAGGTTGTTGAGCTGGTACGGGTCCGTCTAGAGTTAACCACAACACCACTTGGTCAGCGCCAGTCTTTCCAGCAGAAAGCCACTCCACAAAGCGCAGTTAGGGGCTGATGACGGTTGGCATACCTTCAAATCATACAACTCATGCTCGTTGGTACACCACACGGCGTAGTACAGGTTGTACTCCCTCCCAATCACCCTCAGCGCCTTGTAGGTGTTATTCGGATGCACCAGCTTGTCATGCTCGCCAAACAACCTCCCCTCGCTGAGAGCAGTCCCCCAGAACTCGACCGTGACATGCTCCTGATGCCTCCTCCTTCCGTCTCCCGCCTCCTCCAGCTCTGCCTCTGTAAGCGGGATCGCCAAACCATCAAACTCCACCCTCTTCTCTCTTCTCCTTCTTCCTCCCCCATTACCTCCACCACCACCGTCCCGAGTCGCAATCCCGAGCAAAGTCGGCGCCAAATCCACATGCGCCGTCACCACGTCAGCCACACCGCCCCGCGGCACCCCCGGCCCACGCACGAGGAGCGGGACGTGAATGTCCTCGTCGAACCCGCACTCCTTGCCGGGCTGCAGCCGGTGCTGGCCGATGTGGAAGCCGTTGTCGCTCGTGTAGAAGAGGTAGGTGTCGTCCAGCAGGCCGTGCTGCGCGAGTCTTGTGACGACAGAATCGACCAGCTCGTCGACCGATTGTAAGGTACGCAGGCGCTGGCGGTAGAAGTGGTCGTTGAAGGCGACGTTGGCGTCGGATTGCTGCCGGAGGTGGCGGATCCAGCTCGCGCCGGAGCGGTGCTGGGCCGGGTTAAAGTTGGGCGTGCGCGGGACGATGGTGGTGGTGTTGTCTGGGAAGAGGTGCGCGTGGCGGGGAAGGGGAATGGGAGGGGTGAAGTTCACAACCCCTGAGGTATCTTGCTCTACGTTGGTGTGGGGCGCGATCGGGGCGATGCCGAGGAAGAAGGGGCGGTGGTCGTCGTGGCGTAAGAAGTTGGAGGCGGCGTCGTCGAGGAAACCGAGGGCTTTCTCCGCCAGCACGTCGGCTGAATGCTGACCCGCGTAGCTGACGGGCGGGTCGCGGTTGCGCTGGAAGCTGGCGTTGAGATACATGTACGTGTAAGGGTCCACGAGAAAGTCGGAGCCGTTCCAGCCGGCCGGGAAGGGCGCGTTGTAGTTGTCGACCGTATGCGCGTTGAACAGCTTGCCCGTGTAGTACGTGTTGTAACCGGCCTCCTGCAGCCAGACAGGTAGGTAGGCATTGTTGAAACCCTGGCTGGCGAACTTGGGGTATCCGCCTGACTCCGGTCAGCTAAGGTATTTCTAGTTCTCTTGAGAGGCAGGGAGACCCATAACTCACCATACGGCGGGCTTACGTCGGTGACGTTGGTGTTGTGCGCCAGTTTGCCCGTCCACAGCGAGACCCGGGACGGGCAACAGATGGCCGTGGTGCAGTAGTGGTGTTTGTAGAGGGTTCCCTTGTCAATAAGATGCTTTTTAATCAAAGGAAGATAGTCCAGCGACTGCAGATGCAAGTCTTGGTCGTCCGACAGGATAAACACGATGTTGGCTTGCTTGCCCTGCGGCCTAGGACCCCATGATTCGCTCAAGTCCAGAGCTCTCTGGCTATGGCTGTCCTCGAGGACGGCAAATAGGTGCACACCGGCGAGGACTCCTGAGACTCGCATGGTGAGTCAGGGAGTGGGGATTCATGGGGTAAGCACATAGATGTCTTCAAGTCAGTTCGCAAAAGAGCCACATGTGGTGGTTGTTTGTCATTATTATGTGGCTTTGTGGAATCTACAGATTGCCTGTAGCAAAACACTTGACGGATTGGGGAGAGTCGGATTGTCCGAACACGGAATTCTATGCTGCTGTGTTCTTGATGGCGTTATTAAGCCCCGCAATGGTATCGACACCATGCTACACCGCTGATAAGTTCTGAATATACCACTCCCCACATCCAATACACAATAATGTGGAGTAAAACCAAGCTACAAGACAGCAGTTTAGTCCAGGTTACATTGCTGTAAGTGTCACTGGTGCTGAATTCTTCTGATTAGACTATCAGGGGTTGCGACGTCAACTCCTAAATGCCGTGATCGGCCAAATGTGGCCCTGCAGCATCAAGACCGGAACAATAGGTTAAGACTGTGGAGACAACGACATCGAGTATGGCGATACAAGATGCGGAATCTTCACGAGTCAATGTACAATATTGCAACCCCCTTTTCGCCCGGGTCGGGGAACCGCTTCACCAACGTTTCATCCATCAGGTATAACAAAGGTAAACTCTCTCTTCTAATTCCAAAAACCCCTGAAAGATGAGCAAGTCATCTTGATGCGCCATAGCAATGCTGTTGGTCTTGGGAATCAGACGGAGCAGCACATGCAAGTTCTGGCCAACAATCCAGCTGCGCGGTATGAAGAAGTGGCGGGTGTATTCTGCCGCGCTCTGCGCACCATTCAGAGTCACCGAGCTCAACTAGCCCTTCACGTCGACAAAGTATAGCAGCGACTTGTGCAGCCCGACGACCGATTTGACGTGGGTGAGGAGGCCCTTAGTGAGGCAGTTGACAGACATGCTTGTTGTCGTGGTGGCACTGTGGTGGTTTGTCAGGCCAGACACGTCCAAAATCTCAAAGCCGGTGCGGCAGTCCTTGTTCGACCGCCTCGTCCGGACGAGCAGCTCGCAGTCGTTGTGTGATGTCCACTCGGCCGGCGGCGGCGGCGACAATTCGCCACTGCAAGCCGCGCTGGCAATGGTGACAGGCAGGCCCGCGAAGGTGTGAGCGGCTCGAGCGTCGCCCATCGGAAGACGTGTATTCGAGCCTTGCTGAGCATCAAGAGGAGTTCAGCGTTGGTCGGGTGCTGAATCCACTGCTTGTCTTCGTCAGGCTCTCCAAGGGTGGTGGAGTTTTCGTATCTGCCGACGAGCTCCCCGGTGCTGTCCCACGCCTCGTCTTCCCCTAGGGTCGTGAGATGGAATAGGGTGCCGGGGTAGTTGATCAGGACATGTCGGACAGGATCTTCAATGTGCCGGTCAAAGATGGGCGGGAGCACCACCTCGCACGCGCCATTTGGCGTCACCAACACGCGCACGCCAAAGCCCAACATCACTCGGACATTCCAGCATCGCCAGATCCAAACTGATCAACCAACTTCCGCATCTCGTCAATGAGCCTAGGGGGACAGTTTAGGTTAGGCCGATAAACACGTCGGCGACAGAATCGACTTAGATTACATACTTTTGGCTGAACCTAGTTCATCGGGGTAGAGCGCAGAGTCGTGGGTGTATGTCCTCCTAAGGAACTCAGTCAGCACCGAGAGGGAGTGCAGATGGAGCACGCCGCGGGTATAGTTCTCACGTAGCATAGAGCGCGTTGCGAGCATCCCAGTCCTCCCGAGGCTCAGACTTGGGTATGCGGAGGTGGTAGCTTGCCATGCATTCCCGGCCCAGTCGTTGCCCAGAGGGCGCATGATGCTGAGTTCGTCTATTCATCGACGGTCAGCTGTGGTTTCAATCCCGGAAAATCAATACCGAGTGCACCAACTCTCATTGTGGCCCCAGAAAGCCGAGGCATCGAACATCATCGGCTCGCCCGTATCCTTCCGGGTGGGAGCGTTGCCGATCCACAGATTGCCGTGAATGAGTATGGGCTGGATGGACCGGCCCTCTGTTTCCAGGGGGCCCGCAGCTGTCGTGGAATCCCCTTGTCCAAGAAAGGATCCGAAATGGCCTCCAGCTCCTCGCTTGGGCCATGCGCCTCTTTTTCGAGCTGCAGCATCCGTTTCATGCCGCGGGAGTAGAATTCCTCACACGTCTCGGTCCAGATGTTGTCTTGTGCCAGAGTCCCGTTGTATGTGGTGACGGGAAACCCGAATCTCTTTCTGTTGTCCTCCAGGCAAGGTGCTGCTTTGTCACTTATAGTAAGCAACTGCGCAACGTCATATGTCAGGTGATGATAGACGGCAGCCCTTTCTGCAGTTCGTGGAAGGAAAAGAGACGGAAGTGCAGGTCTGGGTCGGTGCAGGTGCCCCAAGCCAGCAGCTGAGCCGCGAAGGCAGGGATTGTTCTGTAAATGAGCAGCATTGACTCATACTCACCTTCGATCATTCCAGCCCCTTGGTGCCATCTGCTATCTTTTCCCTTTAGGTCAACAAGGGCACACCGACCAAGCAATGGAGCAAGAATCGTACCATGAGGAAGTAGGAGGCTGGGCTACTATCAATCTCGGCATCCATGCGGACGGGACGAGTTTATTCCAGTTGCTGGCGACATGCCCCCGGCTTGATAGGACTTTGAAACTAGCTGGTGAACCTAAAACAAATTATTCGGTTAGTATTGCCGAGTTTGTGGAGCGATTGACGACGCAACTGTTTAATGTCCTTACGCTTCCTCATGTTCTCATCGAGCACAACAGGCCCTTCATGCACTTTGGCATTTAAGCCTGCTTGGTGGCCTTTTTTAAAAACAAGCTACGGGATGCGGTGCGGGTAGAAGACCTCGTCTCGTTGAGCTTCCAGGTTGCTAGGGCTCGACACTGGAAGTTGTCAGAATTGTAAAAGACTGAAAATTCGGGAAGTCGGAGTTGTACCACGGTAACTCTAGAGCGTTGTCCACCGTCTACCCCCACACATGTTTCCCGGTCCGGGCTCGCTGGCTATCGAAATCCGGGTTGCAGTTTCCCGATTAACATATCATTCGACCGGTCGGGCAGCGGGCACCTGTCATTGGGCAGCGAAAATGCGAGATGGAAGGATCAATTTTCGCCAGTACAAGCAGGTGCCACGCTGGACCTCCTATAACGACGCCTGCCAGACTCTAGTTTGCCAGCCATAGTGCTTACGTGGAAGCATACAATTGAGGCATATCATGCAGTGCCCTTCCATAGAGGGGAAGGGGGGGTCGGGAAGCTTTCGGGTAACCGTGTTTCCCAAAGACGTGCTCCCTTTACGAAATTAAGACTCGAAACATAAATAGTTATACCCGATATCAGGGTTATAAAACAGCATCACGCAAGCGAAAAATAAACAGGAACAAGAGAGACTCACAGATAAGGTATTAACTATACATCAATAAAAAACGATATCCGCAGCTTCTGTCACGGGTCGTGACACTGTGAGGTTCATGTGCGCAACTCCTGGTTCGACTGGACAGTTCGAACCACGGTCCCTCTTTTGAGGGTGTTACGCAGTGGTCGTTGCGCCCACCCGTGACAGCTTCTACTCATGATTAATTTCTAGCGAACATCATGTTCCTGTTATGTAATAGGGTGTTAAGTGGAAAGAGTCACTTAGGTGCCTGAGAGTGTCCTAGATTCTCGCTCCCATTATCACGTTCACGTCTGAAATCAGGGCAACATTGTTACTTGAAGCTTCCCCAACCCTCCCTTTTCCTCCAGCAGCCTGGACTCATGCTCTCTTCGGTGGGTCATCAGTGGGTGGCCTGTGTGCCCACCTAGACAGCATGACCCAACAACCGGATATAGAATGTGGAAGGCTGGGAAATGCGGTGTGCTCGGATACTTTTGACCCCCCCCACTGTACCTAAGCGTATTGTATCCCATAGTGGCCGAAACCGAGGGGCCAATCGCTAGGACGGGGACGAATTTGGATGTATCTAGGCCTGTTGTCGATCGAGCGGCGGATAACCGTTCAGAAAAGATCACATCAACTAGCTCGAGACTAGGCCAGAAGACTCCATCACCACAGAGACGCAACCATTCTCCGTCTTCACAAACGGCCAGAAAAGATGGGTCAACTGGGTGGCCTCCTTCGGCGCCATGTTTTCCCGCTCAACAGCTGCATACTTTCCGGCCGTGATTCCCATCGCTAGTAAAGCCCTGGTGAACTTGACCATCACCTGCTACCTCGTGGTTGCGAGCATAGCACCCGCATCATGGGCGACTTGGCGCCATGGACAGGCGGATCGATATATTCTCGATTGAGGACATGAACAGTGTACCTATTCAATCCAGAGCCGGATCGATCTAGACTCTACAGTCATACCCAACAATAAACGTCCAAGGTATCTCCACCAACGTGATAGACTCTCTCAAATATCTTCAACACAAACCAAGCAACACATCGTTCTATCCCCACCACCGCACTCACGGCACATTCGCTTCAGCTGTAATCTCATCACTCATCCAACATCACACGCCCCATAACAAATATCCAGAAATACGCCAGTCCCATATTAACTATGTGCTAGCAAATCCCCCCGTCCGCCAGGCCACAAACCCAATCCTCAACCGGGAAACTCGATCCTACGAACCAGCAATCCCCAACCCGACCCTTACCTGCCCATATTGCGCCCCCTGCTGCCCTTGCCCAGCAACCCCAACACCACCCGCGGTGCCCGCGCCTGCCCCCGTCCGCTCCCTCATCCTTCTCCCCTCCATCAAGCCCCTCAACCCCCTCTTCTGCAAGCCAACAACACTGCTCAGATCCCCACCCCAAATCTCTCTCCCACCGCCCCTCTCACTATCCCCAAACTCAGACGCGCTCCATTCACTCCCGCTCATCTCACTAGCCGACGTGGCGCTCAGAGGCTCGTCGTTGCTCGGCCTTGATGCCCCAGGCAGCCCAACCGTGCTAATCTTCAGCTTGTTTTTCCCACCAGCACCAGCAGCAGCACCGGCAGTCCCATCGGCGGCAATCTCACTGCCAGCAACACTCCTACCGCCCGTCCCATTCACCTGCGAAGCAGCCGCTTCACCAGCACCACCAGCACCACCCAACCCATCCAGCCCCGCCGACAGCGGAAAGAAATTCGGATTCAGCGTCCCATCAATCCCGCGCCCACCGCCGGCCGCCATGGCCGTGGCATTGAACACGGCAGCCGCGTTACGGCTGTCTAGCAAACCATGCAACCGCTCGACGACAGCCTCCAGAAGGCCATCGATCCGGTAAGGGCGGGCGATCTGAAGGAGGCTGCAGAGAATCTGCGGGGTGCAGAGCGGAGAGGACGGGGCGGGCAGGCTCGAGGTGTATAAGAAGTGGAGGAGGGCTTGGACGGTGAGGTAAGTGTGCGGAAGATACAGACATCGAGGGCGGCTGTTGGGGGGGAGCGTGCGGGGCGTCGGAGCCGTGTTGATGGCGGCTTGGTCTGTCGCCGCAGCAGCAGCAGCACCGGAGGGTGGTGACATGCTGCTGCTTGCCTTGCTGGTTGAGCTGCTGATCGAATACAATGTGCTGCCGCTCATGTTGGTGGGGGTGATGGTGAGGTTGGAGGCCCGGATCGAGCCGCTGGGTCCGGAGACCGAGTTCGACCTGAGCGTCGCGGCATCGCTGCCGTCTTGGGTGGCGGTGCCTTCCCTCAGCAGCTGGACGAAGTACGGGCCCCATCTCCTCGCGACAATTCTCGAGTTAACTGGAATCCGCTCGCCACCGATGCAGAGGAAATCCATATCGGCTAACTCCCTCAACGCAAGAGCTTTTTCGCCCAGTTCTTCGGCAGCGCGGCTGTGGAACCTCCCGCCAGCGGTGAAGCCCGCTTTACGGGCCAAGCTCAAACCAGGACCCGTGTAGGGGCTGCTGGCGCTGACAAACCCGCTCATGGGCGCCGTCTTCCGGGGGTTGTCATAGAAACCAAACGCCTCAAGCTCGACCATGCAGACGTTGCTGAAGTTGATTCTCCGGTGGTTGTAGTCGTCCACAAGGCTCCGTTTCCTGTTGCCCAGCACGACAAACGTGTTCCGCCGGTTCCACAAAACACCGCGGTTCCAGCTGCCCTGGCTGAACACGGCGCCACCGGCGTCGATGCGGCTCCATGTGAGTGTCCGCAGATCTAGTGCCCAGAGAGCGTATTCTTGTTTGGACGAGGTGAGGTACGTGCCGCTCACGACAAAATGCGTATCAATGATCCCGCCGTTGGGGAACCTAAGCCCAGGGGGACTGTACGTGCCGCTCATGGCCCGCTCAGTGAGGTGTCCGTCGGGTGAGCGAATCTGGAGCTCAAGCTTGACGTCTAGAAAGTTGTAGTTGCTGTAGATGAGCATGCTGGACCCGGGTTCTCTCGCTTCCTGGCTGATGCCCCCAACCTCCTGCCGTCCGCCCCCGGGGAACGCCTTGCCGAGTTTTGCCGTGACGGACGGCGGAAGCGGCGCCACCACACTGCGATACGCGCCACAGCTCTTGCCCAGCGGCTGGGTCGAAACCCATTTCAGGCTGCGCAGGTTGAAGACGCTAATCTGCTCAATGTAATGGTTCGAAGCATCTTGGCCGCCGACGACAACCATCTCGGCACCGCCAGTCCCGTCGATATTGATGCCTATCCGGCCCTCGTTCGGGTTGCCAGTCGAAGGATTGTGCTGCAGCGCCGAAAGCGGTGCCCTATGGGAGGCGAACGTCGCCGAAGACGGAAGCACACATGCACAATGTGCGTATCGGCCTTGTGGAGCGTCTTGGGTCGGGATGAAGGTCCACTTTTTGGTCGGCACGTCGTAGATGTAGATATCCGACATGACGGTGACTTCGGGCTGTTGGTCTTGTGGTATGTTCTTCTGGCTCGTCGTCGGCGACATTCCGCCGTAGCAGACCATCTTCGTGTCGCCAAGCGCGCACATGGAATGAAAGTAGCGGGGCGGTGGGATGTCGCCTGTCGTCTCGAGCTTCGTCCAATGGCGGCGGATCAGATCCAGCTCGTACAAATCCGCCGTCAAGGGCGCCGGCCGGCTCCTGGACAATATCCTCCCGCCGAAGACATAGAGCTTGTCGCCCAGGATCGTCGTCGTTGCCCCGACAAGAGGATGCGGTTCCCTTCCCGTTGTCCTGTGCACGTTGCACATCAGCCCAGACAGGTGTGCAGATGGAGTCGCCGTGCCAACCGCCGTCCCACCCGTCTGTGTCCTCGATTGTCCGATACTTGGCGAGGGCCCGGCTGACAGCGGGCCAATGCTCTTGGGCGTCAGATTATCGCCCCGGTCATCCTGCCCATCTTGGCGCGATGAGCTCGCCAGACTGCTCTGGCTGCTGTTGAAGTTCACGTCTTGGCCGTGGTTAAGGTGTCCTCTTGGGTACAGACCGCCACTCATCTCCATCGATGACGCCGATTCCATGGTGCCGGGGCGGCTATCGTTCTTTTGTTCCTCGGTGTCGAAAGCTGTAGCCAGACTCTGTGATTGGGCCTGAAGGGCGAGGGGCGTAAAAGGGCTCGCGGGAGAAAGCTCGGGCGGGGGCGGCTCGGGCAAGGGTTTCGCGAGGCTATCTTGTAGACTCAGACTTCGTGCATGTTGCGCCAACGGCTGGCGATGCTGTCCTTGCAGAAGCGGCGCAGAGGCGGCGGCCCTCTCGAGCGTAGGGGCGTGCGTCTCTGCCGGCCGGCGCAAGGATAGCTGGGCGGGTCTTAGAGAGGGTCCTCCGGGCGTAATTTTCTTGAAACCGCGGATGGCCGAAGATAGGATATCTGGGCGTGACTTGGAGGGTATTCGTTCTTCGAATTCGGAATCAGATGGCCGGCTAAAGTAGTCGTCGGCCTCGGCCTGCTGCTGGCCTGGTTTGCCGGAGGTTAGCCCATAGCCCGACATTGTAGGCGCGCCGAGGAAGTGCTGCGCTGCAAAACGCAAGACAGCGAGCCACAACGAAGCCGTGCTTTAGGAGTCTTGGGTGTTGGGGCCCAGCGAACAAAGGTCAAGGGCAGTTAAAATGTGCGGCGGAACCCGCATGAAAGAAAGCAAGATATGACCGCGCAACGTGGACAGTACAAGGTCCCGCGGATATTGAGGAGGCCTCAAGCTGCTCGCCACAGAAGCACGACCGGCGACAGCACCAGCCTATCAGCCGAAGACTAGGCGACATTTGTTGACACTGGTGGACTGACGGGGTTGGGGACCGGGACAGGCATGCGCCGGGGAGGTCTTGATAGCAGTCCCCTCTGGAGCCTGAGCCTCAGCCGAGTCACCGTAAATCCACCAGCAGTCTTGGTCGAACAGGGCAGAGGAGGTAGCGGTGGCGGAGAGTGTCAATAAAAAGAAATCCGCGAAGATTGTAAGCGAGGCCGGGGGTTGGGGAGTCAATTCGCACAAAATGGCACGGAGACCGGGGTGAGGAGCGGAACCGTCCCCGAGTGCGCGCGCTGTTGAAGAGACGGGAACAAAGCGGGGGAAAGTGAAACGTGGGGAAATGGAAGCGATGAGATCACATACAGTCCGTACCTGATTGATGGCGAACTCAATTCCGGGTGGTTCCTAGAGTTGGAAGCAGACGAATCGCGCAGTCGGAAGACGGTGGAGGAGAGTAAGTTCCCAAGAAGGCCCGTTCACCAGACGCGCGCTCGGACATGAACCGACGGGATGAAAAGGGGGGCTCGACTCAGTTTGGATTCAGCGGAGTCGTGAATTCTCGCGCAGCAAAGTCAAAAACCCAAAATACTGGGCAGTCACAGCCCAGGCGGGCAAAGTATTGAACGCCCTAGAGTGGTAACCAGGAAAGATGCCCATATGCTTAAAGGGAAGAGTGAAGATTGAGTGTAGACGCTGCAAATGCCACGAAGAGTCAAGCCGCCCAAGATCGGTTCCACAATGTGGGGTTGGTGAGGTTCTAGACGCGCCTGCTCTTTGGCTGAATTGCAGCGCACAGATCGGACTTGCTTGTCAGCGTGGCATTGGGTTCTGGTCAAGGAGACCAGGGACTATAGGGGAAGTGAAAGAGATGCTACAACAGAGAAGTGAAAAGTAATAAAACGAGTAAGAAAGAAGCAATCAGTAAAAGCTTTCAAGGATAAGGACAATGAAGCCCTGTTGCTATCAGATCTATTAGTGTTCTCAGTTCTCAGACGTACTCCGGAGAAATCGGCTTGATGGGAATCATGAGTGTTTGCGCTCTAGAAGAGAGACAGGGCAGGGGTGGTGTTGCGAGGCTCGGGGTTCTTGCCAATCTCAGTACAGCGAAGATGAAAGTCATCTACAGATGCGTCGAGCCAGCTAGCGCTATGCTTGTATCCTTTGCTAGCGAAGGGACAACAATTGGACCAGTGTTTCACCAACCTCTTCTAGAAGGTAGCTGCATTACTTGGCGGGAGGAGTGTGGCACCCGCTAGTGCGATCATGGCCACGTGGAAGCCCGTATAAGAAGGGAACAGGGTTGGGAGAAGATCGTCGATATCTTTGGGGCTATGGAGGCTCGGGACGTACTGTAGATTGAAACCTGATCGATGCATACATCAAGCACGACTCGAGAGCCATCACATTTCCGTTTCATACCCGTCCAACGCCGTCCAAACCTCAGAACATGACCCGTGCAGCGAAAAGCACTGTTCCGCTACGACAAATGTTCTCCCGCTCTCGTTGGGTATCTTACCGCCACCTTTCACTCAAACCTGGCCATTTATTTAGGCAGCCTTGGGCAGCGGTGTGAAGCGCAAATACGGCTTGACGACGCGCATCTCGGGGAACAGCTTGGTGGCCTCGTCGCCTTTGATGGTGGGGTGCACAATGACGTCGTCGCCGGGCACCCAGTTGATCGGCGTTGTGACCTTGTGCTTGTCACCCGTCTGCAGCGAGTCGACGACGCGAAGGATCTCGGCGCTGTTGCGGCCCGTCGACGCCGGGTACGACAGGATGGTGCGGATAATCTTCTTGGGGTCGATGATGAAGACGGAGCGGATCGTGAAGGCAATGCCCTTCTCGTCCACGTTGGTGGTGTCCTGGTAGTCGATCCTGCGTGCGAGCCAAACTGTCAGCATCCGCCTTGCAAAGGTTATTCCAAAGATGCCTAATTTTGGACATCTTACTTACATGTCGTAGAGGTAGGCCACCTTGCGCTCCTTGTCGGCAATGATGGGGAAGCTGACGAGCGAGCCCGTCACCTCGTTAATGTCCTTGATCCAGCCCTCGTGGCTGCCCAGGGTGTTGGCCGAGAGGCCGATGAGCTTGACGCCGCGCTTGGCGAACTCGGGCTCGAGACGGGCCATTTCGCCGAGCTCGGTCGTGCACACGGGGGTGTAGTCCTCGGGGTGGGAAAAAAGGATGACCCAGTTGTCGCCAATAAACTCGTGGAAGTCGATTGGGCCGTTGGTGGTGTCGGCCTGGAAGTTGGGGGCAATCGAGCCCAGGCGGAGACTGCGAGTGTCCTGTCAGCAACTTCGTCGCATTCTTCTACGGGGAAACAGCTCATGGACGGCATAAAGGATGCATACGGTGCAGAACGTTCAGAGGCCATTTTATCGGTGATGTGGTACCGTAGTCTGGAAAGGATGAGGGGAATCGCAGAGGAAGTCGAGAGCAAACAGGAGGTTACCGAAGAAAGGCTGGATGTAGGAAAGTGTTTTTGGGATGAATAGATGAGCAGATTGTCAGTGAGGAGGGGCAGGTGAGTGGGCACAAGTGTTTTAAGTCCTCGACTCTCCTGAATCGGCCAGTCCATCCCCCACATCCTTTCTGGATTCATCCCGCTTCCACTTCCTTCTTGGCTTCATGCAGCTTCCTACTCTATACCACCCACATTGTATTCACTGGAGCCCAAAGAAGCCCTTGGTGACAGTTTTGGTGCAACGACGCGGGGAAATTTACCCCTCCAACAGCGCGTGGAGAAGCCAATGAATTGCGTGATTACGGGAGGTCAAATCCTCCATTGTCCAGAAACGAATCTCGTTTGCAATTCCGGCTCTAATCGTCGTTTAATTGCAAAGGAGAGTTGTTTAGGGATAGTGGAGAGTTGACGCGCCGTAGGTGATACTCTACGCATGTTATTGGTCATGTCGATTTAACATCATTGTCGTCGAGTACCCGGTGTCGCAATTCTGGGCATGCTCGGGAAGGCTGGTACAGAAGGTGGCTTGATCAGCGAACGACTGAGGCAAGGCTGCCGGAGACGGGCGGGTTGGACGATGATCGGCGCTCCGATAACGTCGAAATGTGGAGGCAAGAGAACGGGTCCAACGGGAACCTTGATGGATGAGAGCCGCAGGGAAAAGCAATCAGGCAGCCAGCCAAAGCCAGATACCAGAGGTTTGCAAAGGAGGAAAACGGACATAAACAGAATAACAAGGACCAAAGAAAAAAAGAAGACGAAAAAAAGTTTGGCCCAAACGATCTCCAGCATCTGTTTCGTACACCTTTGCCTTACGCGACGGGCCGAGACATTCAGCTTCTGTCGCCATGGTGACGGCAGACCAACCACAAACAAGGAACAAAAGGGGCAGGGGCGGGCGACAACGACAGCAGAAAACGAGAAGACAGCGGCCAAAGCAACCACAACAAAAGCGCATGACGCGGCGATGGCAATGATGGCGGCAATAGAAGTTGTCTAGTTGCTGCCCTGTTGCGGGCAAGGAGGCGGCGGCAGTCAGTGGCATTCTAGTCGCTCCTGGACTTCACACGTCGTCACGGTGGCGGGAGTCGGCCATCTCTCCTGGAGCCGTGCGTGCTCCACGAGGTTTGCCGCAGAGCTGACTCGTACTAGAAAACCGCTGGTGGGGATGCGGGAATGCCACGGAGACAGCATAGCAATGGCGGATATACCAGTCTCAGTGGCAACGGAAGTCGACTAGGACCGTTCGTAGAGTAGAGACGAATCTGGGATAACAATACTCCTTGTCCGATAACATATCTCATGAGGTATCACACACCATCGCAGCTACAAACTAAAGAAGAGAAGAAGGAGACACCAAAGGAACACAGCCCATGATGGTATAGAAAAGCAAGGCATCCATAATCACAGCCTGACCTTCCCGCCCTGCAGCGCCTTCCAGTCTTCGGCCCTGAACCTAACATACGAATTCCCCCTCAGCCAAAACACGTCGTCGGTGCCCGTTTTGCCCGGCTCGACGCCCTCTTTGCGAAGGCTCATCTTCTGCTGCTTATTCGTGCCCGTAGCCTGAATCGTCCCGCTGTTGACAACCCTTACAAATAGCGGCAGCGCGTACTTGGGCAGACCCGCGCGCACATGGCTCGCGAGCGTGCGAAGCGTCTCGTCGCTCGGCAACCCAGCACCACCACCATTACCACCACCACTGCTAGCTGATAACGCCTCGGGTTTGAACACAACGGCCGCGCACCCTGCGCGTCCCTCGTGACCTGGTACCTCGACCCCGTACACGTTGGCCTCGAGCACGGCCGGGTGCAAGCCGACAACGTGCGCAACCTCGGCGGTGGACACGTTCTCGCTCTTCCAGCGGAAGGTGTCGCCGATGCGGTCGTTGAAGTAGACCCTGCCTTCGGCGTCCCAACGGACGACATCGCCCGTGCGGAACCAGGCGTCGCCCTTGGCCAAAACGTCAAACATGATCTTTTTGGACGTAGCCTCCTTGTCGCCGTAGTAGCCCTGGAACCGTGACTCGACGTCCTTGGGCGGCAACCGGAACAGCAGCTCGCCCGGCTCGCCGTGCGGAACGCGACGGCAGAAGCCCGTTTTAGGGTCGCGGAGGGGCAGCTCCGTGTCGTACTCGACCTCGACGACGGCGATGGACCGGCCGATGAGTATGTTGCTGAGCGTGCCGCTGCGGCCGATGGCGCCCATGCTGTAGTCGTTGCGGCTGAGGTTCCACGTGGCGAAGCTGCCCTCTGTCGCGCCGTAGAACTCGGCGATAGTCTTGATGCCGAAACGCTCCTTGAACTGGTTCCACACGTCCGGGCGCAGGCCGTTGCCAAACGCTACGCGCACGTTATGCTTGCGGTCGAGGCTCTCGCCCGTGACGGGGTCGCTGCGGGTGGGTGCGGACAGCAGGTAGCGGCAGGTCTCGCCGACGTACTGGATGATGTTGGCGTTGTGTTTCCGGACGTCGTCCCAGAAAGAGCTGGTCGAAAACTTGCGGCTCATGGCAAAGGTGGCGCCGACGGAGAGCGCGTGGGCGAAGCCAAGTAGCATGGCCGTACTGTGGTATAGCGGCATCGCCTAGATGGTCGAGTCAGGCAGCGTTCAAGCAGCGCATGTGTGAGGTGTTCTGCTCGGTCAACGCGAAACTCACCGTGTAAAACACGTCGTTCTTCTTTGTCCCGATCCAGCGAGACGTGAACCCACCGACCACGGCTATCTTGGCCCACGACACTATCGCAGCCTTGGGCAACCCGGTTGTCCCGCTCGTGTAAATGAGAATGCCCATGCCGTCCGGCGTGACATTGGCCCGATCCTCATCTGGAGGGCGAGCCGCGTCATGCGACAACATCTGGGTCTCCGTCTCTGGAGTGACAACCTCGAAGCTCACTTGACTCAACTCCGACCGGACATCTTCCCCAACGTTCCCCGCGACCACGGGGTCGATCAAGACCAACCGGGCCTTCGCCTTCTTGACGCAATGCGCCAGAGGCTTGCCGGTCAGGTTGTAGTTGATCAGGGCCGGCACAGCGCCGAGGGCCCAGAGCGCAAAGAGTAGAAAGACAAAGGTGTCGGTGTTCTGGAAGTCCAGAGCCACCATCTCGCCCTTATGGACACCGCGTCGCTTTTTCAGCCAGTCGGCATACCGCAAGATGGTATCGTAGGCTTGGGCATATGTGTAGGTTTTGTCCTCAAAGCGCAGAAAGACGCGGTTTTCGGTGGACTTGGACGTCGCCAGGTCCTCGAGGCGGTAGAAAAAATTGAGACGCCCGCGGTTCTTCCACCAAGCCGTCCTCGCAATCGTCGGGATGATGGAGGCCAGGAGGTTGAGGTCGTAGGAGAACAGCGTTTTGGCGTTGAGATATGCCGCTGCGGCGGCTACAGCCGGCAAAGTAATGGAAAGAGGTAGAGGCGCTATAGGAATCAGTCGAGGTTCGATCGACGACATGCACGGTAGAGCACTTACAAGGAGCCATTTTCAGTCCAAAAGCGATGAACAAGGCTAGTTACCTACAGGCACCACCCGAACTTAGAAATTAAAGATGGAAAACAAAGGCCAGCCTGCACTATCAGGTGTCAATGATGGGGATGGGGATAACAAAGAGGCACGATGCTGAAGATGGAGACTGATGAGAAAGGGAATGGCAGGTCTTCACAGTTCACACACGAGTCGTAGTTGAGCCTCGGCTGTTTCCAGGTTTGGCATCTTGTCGAATGCGCCAGGTACACTGCAACAAAGACACCAGAAACAGGGATCAGGACGCGAGAAACGGTACCTTACGTTATCACGATTCCAGATCGGCACCGTGCTGCTCGGGATAGGGCGCTGGAACTACTTTATACAGGAATGCGCACCCGATAGTTACCTAGCGGGACGCCGCTCAATTCATCAATGTGGCTTCCGGAGAAAGACCTCACAGGCTTACACGGGCTCCCACAGCAGCCACGTCGGCCATGATTGCACGGTTGCGAGTACCTACGGTGCCGTGCTGGGCAGTTGCGCAGTGCGTCGGGGCATGCAATATAAGCCTTATCGGGCCCGATGAATACCTTTTGCCTTATAGACGTCGATGCCGCAGCAATCAGTTGACTTTCGAGTTGTTGGGAACAGTGTGTCCATCGGGTTGCGACAGTAACTTGGTAGCCATATGCCATGTGCTGAACTTCAGACGGCACACAGGAGCGGAAAGAACTTCGATTCAGGGATCCATTTGAAGTGGGGCTTACGGGGTATTGCCATAAGCAAGATTTCGTTATGCCCGTGTCGGTGTGCAACGCTGCATGCACTGTATTCAACTCGGAGTGGATTCGTCTTTTCGTGCCAGGGTCCGCCGAGCAGGGCAGTCAGGAACGGGTCGTTTGCGGCGTGACCTCGACTTGATGGATGGGCAACCCGCTTGCCCTCGCCATGTCGACTCAACAACCGCCTGATAATGGCGCGGCAAATCTCGAGAGTTCATCAACCAGTGCGATAACACTGAGCAACAACGATGGAGTGCAAGGCAAAAAGCAGCCACCGCCCGAAAAGCCGTCCGACATTCGACGGCGCAGCCACATCATTCTCTCGTTCTGGCTGATCGTGCTCTGTCTCGGGCTGCCAATATGGTGGAAAACGACGACAATTTACAGGGCTGACCTGCCCCTGCAAGAGATGCTAGATTGGTCGGACGGAAAGGCATGCTACCGACGTCTCATCTCTCCATCGCGGGCCCTACTGACTGCTTGCCCTAGGCCTGCCGCCCCGTCTTCCCACTGCACATATCCATCCAGGCCAACGCGCTCCAAGAGCACGAAGCTCAAAACCTCCTTCGGCTCACCCAGCATGCGCTCGACGACCTCAATGACTTTTCCGGACACCATTTGCGTCTGCAGTTGGCTCCGCCATCAGCCGCCGGACACTACGACCGCGACAGCGTCTTGACCATCCGCCTGGCGCCTGGCGAGACAACGACAGCCAAGTTCGACCCGCATGAGCCGGTCCTTGATATTACGTATCCGTCAAACGGTATCCCCTCGCCGACCTCTTCCTCTTCGCCTCTTGCCACGTATGTAGCCGGCCAGCTGCGGTCAGCCTTTGCCGAGGAGCAGGCCGCTATCTCGTCCCTGCTGTCCGCCAATTCCATTCCTTCCGACCACCGGCCGCAAGGATTCTCGCCCGACGCCTCGGATGCGCTTTCTAAACGCCCCGCTCGGTCGCTGAGGTACGCGCCGACATACCACCTGACCTTTTCGTTGTTTACGAGCGGGCCGTTGCCGAGCAGCTGGGATATTGAGGGGGCCATCGACCAGTACATGAAGCCGGTACTGGACATCCTCTCTCCCATCCATAACTTCACCATAGACACGCAGGTGCAGCTGTACGCGACGCCGGGGGTTCAGAACGAGGTGCTGAACAAGGAGGACCTCTCATCTTTCATCAATGCCGCCGAGTGGCCGCTGTCACCGTCAATTGGGGGTGCACCGACCATCAACTTTATCGTATTCGTCGGAAACCAAACGATTGCCACGCTATCGCAACAGAGCCCAGGCGAGGGCGACGACGCCCCCGCGTCAGCGTCTCACTCATGGCTGATCCCGCAGTGGGGCACAGTCTACCTGCTTCCGCTGCCCCACGACACGACACACCTCCCAGCGTCGGCGCTCAAACAGCCCCTCCTGGCCTTCACCTCGCACCTGCTCTCGCTCACCGGCATCCCACAATCCGGCTCTCTCCCGCTGCGCCTCTCCACGCTAGCGCGCATCCGCTCCGCCGACCTCCTCCTCCGCGCCTCCTCGACCCTCGGCTCGCTGGCGCGGCTCGCCCTCGCCCTCCCGTCCATCTCCATTCCGCGCAGCGTCGCCGACGGTGTGGCCAAGACTATCAAGCACTTGCGCCTGGCGTGCGAGTCGCTCGGCGAGCCGGAGGGCCTGGCGCACGCGCGCATCGCCGAGGCCGAGGCGGAACGCGCGTTCTTTGAGAAGAGCATGGTCGGGCAGCTGTATTTCCCCGACGAGCACAAGATCGCCGTGTACCTGCCGCTGCTGGGGCCCGTGGCCGTGCCGTTGGTTATGGGGCTGATTAATGAGTTGAAGGCGTGGAGGAAGCGGAGGTGGGAGGCGGCGGAGGCGGGTAAGGGGAAGAAGATGGAATAAGTAGCTGAGAGGGTAATGGATGGGTAGTAGGCGTTGGGTTGTGCACCTTCGCGAGTCTGGCTTGTTACTAATAGGAAAATAACGTTATACAACTCAGTAATTGAATACTCCTGTTTACCTTTTAGTGTTGCTGTCTCTTTTCCAGGGTTGTTCCATCAGCATACAATACACCCCTCGAAATAATGCTAGCGAGAAACGACGGACAGTGTCACCCACCAGCACATCAGGATCCCCACCTTAGATAGCTATCTACTCAATGCTGCCCCGTAGCATAAGAGAATCGAGGATAGAGGAAGCTTACAATCATTTCTCAGTCAAGGCAACTATTAATGTGGTAAATAGCTGTCCTACCGTGTACTCTGACTTCTTGGAGGATGTGTCATCAATGTCGGACACTAACGATAACTCCAGAGATGGCTATCGGGGCCCTGACTAGACTCGCACCTTTCCTGTGATGATATCCGCCCTTCGTGCCTTCCAAGTCCAATGAGTCCGGTTGGGAGAGCGTCAGACCCGAGTAAGTTGAACTTCCTGGTTAACGACATGATGCGCTACTGCGTATCAAACGGGGTTCTTCCGCGGACCGCGGTATACTAGCGAAGTCGTACCATGTTTGCCTTGATAGGCAACCGTTACGGTTTCAGTTTAACAGAGCGGGTTTAGCTCAGTTGGGAGAGCGTCAGACTGAAGTAAACTTTAGGAAATCAATCTGAAGGTCGTGTGTTCGATCCACACAAACCGCACTTTTTAAGGTTTTATATACGCTGGTATTAAACATCTCAATTGTCTTAAGTTAACTAAGTTAACTTAACAGTATTCAATTTTAATCACATCCAATTTGTATCCGTACACTTATCTTATTTTCCTTAGCTTTTGGACGGTTTTCTCTTCTTCTTGTCTTCCCAGCTCACACTATAACTTCTTGGTTAACTTCCAAGTCCGACTACCAGGACTTTCCGCCCTCTCTTAAGGAAGCCCTTTGCCTGCGGCGCCAAATCTTTCTGTGGCATTGACGCTTCTGCGATGATGACGCCTCTGCAGCAACGATTGTGAGTGTAGGTGGATGTGATAATCAAGCAGGGCTAATCGTGGCTCTGGGGACGACCTCAAAACCGAGCTGGTCGTTCAAGACCAAACATCGTCGTTCAAGCGAAGGTTCAACAGACTTCTGCTCTCCTTTTGATTCATTCTTTCCTCTTACCGTCCTAAATATCTATAAATTTTCATCCTTCGTTAAATTTTCCTTAGTTGTATACTTCTCGTTGTAACTATTTCCTTTCCTTTAGTACTCTTTCTGTTCAATTTTCTTGAGTGTTTTCGTGTTTTCTATTCTAACCAGTTCTATTGCATTGCTATCAAGCTCACATGTACCAAGTAGTTGTGCAAGTAATTCCTCGGACGCCATGGTTGCCAGAAACTCTGACCTTCTCAAGATATCTGTCGACCTAATAGCCTGGAACAATTCGGAGGTCTTCGGTTGCCGTTTGACAGAAGATATCAAGGTGTTCCTACAGGCCTCCGAGACGGATGGAGACTTTGAGAGTTACGAGGTGGTATCTCACAGTTGGTGCTGGCATTGTTGACATCACGTTCTTCAAACAATACGGGCGATCCGGAGGCGAGCTGCTAAACTTGGAAAAATACAGCAAAATCGCGGCAGTTCTTATATGAATGCGACCAGTTGGCCAGGGGTTGGTGTGCTCGGCCCCCAACTTCCCAGGGGAAGGATCCGGCGATTCGCGCTAGTTAGCGCCGCGCGCCTGTGGCACGTCCTTGATGCAAAAAGCCTGTCGCGACCAATTCTTCCTCTAACGTTGATCACACCTCGCTATCGTCTGTTGATCGGCCCTTCAACGAGCAGAATGGGACTGCAGCTGCTGGTGGAACCACTATTCGGCGGCGCGCTGATAGGACGGGGGTCGTGGGATGGACGCCTGCTCATCACCGCGGCTATCGCCGTCTTGCTGCCGTTCATTCTCACCTACATCGTGACCAGTCTCAACGCCAGTTGGGTCACGAATCGGGGCAACGGCAATCCGCCGGCGGCGCCGTACGCGGTGCCGGTGCTCGGCAACACCTCCCAGTTCGCCTACGACACGGAAGGCTTCATTACCCGGACACTGTGGGTTCACGAATATTCCACTTTTTTCCAACCGTTCTCACCCATCGTTCCAGGCGCCGCTTTGGCAGCGTGCCGTTCCGCCTTAAAGTCGGGCTCGAAACCATGTACTACATCCCTTACGGCGAGCCGGTGCAGGCCATGTTCAAGCACGCGCGGGATCTGTCGATGAAGCCCATCATCATCGTAGCCATGCGAGACCAGTTTGGTATGAAACCCGCCGACGTGGCCGTCTACGAGCGCGACGGCTCCGGCGACATGGCCAAGCCGCTGGAGGGCTGGGAGCACATGGACCCGGCCCACCGCGTCTTCTACCACCAGCACCACGATCTCAACGCCCACCTCAGCGGCGTCGCGCTCGGCGCCCTGATGGCGCGGTTCAAAGCCAACTACACCTCTCAACTGGCGACGACGGACCAGGCCGGCGAGCACTGGACCGAGCTGCCGGACCTGTACTCCTTCCTGCGCGACCACATGTTTCGCGCGTCGTGCGGCGCCCTACTCGGCGAGCGCCTATTCGAGCTGTGTCCGGATTTCAGCCGCGACTTCTGGGAGTTTGACAAGCATCTGATCACATACCTCCGGCGCACGCCGCGCTGGATGGCTCCTCGGGCGTACGCCGCCCGCGACCGGGTGCTGGCGTCCATGAAAAAGTGGTACACGCACGCCAGGAGCCAGCTCGACTACCGAGACCCGACGCTGGCGGGCGTAGAATACGAGCCGGTCTGGGGCGCTCGCCTGATGCGCGCCCGCGCCGAGAAGTTTGATAAGGCCGGGTTCTCCCTCGACGGCTGCGTCAGCATGGACCTGGGATTCGTGTGGGCGGGGACTGCCAACGTGATCCCCGCGACGCTGTGGGTGTTGCTGAATGTGTTGCTTTCGGAGAACCTGACGGGACGCGTCATGGCCGAGGTGGAGGAATGCCTTGACGAGGCGACGGGGTTGTTCGACGTGGCGGCGCTGTGCGGTAAGCCGTTGCTGAACGGCCTCTACCTCGAGTCCCTGCGCTACTGCGCCGCCACCACGTCGGCGCGTAACCCGGTGGTGGACAACTTCAAGCTCTGCGGCTGGAGCATCCCGCGAGACGCGCTGATGATGTCAATCGTCTGGTTCGGTGCGCATGACCCAAACTTCTGGAACGCGGGCCGCATTCTCCCCAGCGGAAAGCCGGAACACCCCGTGGACACATACTGGGCCGAGCGTTTTCTCGAATACCCCGACGATCCGGCAAGCGGTCCCGTGCGCAAGCCCAACCACGCACTCTACACATCGTCATCTTCCGACATTAGGCCGGAGAAGACGGCGCAGGACGACAAGACGGCGAAACCAATCAGCCACACGGCCGCCCTGCAGGGCCATTTCTACCCCTACGGAGGCGGCAGCCGGATCTGTCCCGGACGGCACCTGGCCAAGCAGGAGCTGCTGGTCGCCGTGGCTGTCATGATGCGCGAGTTTGAGATTGAACTGTTGGATCCTGTGTCGGCGCGGCGGGCGAGGCCGGATATGAGGGTGTTCCCGACGGGTGCAATGGGCCCGGATCGGAAGCTCCCCATCAGGATAAGGAGAAGAACGAGGTGAAAGACCGGCAAGTGGACGGATGTACAGTTAAGGCGAGCTCGAGACGAGTGATGTGTAATGACAATGCAACCTCGTTTTGTTTGTTGGCGCGCAAATCAGGGGAAGGACTACTTAGCTGCAACCTCCATCTTCGGTACGACGACCAAGTCACCATCCTCCATTCGGTCAGTCCCACAATACGCCCAAACAACAGTTCGGTTTTTCAAAAGTTATTGATTTGAAGTGAAGAAAACAGTCATTCGACAGATGACATCTCGCCGGCAGGACTCGAGCGAACGGGTTTGCTCATGATAACATAGTCCGGGGTGAAGACCTTTCCGTGCCGGAGCTTCCTTGGGCTGGGTGATATATCGTCTTTTTCAAACCCCAATTTCCTGTAGAAGTCGAGTCCCCGTTGATTCGACAGGAAGCACGTCAACATGACCTTGGTGATGGGTGGCAAGTTGGAGGCAACGTTTGAATGAAAACCCATGAGCAATGTGCCCAGTCCCGTCCTGTGTTCTGGATCAGTTCAGGCTGTCTTTGAACTTGGAGGGCCTGGATACGGTACCGCTGGAGGTCTGGCTGGAGATGGATCTCGTAGCAGTAGATGACCGGTTGACCCTCCTCGTAGGTTGGCATGAACGATGTAAACCCGCGAATGGTTTCGGTGCCCTTCTCCTTCACCAAAATGTAGCGCAGCTCGGGCGACCTCATCTCCTTTAGCTTCTTGTCTGGGTGCCATTTTGCGGCCGATTTCTCGTAGTCTTTCCGGCTTGTCAACTCAACCAATTGAAAACAAGCCATGAGGTCGTCCTCTGAGAGACGACCCGACTGCGCCAGGCTAATGGTGTATTCAACCCCCGTCCGTGGATGAATCCACGCTGCCACCCATGGTGTTTCATCGGACCTGGGTAGCCAGAATGGCAGAGGACATGTTAGTCAAGTGACACATCAACTAATCACCCAAGACCATTCCAGGGTGGACTTGACAGAGAGTGAGCACTGACTTTGATGGAAAATAATCAGCTATGAATTGCTCGTCGGTCTTGCGGTTAGCCAGCTCCAAGGGGCCTGTCGGTGCTCTTTGACGTTTTGGCTTCATTTTCGGCCAAGTCCCAAGACCAACGACTTGAAGACCTCAAAGAGAATGGAGGTGAGGACACGGTCTGGTCGGTAGATTGGGATGGCGGGAAGGGTTGGGGTGTTGTTGCGGGGCTTATCGTGGGGTTTTTTTTCAGCGCGCCAGGAACTGAAAGAATCAGGAGGGTACGGATGAATGCCAACAACGAATTCAGGGAAGTTCTCACAATCCCTTCCTCTATCATCAACTTGAAATTCGACGAAGGCTGCCTTTCAGTCCCGCATCCCACAAGTTCTGCGGCCCGGCCGGCCATACCGAAAGCGGACAGGGACATGGACATTCCTGCCGACTATCGCTCTCCGAGGCTGAGGCCCTGAGGGATGAGACGTCCAACTGCATGCATTGGATGCAGAACGCACCGGCCGTCACAGCACTCTTACAGCCCCAAGCGGCCGTACAGCAACGCCGTGCGAATTGAATGGAGCGCCTGACCGACGACTCCAGAGTTTGACACTTGAGTCCCCCTTGTTTATCGTATCGACACATGCGTCTCATATAGGCCTCACAGCTGTTGGTCAACGGTGATTCAGACAAAGGAGGCGCCTCGCCGAAGCGAACCCCGCCATGAGATGTATCTGCGCACATGGCGGCACAGTCCTCAGATGGGGCCGTGCGCGTGCACACTTAAACGCTGCTCATGGTGACGGATTCCTTGCGGCATGATGGCGGCCTCACTCTGGATGGGTGGCCCAGGGAAGGGTTGGAAACACTTTAAGCAGTGGAATTCGCCCCTAAAATCCCAGTACCCAATCTAAGTACACCATATCTAAGGTGCCTACGCTGGTCCTGCATCACTCGCCCTTGCCCTAGGCTCCATTCCATACCTTGCTTCGCCATGTCGGGAACGTCAAGACCGGTCACTTCCGCCTTTCGCTTCAGGGGATTCGAGAATTCAAACCACGCTTCACGTTCGTTGATTACTGGGTCAGCGTGACCAACTCTTCTCCAGGGCCGCTCTCGGGCGTATCTGGCCGGCAGCACCTGACGGCCCATCGTGGCCCTTCTCCAAGCGCTCCGCGAGCAAGTTCGGCAAGGCCTCATTATCGCTTCGGCGATACCGCACAGCATCCGTTCACCTTGACAGACGGGTAGATCAAGCCGAGGCCGTCACCCTCGCCTCTTGACCGACTAGGCGACCTTGGAGAAGCCCTGCCGACCACCGTACATTCACAACCATCGAGTGACTCGAGATCTTCCATTTCTCATCCTCAGAGCTTCCCCTAGCCTGCCGAGGCAAATCATGAAAGAAAACAGAACCCAGAGTACCTCACGGCCCGTCGTGGAGTCCGGAACACGACGGGACGCAACTCGCCCGCTGTCTACAGCTTTGGCCAACAGGAGCCCATGGAATTCTCCCTGCGGCTGCTCCTTAATGCATCGCCGTTACCTACTTGCGGGCCATCTCCCCAGCCAGCTGATAGCTCGGCGTTAAGTATAACCCCCTCCCCCCCCCCCCAAAAAACAAATCTCGTCGAACCATAACCGTGTCTCTGATGCCTCTTTTGTCTCGGATCCGGATGAACACGCCGCCCCATACGACTTGTGTGGCGAGACGGTTCCAGCCCATCCTTTCTTCGTCCCTGAGTTCCAGCCCGCTTTCCGGGAGGGACCGGGGATCGCAAGAGGCACCCAGGCCCAGGTGGAGAGACTGGTCCGTCTCGTCGGGAATGACGGCGACCTGAAGAAGCTGCTGAATGACGCGAACGAGTTGTGCGCATTCCAGGGATTTGATACGAAGACCATTGCTGTGCTAGGGGAGTCCGGGATGGTGTGCTAAACCACAGACAGCTCACCTTGTTGCCTTCCAGTCTTGATGCTGTTTCATGTGAGTGAGTATGCTGACCGCCCGGCAGGGAAGAGCAGTCTGATCAATTCTCTGCTCGACTTCCCTGGCATCGCCAAGACGGTAGATCCTTAGCTTCACATCCGTCTTCTTTGCCTTGAGTAGCAGGCTGTTCTGGCTGTGGGGTTGCTCCAGGGAGACACCAGGTCGGCATGCACCTCGGTCGGCACCGAGTACATGCAGAGAACGATGAAGCACACGGCGCCCATCGAGCACTTGTCATCGTCAGCGCTTGAGGAAGTCGTTGCCGAACTTCTGTGGAATTCCAGGCATGTCTACCTCCCAGGAGTTAAGGACCAAGGCCCGTCAGTTGATAACTTCCACCAACTCCGGCGTGAGTCGGCTCAGACTTGGGCAACTCTGGTGCCTGCCGCGTTTCAGCGAGGGTATGTTGCGCGACATGTCCGAGGGCGCTGCGGAGAGGATCAAGGCGCAGTTGCTCGAGTGGTCGCATGACATTCAGCGGCCTGACGGTGCTGAGGGCGGGCTGCAGCGGTTGACTGCTAACAGCGCAGAGGAATGTGCTGATGCCCGTGGCGGACCAGGAGGAGTCGCGGGAGCTTCTACAGGGGATGAGGGCGCTTAATGAGAGGGTCCGTGAGGTGTTGCGCCGCGGGGCGCTCAGGGGAGTTTGAGTACGGATCCGTAAAGCGGGCAGAGGTAATGCCAACAACACCAAAACGTTCAAGTCACCTTGCCAGACTCTGGTCTGAGGGCATGCCAGCGCTCTGACCAACCTGCATACAAATGGCCCGGTCGTGACGCAGCTTTCATCCCAACTCACCCGCCTGCTACGTCTTCCCCTAGTACCACAACCGCCCTATATGTATTACAGTAGATCTAGTTTCTTCCTGTCACGAGGAGATCCTACCACTTGACCATGATCAAGTGGGAAGGGCGTGGGCCGTGGGTTGTGGGCTACAACCCCTCCCATTAGATCCAGATTGACTCCCTGGAGCTTGGCGGTTCGATCCCTGGCTGAACCGCCGCCCCAACCGCCGTCCTTACGAAGTAAACCCCCCAATCAGGGGGATTTCGTGGCCACTGACCTCCGCAAGGGGGCTTGGTGGTGAGCTTTTTGTGTTTTTCTTTTCTTTCTCAGGTATCCTAGCCAAATCTTGCAGAGCTTGTGGCGGCTGTTGATCGAGGGGATTAGCTTAGGAGGTACTGTAGCATCGAACTCTAGGGTTGCAAACCTAATGCATCCAACTATTGTCCTACTATATCGTACTTTTTTCGCTCATAAAAGAGAGGCAGGTGGGCGGGGTGTTTACTTTGACAATTCACTTGTTGAAACCCCCTGAACATGGCACCATGCCCGCTGTGGACTACCATAGCTCCCCCTGGGTGGGGCTACCATGAAGTCTCGCAGCTGCAGCGCGTCTTTTGCCAGCCGAAATCTCAGCTTGGACGGGGCGAGCAGTTCAACATTCATGGCATCCAGTCCTCTTATCAGATTTGAGCATTGGCAGCCCTGGATGATTCCTACCCAAAAACGGACTCTAGTTTGCGCTTTACTTTTCGAATCCCTTCTAAATTCCAGCCATATTTGATGCGCCCTCTCTCCTTGTCGTGGCGGTCTCTTCGCACGTATGCGACTGACCGAAAATCTCGAATCGGTCCCGTGCTGAGCCTGGAGCATGTAAGTCGAGCCCACTACAAGCCATAACCTATTGGTGTGTAGATTGTCTTTAACCCAAGACAATCCCAGTTCGTCCAACGGGCACGCGCACTCGCCTTCTACCGCTCCATCCTCCGCAGCACGCGCCACATCGCCGACCCCCAAACCCGCGCCGAGACGCGCAAGTTTGTGCGGGACGAGTTTGAGCGGCATCGAGGCGTCACGGATATTGTGAGTCGTTCTGCTGCAGTTCGAGAGAAGGAATTGGCGCTGCTGACCCGGGAGGAACAAAGGACCATATCCGCTACCTCTTGTCGACAGGCAAGACGGAATGGGAGAGCATGGAGAGGTATATTAACGGCTTGTAGACCAAGACATTACAGTAAAACAAAAGTCACTAGGCGGCCGCTGGTCATTTGTATAGGGCTGGTTATTTGGCGGCCCCGTTGTTTTTTGCCCATGCGTGTCACATCCCGTTCCTTGTGTTTTCCACCGGGGTCACGTTGAGCAGTGATATTCTCCGTGTACTCGTCGCTTGCTGGATGAGTCGAGTCCCGTCGATGCACATGAGTGCTCTCTGCTCCGTCTTCCCAGCCGTGTCTCAAACCAGTCTATGCCCCAATGCGAACTATCGTACAAGAGCCGCAATTCACTGGTATCAGAACAGCTCTCTTTCCGCCGCGGCAATCGACTCCATCTATTAGCCCTGACGCTGCTTGTGCCTTGGGTTCGCCGGGCATATAATGTATAGATAGCCGTTGTGTCGTTTGCTCGCTTTCCGCCGGACGACCTGCAACAATCAGCACCTATTCCGTGAAGTACACCTGCTCCATCTCTTTGATTCTCGGCTTGTTTTTACCTTGCAATGCTCGCACCGCTTCTTGATGGCGCTGCGCACCTTCATCCCCCGGGCCTGCTGCTTCTGGAACACGGCCACGCCGCTCTGCGCAGCGGGGGCGGCTATAAGACTAGCCGTCCTGCAAGTGGCATTTGCGAGCACGGCCTGCGACAGACACCGGGAGGTCTGGATCGCGGGGAGTTGTATGGTCGGCCGGGCTGATGAAAGGGACAGAGCGCGCATCGACGAGGCGAGCGACTTGGTTGCAGATGCGGCTGACCGCATGATATGCGATAGGCTCGCCATTGTTGGGAGTTGTGTGTTTTGCAGCGTGGACGGCCGCCCGGGGGTGGTTTGGCTCGCTTTTGGGGGTCGCTCGCGGTCGTCGTCGGGTTTGGAGGGAATTGATGGCGCCGAGATGGATTCAACAACCAATCGAGAACAGCGGGCCCAATTGCGAATCTTGGCATTATCACGTGCTTGGGTCTGCGACTGTTTTGGGAGCAGAACCCTAACCCTCTCTTTTCTCTGTTGCCTGGCATCTTGAGCAGTGAGAGCTTTCCAGTTTCTGAACCCAAGCGGCGTTCAAGGACTTCTGCTTGGGGAAGTCTGTATGCTACTAAAGAAGGTAAGGCCGTCGCATGGTGTCGGGTCTACCATTGACCTTCTCTCCAGCATGCCAGTGGTGCAAGAGCATATAGCAGACACCAAAAAGCTCTCACCGAAGCCACCACCACCCACGCTCCAAATCTTGTATTCCTGATCAAGGTCCAATTCTCCCAGAATGCCACCCAATCTCCTCGCCCTCGAAGGACACTTCTTCTCCACCGCCGTCCCGCCCTCCCTCACATCGCACTACGCCGAGCAGCTCCGGTACGTGCTTGATTTCAGGATTTCGATCATGCCGCTCTCAAAACAACCCAGGACTGACCCTTTTCACCAGAATTATTGTACAACATGCCATCGATGAACGGTATAATTCGGAGGTCAACAGCTACTTGTAGCGCCTCGACCCAGGTAGCTCCGCAATATGCCCAGGGGGAGTAGAGGCTTGAGCGTGTACCTGCATACAGTGGTCATACGTACACGCTGACCCTTTCCTACAGTCACTGCCATCCCGGCAGGGGGCCCGTTTTGGATGCTTGTACGGGCAATCCAGGTTGTAGTCAGGGCAGCTCCATCGATTCGGACACCATTCTGGTGTGGACGTGCTCGCTTGGCTCAAGCTTGATACAACTTCTTCAAGTCAGACGTAAATCGTACACAAGTACTTATTCATCACAATGAGATACTCACCAGTGACCAGTGTCGGCGCGAGATAGGATGAGGTCGTGCTTGAGGCCGCGGATCCTCGCCCCCAATCTTCGCTCTGCTCGCTTTGGACGGGTTGTGTTTGAGCTGTCAGCGTGCTCCAGTAGCTGTTATTGGGCTGAGGTGGAGGTCGAGGCCATGGATGGGCCTTTGAACACCCCGAGTTGATCCTGGGGCAGTTTAGGCCATTGTGACAATGAGGCGACTTGGGGTGCCATTTGGTACACCCTGGCACGCAGCAGTTTTTTCCAACTTCGCAGTTGGGTGCCCAGGGATGATTGTTTTTTCGGTGACAGGATGGCTCTCGACATCCAGACCCGCGAGGACACATCGGCTTCGTGCTCTCAACCCCAGCCTCCTGGCTCCCTGAAGTTACGCTTGCGCTTGAACTCCGCGTGAGTGAGACCTGTGAGACAGCCAAACCCTGGGCAATTTGAACTGAAACATGGGATCCGAAGGTCGGAGCCGGCTGCCAGCGCTGGGTCGATTGGGCCCCTCGTGACTGCGAGTGCGGATTGACAATCGCGGTCTGCAACAGCTGGACTGTCTCGCGCAGTTGCGTCGTAGCATCACGCAGCGCTGCCGCTTCCCTTTCGAACCGTTTCTCGTCCAGTTTCCACTTGAGGCTATCGCCAAATCCCATCGTTTGGCCCGGGTATTTCTGGCGTATGTCGACCATACTCTTGAGCGCGGAGCGGCATGGCATGAGGTGTGCTGCTAGCGATGACTCATCGGCGACCTTTGCTTGACTGGTTTGGGAGGAGCAAAAGCGTTGGAAAACGTCGAGCTCGGAAATGAGAGCATTGGCGGCCCTTTCGCCGGGGTTGAAGACATCGGGAGCGCGAGAGAAGTCGGCGACAACAGAGCGCGCTAGAGAGAGTACATTGGGTACGTCGCACCCAAAGGGCATTGGAGACGGCGACATGATGAATTGGAGTTTGGACCGTAGATGATTAGCTCACCCGGTGAGTGCGTGATTCGTGGGGTGGGACAGGGAAGTTCTCCCAATCTCCATATGAGGAGAGGAAACATCTGAGGACTTTATTTACAGAGCCTTGCGTACATGTACCTACCCAGGCCGACATCGCCTCTACGTTGCGTGGTTATGCCCAGGGCGCGTACAGCGCTTCTTGCAGTGATGGACGGGAGGGGTAAAATGTGGCCCCGCGCCGTGGCTCACTCAGCTCAGTCGAATCAGCTTGTAGTTTGTTCGAGCCTCGCTCGCCTAACTAAGGTACTCTCGTTGGACGTAACCAGTAAGTGGCTTGTCAGGGCGCTTATCCGAGCTGAGCGGCATCCGGGTTGGCAGCAGGAGGGCTGAAGAACGATATTATTAGAATTCCACACCATTGGCTGCATATGTGAAGAGGGAAAGGGCATGATCAAACCATCTTGCGCGCGCAGAAGCCCAGAACTGGACGGAAATGCAATAGGTTCTTGGACAAGTCCTGTGCGACGCTTGTACATTACCACATGTGAACGGAATACGGATATTCCGAGCCCAAATAGATACAAGCTAGCCCTCCGGTGCTCAGCCATCCTGTTCAAGAGATCGGGGAAGCCGAAAATGCCGAGGCTCTCGGTATCAAATACCATAAGATACTATATGATCCCAGTTTCCAGCGAGCTAGGAGACAAGGGTAGACTATATCCGCATTGACCGTTGTCAAAATGGGTAAAAATAACACATAGTAATACTCCTCCGGGAAGGCTCGAACTTCCAACCTCCTGATTAACAGTCAGACGCGCTAGCCAATTGCGCCACAGAGGATTGACTTAATTTGTTAATCATTTTTAACTAATATAAAATTCAAACTCAATCAAGCTTTCAACGTAGTGTCAATGTTGTTCCGGCATATCAGCAAAGTTCTGTAGCAGCTTGGGAAATGTCAAAGTGATTTTGCTTTCTGTAGTTAGTAGAATTCAATAGCATACTGCAACTCAATTTTTAAGTGGGCTAACTTACTGATTCTGTTGATAACTCACTTAACAAACAGGTAACGTTAACGTTAAAGTTAATACGCATCAATTTTCGTCTACTAATTATGTCCCAACAATACAGACGATCTTTTTCTGCGCCGAGGTATCTCTTATACGTCAACTATCTTACCAAGTAGCACAAACTGCCACTAAGCTACCTTTCTTACTGGTAAAGAAATCAATGCCTGAATCGCCAGATCGTCAGATGACCCCCCCAAGTCACAACCCCCTAACTAGATAGCCCCGAGGCGATCCTCCTTAATCAAATCCGCCGCCCGCTCAGCAACAGCATACACCACACTTTGTATATTCCCAACCGGCTCAAGCGGGAACACGCTCGCATCAACCACCCTCAACCCCTTCGTCCCATACACCCTCAACCGCTCATCCACCACCCCTCCCTCCTCCCGCGGCCGCATCGCGCAGCTGCCTGCAACGTGAAACACCGAGATCTGCCGCTGCCGAACAATCTCGCGCGCCGTCTCGAGCTTGGCATCCGCATCGGCCCGCAGCGCCGGCTGCCGCTTGCCGTCCGGTTGCTTGAGGATTCGTCCGAAGGGGGTAGCCGGGTCGACGATGCGCTCGACAAACTGCACCCCGCGCGCGAGCAGCTCCATATCGAGCGGATTGGCATTGTACCGCGGGTCCCAGAGGGGCGGGGCCTTAACGTCGGGACTGGTGACGTGCACGCTGCCGCGCGAGAAGGGCTGGTTGAGGATGGTCATGATGGTGATGTAGTTTTCGGGCAGTACGGGCGTGATGTAGTGGGCCATGCTGGTCGGGCGGTCGGGGATGGAGACCTGGCTGGGGAAGAGGAGGTATTGGAAGGCGGGCTCGGTGGGGGATTCGATGAGGCTGCGGATGATTTTGGCCTCGGGCGTGGTGAGGGTTGCTTCGTGCTCCGAGAAAAGGGCTGCCTTGGCTTCGACCGAGGCGATGCCGGTGCCGTCAACAAGGGGGGCATAGGCTACGCTGATGATGCTTTGGCCGAGCGGGCCGGCGCCGCCCGACCGGTACATACCCATCAATGTCTGGAGGACGTTGGGGTCGCGCAGGACGTCGCCTGAGGGCACGCCGTCGGCCACCTCGAAGCTCTGGCAGACGATGGGATGGTCCTGGAGATGCTCGCCGACGTTGGGATTGTCGACGATGACGGGAATGCCGTGCTTCTCCAGCAGGTCCCGGCCGCCGACGCCAGACAGCTCGAGGATCTGGGGTGTTTGCAGCGCGCCGGCCGCGAGGATAACCTCGGTGCGGGCTGAGACTTGTCTCTTCTCGCCATCCTTGGTGATGATCTCGACGCCCGTGGCAACGGCATCCCCGCCGCTCATTGTGTTAAAGAGGATTTTGTTCACTAGGGTCTCGGTCAGCACCACGAGATTCGGCCGCTTGGCGACTTCAGGCGCGTAATAGCCGGTGCAGGCATAGCTTCTGGTGTGAGTGACAGGGTCGATGCTCGCGTGGTTCTGGAAGGCACCCAGCGCCTTTCCATCACGGGGGTCGCTCGAGATACCAAGACCAAGGTCGGCAAACGTCTGCATCCAAGCCTTGTTTGTCACACCATAACCCTCACTGAACGAAACATGAATAGGCCCGTCCCCCTTGGCCAGGTCCTCGTTGAGGTAGGTCAACCCAAGTAAGTTCTTGGCGGACTGAGGTGGCGGGTGGACAGTCGCAAATTTGCGAAAGTAGGGCGTCAGCGCGTCATAGTTCCAGCTCGGGTTGCCCAGAGCAGCCCACGCGTCGATGTTGCCCTTGGGCGGGTACATCAGCATCAGAAAGTTCAAGCCCGAGCTACCGCCCAGCATCTTGCCACGAGACTGGTTGATACATCGGTCTTTCAGGGTCGGCTGTTCTGCGTATTTAGCTGCTGCTGGTTGCCTCCAATAACGGGGTTGTTGTCGGATGCTGCTGACCTGCGGCGGCGAGAGGAAATTCCAGTCGTACTCCTCCTTGCCATACAGAGCACCGGCCAAGCCCGGGGTGAGGACCAAGGGGTCAGCGGTGCGATCAGCCCCGGCTTCGACGACGAGAACGCGGACATCGCTGTTCTCGGTGAGACGATTGGCGACGACCAAGCCAGCCGTACCGCCGCCGACGACAATGTAATCAAACGGCTGATCGAGGGAGCTAGCAGCAGCCATAACGGGAAGTTTCTGATAATCTGACTGGCCAGTGTGTCGGACAAACTTGGAAATGAGGATGCGAGTCGGGGAACACAAACCCAGGTCCGTCCCGGCTGATCGCTGAGGGTGAACTACTTGTGGGAGACTTGGAAGGGGTGGTCAACGTCGAGGTTCAGAGCGGCCAGGGGCAAACCGGCATATACAGTCTGGAATCAACCGAACAAACCCCTTGCCCCCTCCCCCCTCCCCCATAACACTACCACCAGGTCTCCGGTCATCCTCAATTTTCCTGGCGCAAGAGGAGTCGCTCACCCCTTCGAAACTTGAGACCGGCAATGTACTCCTGGAAGGGCTAAGCGGTGGCTTTCTGCAGTGACATTGTCACATTGCTCCAAACTTTGTCGAGGCAGATCATTTCCGTTTCATGCAGTAGCAGGGGTCGCCTGTTATACGTGTGCCTGGTATCAGGCGGGGACATATCAGGAGTCGGAGGATGCAGGCCATTCATTGTTTCCAATGCAACCTTGACAATCACGTTTGTCGAGGGCAAGAAAGACTGAAATCGAGATCCTAATGTATTTTCAAATTACGACACGCTTGTTTTGAGCTCAATGGACTCGGGGTCGCCAAGTGCTGAACAACTTGATTCAACCTGAGGTTTCCAGGTTGATTTGCAGACGTGCCCTGATTTGTGATGGGATTTGCAGATTTCGCGAGTGCACGGGTGGGGTTTCCGCGCCTTCCATAACCGGCAACGACCCGGGGTCCCCGATTCGCTTAACGAATGTGCCGGTGGAGTTTCAAAACGCCACCCCCCGGAAATCAGTTCGCTTTGGGGACCTCCAACGGCTGCAGATGCGGATCCGACCAGAAACTTGGTGAACTACACAACAAATGCTGCGGAACACGAGAACCGTTGACGATCCAGAAAAAAAATTAGCAAAATAGTATGCGCAGTATTACGGGCTGAAGGGAGGTGCGCAGATCTTCACCCGCAATGAGGTTATTTTCCCGCACAGATGCCACGCTAACGAAGCACATTCAAGGATGCAACGTTGAGCTCGGCACTTCTCCGAGAACCGACATTCAGGGTAGCATCGGGAAAGCTTGTCCCCTTGTCCTGAAGCAGGCATTCTTCCCGGAGATGAACCCTGGTTGAACAAGGACGTTGTAACCCATCCTCTCCATCCTCGAAAGCCGACACGCTCGAACTTCCAGGTTGGCCTTCCACGCCACAAAAATACGCCTCCTCATTCGGGGTCGGCGCTATTGACACGCCAGCACGTTCCCCGCCCTTTCTTCCCGGACATGGCGGAAGCAGTTTCCGGGACAGGTCCGATGTTACCTCTGTGTAGGGTCCAGGGCTGTCTTGCTCACCTATCGAGTCTCGAAGCTCAGTACTTGGCGGGACTTGGTCCCAATCCCCTGCGAGCGTTATGCTGATGACTTTGGGCTTCCCAAGCTAATATCTGGTCTGGATTTCCTTGCCGCCTGTTATATCTGAATCTAATAACGTTACATAATCGAGATGTTTCGTATTTTCTCTGGCCTGTGTTTGACGGCACTCTCTTGTGAGAACTAATTCAGGCCGTGTCTCTCCACAGCAGAGCAGCCAGGGGCATGCCATCCTTTACCGGTAAACTTATCAGATATCCTGGAGAAAAGCTGCAGCGCTTGCCACAGGAAACAATACCGACACCTTTCCCTTTGTTCCCGCTCCTTTCTATTTCTCTGAACTTCAAAAAGGATCATCACTCCAGGACGCCATTCATCACGTTTCGGGTGGACATGATAGGACCGTTGTATCTCGCCAACACTTCTACGGCTTTCCTCAGGTACTCTGCCTCGTCTTGGTGTCCTGGTCACTTATGCAGCCGCCGTGAGCAACCATTGGCATCAACAGCTCGCAGACGCCATGTTTGAATACGTCGAGTTCCCGCCTCAACCCATCGTCAAAGCACACCTCGTAATCAACTCGGTCCTGGCTCTTCTGACGGTAGCGGTAGTGGTCCTCCGCCTCGTGGCTCGCTTCCTGTCCGGCGCCGGGCTCTGGTGGGATGATTACCTCATCCTGTTCGCCCTGCCTCAGGGGCTAGGTATGGTCATCATTCAGGGAATGTGTGAGTATTCAGTTATCTCTCTCTGCAAATTCGTTAGCCTACGATTGCTAACATTTACCGTTTTCAGGGGCCCCAATGGGAGTTGGCTACAACATGCCCGAGACGCTACCGAACTTGGAGACGATTCTCAAGATGCTGGTCGCCTACGAGCTCATCTTCTCGACCACCATCAGCACCATCAAGATCAGCGTCCTGATTTTCTACCTCCGCGTCTTTGTGAACCGAAGCCTGCGCATAGCCACCAAGGCCACCCTGGTTTTTGTCATGCTCTGGAGCGTTGGTAATACCCTCCAGGTCTTCCTCATCTGCCGACCCTTCGCCAAGACGTACAGTCTGACCGTCGAGGGCGTCTGTGGTGACCAGATTGCCTCCTTTATTGCCATCGGCGCGTTCAACATCATCACCGACCTGATCATCTTGACACTGCCGCTGCCAACCGTCTGGTCATTGAAAATGTCGACACCGGCTAAGTTGGGTCTGACGGGCGTCTTCCTCGTTGGTTTGATGTAAGTTTCGTTGCATTTCCAATCCCTCAAGGCCTCGAAGTCAACGAAACGTCGTACTGACAAGCCTTTCAGTGTCAGCGTAATAGCAATCATCCGCATCGTTACCCTAACCCAGCTCGACCTGATGAACCTCACGGGGACCATGATCTGGGCGGATTTCTGGTCGGCCACCGAGCCCAACTTGGGCATCTTGTGCGTCAGTCTGCCCATGCTGGGCTCGCTCTGGTCACGCTGCGTTGCGACCCGCCGGGGCGAATCCAAGCTCGCATACCACTCTGAAAACGCCACCAACGGCAGCACAGGGTTCAGCAAGCTGAAGAATCAGAGTCAGATTGACGACTGTCAGGAGATCCCGCTGGAGAACCTCTACGCTGCCAACCAGGAGGTGCATTTCCAGTCGGCGGTCACGACGCGGGCGAACCCCGAGCTCGACTCGGATAGAGCTGCGGATACGGACAGGGACAAGGATACTGGGTCTGAGGTATCCCTGACGGATCGGGCGCACCACCGACATGACCCGGGTAACGGCATCAGGGTGCAGACGAAGTGGACCATCTCGCGAGACTGAGATGTCTGTTTTGGCGTGTGTATTCAAGGCACCTACATATCATGATATCCATCTGTCATATCCTTCTCTTATTGGCCGTTTCCCTTTGTCTTTGCTTCTACCTAATCAACGTGGCTCTTGTTTCTCCCTTCCAAGCCCTTCCCAGATCTGCTGTTCTGCTCGCCAGTGAGGAAGTTCCAACGAGTCCCCGGTTTAATGTCGTATGGCGGCGGACTGACGGGCGGTGGCTGAGGCTGCCAGATGCGTGAAAAAGGCCCCGACCAGATGAGGATTGGGATTTGCGAGTTTCCACAAGTGGGCGTCCAAGGTCCGATGCACAGGTCGCAGTCGCGCAGATTGCCGTAATCGCTGTGTTTCCGAACGCGGCTGGCCGATGGCCGTTGCAAAATAGTTCGGTTCCAAGGTCCGTGATTTTGGCGTGGAAGATAAACGCTTTGTCATTGTCTCCAGTGGCCGCGAACCCTCCTGCATAGTCACGCCGAATATAGTTTCTCCCTTTTTTCTCTACACACGCAGGTACCTTCAGCTTGAAGGTATTCTCGTGATGGGCTCGGCCATCACAGTTGTGATGGAGCTGTGGCCTCGAAGCGTGAGACACTGTCGTGAAGCAAGATTCTGTTTCGCAGGGCGTCTGTGAGCATGAGCGGTTTGCCCACGAGCTCCGAGCACCTGACAGTGGCCTCCGTGACCAGGACGACGCTGCCGGACGAAACCATCATGTAAGTGCCCATGGTAGACAACAAACAAGTGCAACTGTCACTTTCAAAGAAAGGAATCTGAGAGACGAAGCGAGAGAAGGATCTGTGGGAGCTGGATCGATTAAGCTATTGAGCACCTTTCAGGTTTGGAAACAGGAGCACATTTAAGAGCTCTCACGATTGAACCCTGCCAGTTTTGGATCAGCCTGGGTCACGGACTACTACTATAGTAACAATGAACTGAGCTTGATTGTCATGAGGCAGATAAAGTTCATGTTATACTCCGTACCGATTGCAACATCGGATGATGCAAGTGGGACGGACAACTTCCTAAGTGCTAGAAGTATTAAAAGAAGTTCAGCCCACACTACTCTAATCACAACAAACTGGTGTAGGTAGATATGGAAGAGAATAAGCTTGGTCCTAGATCAAACTTCGATTGAGATGGGAAATTGTGTGCTGAGGCGGCCTGAGTTCTTCAATGAGACGGCTAATAGAGATCTACATACCTAACGAGTCAGAACCCGAGGCTCAGGCCAGTCCAGCTCCCAGGAGTCTAGCTGCTCATCAAAGTCGTCACAGAAGAACCCTGCTGTTCGTTCATGAAAACATTTATCAGCTGCAACCTGGCCACCTGTTCCATGAAGGTTCATTTGATTCCCATTAAGTAATCGACCATTCAAGAGGGCTGTGAAGAAGATACCTTAGTTGTGGATCTAACATAATACGTACAGTGGGGGTCCAAAAGTCTGCGGCACCCCACATCAATTAAACGCGCGACGCGACGCGATGCTCAGCATCTTCAATCTTCCAACAAACAGAACTCCAACCCACCATGCTCAATTTGAACGAAATCGGTGCCAGATTGACGATCGGCCGTCAATCTGGGCAGGAACTATCACCTTTTGCACGTGCAGCCATTGTTGGCGCCGTTGGAGCTGGGGCAAGTCAGTCGGCCGTCGCTCGCGCGTTTGGCGTCAGCCGGGCCGCAGTCCAACTTACACTTCAACGGTTCGAATCTTCAACCACTGTCGGATCTAGACCTAGATCAGGTCGGCCAGAGGTCCTCACACGTCGGGAGAAACGGTATATCATCCAGTTGACAAAGCGGAACCCTCGCCTGTCAATACAAATGCTCATAGACACAGCTGATGCTCGGATCTCTCGATCAACGGTCCGCCGGGTTCTCCGCCATCATCGCATGCGGAAATGGCGTGCACAGAAGAGAATCCCACTGACGAAGGCTGTAGCAATGGATAGATATAAGTTTGCTTGCTTTTGGTTGGGGAATATCGAGGTGTTGATCCGAGTAAGTGACTCTGAAGTTCACCCCTGAATTTACTAACGTCCCTCTTGTCTATCTTCGACGAATCGTCCAGACTCAGATTGACCAGCTGATCGACTCTATGCCTAAGCGATTGGCTGCGGTTAAGAAAGCCAGGGGTTGGTATACAAAATATTGAGCTGAAACCTGGGCTTTCATCTGTATGTATCTAATTTGCTAGGCCTTTTGGTAGTGGAAAGTTATGCTGAGATACGTTATTGGGGTGCATCATCAAAGAAATGGGTGGCGGGGAATCTCGATGCGGGGTGCCGCAGACTTTTGGACCCCCACCGTATATAAAACGAACGCTGGCGGTGCTGCAGGTAACCTGGAGCGTCACGGGAGTGTTGAGATGAAGATTGAGGTCATTGTAGAGCGGGGACCGGGCCCAGATCACAGATGGACTCGGAAACAGTCCAAATCAGAGTCGTATGATGAATCAAGCTGCTCACCCCAACTCGTTGAACGACAGGTTGAACGACAGCACGAGTTGGGCCCATGGATCTCGTAAACTGACAACTACAAGTCGACAACCCTGATCCGGATTAGTTCGCCCAAGCAGGCAAGTGGGAAGATACTAAGCGCGGTCTTGAATCAATGTGTTCACTGACGCCGCGGCGGTAACTGCAGCATCTGATATGGCAGAATGATTCTCGGGACTCAAGTACTTGTGGTTTCGTATTTGGATCAAGCTAGCCTCTCCGATCAGGTAGAAAAAAACCTGACACAGCTCGGCAATAAGGAGTCCAACCAGTCTATTACAGGTTCAGGAGCGCTGCAAGACGTGTTTCAACTTTCTGAGCGTGAAAACTACCAGTTGGCTCCGTCGTCGTGATTTCAACATCATGAACGAAAAGTCAGTAGCAGGTGAACTTGGAGTTATCAATCAACCCTTGGACATGACCTCCGTCATGGTTGAGTTTTGAACCATCCCTTGCCGCCTTCTGCTGCCTGATAGCAGTGCTGCTGATCTTGGAGGCGAAGTTCTCCGTCTTGGTAGGCTCATCTTCATCAATCTCATCGGCATCGAGCACGTCGACCTCAAACACTGAGAGCGCATGCCAACCCAGCTCAGCCCGCTTGTCGTTGACAGCCTGCCCCCCAGACCTCGTCTCGCCCGAGACCACCAAAGCCTGAATGTTCTCCTCGGTGATGGTTGGCCCAAAGGCATCCTGGATCCGCACGCACCGGACCTGAATTGTCCCGTCTCGGAAGATCGTTGTGAATTCGCCGTCTCTCTCGTCAATCCGCGGTCCAGTGCCGTTTTTCCATCCGCGCGGCGAGAGCTCGAGGAGTCGGGCCAAGAAGACGATGACATTCCTCGCTCGTTGCTCCCACGGTTGGACGTACTCGGCAAACTTCTTGCTCTTGAGCATCTCGTCGCCCGTGATGCCAATGATGTACCGACACGGCGGTGAAGGGTCACCCCGCCGAGGAACCTGAAGCAAAAGAGCGCCAGCCGTAAGGAGCAGTTTGTGTCCTGGGTGTAGATAATCAAACGTGCCACCCAGACAGACTGTCTGGTACGTCGCTGTCTGTGGCGGCAAACTCGATGCGTCGGCCTTGGCGATGTGCATGGTCAAGCCGCCCTCCACGGGGACGAGCTGATCCTGCAGCAGATGCTGCCTTCCCTCGGCAACCTTGAGATAAGTCTGGTACACCTGGTAACCCATCTCGCTCCTAACGGTAAAGATGAGATTCCAGGGGAAGAAGGCCGAGGCGAAGGTAGCCATGTCGACGATGACGGTGTTATTGGGCTCGATGGCAGGGCGGAGGTCGTCGGTATACTGCTTGTTGCGGTCACCGTCGATGAGAAGGACAGTTGCGTCGACCGACCCGGGCCCGCCGTCGACCTCGGTGCTGATGGAGAGCTGGACGCAGAGGATGGAGATGATGCTGTATACACCGGCAACCAGCGCCTGGGCTCGGGGCCAGGAGAGAGTCTTGGAGTGAAGGAACTGGCCCTGCAAGACAGGACAGGCGACTGCGACAACTAGCTTGGCGGCGCCCGTCGGTCGCTTCACCTTGGAGAGGGCCGCCTTGAGCGAGGATCGGTAGGCAGCATTGAGCGAGGCACGGCTCAGGGGGTCCGGAGGGTAGGGGAGGAGCAGAAGCGACGGGAGGTCTTCTTGTCTCATGGTGTGATGGAGGGTGGGCGATAATCAGAAGACATGAGAGATGGGCTTCCACGAGAAAGTTGTTGAATTGGGACCTTCACTCGATGGGATGATGCGGACCACGATGGTGAGGGGTGAGAAGCAGTCGGCGGAGGAGTGATGAGCTGCGAGGTGTCTTTTTTTCTGGTGTGCGCAAAGCTCACTTAGCCTCCTTCAGAGCTACTTGTGAGAAGCGGAACAGAGGAAAGTTGAGTTGTACTACTCCAAGTGTTGACAGGACCTCGGAGGAAGGGGTGGTGGGGTAGTGAGGTAGATGTGGGAAGAGAGCAGCGGGTGGGTGGTACCAACGGGCAGCTCAGGTTACAGAATCCGGCAGACAAAGCGCACAGTAGGTCTACTAATGGCCACAATCCAACATCGTTTGGCTCTCCTGATTTTATATTCTTACGGAACAGCTGATGAAGATACTCACATCAACCCTCAGTCAGTCGGAAGTGCGGGGCATCATTTGGGGATCACCTTGGAAGCAAGAGAGGTTCTGAGTATCCGTAATCCATACCTGCCCGGGACTTACTGTGGGGCGGTTGCCCAGACCCACGAAGCTGTATGTGACCAACATGTGTCCTGTATTGGCCCCGCAGCGCCCATGGGCGGGCGGTTACCCTTCGCCCAGTCGCTGGACCAGATATTGCTGCCAGATTTGAAGCTCCAAATATCACGCTGTTCCTGCACGCATTTTAACGCCAAAGCGTCATCGCTGGTTTGGGCTCTCGCGCCCATCAGCCTGCCTCACCTTTGCGGCTGATACAGGCGCTTGCTTTCTGAATAACCCTACAGGGCATCGGGCGCACACATCCATTCGCGTCTTGGAGGCTTCGAGCTTGGCCTCCACCCCACCTCTCCATATCCGGTCCTCTATCCGCAGCCTTCCACCATCCTTCTGGTCCGGAACCAGAGGCACCATACCAGCACAGATGAACCAAGGACAGCAGTACCAACCGCCACGGCGGACCGGTACCTTCTCCTCACATCCCGACGAGTTGCACATGTCGTCGGGCATGGCCCCTCAAAGCCAACAACAGATGTCACCGCGCGACTATGCGACCACCGGCGCGCCACACATCAAACTTGACCAGATATCCCCGAATCTCCCGCAACTGCCCAGCTACCAGGGCACCGGCTCCGTGCCAAATGCGCTGCAGCCGGGCGGACTGGGCGCCCGCCCGCCCACCATCCCGTCCAACACGGCGCCGACACTCTCCAGCATGCAACATCAGTCTGAATACCAATCGCATCAGCACCAGACAGGCAAACCCGACTCGCTGAGCCTGTCGCACTCCTACTCGCGGTCTAGCCCATCGACGCGCTACGAGTCTAGCGGGTCCGGCTACATACCATACACACCAACCACTCCCGGCGGCACGACGGCCTCTTCGCAGTACATGTCCCCTACCGACTCAAAGTACAACCCCCCGAACTCTCAGCGCAATGTCTCCAATACACCTCTCGGGCTCGCCGATATTCGTCCACGCGCCGACTCGAGTCTCTCGGACGGCTTGCCCGGAACGCCAGGCTACGACGTGCTAAACCTGCAGCCGCGAACAAGCAACTACATGGCTCCATGGGCCCTCTACGCCTTTGACTGGTGCAGGTGGGCCCCCCAGGGTAATGGTGCCGGCAAGCTTGCTATTGGCAGCTACCTGGAAGACGGCCATAACTTTGTGAGTGGCTGGTGCGGCCCGACTCATATGACATCCTTCAAGGCTTACTGACTCCTTGCGCTTCAGATCCAAATCCTTGATGCCCATCTTTCTCCCACACCGTCTGATGTCTATGTACCTGGGGGTTCTAAGTGGACCATGGACTTTACGAGAATCGCCGAGGCCACCCACTCATACCCCGTCACGCGGTTGCTCTGGGAGCCCCCGTCATCACAGAAGCAGTCAACGGACTTGCTCGCGACCTCGGGAGACCACCTCCGATTGTGGTCGCTTCCGTCCGATACCCAGTTGCCAACTCCTGGGACGTCCATAACATCAAGGAACGGCCGAGACATGCCCGTCACGAAGCTCACACCGCTTGCTCTCCTCTCCAATTCCAAGACTCCCGACCACACCGCGCCGCTGACCTCACTGGACTGGAACACGGTCAATCCCAGCTTGATCATCACCTCTAGCATAGACACGACCTGCACCATTTGGGACATACCGTCCTTGACGGCAAAGACGCAGCTGATCGCCCACGACAAGGAGGTTTATGACGTGCGGTTTTGCGCGCAAAGCGTCGATGTGTTTGTCAGTTGCGGCCAGGACGGAAGCGTGCGCATGTTCGACCTGCGCAGTCTCGAACACAGCACCATCATCTACGAGCCCACGGGCAAAGAAGAACGAGGTACCTACCCCTCCCTCCGAACTATCTCACTCCTCTTCTCCACAATGTATCTAACATTTTTAACGACGCCAACGGCGGCCGCATAAGCCCGACCCTCGCCCAACAGACCCTCTCGCACGCCCCGCCGCTCTTGCGGCTCGCGACCTCCCCGCACGACCACCACCTCCTCGCGACATTTGCCCAAGATTCCAACATGATCCGCATCCTCGACGTCCGCCAGCCGGGCCAGGCCCTTCTCGAGCTCCGCGGCCATTCGGGCGCCCTCAACTGTGTCGAGTGGTCCCCCCTGCGCCGGGGCACGCTAGCTTCGGGAGCGGATGATTGTCAGGTGTTGATTTGGGATCTGATGAACAACCAAAGTGGCCAGGCGCCGCCGCTGTCATCGCCGCAGGTTCCGGGTGCACAACAGCCGAATGGTGCCGGCGGTGCGGCCGCGGGCGGGGACAATGTCAGGAGTCCGGTGGCGAGCTGGCAGTGCGAGTATGAGGTGGGCAACGTCGGGTGGGTGCCGCATTTGGCGACGGGGGAGTATGGCGAGTGGCTTGGTGTGAGTGCCGGGCGTGGGGTGTGGGGGGTGAGGCTATGAATCAATCTGCCTTGTTATTCTTCTGTTTTCTTCGTTGTGGCCTGCTCGCTACTACTCTTACTACTGGGGTTGTATGGTGGGTTGAGGTGATGATGAATGTACTGCTGTGGTGGAATGGATAGATGAACAACATAACCGAGGAGAACCATGAAGATAGGGGGCTATGAGGGTTGTCACCAAAGGTGGACTGTGTGTCTGTGTGTGTGTGTGCGCAACGCAAAAATGGCGGGCCACAATGAAAACTGGGTGAGGGGAGGAGAAACAAGACTAGGCCTAGCAACCGGGCCTGAGTCCTTAGCGGTGGTCTACTTTAGCAGGGCAGGAGCAAGTTGAAGACTCAATCGAGCATTGTCCTTCTGCTGAAACCCCTCTACCTGCTTGGGCATCTACCGTCCCTACGGACGTCAAAGTCGTGGTGGTTGACGGTTTGGGTGGTGAGGTGCTCGTTCGACTTTCGGTGGGTGTTAGTGTGGAGCTGAACGTAAGGGTTGAATCCGCTCAGGCAGAAACATAAACATCCTGAGAGTAACGGTATCAAATGGTGAGGGCTGAGACCGAAAGGCGTTGCTACCTTCATGATTTCTTTTCTCAATCAAGTGAGATAAGTCAGTGATAGGTCCCCGATAATTTGAAGCCGCAGGCTTGTCTACCATCAGGCACCTGCCAGGAAATAATGGTTGATGGCTTTTGAAAGGGGAGATCCATAGGGAGAGTTCGACAAATCATGTTCCGAGATCACTGTCCAGCTCAAGCAGGCGTGCTGACCATCGCTCATCATATTTTCGTATCTAAAAAACACCCATATACACACGACTTAAAGCTTCTGCATGGCGGCAATATCCGTGGACTGGACGTAGTCCTCGAAGTCCTGGATCTGCTCCTGGAGCTCGTCGAGCGAGATCTTCTCGTCCTCGACGACAAGGTTGATCTGCAACTTCTTGATACCGAAGCCGACGGGTATCAGCTTGGAAGCACCCCAGACCAAGCCGTCCTTCTCAATGCCGCGGACTGCGGCCTCGAGGCCAACCATGTCGGTCTCGTCATCTGTGGAACAAGGAAGTGCGTCAGCAACCATGCTTCTCGAGGCCGAATAACAGCTATGTGGGAGAGACAAAGAAACGTACCCCAAGGCTTGACATCAAGAGTGACGATCGACTTGGCGGCGACCTTGGGCTTGGCCTCCTTCTTCTTTCGGTACTCGGCGAGGCGCTCCTCGCGGATGCGGGCGGCCTCGGCGTCCTCCTCCTCGTCGTCACTGCCGAAGAGGTCGACGTCCTCTTCCTCCTCAGCGGTCGGGGCGGCGGCGACTTCGGGGGCCTTGGCCGGGTTCAGGGTAACCTCGGCGACCTCAGGCCCGTAGACGGTGTAGGGCTTGCTGGCGTCGCCGGGCAGGGTGGCGAAGTCGTCCTCGTACGAGGCAATGTGCTTGTACCAGCGGGCCGCGTTGGGGTACTTGGCGGCGTCGGGGTTGGCGCTCAGGGCCTTGAAGACGACGACATCGGCCTGCGAGGCAGAGTAGCTGCGAGGGGGGTGAACGAGGTCAGCTCAAATCTCCGGTCCATAAAAGAGTGGTACAAGCGATGATGAAGAACTAGCTGCCTGAGGGAGATTCAGAGGTGCACACAGTGCTGGGGTTGTAATCATTTGCAGGTCTTGAGGCTGCTCAGCAACACGGACCATAGGGATCATCATGGAGAGGGCAGTGTAAAAGGGAAAAGCTGTCGCGGGAGGGAATTGACTGAAAGCATACCCGGTGATGTAGGAGCGGGTAAGGAGCCAGTTGTTGAGCACTGCAGCGGCATGAATTAGCAAGATTTCCGATGCGCGCAGTTCTTGGAGAAGGCCTACCGGTAAGACCGGCATCGGAAAGGAGGTCGGTGAAGCCCATTTTGAAGTGTGCGGTCGCGGAACGTCGAAGTGGTGAACTAGAGTTTGTTGTGCTGTCGGTAGCTGCCCAAGAGAGATGGCGGGGTAAGGAGAATTTTGGTTTGGAAAAAAGAGAGAGGACCCCGCAGGCTGACAGCCTAAGGCAGCGAATTTCGGCAACCCACATTGGGAAACTGAATCGATGAAGGTGAGTGGGGGCAAGGTTCCTTCCGTCCAGGGTTGGAGCTCAGGTTCAACGACCTGAGCCAGAAATTCGGAGCATCAAGATGTTGATCGGTCGCCTGAATAACGTCACAAACGAATGGCGTGTCTACAGGGTGAAAAATCCTGCTTTCTTCCCTCTGACAAGGTGAAACGAGCAAAGTGACATACCTGAACCATTCAACCATTTCCCAGCTAGCTCCTCTAAAATAAGCAAACCCGCCCTTTGCACTTATGGTCTGCCCGCTGAACAACAAGCCCATGCGGTAGAGCTACGAACTCAACAGAGACCACCAGCTAGCCCATAACATAACTAAAGCCATCATTCCAACTCGTCACTCTGCCCCCCACCCTGATCTCCCCCGGCACTCAGATCCGGGACCCAGCCCTTGGGCCGCTCACTGCCTCTGATGATCCGGTCATAGCCCAGCCGCTCCACCTTTTGCACCGACTGCCTCGTGACCTCGAGCTTCTTCTCCCACTGAAACTTGTTGCCCGACGACACAGGCAGCATCTCGAAGAAAGTGCCCAACTCATGCATGTCGTGGACAATCGTCCGCGGCTCAGCATCCTTGTCGTCACCGCCGCCGGCCATGGCACCCGTGAGTGCCGTCGACGTGGTCGCGAAGCGCATCATCTCGCCCGTGAGATCAAACACCCCGTAGAGGTAGTCATCATGGGTGAGGGAGATGGTTGGGAGTTCGGTAGTAGCTGGTGCTGTAGCTGGTGGTATTGGCTTTCCTTCGGCAGTGGCGGTAGCGGTACCTGCTGTGTCGTCGCTGGCGTCGGCCATGACCGCGTCCTCTGAGGCTGAGCCCGCCGCTCCTGCTCCTTTCCGGGTCAGGTCCTCGACCACTGGGCTGAGGTCTGCGTGGCTGATGAGGGTCTGGGTCCTCAGGTAGTGCGCAAAGGTGAGGGCTTCGACGAACTCTTCGAGGCACATCAGCGACCGAGCGTACCGGTACCGGTTGATGCCCTGAATGTCGGGGGCTAGGGTAGCTAGCAGCTTGGCGATCTCGGCCAGGCGGGAGTCAACCTCGAATTGGATGTTGCTTGGGAGTTGGCTCTCGATCCTTCGCACCCTAGTAAAGAGTGAGATTCAACTCAGTCGCTGGTCAAGTTTTTTCTTTTAGCGTAGGTTTCTATACCGTTGTAATGAGAAGATGCTGCGCAACGTCAGCTCCCATTCTTGGGTAGAATGGCACTTCTTAGTGAGACTCTCACATCTTCTTGCTCAATGCCGTGATGTCCCGCGATGCCTTGACAATGCGCTCTCGACGGTCGTGGTGCTCATCAAGCTCATCGCGGATGCTCTCGAACATGGGCGTGTATGCATTCCTCACAACTTGCCTGGGAACCGCCTTCGGCCCATCCTGCCGCTTTGCATTTCCATTCCAATCGCGTTTAAAACCGGACATGTTGCAATGACAGGGCTTCTTTTGGGTCTTACTGTGGTAGTGTTTGGCTGTCAGTGAGAGGTGGGCTTCCAGGTCGGAGTCAGTATCTGTTGACGTCAGTGGATGATTGGGCTAGTCAGGGAGGTTGTTAGCGGCACACTCGCTTTTAACGTTAACGTTAAAAAGGTGCACTGCAGTGCTATGGTACAGTCAGAACTTTATTCTGTACTTTTTGGGGGCATCCAAATATTCGGACAACCCACCCTATATACTCATCCCGCGTGCAACTGTGGCTAGAGAGCGACGTGGCAAAGACAATGAGGCACAGCGCCCTCATTGGCAGCGCATTGCGCGTCAATGGCCTCCAGTTGCCCCGGCACCGTGCTCAACCAAGGGCAATCCTTCACTCCCTCTCCCACGAGCTGTCAAGGACATATCAGCGAGCCTCCAGACGACCCTACCCCTCGGCCTCGCCCAATTCCGGACGACAACAGCCCCCCACCACAACCACAAGCAGCATCACCACCGCCCCAACCCACGACCTCGCCCCCTCGGCCGCCAACCCTCCACCGACCACCCGCCCCCCACCTCTCGACCTCCCTCCAGGACCTCCCGACGCCCCGAAACTCTCCCAGCCCTACTTCTCCTACCTCCTCGCCCTCGGCAAAGCCTACCTGAGATTCTACAAAATAGGCATGAAACACATTTGGACTAACACCCGCCTCCTGTACTCCACCACCTCGACCAACTCCGACTTACTCGCCGCCCGCCCGGCCCCCTCGACCCGCGCACACCTGCAGCTTCGCGAGCGCGTGCAGCACGACCTGCGCCGGCTCCCCCTTTTTGCGGCCATGCTGATCGTCTGCGGCGAGTTCACGCCCCTGGTCGTCCTCGCTCTACCCGGCGCCGTGCCGCTGCCGTGCCGGATCCCGAGGCAAGTGGAAAAATTGCTTGCAAAGGTTGAGGCGAGGAGGGCAGAGGGGAGGGAGGAGTTGAGTGGTTTTGCTGGAACCTTGGATCGGGAGGTTGCGGGGGCGTTACGGGCGACGACGGGACCGATGGCTAAGGTTCTTGGCTTGTCTGCGCCGGGGTGGATGCCGAAGCCCGTGTTGGGGAGGATGGTGGACAAGAGGTTGGGGTTTTTGGCTGAGGATGATGCGCTGCTGGTTCAGGCCGGCGGGGCGGCTGCGTTGTTGCCTGAGGAGGTGCGGCTGGCGTGCGCGGATCGAGGGATTAATGTGCTGGGACGGGGGGATGACGAGTTAAGGGGGGTGTTGGGGAGGTGGTTGAGGTTGACGGATGCGAGGCGCTTAGGGGAGGATGGAAGAAGAATGGCTGTTATGGTCTTGCTGGGGATAGACGACAGCAAGTGGGACAACAGTTGGGAGCGCGAGTTCCCCAGGCTCAAAGACTAAGGGTATTCAAGGGGGTTCTAGAAGATGATGTAAGTTTGCTGTACTATATATTGGTCCCCCAAAATTCTGGAAAGATGAACATCCGAGAGAGAGGACACTCCACCATCTAAAAAACAATAGACGCTGTATCTACTCGCGCCAACGACACTGGTATCCGTCTTAGTCCTGGCCGTTTCAACCTCGCAGCAACATAGAAAAAAACACCGGAAACACATATGCTGTGTCCATGGATCACCATGGCCATGACGCGCGGGTTCCTCTTCACCAGCGTCTTTGTGGAATGGGCGCCTTCCGCACCAGTACACACGTTAAGCGAGTGCGAGTCCGAGAGAAGCATAGGGAGGTAGTTGACCTCCAGCCTCATCTTCATTATGCAAGTCACATATGTATCTCTATCACGCCCGCTGGGGGCTTGTCCCCGCCAGCCAGGCAACCAGACTTGAAGTCCTATCTCGACGAACACAATGACCTCCCTAACCTCCCACCGGGCGTCATGCGGCCTCCGCCGAACGTCGTGGTCTTCCGCCCCCCCCGGCTGCACGCTGGATATCTGCGCCGTCGAGATCTCAGTCTACGGCTACCGGCCGTCCCTTGCCGCCAACATCACCTTCATTTCCATGTATACTATTGCTCCCGTGATTCAGGCCTACCTCCGTATCCGGTGGAAGCAATGGTGGTATGTGTCGCGTATGCTCGCTCGGCGCCGCCAACGCCATCATTGGCTATGCCGGGCGAGTCATGATGTACTACAACCCTTTCAGCTTTGCCGCATTCGTGATTCAGATTAGTAAGTATCCATCAACACAACCTTGGAACAAAGGCAAGAAACAACCTACCAGCTGAACCAACCAAGTATGCGTCACCACAGAGCCAGTTTACTACTTCGCCGCCATCTACATCACCCTCGCCCATGGCGTAAGCGCCGGCCACTTTTCACCCCCTTTCCAAATCACCCTTTCTCAACTACCTAATAAGCGCGGAAAACCAACAGAAGCGCCAGTCTAACATCATACAGAATAGACCATCTAGCACCGGCCCCCTCCCGCTTCCAGGCCCAGCTCTTCTACTACATCTTCATCCCCTGCGACATCCTCTCCTTGGTCCTCCAAGCCGCAGGCGGCGCCTTATCGACGACAAGAGCCGACTCGAACCAGGTCAGCGTCAACTTCGCGCTGGCGGGGCTGGCTTTTCCGGTCTTCACCAGCGTCTTTCTTCTGTGCCTTCTTCGCGGATTACCTGGTCCGCTACTTCCGCTCCAGCACTTGGCGGCATCTCAGCAACAACAACAACAACAGCAACGACAACAGCAACAATAACGACAACAACACCCACAGCTCAGACGACGACCCAGGCCCAGGTGCAGGTGCCGGGCAAGGTACCGATAAGGGTACTATGACGGCGATGATCGTGACACCCGGCAAAGCAGTTCGATTGAGGCTCTTCTTCGGGTTCAAGGCCCTGGCCATCATCCCGACACTCGCGAGATGCGCATACCGTCTGGCGGAACTGCATGAGGGGTATCAGGGGAAGTTGATTCGGGATGAGGCGCTGTTTATTGGATTGGAGGGGGTGTAAGTCTCTCCTCTTTTTCCTCTCGTTTCCTATGCCTGCCCCCTATCTTGCGGTTCAATGGTTTCGTTTCTTCATTTTCTTGTAACTATATATACATTTGGTGGCTGACTCGCTTTTCATGAACGGCATGGTTTTAGCGGCGGTGTACTGCCTCATGATTGGACACCCTGGCCTAATCTTCAAGGATTCTCTGGGCAAAGACCGGATCTCTGGACGCATTGCAAGACTACACAAGCGAGAAAGGGGCTATGGGGGTTACTAAGATGGACTCTTCCACTAAGAACGCAGCACTACCCCTTTTTTGTAAGATGGGCCTGGCTAGATACGAGAGGGAACGTGTCTGAACCTTCGTCGTTCGTCGGCTGGACCACTGTTAGAATTAAAGTGATTTCTATTTCCTAGAGACCATGTGTATCAATGGTAGCGAGCGAGCTGGCGGACACCAATCCGACCGAACAGCTTCACAACTCTCGCGTGATCACTTGCCGTTCAGGCCACCTCCCTGATAACAATCCAGCTCGCATACTTCCTTTTGAGGGCCAGAGATCTAATCCTTTCCCGCAGACGCGGAATAACAAACTTGCCACCCGCCAACCTCGAACTACGCGCCTGTTCCACTGCTCCGATACCCACACTGCAAAAGCAAAGAATCTTCGCTGGCCTTCATGTTTGAGGCTCTCACACTCCGCGAAGCGTTTAAAACCCAAGATATATCTCCTTTGGGAAGCCGCAGACAACAAGTCCCCCGAGGACATTGCCCAAGAACTTGCCCACGTTCTCACGGATCCTCTGGCAATCCCACTATCATCGCAGATACCTTTTCCTCTTTTTCAACACCCACCCCTCTTAAGCCCCCCGCCCAATAACGGCACCTCTCCACCGGGGCAGTTCTAATGCGCAGCCCTCTTCAGCTGATCCATAATCGTCTGAACCTGCTGCGCCGGATCCACCACACCAGTTCCGCCTACACCTCCATACCCATTTACACCACCTGGAAGATAAGCAGCACCGCTAGCAGCAGGCGCCACCGCTCCATAGGCAGACACCGGCTGCGCCGCGGCGGCAGCGCTCCGGAGATTGCCCAGCAGCGCATTCATGTCGATCTGCTGCGGTGCGGCCGAAGACTGAACACTCGCAGGCGCCAGGATGACGCCGGGATAAGAAGTCTGCTGGGGACCCGCTCCGGCGGCGGCGCTGGCCTGTTGCGCCTGCGGGGTCTGGAGCGACGCCAGCAACGCTTGCAGCGCCGAGTTGTCGAGGTTGCCGACCATGCTCGCGAGGTCGGGTGGGGCCGAGGCGGCGGCGGGGGGCTGCGTTTGCTGTGCCAGAGGAGGGACGGGGTGCTGCGGGTAGGGATACGGGTTGTAGCCGGCTGGCTGGTGGTGAGGCGGTGGGCCGTAGGCGGCGGGCGGCGCGTAGCTCGGCGCTGGAGGCTGTACATGGAGCGCCCCGGCCTGAGACTTCTCGCGCATCACCAACTCGGCGGCAATGGGGGGGTCGATGTCTTGGTAGAGTTCGAAGCGGACGCTGCTGCCCCCGGACCGGTTGAAGACTTGGATTGGGATCTTGCCCTTTGTCTGGGCGGCGTAGTCCAGGTCAACGATGGCATGTACGCCTTCAACGACTTGGCGCTGTAGCACCGTCTCTCGAGGGAACCGGGGGTTGAGGTACATGACATCCGTCTTCAGCCCCTTGTTATGGAAGGCTCCTTGGACCCAGCCAACAAAGTCTCGCGAAACCTCCTGAAGAAGGAGGATCTGGACGTCGGGAACCTCGGACCCAAACCTGCGGGGCAGATCAAATCGATCACCGTCAGAGGGGGCTCGGCGATGAGGGCTAGGACTCCTGCGCCGGTACGAGTCGTCGCCGTGGCGGCCAAACCGAGGAGGCGACCGAGACCGTCGGCGCCCATGGGTTCCGAAGTCACGGTCTCGGGGATAATGGCTTGCACGGGAATCGTTGCGGCGCGGTGACGGTGAACGCCCCGACCGATAGTCATCACGTCTCCAACCGCGTTCTCCAGTGTCGTACCGTTCAGTCCCGTAGGGCCCGCGCGGCCCTCGGCGATCTGGAGACCGATCTCTTTCGTCTTTCTTCTTCTGAACCCGCGATATCTCGAGATCTGTGATTGGTTAGCCGACGGGTCAAGGATGCCAACGGGAGAGGGCCGACTCACGTATCCTCCGTCCACCAAGTTCGATGCCCTGGGCACCTTGCATGGCGGCTTGGCCCTCGGCGACGGTGTGGTACTGCACGAAACCATAGGCGCTCTTCAGAGAGATCTGCGCTAGCCGGCCAAACCTGTGGAACACATCAAACACTTCCCGTTTCGAAACCCTCTCGCTGGACAAGTTACCTAGACCAATGTGAGCGTGATGATATGCAAAGTACGACACGGACGACCAAAACTCACCAATGAAAATGCGGGAGCCTTCCGGAAACCTCTCCCACTTGGCCTCCGATGTGTAGCGCTTCTCGTCGGCCTGGAATTGTTCCCAGAGTTGTTTGATAGACGATCCGGGGTAGGCCCCGGGGAAAGAATCTCCGGTACGGGGCAGATGATGGGCATGAGACGGGCCGCCAAAGGGTCCCGGGGGGGCCGCGGGCAGGGATGAAATGCCTTCATTTGGATTGTATGGGCCATGCGCGCCAGAGCTGGCAATGGTCATCGGCACTGCCGGGCCAGCACCATTGGAGCCGCGGGATTGGAAAGAATAATGAGCCGGTGGGATGGCAGGTAGGCTAACTGGCAGATTGGGAAGAGAAGGCTTGGGGGGGAGTGAAGGCGGATGGGATACAGACAGAGGAGCCGGAGCGGCTTGGGTGGTAACCGGAGTGGCTTGCGCTGGAGGGGCGTCGGAGGGCGAGGCTGTTGCGGCAGCTCTAGAAGTGATGTCGTCTACCAATTTTTGGATGTCAACAGCGGCATCATCTTCATTCGTCGGCGTGGGAGCCGCGGGGACAGCGGCAGCCGGAGCTGCCTCAGGGTTAGAGGCAGATGGGTTCTGCTTCTCAGGAAGATCGGCGGCAGAGTCTGTGGCAGGTGCCGCGGACGATGGGCTGGTCTCGTGGGCGGCAGATGGGGTCTCGGAGGGATGTTCGGAACCGTTGGCTTGCTCAGAGGAGGACGAAGTGGCCGGTGCCGGAACCGAACCGTCGGTGGGCGGCAGGGCCGGCGGCGGAGTGGGTGATGATGAACGATCAGAAGGGACAGCTGCAGGGTCAGGCGCAGACGGACTATTCATGGATTCCGAGGCCATTGATACATCTGGCTGAGCCTCCTCAGCCTCACTCTGATCCTCATGAGCTGCGGGTGAATCAAAGGTCTGGGCATAGTCATCGTTGGCGGCATCTGGCTCAACATTTTCCTGCTCCTGCCCATTCTCGCCTTCGCCATAGTCAATGCTCTCGTCGCTCTCATCGTGAGATGCATCTGAGTAGTCGTCTCCGGCAACTACTATCGTGTCGGAGATGTCGCTGGCCTCTGCTTTCACGTCCATCGTGAATTGATGATGAGGAGCAGAGGGTGATGGCGGGACGGCAGAATGCAAGGCTGCTTCGTCAGCAGTTGCTGCTTGATCCTGGAGATTGGGGACGACCGTGGTTTGGATGGCGTTCTTCTGGATGGAAACAGGGATTGGAGAAAGTGGACTGAGGCTGGCGGCAGCCACAATTTCTGGAGAGGGCTCTGGCATCAAGCGTGACGAGGTTGTTCGCGTAGTCAATGTCTCTCTTAATCAGAAAACTGGCGCGACTTCACAGTGAACGGCATAAGAGACCAGTATTATGCAGAACGGTTGACCGATGCGCGCTCCGCGGCGAGATGTGTGGCGATGGGGGTCCAAGGCAAGAGTGATGAGTCGGGATGACAGAGAGGGGTGGATATCTGTCTTATTTGGTGATTGGCGCGATTGTCGTTGTTTTGACGAGAACCCAGGCAATGAAAACAGATACCGTCTGCAGATATGAGATGGGAGACAAGCAAAGCGTACGGTGTTCCGCGAGAAAAGTCAAGAGTCGGAGTCGAGAAGAACTATCAAAGTTTGGGAAGCTTCTGTGGGACAGTGATGGAAAGTGCCAGGGCGATGTCCATGCTTGTTGGGGAAGGAAGGGATGCAGGCCAAACTCGTCGGCAAGAAAATTCTTGATTGTAACCCCACATTTCCACATGATGGTTATTTCCCCATTTGGTTTAACATCGATATTAAGTATTTGCGCCGGTGAATATGATCGGTTGATAATGGTAACTGAAACATGAAAGCTCATGAATACGGATACTTTGCTCAGATCGTCAACAACCTATAAGCATGCCACAATGCGATATCGCCATCATGTCCTTTGGTCAGCTCTTAGCCTGACGGGCAGATGGCCGTTGCGCATATGGCCCGTACAAGCCATACAACGGTGTGTGAGGCACCAAGCGTTTGATGTTTCCTTTGACCAGGACCAGCTGGCCGAGGCAAGGAAATGGCATCAGTCGTTCAAAGTGAGCAGTTTGCCTGAAGGAAATACGTCCTTCTCACGGTCTGGTGGACCTGGAGGACAGCACGTTAACAAGTATGTAGCTTCTTTTCTTGCCCTGGTCCTACGGAGTATAAGGTGTTTGTTTGCCGGTCGCTAACATCATGACTGCCAGAACAGAAACCAAAGCAACAACCACCTGGGCAGTCCCCCAACTCTTGGGCATTTTGCCGAAGCTTCTGCACGCGGGTGTCCGAGAGTCAAAGTACTATTCAAGGCGAAATGACTGCCTCACTATCCAGGCACAGACCCAGAGGAGCCGCAGTGCAAACGCTCATGAGAACCGCCAAAAGCTCTTTGACGAGCTCGAGGGCTTATACCGGAGGACAGTGCCCGGTGAAACCAAGCCAGAGAAAGCCAAGAAATATGAAGCACTGTGAGTGACTTGTGAGCGGGCAACACCATGTCTCTCGAGCTAATGGTCAAGTAGACGGAAGAGTGCAAACGAGGCGAGGGTCAAGTTGAAGAAGCAGCAGAGTTCAAAGAAGTCGTTCCGCAGAGGCTCTGATGACTAGATCATGGACGAATTCCTGCTGAGAGATCTTAGCACTGCCTGCGTACAGCTTGGGCGCCGGTCCCTCAAGAACGGAGAATATGGTCCAAGCACATACATTTCGGTATGTACGATTCAAGCACATGATGTAACGTACCATACGCAAGGAGATATCAATATACTGCGTAAGGTATAGAGTATCGGGTGCCATGATTTCTACGGCAGGCGGTGACCCCTTTTCGAAGATCCAGCTTCCTCCAAGTCCCCCTGTCCGACGACACCATGCATGCCTTAATCACAGCCCTTCCACCGCTCGGGAGGCGCCGTCTTCTGAAGGCATCCCTCATATCCCAGACCGCAAAATAGCGAAGAATCAAAAGGGTGACGCGAGTCGTTGCCGCTCGCCAGTGCGGTCAGCTGCGCGAGTAAGGCGGACCAGTTGTCTCATTGTTAGCTGTCCTGGGAGTGGCTGACGGATCAGAGATATGTGATTAGAGAACAAGTATTTCCTTGTCAGTTTTAGCTTGTTACTACAGGGGCAGTAGAATTAACGAACCGAGATTCCACCGATCCCTCGCCACCCAACTAAGCGTCGGCATATCCTTCCACACTGCACCGCCTCCGTACGTCAGCGGCCGCCCGTCTACGTCCGTTGCCGTAGTCTGCCGCAGCGGCGCCAGGAAGTCGACCAGCGCGCGCTGACTTTCAGGCGGGGTGCGCCTGGCCACGTCCAAGACGGCCCCAGACGAAGTCGCCAGCCGACGACGACGACGAGGCAAAGCGTGGGGCTCGGCGAGGCGCTCGAGAACATGGACCAGCGCGCTCATGATTCTCGGTTTGCGGAGAATGACCTGAACTTGCAATGGCTTCTGAGAGCGGAGAGGAGAAACATTGGAAAAGAAAGCTGCCCCGAGTAGGAGAAAGTCAGCATGGTCGATCTAGCCAGATCGCAAAGTGACTTCGACGGAAACTGGTGCGAGTGGGAGGGAAGTATCTTTGCTCTGCTTGCCCGAAGCTAATCCTGTGCCTTTGGCCCTGCTCTACTTGGAGTACAGTGGGGTCCGGGGTCCGGCTCCGTAGTGAGAGATGCCGCGCCCCGGCTATTCCATCCGAGGGACTGGCCTACTGTGCTACGAGTGACCTCGGGACCCGCGTCTGTAACGCGCTCAACGTCACCGGCTAATAACGATATAAATCCGTTATTTCACATGCTGCTCATAAGTAGGGTATGTATTCCAGGTTGTACTGTGTCTTGTAAATGTTGGTCTCGGCCGACGGCTCCGGTCGACGTAGCATACACAGTATAAGTCAGGGAAAAGTACTACCGCCAAGTAGACAATAGTTCGACCCTTTTGGTCAGCACCTGCGACTTCACTTCCTCGCCATTTTGTCGACTTGACTTGCGTCTGCTCCGGAATACCCCTTCACTGTCGTATCGCACCACACACTGCGCTTCCTCTCCACCCTCACGTTTGCTCTTTGTGCCGTGACGGTACCCACCCCAGCCAGCCCTTTCCTGGAGGAGAGAAAGCCCCTCGGAGGCGTTCAATGCGGATCTTTACGATACACCCGGGCACAAGTCGTCACCGCCAGTAAGCGCGGTTGTGACCGTATAATCCTCCCGGTCGACGGCTACCCACGCCCCTTTAGGAGCAATGAGCGTTTCGTGTTCCCAGTTGACGGACCGTACATGGAGTGTCATATCCTCGAGACCGATGCCCTCTATGTTGGAGGTAAGTTGACGTCTAGACATTTTGACTGCAAAACAGGCCCGCATAGCTACCTGAAAAAATATGATAGGATCTCCCGCCCCGGACCGCGTGGTGTTCAACGAGGATTGTCAGTATGCAGGCGCTTCGAGGCTTCGTCCCGTGTCAAGGCGTCCCCTTCTGAGCGCCAACTCAAAGTACTTTCCTAATTCAGGTACCCCACGGTGTATGCCAAACGTGACATCTCCTATCCAATAATGTGGCGCGAGACTTAGGGCAAGGGTGTATGGTTACTACGAGACTGCTAGCTAAGGTACTGTGGTAAGGTGGCTTACCTGCCGTAGCCTCCTACGCGAGTAGTTGGATCGGCGATTTCGGAGCCCAACGTAGGTACAGTATGTAAATAGTGTTGTAAGGGGTTGTTAACTGGAAGTGTCGGTCCAATGGAACAGTGGTAGTAGCCGAATCAAATGCTGACGGATGTGTGCTGGAGAGTTCCTCTATTCCAGGCTAACGTTAACTATTGTATTTGTTGATTACCTAACGTTAACTACGGTACCTTTCTCAACCTTGATCGTCGACCTCGTCGGGGCTCCCTAATCAACTGTCTAATACCTCATGTCTTCTCTCGCGGGCGAACACCAGGTGGAAGGGTACGCTGATATCTTAGACCCCCGAGAGATGTAGGTATTACTTCCGTACACAGTAAGCGCCTTGGGTTCAATATGTCCGACTTCGTTTCAAATTTCAGCACCCAAGTACAGTGCTAGTAAGCTATCTGGAGGTGCAGTGCTTTCTCCAACATGCCGAGGTGCCAAGTTTCAGGTTCCAAATTTCAGGTTCCAAATTTCATTTCCATATTTCGGTATTACCTGGAATTCCGTACCGGTAGCCCTACTGTACTGTGTTTTAATCGCATACCAAAACAACCCTGTTCCCAGTTCAAACACGGGGGATGACCAAAGACGCGACTGGTAGTATTTTGGGACACCGCCCGGCAAAATAAAATCATTGAGACGGGCGTCATGGAAGCTGTCGCATGAATTTTTGGCCCCTCGGTTCGCCGTGACCGTTCTCAGTCCGCAAGGTCTGCCAACAGCCACCACAATGACGGCTCAGAAAACAGTGTAAGGCATAGCTTCCTAAGTATCTAGCTATAATTATTTTTTTGTTTCGCCTGCTGATACACTGCCGGATGCAGAGACTCGCGGATTCCCACGCTCATCCGCAATGGCCTCCAGGAGAAGAAGCGCAGCTTCTTTGTCGTCGTCGGCGACCGCTCCAAAGATGCCATTGTTCACCTCTACTACATCATGTCTAGCATGGACGTGAGGCAGAACAAATCGGTTCTGTGGGCTTACAAGAACAAGCTCCTCGGCTTTACAAGTCACCGGAAGAAGCGGGAGACCAAGATCAAGAAGGAGATCAAGCGCGGCATTCGCGAGGCTAACTCCGAGGACCCCTTCGAGCTCTTCATCTCCCTCCACGATATCCGCTATGTTTACTACAAAGAGACCGACAAGATTTTGGGTAACACATACGGCATGGTTAGTGGACCGCGTGCCTCGCAACGAGATCAGTTCGTCTAGCACATGGGAGGCTGACACGAGGATACAGTGTATTCTACAAGACTTCGAGGCCATGACACCCAACATTCTAGCACGAACCATTGAAACGGTCGAAGGTGGAGGTCTGGTGGTGCTCCTGCTGAAAGGCATGAACAGCCTGAAGCAGCTGTACACCCTTTCTATGGACGTCCACTCGCGGTACCGCACCGAGGCCCACGACGACGTTGTTGCGCGATTCAACGAGCGCTTTATCCTGTCCCTTGGCAGTTGCGAATCCTGCCTTGTTATCGACGACGAGCTAAACGTTCTTCCGATATCCGGCGGGAAAGGAGTAAAGCCGCTTCCTCCACCAGACGAGGACGAACCGAAGAGCGCGGCCGCACAAGAGCTGGAAAAAATAAAGGACTCGCTGCAAGATACCCAACCGATCGGGTCACTCGTCAAACTAGCACGCACCACAGACCAGGCCAAGGCGCTTCTTACGTTTGTGGATGCCATTGCGGAGAAGACGCTCCGAAATACTGTCACCTTGACCGCAGCGCGTGGTCGCGGCAAATCGGCAGCCATGGGCGTCGCGATTGCAGCTGCTGTTGCATACGGATACAGCAACATCTTCATCACCTCGCCCTCCCCGGAAAATTTGAAGACATTGTTCGAGTTTGTCTTCAAGGGCTTTGACGCCCTCGACTATAAGGATCATGCTGACTACTCCATCATTCAATCGACAAATCCCGACTTCAACAAGGCCATTGTTCGAGTCAACATTCACCGGAACCACCGTCAAACGATCCAGTACATCCGGCCTCAGGATGCCCACGTGCTCGGACAGGCCGAGCTCGTGGTTATCGACGAGGCGGCAGCCATCCCGCTGCCTCTGGTAAAGAAGCTCATGGGGCCGTATCTGGTCTTCATGGCATCCACCATCAGCGGCTATGAAGGCACCGGCCGGTCGCTATCGTTGAAGTTGATCAAGCAGCTGAGGGAGCAGTCGAGGGCAGGCGCCAATCCCAACGGCACCGGCTCAGTTGAGGTCGACCGGTCAAGTGGGAAGGCGACCAAGGAGAGCAGCGCGGTTGGAGGGCGCTCGCTCAAGGAAATCACGCTCTCGGAGCCCATCCGTTATGCACAGGGGGACAAGGTGGAGAAGTGGCTCAACACGCTACTCTGTCTGGATGCTACACTGCCGAAATCTAAGATCAGCACACAGGGGTGTCCGGATCCTTCACTGTGCGAGCTGCTGCACGTCAACCGTGACACGCTCTTCTCGTTTCATCCGGTTTCGGAGAAATTTCTGCAGCAGATGGTCGCGCTCTATGTCGCGAGCCATTATAAAAACTCGCCGAACGACTTGCAGCTCATGAGCGATGCGCCAGCCCACGAGCTCTTCGTTCTCACTGGGCCCATCGTGGAAGGCCGCCTGCCCGAGCCGCTGTGCGTCATCCAGGTCTCGCTGGAAGGCCGGATCAGCAAGCAGAGCATCCTCAACAGCCTGAGCCGGGGCCAGCAGCCCGCCGGTGATTTAATCCCGTGGCTCGTCAGCCAGCAGTTCCAGGACGACGAGTTTGCTTCTCTCTCGGGTGCCCGTGTGGTTCGGATAGCGACGAATCCGGACTACATGTCGATGGGGTATGGCTCGAAAGCGCTTCAGCTCCTGATTGAGTATTACGAGGGCAAATCCGCGGACCTTTCGGAGGACGGAGGCAGCGCCGTGCAGCGGTCTATTCCTAGAGTTACGGATGCTGAGCTTGCAGAGGCCAGCCTGTTTGACGACATCAAGGTCCGCGATATGAACGAGCTGCCACCGCTGTTTGCGAAGCTTGCTGAGCGCCGCCCCGAGAAGCTGGATTATGTTGGCGTCAGCTACGGCTTGACGCAACAGCTGCACAAGTTTTGGAAGCGGGCCTCGTTTGCCCCAGTGTACTTGGTATGTGATTTGAACTTTGTTCTTCTCTAAATCCCAGCTGCTCACCATGCAATAGAGGCAAACCGCCAACGACCTGACGGGCGAGCATACGTGCGTGATGATCCGGCCTCTGCAAGACGGGAACGACCCGAGCTGGCTTGGCGCGTTTGCCAACGACTTCCATCGCCGGTTCCTGTCCCTTCTCTCGTACAGGTTCCGCGAGTTCCCGCCCATCCTCGCCCTGACCATCGAGAAGTCGGCCAGCTCGGGCGCCCAGTTGGATCCGTCCACGGCGCCCGTCGAGATCAACAAGACCGACCTGGACGCGCTCCTGACGCCGTTCGACCACAAGCGTCTCGAGTCGTATGCCAACGGGCTGCTCGACTACCACGTCGTGCTGGACCTCATCCCCACCGTCGCGCAGCTGTACTTCACGGGGCGGCTCAAATCCAGCGTCAAGCTGAGCGGTCTGCAGGAGGCGATCCTGCTGGCGATTGGCATGCAGCGCAAGGAGTTCGAGACGGTTGCCGAGGAGATGTCGCAACCGTTGTCGCAGCTCCTGGCCATCTTTCTGAAAATCATGCGCAAGATCACGTCTCATTTGAGTGGAGTGGTTACGGGCGCCGTGGCGGCCGAGATACCGGATCCCAACAGCAAGGTCGGCGTCAGCCGGGAGAATGCGACGGGCATGCACGGCGACGAGGAGGTGGTTGACAGCAGGTTCGTGCCGCTGGATGCCAAGCTGGAGGATGAGTTGGAGGAAGGGGGGGATGAGGCGCTCAGCGAGCTGAGGGCGAAGCAGAGGGAGCTGATTGACTCGTTGCCGCTGGACCAGTAAGGACCGAACTACCTACCCTCCTGTTGCTGTTATTACCTTGCGAAACTCTCTTGGAAAATGGATGGCGTGCTGATGGGCTGGTCGACAACAGGTACGAGATTGAGGGCGATGATGCGGCGTGGGAGGATGCGGAGAAACGGGTCAAGCAGGCGGCTAAGAGCGGGCAGAGCAATCCGCTTGTCAGCGTCAAAACGAAGGCTAAGCGGAAAGCTGAGGACGCAGATCACGGATTTGATGAAGGTAGAGGGGCTGATAAGGGGCATTCTAAGTCTAAGAAGCCGAAGCGGGACAAGTTTGGAAAGAAGTGATGTACGACTGGGAGTGCGAGTATGATGGAAATTGTTTCTGGTGAGGTACTTGTGCATAACGTTAGTGGTAAACATGGAAGATACCCAAACTTGGACTGCCTTCACTTTCCGTCTTGCTAGTTTGGAGAGTCCCTCTGACATTGAAAGCAATGTGGAGCTGCAAAATTGCTTTGATGTGATTTTGTTATTATTGTACAGTCTAACGTTATTGTGTACTTACATATATGTTACACTGTGCAAACACCGTAGCTTGTATCCGTACATGGAACCGTGAACCGGCGCATTTCCACTTTCTATGTGACTGTGATTGGCTTTCAGGGGACATCCGGCCTCGTGGGGTTGCGGATTGCAGGTGGGTGTGTGGCTGATCAGTGCCTTAAAATCTGTGTACATACCTTAATAAATAAATGTTGCGACCTGAAGAAGCTTTCTCTACTGGTGCTCTCCCTTTCTGGTCAATGAGCTGCTCTGCTGGACTCACCTAGTGCAATTATGACCGCACCGGTTTGTTAAGCGGTCTCTGGTCCAATAGTGCCTGACCAAAGCTGCTGTGACATCCTGAAGGACCCGATTCGTAAGGTAGTGCAGGTGTCACAACGAAGTGTGCCCCGCTCCAATCCGATCAACTTCAAAGATCTCCTTGGTGCCTATCTATCACACTACACCGCTGCACCGCTACAATATTTCTGCTCAGAACACCCGTCTTTCAGTCCCCCACGGTTTATATTCACCCCGGTTGGTGGCGGAAATCGGCATTGCACTCTGGCTACTCGGCGACCCCGATTGTGCGCACCTGTTGCTGTCTGCGGCGGCATCTCAACACAGGACCCGGCAGTGCACACCGCAGCAAGCATCTCGTCTCAGCGACGCGGTCTCTCGCCACCATGAGCGCCGCCCAGACCGCTGGGCAGCCGCAGGTTCAGCCCTGCCGGTACAAGGTCGGCAAGGTACTCGGAGCGGGGTCGTACTCGGTCGTCAAGGAATGTATCCATATCGACACCGGCCGCTACTATGCCGCCAAGGTCATCAACAAGCGGCTGATGGCGGGGAGGGAGCACATGGTACGTTTTATTTACCCAGTATAAAGGCTGCAGTTAAGCTCAATGTAATGGTTCCTTTGCAGGTGCGCAATGAGATTGCCGTGCTCAAGAAGGTGTCGATGGGCCATCAAAACATCCTCACCCTCGTCGACTACTTCGAGACAATGAACAACCTTTACCTGGTCACCGACCTCGCCCTCGGCGGCGAGCTGTTCGACCGCATCTGCCGCAAGGGCTCGTACTACGAGTCGGACGCCGCCGACCTGATCCGCGCCGTCCTCTCGGCCGTCGCCTACCTGCACGACCACGGCATCGTCCACCGCGACCTCAAGCCGGAAAACCTCCTGTTCCGCACCCCGGAGGACAACGCCGACCTCCTCATCGCCGACTTTGGCCTCAGCCGCATCATGGACGAGGAGCAGTTTCACGTGCTGACGACGACCTGCGGCACGCCGGGGTACATGGCACCGGAGATCTTCAAGAAGACCGGCCACGGCAAGCCCGTGGATCTGTGGGCGCTCGGCGTCATCACCTACTTTCTGCTCTGCGGCTACACGCCCTTTGATCGCGACTCCGACTTTGAGGAGATGCAGGCCATCCTCAACGCCGACTACAGCTTCACGCCGCTCGAGTACTGGCGCGGCGTGTCCGACAGCGCGAAGGACTTTATCCGCCGCTGTCTGACCATTGACCCTGCCAAGCGCATGACGGCGCACGAGGCGCTGCAGCACCCCTTTGTGGCCGGCTGGGCCCTGCGCGCCGCCGCTGCGGGAGGCGACGGGGCGCTGGCCGACAAGGGCCAAAACCTGCTGCCAACCGTCAAGAAGAACTTCAACGCGCGGCGGACGTTGCATGCCGCCATCGATACCGTGAGGGCCATCAATAAGCTGCGCGAGGGTCAGGCGTACGGGAATAATGGGTTGATGAATGGCGTCAGAAGTCGCGAGCCGGGGAGGAATGGCGGGGGAAATGGGAATCACGACAAGGCCACCGATCACCAGCTGCACCAGCATCGGCAACAACAACAAACCCAAAACCAGAAAGAGAATGTTGCTCCCCGAAAAGACGACAGCGGTATCGCCATCCTCGCCCAGAACCAGAGCCAGGATAGCGGGTACGGCAGCACCCAGACGCAGAACAACACCCAGGGTTCGTCAAGTTCGGCAGAAAGGGCTCAACCTGGCGGCGGTGGGGATGGGGACGACGTCAAGATGGAGGATGCGCCGCCGTCGCCGCCGCCTCACCATGGCGGCGGACCCGGGCAGATGCCGCTGCTGCCGTCCGGGGTGCCGGCCAGTTTGAGGCCTGGGAGCGAGGCCAATCGGGTGGTGGAGACGAGTAAGGGGCTGTGGAGCGGGGTTGCGAGTCGGCGGTGATTTTGACCCCGTTGTTGAGATCGTGGTGTGGTGCGGTGTGAAGGAAGGGTACGTATTGGTCGTGTTGGTTATTGCGTTCGAAGGTGGTTTTAACATTAGTCAGCGGGCTGTGGTATTGTGGATATACTTCACTCGTCGTTGATACCGGGTTTGAGGAGGGTGGGGTGTGGAAGAAGAGGTGAAAGGTGTCTAATCTGTTTGTCTGCCTCACTGGTCGTGGGGTTATGGTTGCTTGGGTGGATCTGGGAAGAAGGCAGCTCGGAGTTGGGGGTGATGGACACGGATTGGTCGTTTTGTTTGGGTCGACACCACTTTGTTTGCGCCAGGGGAAGGAGTCTAGATCCGGAATCTGGGCTTTGGGTTTCGACTGGTTTCAATGTGCTTCTTCGTGCTCATAAGATTCGGCGAAAATAGTCGATGCTTTTATGCGGTTCCCAGTTGTTTTTTTTTTTTTTTGCATTCTCCCCTCCTTTGATGTTATTTGCTATCCTGCTAGGTGATTTCTAGGTCTGGGGGCAAATGCTGTCATGATACGATTGTGATGCGTCAAGGATAGCGAGAGTACTAGGTTTGGTTTGCTCTCTAGGTTTTGTGCTGATGATCTTTCGGTTGTTACCTGACTTTACATGCCTGTTTACTCGTTGAGATACCTCTTGTATGGCGAGTTGATCTGGTGGGCAGTGAGCGGAGTTTTGTCCGGCCGAGTCTCCGGAGTTGGTCTGACGAGAGAGATGGGGCACTGACGAGGTTAGCTGTCGTTGCCTCTATCTGGTCCGCATACTACCGTCTACGACCTATATGTCTTTCTTCCCTCTACTCTTCCAAGTGTATCGTAAAACCCGGTATGCTTGTGATGGTGTAAGGTGGCCAGGGGTAATGTAGAGCTCAACATAACTCTTGATGCCTACATTAGTATGTAAGCCGGTATGATTTCTCAAGTTGCTGCCCGTAGTCTCGTGGCAATCATAGGTGGTTCCAGACCTTCCGCAGTTTCCTCCTTTTCCACTTTATATGGACTTGTATCTGTACTCTGCTTCGTATAAGGTCTCACCAGGAGTTGTGTACGCCGTGGAGTGACCAATGCCTTGTCAAGGAGTCACTGCCTGCGGGATAAGACGGAGACGCCGGCAGAACTCCTGGACATGAGAGGCAGATAGATGTCTGCGCAGTGCAGCAGTCAACGTTGGGGCCAATCCAAAGAGAATATATGAGTAAAGGAGACGCACATCTGATGCAAATGTCTCTGTAGAGAAAATCTCTGTGAAAGACATCTCCACGAGCTCTCCCTCAGTATACCTTAGGATTCCTGATGTAGTCTGTGGAAGGACTTATATAGACTCATTATAAATTGAATAGCCTGGAGTGATTGAAGTGTTCCAATTTCATTGATCACCTCAGAGAGCATGTAGTCGAGTGAGCCGTGCTACCGTAAGGTACCTAACGTTAGCTTTTCTGAGATAACTGAAAGATGAGTTTCGTACGGTAACGGAGCACTATGTATTCCATACCGTATCACATACGCCATCCTATGAGGTAACTTACACGTCTTTGATGGCATCAATGATCAATCAGGTCCAGTCCACAACGACCCCCACTTTTGACAACCAGGTACCAAGCGCAGCAGGCAACTGCATATCCGAAGCGCTGCTGCCAGACCCTGGACAGCCGACGACAAAGAGGCAAGCGGGCGGTGGCTGGAAACCCAACGCGCACTTTGTAAATTCGTCACTGCCCGACGCACAAGAACGTCCCGTTCCCTGATCTCGTATTGCCCTCAGGATGCAATCTGGGCGGTAGCAACCTCTTTTGCAGGTGCTCGGCGTTCCGTTCCAACGTGAAGTACTCCGTACGTGACGGCAGAGATGCTTGCTTGGACAGGGGCTACCACACACACATAGGCACGCTCTAGCCCTTATCCAAGCGCCGGTCGATTTGTGCCGCCCGCAAGCGGCGGAGCCCGAGAGGACCGACATCTCTAAGCGCCGAACAATTTCAACCGATCGAGCATCAAGCCCCTGACGACAATCCTCGACCTCTCGCCGTGTCGCAATCAATTGTATCGATCCTCAATTACAGCGAGCTACCAAGTTGCAACACTCCGCATCAAGGTCCCGCTCCGCCTGACACTCCCGCGTTCTCCCCCGCGCCGGCCGAGTATTCACCTACCCCACCCCCTTGCCGATCCCGGACCGGCGTGCCCTGTCCTCGGAGGCCACAGTAGCTCCCTCAACCTCTGGCCCTACTCCCTCAACGGCTGCGCCCTGAGCGCGGCATCCGCCATGTATCAAAATGGACAGCGAGATGCGACCCGACCTTTTCAGGTCCCGCCTCCCCCTCCGCCCATGTCTCCGCCGCCCTCCGTCGGGCTCGGCAACATGATGGCCATCCCGCCTCCGCCCCCTCGGTACCCAAGTGCTACCGGCAGCGCCGGCAATGTTCTACTTCCTCCACCTCCGGGACCGCCGCCTAACCCGTCCTTCCCGTCGAGCGCCCTCCCACCCCCGAGCGCCTTGGGCAACGCACCATGGCATGGAGCTTGGGGCCGTGCCTACGACGGCCGAACCACCTTCAACATCCCCCCTCCCCCGCCCAGTGGCGCTGGCGCCACTGTCCTGCAAGCCTACAACCCGAAGCTGCATGCCCAAGCTCTGGCTGCCGCCAATGCCGCCGCCTCAGCTGGTCCGACAAGCCTTACCGTGCCCCCGCCGCCGCCGCCGAGCGAGCAGATGAGCGCGACCTACATTCCTCAGGGAGATACGTATGGAGAGGGCGTTGGAATTCCGGGCCTGGGACTGGCCGACGATGGCGTCCATGGCTGGGGCGCTGGCGCGCTGGACTCGGCCACTGCAACGCCGCTGGACGAGACGTCGGGCCGTGACAGACTCTATGTTGCCGCCATCGGTCAGCGGGTTTTATCTACTGCCACCAATGCCAGCACCACCTCCGTGTCGTCGATCCCCCCCGAGCTTGCGGCCCAGTGGCCGCTGGAACGAGTGCTGGCCTGGCTCCAAGCGAACAACTTCTCCCGGGAATGGCGAGAGACCTTTAGGACGCTCAATCTTCACGGGACTCAGTTCCTCGAGATCGGAAGCAGCCGTGTGGGACGCGGGAATTTTGGCATGATGCATCAACAAGTGTATCCAGAGCTCCATGTGCAGTACAAGAAGAACAACGGAGTCTGGGATCTGCCCAAGGAAAGGGAGGAGGCAAAGAGGTTGCGGCGGCTGATTCGGGGCATCAATACGGGGCAGCCTGTCGATCTTCACAGTGTCTCGGCCGGCCATGCTCGCAAAGAGTCCAGTACCGCCGTTGCTGCACCCACCGCCAGGGCCGAATCGCGGGCTGACTCTGCCGAATCTCCCAATACGCCAATCAGAGCCCCTGGCCCCGGCTTTGGCGGGAGGCGCTTTTCGCAGTCACGCTCCACCACTATGCCAATGCTCAGCAGCACCATGAGCTCCGAGTCAAATCATAGGAGCCTCATGAAGAATATCGACACCGAGGTTGCTCGTCGGCACAGTCCAACCATTAGCGAATCGGGCGAGGCAGGGTCGTACCGCAATTCCGGACATTTGGCAAGGGACAGCCCTAGCGGGAGCCCGGCTCTCCAGTCCGGCCTCTTACCTCCGTCCTCCACAGCGGGCAACGCCTCGGCGTCACCGCACACCACCATGTTCGGTCATCGCACCCGCAGCAGCACCGACTCAATATCTTCCAATGCCGCCATTTACGGGTCCGGTGTTCCGCCTGACGCAGCAGCCATGCTCAAGAGTGGCATGAACATCGCTGACGTCGTGAATGCCGCCAGCGGGCCCGAGGCACACGGTCGACGGTACGCTCAAGATGGTGGCCGACCCTCGCCACAAGATTCGGGAGACAGAAGCGCAGGAACAGACCCACCGGGGAGCGCAAAAGGCAGCACATCGTTTTTGTCCTTCCTCAGGGGCAAGAAGAGGCCGGATGACCACGATTCACCGACCAGCCCGGGACTGCATGTCAAGATGCATTTGTCAGGACTCCGCCATGGGAACGGAAGCGAAACCTCGCTTGAGAGACCGGCTTCCCAGCGGGCAAGCAGCAACCGCATCTTCATTCTTGCCACCGCGGATTGCTGGAACTACCGCATGCTAGACGTCACAGACGTCACGACACCGTCCGAGCTGCGACAACTGGTGTGCATCAATCTCGGCCTCCAAGGCAGTGACGGCGCCCAGATCTATTTCACAGAGCTGGGCAAGTTCGAACACGACGAAGAAGCGCTGGATGACACGAGACTCCTCACAGCGAAGCATCATATGGGCGACGCGGTTGGATCCCTCAAGCTGTTTGTCCGGCCAGCCGAGGTTCAATCTGCGGCTGGCCAGACGGTTTCGTCCGGACATCTGACTGTACCCCATGATCAGGAAGCATATGCCAAGCTTGACGGACGACAGCGGTCTAGTTCATCGCCCCCTACCTCCAGACAGAATACCCTCAACAGCAGGGATCGAGACGAAAAGATGTTGACGACCGAGGCCATTCAATACAGGACCGAGCAGCTCCGAAAACAGCAGGAGTATCTTGCCAAGCGTAAGCAGGCTGCAGAGGCCAAGGATAGCAGCCCGTCTACGGAGACACCATACGGCATTGTGGGCAGGAATGTGATCGACTTTGACCAGCCGAGACTCTCGCCTTACGAGGACAGGAAGATCGACAACCTGCTCCCGGTTCGCAAGGCGCCCGCCCCGCCTGAAAACCCCTCCGACACACTGCTCAAGGCTAATTCGTTGAGCAAGAGACACGGCCCGCGCTCCTCGCAAGGGAGTGCCGATGGCGGCCGTCCGAAACGCACGTCATCAGATTTGCGCGAGCAAGCCATGCTTGAGAAGCAAAGACCACGGGGAGGCATGGCGGCTTCAGAAGGCGGTATCCACGGCCTGTTGGTGGGAATGGCTGGACGGATGGCTGGCATCGGACATCCCGCTGCGGGCGGCCACAGGGGGCTCTCACCGCACAGGGTGTCCTCGATGCCGGTGACCAACAATGAGGTTCATGAACGAGGTAAGGGAGCCATGTCAACCGTTGACTTTGGTCAGCGGACCCGTTCTGGTTCCGGCGGAGCGAGCCCCAGGATCGGACCCGTTCCTGGGTCGCCGGGCTCTACCACGTGGAGCCCCAAGAATGTGCCGTTTCTTGTGCCGGACTTCTCGCCGACCCATGAGCCTGAGAGCTCAGCGTCCGCCGGAGCAGGTCCCAGTCCTGATGGATTCCACCGTGAAACAGAGGCTAAGATTACTCGAGCAGCACGCGCTCCGTCGCCGGGGGCTGTTAGTCCCAGTTCCCGCCGGCCAAGCCATACCTTCTCGACAAACGAAGCACAAAACAAGCGCAAGTCGCACGGCCCGGACACCGACTTCCAAGACAATGACGTCAGGTTCTCCCAGAGCTCGACGCTCCTCCCGAACAACACGGCCGATGACGACTCGGGTGATGATTCGGATGACGGCTTGTTCGCGGTCCCCATCGCAGGACGCGCAGCCGCCAAGAAGACATCAACCACGGCTGGGGGCGGCGAATCTGACGGCAGCTGTAAACCGCCCAGTCTACGGGTCAACACCAAACGCTCCAGGAAAAGGCTATCGGTCGCATTCACGTCACCTCAGTCAAGCGCTGATGGGAAGGTGCCAGCTGACGGCGATGAGGACGGGACGAGCGGCCAATCTTCGCAGCGGCGCACACCTGGCACTCCGGGTTCCGAGGGCTGGGAGTCGGAAGACCGCGAGAGCAAGCTTACCAGGCGCAAGTCGTTCATCGAGAAGGACGTCTGGGCCAACCGCCCGCCTACCGACGAACTCATCAACAATCTCGAGGACTTCTTCCCGAATGTGGACGTGGACCAGCCGGTGCTTGAGGAGGGAGACGTGGCGGATATGCCTCCGTCACCAATTGCCGAAGGGGATGAGACACAGGGAGAGCAGAGTTCAGCCCAGGCCTCTGCTCTGCCGCCCATGCCGCCGCTACCTGCTGGGCTGTCATCGAGCCACAATAGGGTCTCCTCCATCTACAACGAGAGCGATACGCTAGGGTCCGATGAATCCACTCTCAAGGCTCTCGATTCGCGACCCGTATCCATGCAGACGTTGGCACACCGTAGCGTGCGCAAATCCGGAGGTCTGGGCCGGATGAAGTCGATCCGAGAAGTTGCGCGCGGCGCGCACGAAGCGAGCAAACGCTACACCCAGACGTCCGGGTCGATTCCGGGCCCTTCGAGGGCGAGCACAGACAAGAACACCAACCTGATGCGCCGCAAGAGCACCAAGATGTTCAACGCCAACATCGTGCAGATTCGGCCAGAGCGCGGGTCGCTCAACATGGCCATGGGACTCAACACGATCCCGCAGGACAACCTGCCGATGCAGCAGAACAACCCCAATGTCCCTAAGCGGCAGACGACCTTCCGGTGGTTCAAGGGCCAGCTGATTGGCAAGGGCACCTTTGGGCGTGTTTATCTGGGCATGAACGCCACGACCGGCGAGTTCCTGGCCGTCAAGGAAGTCGAGGTCAACCCCAAGGCGGCGCAGGGCGACAAGAAGAAGATGCAGGAGCTCGTGGCGGCGCTGGACCAGGAGATCGACACGATGCAGCACCTCGACCACGTCAACATTGTGCAGTACCTGGGCTGCGAGCGCAAGGAGACGAGCATCTCTATCTTCTTGGAGTACATCTCGGGCGGGTCGATCGGGTCGTGCCTGCGCAAGCACGGCAAGTTTGAGGAGCCCGTCGTGGCGTCGCTCACGCGGCAGACGCTGTCGGGCCTGGCGTACCTGCACCGCGAGGGGATTCTGCACCGGGACCTGAAGGCGGACAATATCCTGCTGGACCTGGACGGCACCTGCAAGATCAGCGACTTTGGCATCAGCAAGAAGACGGACAATATCTATGGCAACGACAAGACCAACTCGATGCAGGGGTCCGTGTTCTGGATGGCGCCCGAGGTGGTGCGCTCCGAGGGCCAGGGGTACAGCGCCAAGGTGGACATTTGGTCGCTGGGCTGCGTGGTGCTCGAGATGTTTTGCGGGCGCCGGCCGTGGAGCAAGGAGGAGGCTGTCGGGGCGATTTACAAGATTGCTAATGGCGAGACGCCGCCAATTCCGGATGACGTTCGCGAGGAGATCAGTCCGATTGCGATTGCTTTCATGCTGGATTGCTTTACTGTGTATGTTCTCCCCTTTTTTCTCCCCTCTTGTTTGAGGATATTGGGACTGACACATTTCCTACCAGGGACCCGACGGACCGGCCGACTGCCGACGTCCTTCTCTCGCAACACCCGTTCTGCGAGCTCGATCCCAACTATAGCTTCTTGGATACCGAGCTGTATGCTAAGATCAGGGGGACGTTCAAGTAAAGATCTGGTGTTTGGGTGGCAGGAGGATAGAGTGGGGAGAGAGAAAAGATTTGTCAACGCTCAGGCTGTCGCTGGCTTTCCCCTTTGGTCTCCTATGGGTAGGAGCGTCGGTGGTTTAGTTGCATTTCTCGTACCAGGCGTTCGGACCTCAGTTTTGCGGGCATGTACTTGAGGAAGATCTTAGTTCAGGCAGTGATGTGGATTGCAAGGGCGGCATTCACTCAAGGTACCTGATTGTGTAGGTATTCTGCTCTCATCAAGCTGGATATCCAGGTTTGGTTGGTTGTATTCGGAGTATTTGGTACCCCCAGTTCTCGGCTATCGGCACCTGCACTCCACATCCCTGAACAAGCTTACCAAGTGCTGTGCCGAGTCCCTGCTTGCAGCGCTGATCTTCGGTACACATCAGCTGTTGGTTTTGCGACGTAGTATGGTTTCAGGGACAACTGGTCACTATTGTTTCATGGCGTCCTTCCCAAACACACCAAAAGTCAGAAAGAAACTCTCAGATGAGCCTTTGAGCCAGTTTTTTCGGAGTAGGTATTAATGTCTACCCCGCAGTGCGCGGGGTTCTTGGTGGTTTACGGCTATATGCACGAAGTTCCGAATGCCGACGAGGGTAGCACTGTGAAGTCTCCGTCGGGGTCCTTAGAGACCCGGTTCACATCAAGACGCCTCGAGAGTGGAGTTGGTGTTGCCAGTTCTCGTTGCAGCAACTGTAAGAGACCATAACACTTTGAGTGACTATCGGAGAATTAGCCGGTGTATGCATGACAGCACCTTCCTCGTTGGTGAGTCGGCAGTTTCAAGCAACGAGGGTTTTACTCTGGTTCTCTCAGCAGCTTGCGTTCCCTCTTTTTAGAGACGGCAGCGAGAATAACGTGGACCATCCAGCTGCCTTTGGAGTTCAAATTGACTGACAAGAGAGCAACTGTGTCCTTCTTCCCCTTGCGGCTGGTGCCAAGACACTAGACATCCAGAGCTGGCCAGGATAGGAAGGAATGTGGGACGGCAGCAATATTCTCTTGGCGTGTAACTTCGATCCGTCACGACATGATCCTCTTCCGTCCATGGCCATTCTGGCCCCGGCTTGGCTCTTTTTGCCGGGCGCCTCTTTTTGCTTTGCTCCGTTTCAACTTGCATTGCGGTTTGTCTTTTCAATAATAACGTTATGCCTTTCTCCTGTCTTTCTTTTTCGTTTTCCTTGGTCTAGACATTTGTGTCCGGTCTGTGAGTGTTGCCGTGGCGCTATCACAAGACTTCTTTGAGCAAGGATTCCTGGAAGGTATCGCGACTCTCAGGTTCCTACAACGAGCCTCAACACCCAAGCCATGCCATTGCTTGGGCCGTGGTCAGAATAATTCTCGGCGAGTTGCTCCCTTCTAGCCAACCGCCGCCGCCATCATGCTCCGTCTCAGGCGGTATCGCGTGCTGCTCATCTGCGCCTTGGCTATCCTTGTCCTGCTCTACCACGTCTCCAAGAATTCGCAATGGGACCATTCGAACGAGATATGGCACCACAGATCCCATGCCGGCGCACATTCAAAGCCAAGGCCCCCCGCGCCGCCTCCCGCTTCGAAACCAGAACACGTCCACGAGCATAAGCCAAATCGACATACGGATACAGACGAGCAGCCGCAGAGGCCTCACCACAAACCTCCACGGCCGCCGCCGCATCCTTCTTCCCCCGTGCAACACGACAACGATTATCGGCTTACGTCAGATCAGGAATCACCCATCTGGATTCCCCAGTTGAAGACGAGCGATGGTGTGCCAGGAGGTTACAGTTTACCGACCAACGCGGCTACCGTGCCCGACAGAAGACCGCCATCCAACCCCGACGAGTACCAGAGGCAGAATGAAAACGACGGGGTTCACATCGCCGATTCTCCTGGGAAATATCAGGAGGATGCCGTCGCAATCCCCACAACAACCATCCACTGGCAGAAGCCCCGCGAGTGGTACCCCGTGCCGGAGGAGTCTCTCATCATGCTGCCAACCGGCAAGCCCATGCCCATTCCTCCGGTGCAGTTTGCCTTTGGGGAGGAGTCGCCTGAGGCCAAGGAAAAGCGAGAAGTGCGCTTGGCCAAGGTCAGGGACGAGGCACGACACGCTTGGGCCGGCTACAAGAAGTATGCCTGGACCCACGATGAGCTTACGCCCGTCACCAAAAAGGCCAAAGACCCCTTCTGCGGCTGGGCTGCGACCCTTGTGGATGCCCTGGACACTCTCTGGATCATGGGCTTGAAGGACGAGTTCGACGAGGCTGTCGAGGCCGTCAAGGAGATCGACTTTACCACGACGCCTTACCGGGAGGATATCCCCGTCTTCGAAACCATTATCCGGTACCTGGGCGGTCTGGTGGGTGCGTACGACGTGACGGGCAACGATGCCAGATATCGCTCACTGCTGGACAAGGCTGTCGAACTGGCCGAGATTCTCATGAGTGTCTTCGACACCCCGAACCGCCTGCCCGTCCTCTACTACAACTGGAAACCCGCACACAACATCAACCCCAAGCAAGCGTCGATAAATGCTGGCGTGGCCGAGCTCGGGTCTATGAGTATGGAGTTCACCCGCCTTGCGCAGCTTACCGGCAAGCACATATATTACGACGCAATAGCGCGTATCACCGACGCTTTCGAGGAGCTTCAGAACCGCGAGAACGGAACCGCGATCTCGGGTGTCTTTCCCCAAAACCTGGATGCCTCTGGCTGTAACCGGACTGCTGCCAGGCTGGTGGTCGCCATGGAGAACAGCAGTGATGCCGCTCAAAAGCAGGCTGGTGATGTCGATTTGGGGCAGACTTCTGAGGGATACGAATCGCAGCACAATATGGGGGCGAGTGATGACTCCGGCTCTGGGCAAAACAAAGGTTTTCATGGGGGGGCCCAAAAGCGAACACCCCCACCTCACGGCGCGTCAGCTCCCCTAAACGCAAAAGGACAGCCAGGGAAAGCGGAGTGCGTTCCACAGCCCCTGGTAGGCGCGTCATGGGGCTCGGGCTCGTACAGCATGGGCGGCAGCCAGGATTCGACGTACGAGTACTTCCCCAAACAGTATCTGATGTTGGGCGGTCTCGAGCCCAAGTACCGCACCATGCACGAGAAGACGGTCGACGGTGTGACGCAGTACCTCCTGTTCCGCCCCATGGCCGAAGGCGACCCGGACATTCTCTTCGCCGCCAAGGCGTACAGCACCGACGGCACCACGGACAAGATGAGCTACGAGTGGGAGGTGACGCATCTGACGTGTTTTCTGGGCGGCATGTATGGCTTGGGAGGCAAGATCTTCAACCGACCACATGATGTCGAGATCGCGAAGAAGCTTGCGGACGGCTGCGTGTGGGCGTACGACGTCATGCCCGCAGGCATCATGCCCGAGTATGCTACCGTGTTGCCATGCAAGAAGCCTGATGATTGCCACTTTGACAGGAAGCGTGGTATGCAGCACTCGATCCCAACGCCGAGTGGCGCGAGAGGCAGATGGAAGAGTACTATGACCGCCTGGCGGAGTGGAAGGAACGGAAAGAGCAGCTGCTGCGGAAGCAGGCCGAGGAGCGAAAGCGCCAAGCCGAAGCCCAGAAGCAGGCTGCTGCAGAGGAAGAGGAGCGGATAAGGAGGCGCTCATCGCAAGGTCAAGATGTTGCCCGGCAAACCCCGGAGGGTTCTCCTCTCCCCGAGCTGAGGCAGCAGGATACGGCGTCGGCCGCTGGGTTCCAGAAGCGGGCTGCGCAGGGCGAATTTGGCACTGCATCAGACCAGACGCCCATGCCCGGATTAACCGTGCCGCCTGCACCTGTCAAGCCACTAACCCACCAAGAACACATCGCCCAGCGCCTCGAGAAGGAGCACATCCCGCCAGGATTCGTCACCCTCAGCGACAAGCGGTACATTCTCAGGCAAGCCTTTCCCAACCCCATCCCTTCCAGCACTGATATTCCCTCCCCCTCCCCCCCAAAAACCTCCCAACATTGACAAATTCTCCAGACCCGAAGCAATCGAATCAGTCTGGTACATGTACCGCATCACGGGTGACCCAGAGTGGCAAGAAAAGGGGTGGCGCATGTTCGAGGCCGTGGTGCGCGCCACGCGGACCGAGGCAGGACACTCGGCCATCCGCGATGTCACGGCAAGAGTGAGCGGCGGGCCCAACACGCTGCCTGACATGATGGAGGACAGCATGGAGAGTTTCTGGCTGGCTGAAACGCTCAAGTACTTTTACTTGCTGTTTGAGACGCCCGATGTCATTTCGTTGGATGAGTGGGTGCTGAATACGGAGGCGCATCCTTTTCGGCGGCCAAGGTGATATAGTGTTGTGTTTATGGATGGAGGAGGTGGCTTGTGGGAGGTTTAATGATAGATATATGGGCTCGTTTGTACGTTTGTTGCATGGAAGGACGTGGTGTTATCTCTGGATTCATCGGCTTTGGCATGGCGAACACGGCGTTGACGGGTTGGTTCCTCTGGAGTTACTGGAGCTTGGGTCACTTCTTACTCGTATATATAAAGGTACTCATCTTGGAGCGCTGATACCTTTCGCTGCTGCCTTGCCTCGCCCATATCGGTGCTGGTACCACTTAGCTGTATTGACATTCGGTTACCTTGTAGAGCTGCACATGGCCTGTGGTTTTTTGAAACCCAAATATCATCCGATAGGAGGGACAGGTATACAATATATAACAGCGTTCTGTACGCGCCCCTTCTTCGTACACTTCCCTCTATAAATCCCCAAAGAAAAGCTGCATCAAACCAACACTACAGCTATCGAGATTAAGTAATTCTACGATTGTCTGATGCCCCGCGTGACGCGCATGGTCTAGCGGTGTCCAGCCCTTGTCATCCTTTAACCTCTATATCCACGTGAGCCTGCTTGATGGGGTACTTGACGGTCGCTTCTTGCCCGCTACCGGTAGCACTATGGAGCGATGTCCAGCGATCGTTATCCACAGCCTCCTTATCCGCTCCTGCCTACTCGATGAGGTACTTGACGGTAGCTTGATGCCCGTTGGTAGCGACATAGTGCAACAGTGTCCGACCATACCGATCTCTGGCCTCAATATATATGGCCTTCTTATCAATGTTCTTCCCAACGAGTGCCTTGACGACATCCTCTGCTGCAGGAGTTCGCCCTCCGGTACCACCGCCAAATGCAATGTAGTCCTGCCATTATGGTCGCGTGAGTTCTTGTTCGCATCTTCCAAAACCCCTGACCATGTGTTCCTCGTCGATGAATTGCAACCCAATGTAGCGGAGTGCATTCTAGTCCATCCGTGGCATCAATGCCTGCCCCTGCTTCGATCCACGATTGCATCGTGTCACTGCCACCACGGATAACTGCACTGTGTGATGGACGCTATTCCGTCTACGTCTCGTATGTCGATCTCTGCGCCTTTCCGTAGGAGAATATGTATAATTGAAGCGCTGTCTGGTCCCGCGTGACAAGCAGCATAGTGTAAATGGTATCTGCCCACGGATATGCCGTACATTCACATCAGCTCCGCAGAATAGAAGTTCTCGCAGACATAGGGAATATGATCGCTGGCAGCGTAGTGGAGTGGTGTCGGGATGGCACGCTGGGAGACAGTGCGAGACAGAGAAATATGGGATTGGCTGTGTCTGTGTAACCGGCATCTTGAAGATAGCAGTGGTTTACACATGATATATCATGGATCCATCCTCCCCTTACACTCCCCGATCTTTCTCATTCCCTCCCTCGACCCCCACCTCCACAACTCATCCTAGCTTGACCTAATCCCTCCCTCCCCCCTCGACTAACAAAATAAGAACACCATGGCCTCTTAACCCAGCCAAAACCTCGTGCTAGGATACACAACCCTGGACCCCTTCTCGCAGATCCCCTCTCGGACCGGGTATCGGTCCAGGCACCCCTGGGGGCCGTGCTCGACCCCCTCGAGCCGTTCTTCTCCCCGCTCAAGGCCCGCGTGCGCTGCCCCGGCGCCACAACCGTGCGCTTCGACCCAACGGCTTCCGAGGTCGAGGGCTTCGCTCACCCGCTGTGGGGGGTGGCGTGCCCTGCTCGCCGGCGGCGGCAGCTATCGCGGGACGTAGTGGTGGATTGATGGGTACCGGGCCGGGACGGACCCGGAGAGCACAGAGTACTGGGTGTATCCGAGCGACAACGACCAGCGCATGGTCGATATATATCCGCTGAGGTTTACGCTCGCGGTGGCGCCCCAGATCTGGGAGGGGTTGAGTGAGCGGGAGAGGGGGAATGTAGAGGCGAGGTTGGCGAATAGTATCAATGAGAAGAAGTGAGTTCGGGCACTTCAGGTGGGAGAAGATTTTCATGCTGACATGGGAGGCAGCATGCCGAACACGAACTGGCTCTGGTTCCGCGTGTTTGCGAACTGGGGTTGAAGAAGAACGCGGGCAAGTTCTCGCAGGAGAGGCTGGATGCGGATATCAAGCATCTGGACACATTCTACAGCGGAGATGGGTGGTCGAATGATGGCCCCGAAGGGATTCATCGTGCGTGCCCCTGTCCCAACCCCTATTGACAAGATAGCCAAAGATTCTTGGCTGACCGAAGCAGCGATGGACTATTACTCGTCAAGCTTTTCTATTCAGTTCCTCCAGCTGCTCTACTTCAAGCTGGCTGGAGAGGAAGACCCGGAACGCGCGGCCGAGTTCAGGAAGCGAGCCCAGATGGCGGCTCTTGACCTAGCCCACCAGTCCAAGATATCTCTGTCTTTCACGTTACCGTTAAACCACCATTCGTCTTTCGCAGCCGCCATATGAAGTCGTGTGAACTTGAGGACCATGTCTTCCCTTTTCGGAGGATTGTATTCTCGACCAACTGACATGACCAGGAGCGGCCCTGCAGGTTGTACAGCCTCATGACGCCCCTTAGAAGTCATCTACAACTCCCTCTTGCAGCTTCTTCGAATTGTCAATCTCCAACACCTCCGGGTCGTGGATGTCATCCTCCTCAAACCGCTGGTCTTTCCTTAGCCCGATCGCATTGGTGAGAGCCCTCAGAAGCAGCGGCCTTGATGGTAATGTCGTCTTGTCTTGGGAATGTGTTTGCCTGTTCAAAAACCCACACAAGTATGCATTCGCGGCCTCCTTCCAACGGCCCAGCTGCTCGTGTGGCTTGGCCTTCGCACGCGCCCATTCGATGATGGCATCGGCCCGTGGCAGTTTGTTCTCCATGTTCAGTGGTGGAATGATGCATTTATAGACATCTTCCAGCCTCGCAAGCCCGGTGTCTCGTATGACTTGGGACATTTCGGAAAGTTGTGCGTTGTGCTATTCAAACGACTTCCACGCCGAATCGCTCCCGACACCGTCTCTCTCTGCCGGTCGTACGTCCGATCCCTCTTTGATCGGTTCTACCATCGTCTTCGCCGCGGACCACATGAAAGCGGTGAACATGTGTTAGGCGCACAATATCTTCAAAGGGCTGTATAATTCGACGGCCAGGGGCACGTCCCTCCGCGGGGATTCTGGGGACGTCCACTTGTACTGGTAGATGTCGACATCTGAAGACTTAGCCCTGGCGTTGGACACTAATCCGACAACTCGATGGCTCACGGCCTCCATAATGCTGTCGTCAGTGTCAGAGTTGAGGTCGTTAACCTCGATGACCCTAGCAGCGCCATCAGGCATCCGCCACCGGAGGTCTCTATACAGAGTTGCCGTATGCGAGCCCAGAAGTCGGAGGCTAGGCTTCTCTAGCGTTCCCTTGGTGCGCAGCCACGTATCGTCCTTGTTTCTCCCTTTTTGCTTCTCTTCCTCATCTCCAATGCCGTTTTCCTGTTTGTACACGGAATAAAGCCACAATGAGAAAGCAGCCTCAAGCTCGTCGGAGAAGACTCTCCAGCGACCACCTTGGGCCACTACCCGAAAGGCGATTGACTCCAGACCAGGCACATCGGGAAACATAAGGGCGGGAAGAGGCAAGGGAGTTCCTCGTTCGCAAAGCTGGGGCCGATTAGGCATCCATTGCCACCTCAATCGCGCGAGCTAGGGCAATGGCATCTGAGGATGCTGGCCCAGTCCAGCCGGCCAGCTCGCCAAGTCCCTCCTCAACGTCATCACTTCATGGGCTTTCGATCGTCCATCGCGCTCACTCGGCGGGCTCGTCGAACCCACGTCCGGACTCTGCTGAAGCGGTCTCAATTTCTCGCGTCTCTCCGGAACTTCAACGGCGGCAATGATCCAGTCCCAGTTGTCACCGTCAGTTGAAGGGCCGTGCTATTTGTCCGTCCAGGATCCAGCCCAAGGTCTGTAATAATTCTTCCACGTGCTGTAATCCTCATCTTCAAAAGGACACTGCCAAGGGGCGCTTGCAGGCTTCCCGAGGGTCATCGCCAGCCAATCCAGTTCGTAACCACGAACGAGAGGCACTGCCTTTGAATTTTTGGCAAGATTGCGACGGATTGCTCCTCTGAACGTGGTCATGACGACGGCTGCGCCAAGCTGGTCAACGGACGCTGACCAATGCATGTCGCCCAAACCGCTGAACTGCGCGACAAAGCCGCAGATGCTGACCATTGTACCAACGGCAGTGATTGCTTCTCGTACATTGTGGAGTATCGTCTCCTGTCTGGCCCGGTGTGCAGTTGTAATCAAGGGCAGCGCCGTCTCCGGGATTATTCCGAAGAACTGGAAAGCCTGGTCGTTCACTGTCCCATATTTCTGCAACCAGACAACCCGAACTTCCGTCTCATCCAGAGGGCGGTATCTCGTTTCCGACGTGCTGCTCTGACAACGTGGGCACAGATAAATATACCGGCCACCAATAGCAACGTGCCGGCAGCGGTTCACGGAAAGGCGTAGCCTGCGACTGGGTTTCCATCCTTAAGCTGCATGTGGTTGGGATGGTAGGTCGCGAGTCCCGAGTAGACAAGGACACCAAGCTGAAGAACAAGGCCACATACGACAACCATATAAAGCTTTCCTCTGCCCACTTGGTTATGAGTGTTGAGGGTGAGGTTGGGTGTGTCGGCGATCGCAATTTGAACAACGGCGACTGGATATTTGACGGTTCAAGATCGCAACCTTTGTCCGGCCACTCGGAGTTCAAACCGCTACCTATTTCCTCGTCTCTGACATTTGGAAAGGCTTTCCCCGGGTCCTCTTGTTTTTTAAAAGTACGCTTGCCAAGCATGGTTGCTCGAACGGTAGCGTTCCACTCGGGCCGGGACTCGGCTGATGAGTTTTCTGGACTGTCATTCTGTTGCGGGCCTTCTCAGTTTCGAAAGGACTCTGTACTTTGTGGCAGTAGCTACCGAAGATGCGTTCGAGAATGTTGGGCTCTGGGGAGAGAGTCAAATATACCGCTTGGACGTAGGAAGAGGAAGGGGAAGAGGAAGGGGAAGATTAGCGGGGCTGACTATGTAGTGTTAAATAGTACCGTTTGCTGGTGCTACCCGGTTCTGTAGCAGCCTCCCCTAACTCGGAGGGCACGGCGTCCTTCAGTTCCATTACCTGCATCGTATCAGAACTCGGCGTCACTGCCGTACTGTCTGGTCCCTGCCCTCTACTCCTTGCTTGGGCGTCAGGATGATGGATTCCCGAATCGGCCCCTTTCCCATTACCCTGACAATCTGCTGACCGTTCCAGTACTCACACACTTCGTTCGACGTAGGGGACATCAGCTCAGCCTCGACGATGGCACGGCTCTCCCTTGCTCTTTTGATGATGGCCTTGAGCCACGACAGGCCGCCGACGCGAATGGCGCCGACGATGGCGGTGATCACTCCCAGCGGGGCCATGGCCAGGATGATGTTGTCGGCCCAGCACATAGACTGGCTCATAAGCTGCGTAGTAACCACCTCACTAAAGAGCGCCAGGAGCCTAACTGCAGTATAGCGTCTGTACACTAAAGAGAGAAAAGAACGAAAGGAAAGGAAGGAAGGAATGAATGGGGAAAAACAAGAGGAAAGGAGAGAATAAGAGGAAAGAAAACGAAAAAGCGACAGCAAAGAAAAGGGAAAACAGAGTAAAGGAAAAGAGAAAAGAAGAAAAAATAAAAAGAAATATAAAGAAAGGAGTAAAGAAAGGGAAACATATAGGGGGAAGGAAAAAGGTGAAATAGGAGTAATGTCACGGCGATTGCGCCGTGCCTGCCAGGACCCACCGTGACAAGTAACGTGGTTTTCACCGAAAGCTCCACGAAATCGCACCAACAAAACGAAAACCGAAAGAATTCCACCAAGATGACTCAAAACAATCTAAAACATGCAGAATCGTCTTCTTAATACACTTATGGTACTATTTGACAGGTACGCGCATTATGACCAGGCCTGCCGCATCTGCCACAACGCCGCGTGCGCGTCTCGCTCCCCGGCTTCCGACCACTACCCGCCTGCGTTTCCTCCCGTATCTGCACCTCAACATCTCTCTGGGCTTGCAAATCCCGTCCACCCTGCACAGTAAGCGATCCTCCTTGCCGTAGCCGTTTTTTTTTGGCCCTCCGGCGTTTGCTTAGCGCCTCATTTGCTGCTCGAAGGCTCTGGTTCTCCGCCTTCAACAATGCAAACTGATGCATTATCCTCGACGTCCCTTTCGCAAGTACATCGACAGCCCTTAAAATCTCTGTCGGAGAGCTATCTTGATGCTGAGCAATCCGGGTCTTGATGAAAGTAGTCTGTGAAGAGGCTTCGATTGGGTTGTTTGGCGTCTTGGATACCAAGGTATGGGCACTGCCGGGACGTGAGTTGGTGGGTGTCGGCGTCTTAAGACGAATGTCGAGCTGGGAGATCACCACTTCGGGATTAAAAGGAACAAGTCCAGTGCCCCGAAATCCTCCCCGAGCATTGTCGTACGTCATGGTTGCCTGGTGAGCTGCAAGGAATGCGAAAAGAAAGTCCTCCTCGGTAATGTGGGTTATGCTTGCCCGCATCATCTCCTCGATCTGCTTGCCGTATGCCGCTTTGAGCGGGCTGAAACACCCAACATCAGCTGGCTGGAGCTTGTGAGATGAATGAGGGGGCATGCAGAGGGTAATGATGTTGTTCTCCTTGCAGTAGAGCTCAAAGTCTGTCGAGTGGTGGCTTTCATGGCCGTCGAGGATGAGGAGGCGATAAACCCCGGTTGTTCGAGCTTTGGTGTGCTTGTCGAAATGTTTAATCCAGTCCAGACCGATTTCATTGGTAGTCCAACCGTTTTCAGATGTAGCAATCACCCAGTCCTTCGGCAATGGGCTATCCTCGTACCAAGAAGAGAGATGATGGGTGCCCTCCAGGATGATGAATGGCGGGAGTACCCAGCCTAAGGCATTGATACACTGGATCACGGTGGACCATTTGCGGTTTCCTGGCTGCCTTGTCTTCCGTCTACCACGCCGTTCAGTGCCCGTAACAACCAGTACAGTCGAGATAATGCCCATCAAGAACCCAATCTCGTCAAAGTTATAGATATCCGCCTCCTGGATACCGTACTTCGCGATTGTGTTCTGTACAAGCGCGAACCAGCCACGATTAATATCTGGATCTTCGCATAAGGCCCTCTGGTAGTCGTATTTCCGATTGAATCGCGTAGTAAGGTCTGGTTGTCGTTTAACGAAGCGATGCGCCCAGAGCGCGCCGACGCGTCCCGCGTCGCGTTCAGCAAGTAGTCGGTTGGCCATATCCTCCACACTGGACAAGCGGGGGGGAAATCCTCTGGAATCCAAGTCGAGGACATACTGAACAATGACCGATTCTTCTAAATCAGTCAACTTCCGCGAGTTGGCTGTGATATCGCGTCGTGATGGTTTGCCCCGTCGGCGGCGGCTCAATTTCGTATGATGGACCGAATAAATCTCAGCTGCAGCTCTTAGGCTTAAAGTCGGGTCCTTTTCAAGAGCTTGGAGGGCCAAGGCAATCTGGCCTTCATCGTTTTTCTGTGGCATATTGGATTTGCGGAGAATGTAGGTGTAAAAGAGAGATGTCGCGTGGGACGCGATCAATTGGAGCTTTCGGTGATATGGAGCTTTCGGTGATATGAAGCTTTCGGTGATAAACCACGTTAGTTATGTAAAGAAAGGGGAAAAATAAGAGGAAAGGTAAGAAAAAATAAGACAACAGCAAAAGGAAAAATAAAGAGGAAAGAAATGGAAGAAAATTACGAGGAAAGAAAGAGGAGAAGGAGGAAAGAAAGGAAAGAAGAAGAAGAAATGAAAAGGAAAAGAAGGAAAAAAAAAGAAAGAAAAGAGCATGTACGGTGCTAACTCGGTAAACAGGTTGTTGGAGAAATTGTCTCCGTCGTCCGCGCGAACGCATCTGACAAAGCGGAGCCCACCGAGGAGCCTCAGTAAGTTGGTGGGCGTTATACCGGGTACCAAGGGAAGTTGAGAGGAACGGACGTCTGGTGGTTTGATAGCTGTCAGCGTTTAGAGTCTCTCAGCTTCGGGAACCGCAGCGGAACGGGCCGCGTTCTGAAGGTGGCGCAGAACCCTCTCATATTCGGCGGCCAAGAGCACCTCGAACGCTTTGGGGGTTGAAAAAGCCGCAGCGAAGCTTTGTACAGTACCTAGGCTTGCACCAAATTCGCGGTGCGCTGCGAGCGCCGCCTCAGCTGCTGCACACCCTCGCGCGCGGCCGGTCCAGCGTGCATGTTGCATATATCTGCACGGTTCCGTAGCGCATGCCAACAAATGAAATGTTGTCGTGCAAATGCTGCAGACAGCAATGCCTGCCACTGCGAGGGCGTCGCTGAGCAGGGGCGATTGAGCGGGCCGCGGTTGGCAGAAGGTGCAGAATGTTGACAAATATTGTACTTGAATATTGACATACAGATGAGGGAAGGAACATGTCAGGTCGCGCAACTCTCAGAATGAAGGCACGAAATTCTACCCCCCCGCCCCCCCTCCCGTGCTGTCCTCTGCCAGCTGTATACTTTTTGGAACTTCCAACTCCGCGCGTGAACCATTCTGTCCGATGCTTTTCTGACTAGGTGATGATAACAACCTGGACACAACTGGGCTTTGATCGCATCGCTTCCAAACCGTAACTTCAAATCCATTTATGCTTGATCACTTGCTTGCGTCTCGCTATATATCTACAGCGCGCCTGTGGCACGCTTTTCCAAGTACCACCCCTCAGCCGGCCGCTTCAGTTGTGCCGTGATGAAGTTCCACACACACCACACAGAAGCCAGAAATCTCCCATCCAACGACCACTCTGGTCGCCTTCTACCCATTATTTGCACATCTTGAGTCGAGGAGAATAAACACAAATACAAAAACAACATGCTCCCCCATAAGAACAACCAACCCTCCCATATCGTGATATGGCCGGACCAGAGACTGGGCACGGGTGGCATCGTATCCTCCCTTCCCCCAACTCCATCGTGGTGAGACCGTCATCCACAAGTCGCGAGACTTGGTGCCGGCGCATTCAGACATCCCATCTCATGGGCTGGCTGGTTCCGTTGTGTTTGCCCCAGTTCGCATCATATGTACCATCCATCACATTTCCCAATCCCATAACCCTATCATCGTCATCCCAGACTCATCCCGTCATACAAGCCATACGTAGCGTAGCGTAGCCGTAAATCAGAACACAACCTCTTTGCTCCATGCCCCATCCCCTCCCTCGTATGTACGTCTGAGCCTCCGGGCGCATTCATCAATCCATAATATGCTCCAGCACCTGCATGCTCAATATCATGACCAGCAAGCCGATTGTGACAATGATGAGCAGCGTGAAGCTGAACCAGCCCATGACCATGGCAGAACTACCCACGCCCGAGAGCACGCTGCCGTTGCCGAGGTCCTGGGCGATGATGCTAGCCGCGACCGACGCCGTATGTTGCCAGAGAACCGAGACCAGCACAAAGATGGAGGCGATGAAGATGATGGCCAGCGCGACCTGGCTGACGGGGCGGGAGGGGAAGGGTTTGACCTCGCGCTCGGAACCTTCGCTGTCTTCTTCCTCGTGCCAGCCGGGGAAGGTGGCCAGGAGGAGGAGGCAGATGAAGGCGAAGATGATTGCGATGATGCTGTTTGGCAGAGTGTTAGCAGACTGCGGCTAAAAATGTTCATGAAGGGTAGTGAAAGCGAGAGGCTCACAGCAGGTAGGGAAACACAATCATGTCTTTGAACTGGCTGGCCAGCCAAATGAGGTTGAGCGGATCCTGGTCGACCGAGACCTCGTTCGCCAGCGTCGTCGCGTTGTTGCTACACAACCAGGAGCCGCCGTCGGGGCTCACGCAGATGCCGAAATAGCCCACGCGGGCCTGCAGACGCGCACCGCCGACGATGTTGGCGATGGCGTTGTTGACGTTGTAGTCGACCTGTGCTGTGTCGGGCACGGCCGTGTAGCGCTGGTAATAGAGCGACAAGAGGAAGATGTCCGGGATCAGGGGTGACGAGGATGAACACCCGGCGAGAAGCAGCGCTGTGGTGAGGGGTGGTCAGCCATGGTGGTTGCGAGAGGGACCGGGAGTGGGAAAGGGGCGTTGAACTTACACAACAATATTATTGCCACGGCTATCAGAATCATCAACACGTGGTGGTAACCCAGGAATGGTACCCATCCTATAGAGCGCGTCAGTCAGGAATGCCAGGTCTATCTCTCCCATTCCAGCCAGGAATGCGCCATGTGGGAATGACTCGGATATCTCGTTGCACTTACGATACCACCCTAACTGAAATCTGGTTGCCATCTTGGGCGTATTTGTGGTATCCTTCTACTGCTCGACTCTGCGATGCTGCTCGTAGAACCCACACCGGTCCTCCGCGAGCTTCGGAGTGACGGTTGGGGTGGATTGCGCCGGCGGCGACAGCGCTGACCAAAGCTTGCGAACGTCGTCCCGGTAGTAGGCTGACTATCCCCTGGGGCAATGACCCTAGCGCCAATGCCGCGCTGGAATGCGGCAGGCAGCCTCTTCCGTGTCTCGTCTCGCTGAGTGTCTCGGTCGACGGTCTCTGTCGGCTCGGGAAGCGAGGCACGCTGCGGCAACGGGCGAACCAAGTGGCGGTTGATCGAGAGACTGAGGAAATCTATACAGTTGATATTAAGGAGAGGGCTGCCACCTCTAGCCAAAAGTCAAACTGTTGGACAAACAGACGTGGAGACAGACAGCTTGGGTTACAGGTGACGGGTGATACCACACTGGTTTGCTTGGGGCCAGACGTTGGCTGGCCTTCCTGACTGCGCAACACAAGCGTTAGGATGCGTACGGGATGCAGAAGAGGAAAGTAAGAAATGTGGGAAACGTGCTACACATTGGCATGCGGAAAGAAAGTGGAAGTTGAGGACGAACTCACCTTGCGACGAAGTCCCTCGATCGGCGCAACGAATGTCGGTGGCTGGAATGGGCAGTTAATCTTTGTTCAAAGAGAAATTGGAGAATTGCGAACAGGATCAGAAGGGGGAAGAGTCTAGCCCGCCATCCGATTTCCAAGTGCCTAGGATGCAAAGGTGCGACTGAACGGGCGGCATCCCTGATGCGGTTGTCCCAACCACCCGACTTTTATTTACTTTCAGCCCGTTGGCCGGGCACTCAATCAGCAAGGTTGCGCCAGGGCTGGTCTTGGCAGGAGTTGCACAGCCAGGGTCCGTCAATTGCCCCACTTAGTGACAGTGACGCAACTGTCTAAAGTAGGCCCACGAATCCTTCAGCCTGCAGTGGCATCAAAAGACACAAAACACCTTTTGCAGGACAACCACCACGTCTTAATTCCCTGGGGTCACTTTGCGGAACAAAGCTGCCTCAGCAGCCGACGTTGGAAACAGCCTTACGGATACTCCGTGCATGTTGTTGGTAAACAGCTCTTTCAGCGTCTTGGCATTCGATCGGCGACACTTTGAGCATCCCGAGTCAAAGTGCTTTGGCGGAGGGTTCACGATGGCACCATCCCCTAGCAAACTATAACATGTTTGTTACAAGCCTCTGCACCAACTTACAGTGTCATGATAATTTCATGGGTTACGTTTTAGCTCAAGACGCCATTGTTCCGTCCACCGGGTTCGGTAACTGTTCGGGGACTCTCGAGGTTGAACCCGATTTGTCATCAAGTGAACTCTTGTGTGACTGAAATCCATTTGAGGGGCGATTTAAACTCGAAGTTATTCCCATTTTTGTTGCTCGTTTGGAACAACAGCATCCAACAGGATACCTACCAACCGAACCGCTTGTTGCGCACTTTGTCGCCAGAACCATGACCAACTTCAATATCAAGATCGTTTCCGACGCTATCTGCCCTTGGGTGAGTTGACACCCCTGTCAGTCCCACGCTGTCTATCATTAATCCGTGCACTCAAGTGCTATGTAGGCAAGAAGCGCCTTGAACGCGCCATTGAGACGTACAAGAAGGACGTTCCCGGTGGCGCGAATGATATCTTTACTATAACCTGGCACCCCTTCTATCTCGATCCTACCCTGCCCAAGACCGGCATCGACCGCAACGTCCATTTGGCCAGAAAATTTGGGCCCGAGCGCATGGCCATGGCCACCGCCCACCTCAAGACGCTCGGCGAGGCCGAGGGCATCAAATTCTCGCTGCAGGGCAAGATTGGCAACACTCGCGACGCCCACCGGCTCGTGCAGCTGGCCAAGACAAAGTCCAACGAGACCGAGAATCGAGTCATATCGGCGCTTTTCAAGAGCCATTTTGAAGAGGATGCCGACATCACGTCGCAGGAAGCGCTGGTGGCGGCCGGTGAGAAGGCTGGTCTGGACAGGGCGGAGGTGGAGGACTGGCTCAGCGAGGGCAAGGGCGGGAAAGAGGTCGATCGTGAAGTCGAGAAGGCATACAGCGAGGGCATTCACGGCGTTCCTAACTTCACCATAAACGGCCGGTATCAAGTGCAAGGAGCCCAGGATGTGCAGACGTTCCTTGACGTGTTTGCGCGGGCCAAGAAGACTTCGCCAGATGTCAGCACGGGTTCTGCAGAGGGGGTAACATGCTAGCATGGATTTACTGACCGTCTTTCAATTCCAAGCCGCGCTAAAGCACACTTCCCAAACCGTTCACGGGGCCATGCTGCGAATCGTGTCTCGGAGAGAGAGCTACTTGTCGACCTCAAATGTTGAGCAGCCCTCCAAGATCACTCTCAATCGTGCGCAATTTCGCCTGCAACTCCCTCTTCCTCTTATTCAGCGCCCTGACTTCCTCCTCCTCCCTTCTCAGATCTTCCTCTGTCATGACCGCCTTACCCTCCCCTTCTTCCTCCTCCTGCCCCTCCTCATCCACCTCCTCTTCGTCCAACACCCTCTCCAAATTCATCCTCTCCAGAGCCTCCTGCTGCTCCGCTACCTTGCCCTCGTAGTACGCCAGTGTGTTGCTCTGCTGCGCATACTTGGCCCGCTGCGCGGGAATGCGCTCGAGCGCGCCGGAGAGCGGATACACGGCGCACAGCTTCTCGGCGCCGTGCAGTAGCACCTCAATGTCCACGTCTCCGCCTCCTCCTCCTCCTGCTGTTCGGCCACCGCCGTCTCCAGCACCGCCGCCACCACGCCGCATAATCTGCGCGTGCAGGTCCCCGCCCAGGACGGCCGCCACGGCCGTGTTACGGCGTGCGGTGGGTGCCGTGCGGGTTGAGTTTGGTGGTGGTCCAGTGATCACCTCGCCTGCGGCGACGTTGAATATGGTTTGGCGGCGGGCGGAGGGTTTTGCGGGGTGCGCGTCGGGGTTGTTCTGACGTGTTGTTGTTGAAAGGGGAGGTGGGGGTGGGGGCACGGAGAAGAGGGCGCGTTCGTGGGCTTCGGTGTCGCGGATTAGGGATGTGATGTCTGGGTTGGAGAGGAGGGCGTTTGTAAAGATCTTTGGGGGTGGGAAGCTGGTGTTTTGTGTCAGCTGGAATTGTGTCCTCTCGGTCTTTTTTGTGGGGGAAAGCGGCGGTGCTATGGTCCATGGAATCTTACGGAAGGCTGTCAATTCCATGACATGATATGCATATTTGCTCTAGATGAGCTGAAAGAAGTGACATTGTGAAAGCTGCAGTCGTTTGAAGTATTCCAGTAGTGGTTTGACGGCGATGCCGGTGTTTGCTATGGGCTCGGTTCTCTTGGCATGACGGTTGCCCCTGGCCTCCAAGCTCGACCACCATGCCCAGAACACCCCGCATATCTAAGGAGGACTTGGCCGGAGGACTTCCTCACCTTACCTAAGCAGCCAGCCGCTGCCCTTTGAGGTTGAGCAAACCTCGTCTCAGGTCATCAACTGTCACACTTTTACGTTCGCAATGGATACGCCGCAACACTGTTGCGTTTACCTCCAGCTGCCCCGATTTCTTTGTAATACATTTCCGTCTCAGACTTGTAAATGCACTCCCTTATCTGGATAGCTGGGGCATGGAGCCCAACGGCATCTCTTGTACTCGTTCCAGCTCCACCCTGCATCAGATACAGCTTGGCCTTCGTGGTCCTCAGATCAGTCCATCCACCCCCAGACAAGTAATGGCAATCATCCTTTGCTCGAATGCGGAACGTGCATTGGGTTTAAGTATGTCGGCGACTATGCCGGCGAAAACTCTGAACGCGCGTTCGCGAAATGCTCGACAACCTTCGACCGGCTTCTTGATTTGCTCAAGCAATGGCCGTAACTCCCCAGCTGGGAGGATGCCATCTGCTGCTCCTTGCAGCGCTCATCATGGTAGTTTTCCTTCCACTCATTGGGCATGCTTGCCGCTGGAGGAGAGGTGCTGCAGGAAAATCGGCCTGGACTTCACCTCTTTCGGTGGCAGTTGGACCCCTGATTCGACGCCGGCTCGTGGAGGGCAATCGTGGATGGCGGACGGCAAAGCGCAGAACCTGCATCGCATCTTTCTTTGCTCTGTTGCGCAGTTTGACAAGCTGGATACCTCAACCGCCACCACGACCTTTCGTGACACCGCATGAAGCCGGTAGACAGTCCCTCGAATCCACTAACGCCAACCTCCGGTCTCGCGCTGTACGTCCCGTCTTCATAGGTTAGAGCCTCTCGCTTGCGGCCTTTCCCTGAGAGTGAGTCAGGGGCTCGCTGGAGCATTGCTGCCCAAGCTGCCGCTACGTCTCCATACGGCACCAGGTCGACAGGACCAACAGAGACTCGCTCTTTTCTATCCTGCTGTTTTCCTTTAGGGGCTCCATGCCCGGCAGCAAGGGGCACACTGGATATACCACAAACCTACGATGGAACTTCGGCCCGATGCTCAACCGTAGTTCGTAGTCGTGGGAAAATTTAGCCCATTATCGGAGCCCAGACGGCAGGGCCTACGTCTTTAAAATAGCCAAAACCACACCGCGGTCCTCTACCGGGAACGGGTCTTTGAGATCACGGCATCTTGTCCTACCTCGACTGTATCCCTACCTCCATCACAAGGGACAACTGACCGTCCCGCCCCTCCGACGAGTTGCCCCCAGAGCTGCTGGCACCCAGGCAATTGCGCAAGCCAGCGCACCTCGACCAAGCAGCGCAACGGCGCACGTCTCCCGTGGCACCGAGAGCACCGCTTCCCCCCCTCCCACTCACCCCCCGCAACCCAATTGCTCAGCTGCTTCTGCTCCGATTTCCCCCCAAGAGCAATATCGGAAAATCAGCCTGACCTGCGCGCATCCTGCACCTAAGCTTTTAACGGGAATTATCATGACAACCAACAAAAAGCCCATATCTTCTCCTCACTGGAGGTTCATTCTTTGGGTGCTGACGCCCTGATCCTGCTCCCTCAACTCTCATTTTCTTTTTCTCGTCGGCCCCGCCATCTCACCTTCTACCCCACACTTGCAAGGGCAAAATCGATAAGATCCCGCGAGAAGGGCCCCTGGTGGAAGGACTGCAATACTCCGTACCACGCTGCCACGGCAGTCATTGGAAGGTCGAAGCGCACCCGACATCGTCCGGGCTGCAGCACAACTCGCCCAAACAATGTGGCCAAAGACGACAAGGTCAAAATTATTTCAAAACGTGGGGCCATCCTCCCCGCCAGAAACACCCAGGACCACGTCTCCTGTTTTTGGCCGCAAGAGCAGTCCCCCGCCGGGGGAGTTGCCGCCACGGGTTCCTCTTCGTCCAATGGCGCCGCCACTGTCGACAACCAATACGGCGGTCAATGGGCTGGCTGCCAGCCACGAGAATGCGATTCGCCCCGACCAGCTCTCGCCATGCCCTAGCAGCTCGTCGTCTGCGGCGTCATCAGATTCGGAGGATTCGGAGGGCTCGATTGCCGCAGTCGGCGTTTTGCGGTTGGCGACCCAAGACCGGCGATCGGGATTGGCCCCACTCGCGCCGGAAGCAAGGATAGGCCGCATTGTGACACAGACCGAGCTCATCGTCGAGGAGTTGAGCGACTTTGGTGACAGCGACGGCGAGCGGCCCGGCGTGGTCCGGCCTTGCGCCATAGAATACGCCGAATCAGACCGCAGCCGCTCAACGTCGCGAAATCGGCCTGAGATCGACCAAAAGATGATGTACAACCTCGGCAACCTCAACTGCAGCGATGGCTCATCCGAATCAGACCTGGACCCGGATGAGGTTCACGCATTCCTAATCAAGCGGCGCGCCGAAAGGAGGCGCCAGCGCATGAGCTCAGGCAGCATCGGCAAGCGGACCATCAGCGAGAGCATCGGCAGCGACACGGACCGCGAGGACATCCGATCTTTTTTGGGCGCCGAGGAAGCAGGCTCCAGCGCACGTCGCCTGCGGCGGAGGGTTGGCGACCGACACAGTTTGCAGTTTCAGGATCCCCCGCCGCCCAGGATCGACGAGCTCGACGAGCCCAACTCGAGCGAGGACGAGATCTTCATTGGCGAGTCGCTCGCACGCGAGCTTCCTTACTATGAATACGTTAGCATGGAGGTTGATTCCCCATGATGGCACCCAGCTGCCTTGTCATTATTCGGCGATGCCTGAGGGAATTATGGGAAGGCCCGGCTCGGTCTGTTGACCATAACCCCTCTTATCGGCATCTTTCATTTCATCCTCCACTTTTGATGATGACGCCAACGACGATAACGATGCCAGCCGATGATGTGATGATATCAAATCCGACTGCGGTGGCGATTCACCTGGATTATGTACTTTGTGATGCTGGGGGTCATACGGCATCTTTCCTGTGCATTGTCTTCTGATAATGGCAGTTTGTTGTTGGGGCTTTGCGAGACACACGACATACCCACGGCCTAATGAGCCACTCGGCAACGGACTCAATTTGCTGGCTTCCAACGGAGCACCCCTCGGCACTGACCTATTCCTCAACTAACCATCATCACGGGAGCCTCAAGGCGGAAATGGAAAGCTGCAGTTTTAGACGCACGGGGTGAGGCGGCAGAAAAAAAAACGAAACGTTAAAACAAGAGCTATGTTTCATGGGTTTGGCTGCGGCGCGCATGTATCACTTATGGCTGATGATACCTGATAGACTGGGGACTGCGATTCTTGGGAGGCGGAAAGCACAGGCTTGTTCATCAAACCCTTTTGAATCTCGAGTTCATGGCACCTCATGTAGTCCATACGGCGGGCAGGTTGGGTGACATCTGGACCGGAGTACTCCTACTGTACCGCGCGACTTTCTGTTTACCGGCTGCTCTGGGTTCTGAAATGCGGGATAGACTTGAGGCATTTCTAAGTTTCTATACCTTAGAGAGCATTTCCATGTGGCCAGTGTATAGGGCATGGACGTCCCTTGCATTGAATGGCCGGAGCTGAAATCTGGGTGCGCGTGTGTTTGCAGAAGGTCCTTAATAATGATTGCCGATCCATCTCGCTCAGCCGCGTGCGGTGCAATCTCATGGGAGAAACAATGAAGAAAGGAGCTGATGTTGGATGGGTGATCATGAGGCAAACATGGCTGCAAGTTTCAGATAGCATCGAACCCCCGCTGTCGCCATCTTTGCGCCAAGCATGGACGCCGATGCCAGGTCGCGAGTGGGCACTGCGCCTAGAGGAAGTTGGCTGTATTCGGACGGTGCACCGCTCGACACCGAAGGCGTTTGCTGCGGCGGTACGGATTTTGACTCGACGGCAGCATTCTGGAACTGGTCGTCGACATGTCCAACATGGTATTGTACCGGCGGGCGCGCAACGAGCTGATGCAGATTAAGACGCAGAAGAAGGACGGGGATGTGTGGTCTCTGGTTCGTGTCACCTTCGTCTGTGCCTGGGTGTGTGAACATGATTACGAGGCTAACCAATCAACGGCCGTGCAGCACCTCGCCAACCACGTAAGGCTTCGGCCTTCAGGGGTTCCACCATGATGACCGAGGGAATCATCCGTGCAGACGAACATCCTATGCATCTTATCACTCTCGCGCGTTTTAACCTCCTCCTTCTCGTCAAATCCGGAATCAAACCCAAGTAGTTCGTCTTCTCTCCTTGATTCTGACGACTTATCCACCGATTACCCGAACTCGTCCCAGCAACGGCGGGGTGAAGTCGACCAAGCCTGCACAAGTCCTGTCCAACGTTGAATACCGAGCATCGCCTCAATCCTGTGTTTTCCCACACCATTTCCCACGGCGCGCGCCAGCCTTTTAAACATCTTGGTCATTCACGGGGTACATCAGTGGAACATGAACCCACAACCCGGCAGCCAGGGCGTGGCGGGGCGTCCCAATGCTCCGAGTGCCCAGGCCGCCGGCGCCCCGAACCGACAGCAAGGACCCTTCCTATACCGGCCCGAACAGATGCGACAAATCAGCATTCTCAACGAAGACGAAAAGGTTAAGTACGAGAAAGGCCTTGCTGGCCTGTGGAAAATCCATGACAGCGCACTTCCCGGGTCTCAGCAACGACTGGACGCTGAGAAGAAGATCTCCGACTTTGGCAAGATGCTTATGGGGAAGCTAAACCAGCGTCGCGCGATGCTTCAGCAGCAACAACAGCAACAGCAGAACGCGCCGCAACAGCCGCTGCAGCAGCTACAGCAGCAACCACAACAGCAAGCGCAGCAACTGCAGCAACACCAACAACAACTACCGCAGCAGCCGTCTCTTCAGCAGCAGCCCGGCCAAGCTCAAGCTGCTCCGCATGGACAGCAGGCCCCGGCCGCCCCAGCAGGCGGCGGGCAATCCAGCAACATGGCCAATCCTGCTTCCCAGCCCCATGCGTCAGGCGCCCAGGCGCCGCACCTGGCTGCTGCGACCGCCCAGGCGAGATCGCTGCCTGGTCACATCATAAGTCACCTCAACGAGATGCAGTTCCAAGCGCCGGCCGATGTACAAAACAAGGCAAAATGGCTCGAGGAAATCCGGCAGAAATACGCCAGGGCACTCTACTCGATGGACAACGCCCGCAGCGCGACCAAGACGATCGAGAAGACGCTGCAGGATAATCCATCGCTGCCCCCGGAGGAGAGAAAGAAACTGGAGGAGCGCAAGGCGCAGCTTCACAAGCAGTACCAGGACGCCATCACGTTTGCCAACGCGGTCAGGAAACAGTATGGCGGCGGCAACCAGATGTCCGCGCAGAATGGAGCCACAGGCGCCGGTGTTGCCAACCAGGCACGTCCGCAGACTTCAGGGCCCCAAGGGGTGGCTCAACCTGCCGCGCAGGGAGTGGGCAATGGGGCACCGGTCGCTGCTTCTACAAGTCCAATGCAGAGCTCCACAGCTGCCGTGAATGCCGCCATTGAGGCTGCCAAAAAGCAGTCAATGGCAGCTAGTCGCGTGCCGGGTGTGGTGAACGCGCTTCCCGCGCAACCCGGCCCGTCACCGCAGTCGCAGGTCCAAGCTCCGGCGACACCAGCACAGGCGCAACCCTCTTCAGTCGCTCAAGCGCCTCCGGCACAGCCTGTCCAACAGACACAGCCAGCGCAGCAACTTCAGCAACCACCGATCAAAATCGAGCCCGGCACACAACCGCTGCCGGCGCCTCTCAACACTGCCATCGCAGCAGCAGCTGGCGGAATTCCTTCGGCTGGAACACCGACACAGAATTCGGCTCGCCTTCAAACGCCCCAATCGGCGACGCCCACAACTGCAAACGCGAACATTCGACCTCTCACGCACGCTGCTGCCGTCAATCTGGCGTCTCAGCCGCGGCCCGGAGGCGTCCCTCCAACCCCGACAGCCGCGCCCGGAATCGGTCCCGCCTCAGGAACGCTCGGCGGAATCGGCGCATCGCAACAACAGCAAGGACACTCGCACGCGCACCCGGCGCAACAGCAACAGCAGCCCACTGCGCACAATCTCCAGTCCAAACTGCCGATTCCCAAAGTGCTCCACGAAAAAGCCGGGCAAATGCCGACTCCGGTCCCTAACATTGGCGGCATTGGCAGCACCCCCCGCCCCACATACAGCGGCGGCGGCGGCATCGGCGGCGGCGTCATGAACCAGCCCGTCCTGCCCAAGACGCCGGCCTTCCAGCTTGAAGGCGAAGGCGAGCGCATTCTCAACAAGAAGAAGCTGGATGAGCTGGTGCGCCAGGTTTGTGGTGGTACGGCGGAGGGCCAGGAAGGGAATTTGTTGACTCCGGAGGTGGAGGAGGTAAGTTTTGCATTCATTCTTCTATCCATCAATCATTGTTGCTTGTTGTCTCTTGTTTACTAACGGCATCAAAACCGCGCAGTCCGTCCTCAATATGGCTGATTCCTTCGTCGACAACGTGCTGCACCAGGCCTGCCGCAACGCCAAGGAGCGCGGCTCCAAGGTGCTCGAGATCCGCGACATCCAGCTCGTGCTGGAGCGCACCTACAACATCCGCATCCCCGGCTACTCTAGCGAAGAGCTGAGGACGGTGCGCAAGGTGCAGCCCAACAGCTCGTGGATCAAGAAGATGAGCGCCGTGCAGGCCGCCAAGGTTGTCCCTGGCAAGGGTGATATTTGACAGTCTGTCCCTCTTTGTCTTATATCTTGTACCTCGGCATGCTTTGCTATTGATCACAAGGCTGAGGCGGTATGGAACCGGCGTAAGGGAAGCTGGCGCTTGAGCTCCGAGCGGGATGGATGAATCGATGAATATGCTATTTCACACCGTGAGGGACTTGGCGTTTAGGGGTGGAAGGGAATACAGGGCTACCACGAGACCATAGGACAGGAGGAGACCAATAATTCAAGCGGCGTTTATTTACTTTGGCGACTTGGCGTTTTGAGGTGAGACTTGGGTCAGATATCTTACTGGCTTATTGGCAGGGCTCTGGACGCCGTTCTATCCCTACGTTGGGTGACGTGATAGCCCTGTGCTCCAAGGCGCAGAGCAGGGTATGTGGTACAATTTATTGACGCCCGGCGGATAACCCGAAAGGGCAACTATTACAATCTGACTATACATATCCCAAGATATGTCCTGATCTCGTCGGAGCCCATACAAATTATAAGGTATAATAATGGGTGATAACGAACATCAGAGTGCCCGAGTCAGGTCGTTCCCAGAGAAGGCGTCAGGAATCTGGACCATCATGTGATACATTTAAAAGTGATGTCGGTTTTGGGCTGAGTCAAGACAACGAGCAGAAACACCCAGAAGCTGAGGGCCCAGCAGGCAGCAAATCGACAACGTCACAAAGTGTCCAGCCAGCCCAAGTGGGTCGCCTGCGGCGAGCCGCCTCCACTGGTTTCCAGTTGCCAGCCGATTCAGGCAGTGCAGCTTGTGCAAGTACTGTGGCCCGAGCTGGTACTCCTCTCAACTATCAATCAGCGCGCATTTACAGGTAGCGCTGCAACATGCAATACCTGAGATTCAGGGCAACAGAAGCTTTCGGTCGGCGCTCCCGTCGTGGATCGTGTCACGTTTGGCGACCTGCTCTCCCAATCTCCGACTGCCTCGACCCTTTCGAACCTCCCATTCCTGCATCACCAAACCCAAAGCACAACAACCTTCCATCAACCGCGGCGATTATAATCTTGACTGCTTGTAGGCCGGTGCACTGTTGCCTCGGGCACTCTACCTGCGTTCCGCTTGCCGTGGCCGATCATTGAGCTCTTCCATCCGCCACCCCCCAACAAACAAACTTGGCAGGTTATCCATCTGACCTTGGACCCAACAAGTCGCTGCGCGCTTCGCGATCTCCCAGCGCCATCCATTATCTCAACCCACATCCTCCGTCGGTGGGCTCATACTGATTTATAACTATCCACGGACTTGAGACATCAGACTTGAACAAGTCCGACATGCCCGGCAAGACCCCCGATAAAGAGCCCGTCGAGAATGGCGGTTACCGGGGAGGAAAGGACATGACGGACAAGGACCTCAAACCGAAGGGCAAGAAGGCGAGCAAGAAGGACGGAGACGACGAGATGACGGTGGTTGTGCCACCCTCAAAAGCGTCAAAGCAGTCGTCGGTCCCTCCGCCCAACGATGCCGAGGGTGACGTCGTCATGGATGACGCCGAGAAGGCTGCCGAGGGCGAGGTCAAGGCCGACCCCTTCGCCCAAAGCGTCAGCGGTATGCGACCTTGATCTGCTGCGAAATGCCTCCGCCCGAAATTGACTAACGGCCGCCTGAACAGATATCAAGAGCAACTTCGCCCTCCTAGACCGCGCCATCGCCCTCTTTGACGCAAGATTCACCCTGCGCGCCCTGCGGTCCATCTCATCAATTCGCAAACGCCTGACGCCCGACATTCTCGCCCAAGCCATCTCAGAGACCTACTCGTCGTCCTCAGCCAGTGCCAACCTCGCGAAGCAGATGCTGCATGCGATTGGTCGGCCAAACGTGTCGCTGGGCCGCCAATCCGGCCCGGAGATGGAGATTGACAGCGAGCCCAAGGCTGTCTCTAAGAACAGCGCGAAGAAGGAGTTCAAGGAGGTCATCCCCGAAGTGGATGTCTTCTTGGGTATCCTTACACAGGTTGCGTTGCACGACAGCAAACAGTTTCAGCAAGGTTTCGAGTTCTCGCACTCCCTTGTGGACCGGATCCGCTCTGTCAACCGGCGCACCCTTGACAGCCTCTCCGCCAAGGTGTACTTTTACTACTCGTTGTTTGCTGAGCAGCTCGCCCCGCTCCCGCCCTCCTCGCAGTCTCCCGTCGTGTCGATCCGCCCAACACTTCTTGCCGCGCTCCGGACAGCCGTGCTCCGCAAGGATGTCGACACGCAGGCGTCGGTTATCGTTCTCCTGCTCCGGAACTACCTCCTTACCTCGCACATCTCGCAAGCCGACCTCTTGGTCTCGCACACCCAGTTTCCCGAGAATGCCGCAAACAACCAGGTTGCCCGCTTCCTCTACTACCTCGGCCGAACCCGTGCCATTCAACTCCGCTACACCGAGGCACACGAGCATCTGACGGCGGCGACACGGAAGGCACCCTCGAGCCCCTGCGCCCTCGGTTTCAGCCAGACCGCGACAAAGCTCCTGCTCGTCGTGGAGTTGCTCATGGGCGACATCCCGGACCGCGCGACCTTCCGCCAGCCGGGCAACGAGACGGCGCTGCACCCCTACTTCCTGCTCGTCCAAGCGGTCCGGGTGGGCAACCTGGAAGACTTTGAAACCATCATTGCCGAGCACGCCGACACGTTCCGCCGCGACGGCACCTACACTCTGATTTTGCGCCTGCGGCAGAACGTCATCAAGACGGGCATCCGCATGATGAGCCTCAGCTACAGCCGCATCTCGCTGCGTGACATCTGCATCCGTCTGCACCTGGGCTCCGAGGAGAGCGCCGAGTACATTGTGGCCAAGGCGATCCGCGACGGCGTGATCGAAGCGACGCTCGATCGCGAGCGCGGCTTCATGAAGAGCAAGGAGGTGGGCGACGTGTATGCCACGCGGGAGCCGGGCGAGGCGTTCCACGACCGCATCCGCGCGTGTTTGGCGCTGCGTGACGAGAGCGTGAAGGTATGTTCCCCCTCTCTACCACCAGGTTCTTTTTTGTTTTTCTTCATATTCTTGTTACTAACGGAGATGCAACGTTACAGGCCATGAGGTTCCCCATGAACCAGCACCGTCTGGAGCTGAAGAATGCCCAAGAGGCCCGCGAGCGCGAGCGCGAAATGGCGAAGGAGATCCAGGAGGGTGACTTGGACGAGGACGACCTCGGCGGCGAGTTCGAGGGCATGTAATTATTCTATCACACACACACCCACGCGCACCCATCCTGGTGCTTGCTGGGGGTTTTCGTCTCGTTTCCAGTTCCTTGTAAACTTTATGTCTGAAGAAAGTTGGAGCAGCGGTGGGCGGAAGAAGGGGAAGGAGGAAAGGGAGGGAAGGGGCAAGGTAGGGAGAAGGTTGGCAAGAATACGAGGGTTTGGTCTCCGGGCGACACACAATCCAACCATCATCCTTCCCCTAACCTATCTATCACTTTTTTCCCTCATAGGCTGCTTGGTCGTGCTCATAGCGCCCCTAGGGCTTGGTCCGCATCGGCCTTACATGCGAGCGGTAATGATATCAGCTTGTTCTTTGAGAGGGCCTCAAACTGGATTTGTCGGGTGCTCGCTAGGTTTTTATAGTGTGGTTTACCTGGTTCTGGGTTCGGTTGGGTTGCTCTGGGCTATTTAAGTTCATCACTGGCTGGGTAAGAGTTGCGAAGGAATAAAGACTGCGCAGGGTCGGCGGGTGAAATCATTGATAGTAACTCATCAACAAGACGAAACGAGTTGACATTACAGCTTAACAGCTCTACTTCACGTTTGAGGTCATCGTGCTGATGTTTCCTGCTCTGTCTCCCTTCAGCTTCATTAAGGCACATTACAAAACTGCCCCATGAGAGAGAACGTGCCTAGATTGAGGGGTTATTCTAGAACAAGGGACACAATGCCCGTCCTTAAGTCTAGGGTACATAGCAAGTCGCTGACATGAGTATCGAGTTGAACGGGAACGGGCATCCCTCAGACTCGGCACATGGCTGAAGGAAGGTCACTTCAGGAATCCACATCAATGGTCTTCCTTTTTTTCCTTCATCTCTGCACCTGTACGTCCTTCCTCACCTTGCTGCTCAGCCTCCCGTCTCCTACGCCACCACTCCTTCTCCGCTTCCTTTTGCTCCTCACACATTCAACGGCCGTCCTCTTGGCCGCCAGTGATCTCCACCGCCCCAATCCCGCCGCGACTTTCTCCTCCCATCATCCTCTTCCTCCTCCCCAAGTTCCCGTTCCTCATCCGGAAACACCCCGCTACTAGCACCAGCACGAGAATTCCTCCTCCTCCTCGCACCAGCACTCAAAACCGGATCAGGAATCTCGACAGGCTCGGGCTCCGAAGAATCGGGGTACTGCACCTCGCGATCCCACGCCGCGAGCGACGGCGCAGGACTCCGCAGCCAGCAGCGCAACTCGTGCAGGAACAGGCGAGCGTGCTCGTGGCCCAGGAAATCGGTCAGCATCGCCTCGGCCTGACCCGCGCTGCCCTGAAGGTCGACTGTCTTGAGGATGGCGACGATATATTCGAGGAGGAACTCTGCGTTGTTGCGGCGGCGGCGGCGGCGCATCATAACATTGCTGCGTTGTTCCTGGTCTTCTTCTTGGTCTTGTTGTTGTTGTTTCTCTGTAGTGGTGATGGGTTCGGGGTCGCAGAGGAAGGAAAAGACTTGCAGCTCGCGGCGGATCCAGAGGCGAGCGCGGGAGACGAGGTGCGGGGTGGACGCGAATTGGACGGGAGTTGGCGGCGGGCGGTATTGGGAGATGCGGTTTGAGCCTATGTCTGAAGGATGTGAGAGGCTTAGCCAGTGAACGTAACTGAGTAGAAGGGAGGACGAGGGGTGTCGCTTACGGAGGGAATAAAGCTGATGCCGGTAGATGTGGCGGCGGCGTTGGATCGCTTCGTCTGGAGTAGGAGGTGGCGGCGGGCATCTCCTGCCTGTTCCTCGGAGCAGTCCGTTCTGGGATGAGAATCTCCTTCGTGATGCACGGTCTAGGGGTGTCTGTCTGTTCTGCACCGCTCCCCGTTCATCCCTTGCCGTGCTGTGGCGGGGTCTGGGGGCGTTGGGCACGCGGTAGATGGCCTCGCCTTTCTGGGGGTCGGCATAGCGGACTTTGTAAACGTTGGCTTTGCATAGCGGGCAGTTTGGGTGTTCCTGCAGCCAACTCACGAGGCAGAGGAAGTCAAAGTGGGAATGGCCGCAAGGAAAGGCAGCGGCCGTGTCTGCAATGGAGTCGAGACAGATGACGCAGCATTCGTGGGGTTCGCTCGACCCGGGGGGGTCTCGTCGAGATGTCTTGATCTCGGCGAGCGTGGTCTGCAATACTTGGGCTTGAATTTCCTCGGAACAGTCGACTCCCGCTTCTGCGTCCATGGGCTGGCCTGTAGAAGAGCTCGAGGTAGGTTGTTTGACGGAAGTGCAACTTCGACGTATTGGTGGGGCGATAGTGATGCACAACCCCACAACTGCAGAGTACTCGCAAGTCCTTGTCACCGCTAAGCTTCTTCTGTCGGGCGGGGCTCGATATATAGCCGGACTGGGTTCACGCCTTCCACGCGTCAAGTACGCGTCTCATTCACCCAAATTTACCCCCAACACAGAATCTCATATCCTCAGCAACCCTACATCGACTTGATGCCGCACAGCACGATGGATGGTCTGGCCAGAGGGGCCTACGAGGAGAAGTCATTGCAATTGCGCACCGAGTTGAAGAAATGGGAGAACGACTGGGCGATTGCACACGGGGGGAAGAAGCCAGGCCGCGACGACATCAAACAGAATCCCGACATTGGTACGTGGTGCTCATGCGTTTGTCGCAGTTCTCCATTTGCTGAGTTTTCACTACTTGCTAACAAACTGGGAAAAAGCGCAGAAATACAAGCAGTACAACAACCTCAGGGACATACTTGCAGGCAGGGTTCCGTCTCTTCAATCGGGTCCCGTCGAAGCCGCCCACGGCCACCAGCAGCGCAAAAGGAAGCAATTCGACGCTGCCCTTGCCCCACAAACCCCATCGAAGCGGACCAAGCCGGACCAGACACATTCCCAAATCCAGGTCACGCCATCAGGGGCGCAGACACCCTCAGCAGCCCATGCTGTCCTCACCCCATCGCTCAACCGGACCAGCCTCACCCCTGTGGGTGCTGTGCCTACGTCCATCAGCCCAACACCACAAAAAGACGGCCGTGTCCTCGGCCTCTTCGACCTGCTTGGGCGTACCCCATCCAAGTCTACCACAACCTCGTCAGCACCACCTAACACCACCCTGCTCGCCGCGACACCAAGGAATCAGCGCACCGTTGACCCTCTTGCCCCAACAGTAGCCACGACAACAACCACAGCCGGCCGCGCCATCACCCCGCAACACCAGCGCACCACTACCACCCTTCTCTTCCAGTCTTCTACCACAACCACAGCCCACGCCCGCCACGCCAAGCGAATAACCACCACGACGACAATAACAGGAGCAACCCCTTTCAGAACCCCCTCCACAAACCGCATCTCCAAACAGCCCCTCAACAGTCCGACAGGCTCCGCCTCAAGCTCGACACCCTCCTTTTTACGGCGGCGCACCGTCACAACTGCCGACGCCGCCGCGGCTGTCTTGGCGCTGTCAAGCGTGGACGAGCTCGACGAGGACCGGGGAGGTACCGAGCTGGAGAATGCGGATGAGGCGTGGAAGAAGATTGTTCCGCTACGCTTGCCTCGGAAGTTGGGTGCTGGAATCGGAAGGAGGAGCCTGAGCAGTGTGGTGGCCGGGTTGAGAAAGATGGAGGAGGAGGCGTTTGGTGAGGAGGAGGAGGTTCTGAGGGAGATGGGGATGGAGATGAGTGGCGGCGCTCATAGTCCTGCTGCGGGGTTGAGTATGAAGAAGAATGGGGTTGATAGTGCGAACAAGGGAGGTGAGCTGGTGGAGGTGGGGGATAGTCAGGTTCAAGGGGAAGGACAACAAGCACGGATGACTACCGAACCGCGAGTTGGTTTCCTGTCCGGCTTTGACGAGGAAGGACTCTACGGCAGCAGCAATGAAGACAACAACCGACAGAACCAACAACAGCAGCCGCTCCGCACGTTCAAAAAGCGCGGCCAGAAACGCTCCACACGCCTTCTCAACATGCGCCCGACAAGAACCAAACGACCTGCCCAGCAGTCTGAGCACCAAGAAGAAGAGGAGGAGGAAGAAGACATCGTTCACGAGACACAACCCAACACTACCAAATCAACAGCAGCAGCAGCAGCTCACGGCGAGGACCTTCGCCTCTCTGACCTCGACTCCTCCGCCTCCGAAGCCGACTTTAACGCCGCTTCCGACTCTGATGAGGAAGAAGAAGAACGTGTCAAAACAGCGAAGACCAAGCAAAAGAGCCCCGCCCTTCCTCCTCCGGGCGACAAGGACAAGAACGACAAGGGCGAGAGCGTCGTCAAGAGGGCGGTGCGCAAGGTCAAGGCGACGGCGCACGCCAACTTCAAGCGGCTGAAGCTGCGGAACTCGGGGGCCAAGGGCGGGCCGGGGTATGGGAGCCGGTTTAGGCGGAGGAGGTGAGGGATGATGTATTTATATACTGTTGAGAATCATGAATGACGGCTTTGTGCATGGGCTTGGTGTTGCGTTTTGCATGAAAAGAGGCAGGGGCATGGGCCGGAACGTGGTTCGCATTGCATTGCATGGATGTGGTTTGCTCGTGGCATTGTTGCTCAAGGGCCGGGGGTTGTTTGATGGAATCTTTGACTGAGTACCGTATGCATGCATGTATCTGGTTTATCTTTCTGCTCTGGAGTATCATTTTGCTGTCGCTTCAGTAGCTGGGAGCATTCGGTGAAAGACTGGCCCATATACCGGGATCTGCTACTTTCAAAGCTGTCTAGCTCCTTCCTCTCTCAACGCCGATCCAGCTGATAAGCATCTCATTCTTTAATCAGATCAAGGACTGGCCCTACCGGTAGTTATCTATTCCGACGCGGAAAAACAGAGTTGTGGATGATATTACTGACGTCTTTAACACCAGGTTTAGTTTTCCCGAGCCAACATCACCCACCAAACGATACTAAGCAGACAGAAGAAAGGAAGGACTATGCTATAAGATGTGGCAGGAAAAAGAAAAAAAGGGTCCAGCACACATATCCCATCCGACCGTCATTTCACTCCTCTTCCCCACTGTCTCCAGTCGCTCAAGGCACTCTGAACACGCAATAAAAGGAAGCGCACTATATCATCATTCGAAAACGACACGCAAGCACACCTCGCACGGGTCAGGCAATGACAACACTCCCCGCCGTTACAATAGCCGTCGCCGTCGCAGTCGTCGTCTCCGTCACGGTCTCCCGCACGGTCTCCCTCTCCGTCACCGTCACGACGACAGTCACTGACCCCGCAGGACCTGCACTCCCCTCACCCACATCCGCGCCGCTACTACTACTGCTTATCGTGGTAATAGCAGTAGCAGTAACAGTAGTACTACTATCCACCGCGCCGTTGGCTACACCGGGCGCCGTCGTGGTCGCTGTCGTCGTGGTCGTGATATCTGTCGGCGGCAGCCCAAAGGCAGGTCTGCCGGCGGTGGTGGTGGTGGTGATGGTGCTGGTGCTGCTCGGGATGGGAATGACGACCAGCGAGGGCTTGGTCGTTGTCGCCGTTGTCGAGGGGCGGGGCACGGGCGTGAAGTCCAACGAGGATATGGTGAAGGCTGGCGGCGGGACGAACGAGAATTCGGGTAGTGGTTGCGAGGAGGGCGCGGCGGTCGGTTCGGGGTCGGATTCGGTCGTGTCCGGGTCGATTGTGAGGGTGATGGTTGCTGTGCTGCTGGCGAAGGTCAAGGTCGCAGTGCGGGTAATGGGGTCTGTCATGGGGCCTGCCGAGCTGGTTGTTGTGCTCGTTGCTGAGGTGGAAGAAGACTCCGAGGTGGAAGTAGATCTCGAGCGGGAAGTAGATGCTGAGATTTCGGTAGATCCCGAGCTAGAAGTAGACTTCGAGGTCGAAGACGATCCCAAGGTAGACGTAAATGTCAAGGCAGAAGTGGACGATAAGGAAGATGGCCTGGTCGGGATGGGATTGACTATCACTGTAGTGGTTCCAGTACCGGTAGTGACAATCACCGTCGTTGTTCTAGTCCTACGGCCGGTCGTGCTGGCTGTTGCGGAGAGGCTGGGGAATTGCGAAGAGCCGGAGATTGCCGACGATGTTAACTCGGTTGATGTAGTCGACACAGTAGCACCCGCCGACGACGCAGTCGAGCTGGTCGACGAACCAACCGAAGTAGACGAAGCAGCCGACGAACTCGGCACCATGCCCTCCGGAATCGTCCCCAAGATCTGCCTAGCTGCCTCGATATCTGTACAGCCCAGAATCGCACCCTCGGTCGTGTTCATGGGCAGGGCAAAGCAAGCCGTGCCGGGGTCCCGACAAGGAATCACCTCGAAAGCCTCCCCGTTGTTGCAGATTCCGAGCCCTCCGGCAACGCATGCCGTCTGGCCCCGCGTGCAGGCCGACTGCTCGGCCAGGGTTGCAAAGATGTTGTTGTACTCGCGGGCCTCCTGCAGGTTGCGCTGGTAGACGTCGGGAGAGACGGTGGCGGTCGCCGATGGAGGGGTCTCAATGACTGTTGGGATGTCAGAGTGGGGAGTTCCCGCGACGGTGGGCCGGATAGAGGCGGTGCTGGTGGTGGCGGACAGTCCGGTAGACAATGCAGAGCTCATGGCAGTCGATCCGGTCAGTGAGCCCGAGTTGCTTGATCGGCTCGCTGACGGGGTTAAGGAACCCGAAGCGCTTGATCCCAAGGAGACGGTGGAGGATGCCGAGCCGGAGATGTTAATGGTGCTGGATGCTGATACCGTATCGGTGGTTGAGCTCCCGGTAGAACCGAGGCTCAGGGTAGTCGATCGGGTTAGTGAGCCTGAAATGCTCCCTGACGAGACAGTCAAAGATGCCGAGCCGGAGCTGCTGGCGGTGCTGGAGACCGACACTACAGCAGTAGACGAGTCGCCAGCGGACACAGCAGAGCTTGGGGTGGCCGACGAGGTCAACGATCTGGAAAAGCTTGGTCCTGCCGAGAGGGTTGAAGAAGTCGAACCGAAGATGCGGCTGGAGCTCAATGTCGACGTGGTAGCAGTGAAAGAACCGCCAGAACTCGTTGCAGACGAACCCAGCCCGCTTGAGCTACTCGATACCGACCGCGCGGTGGTTGTGGAGCTGTCGGTGGTCAACGATCCAGAACTTTCCCCTGTCGAGGTGGTGGCCGACAGCGCTGTCGAGATCTGGCTGATGGGAGTGACAATAGGTCTCCCGGTGCTTATCCCTGCAAGAGGAAGGGTGATGGTGCTGTGGAGCGATGTCGCGGAACTCTGCGAGCTCGCTGACGACGAAGATGCGGAGCCAACGCTGTCTGAAGTCTCGGTGGTTAATGTACTGCTCGATGAGTCGGTCAGCGAAGCATTGCCCGCCCCGGTCGACGCCAGACTTTCCGCGCTGGAGGATGGGATCGCTGCTATGGTCGACGTCGAGAAGGTAGACCTTTCAGAGCTTGAACTCGGTGTCAACGAGGAAGAAGGCAGCTGTCTCGTCGTCGAGCCAGCTGTTTGCGATGCTTGGGCTGTTGTTGCCGCCGAAGCAGCGCCGGTTGAAATGGCAGTCGTCGTAGGTAATAGCGATGCGTCGCTTGATGACACGACAAGTGCGGCCTCGCCATTGTTGTTTGATGAAGCACTCTCGCTCGACGCTAAAAAGGTAGTCGAGTCGCTGACTGTACCCGCCTGCCTCGGGAACTTCGCTGGTTGCGTCCAGCGCCGTGGTCGAATGCCGACAGGACCTGCCTCAGCGGCAGCCACAAGCGAGAGAACGCATATTAATAGCGTTGATGTGCGCATCTCTCCTGTGCCGTCGGGAGTGGTGCTGCTGGTGATGTAGTATGTTGGTATCGGTGTGAATTCAAAAGCCAAGAAAAGATGTCTTGAAAGTGTTTCCGAGGGCCTGCCCGAGAAGAGAAGACGGGAAAAAGTACTGAAGGGTTTTGGGGCGTCAAAGCAGGCTTGCTGCTCAGGAATCGATTAAGAGACAACCTGTTGGGTTGTAGGCAGTTGATGGTATCACGAAACCCGGGCTGGAACAACCACGCAGTAAAGACAAAGGAACAATGACGGCCAAGAATTAAGAAACAATGAGACGACTACGGAAGTGACCACAACCGGAGCTGGGGAATGACAGGAAAAAGAAGGGAAACTGTGAAAAGCAGAAACACGGCAGAAATGAGAAGACAACTAAGAAAAAAGCCACCCATGACTCCGTGGTGCCCTGGTCACTGTCGAGGACAGCTCTCTGGGAAGTTCTGTAGTAATCTGCCGTGGTATTGCCTGCTTTCCAGCCCGTCAGGCGTCAGGCGTCTGATGCACCGCGGCAAGTCGAACGGCCAGCGATTTCCCCGGCCACCAGGAAGGGTGACATGGCATGCTTTGTTTCTTCCGAATATCACTGTTTGGGCTCTTGGGTGCCATGCGAGATGATCGAGGGGCTGCGGCCGCCCTGGTCGCATCAACTGACATCCAATAGCCTGGGCGGGCATCTGAGAGGTATGAAAAGCAGCCCTGTCGAGCCGTTGCTTCGGGTCGACATCGTGTGTAAGCGCCTCTGGTGAAGAGTGGAAGTTGCAGCTTCAAGCTCTTGAGGGGTGGGTGTTTCTTGATCGGCAATGAAACAAGCGCCCTCGGCTGCTGATTGGTAGGCCGCTTAGCCAGTTGCAGGTCTGGGGAAGTGCTGGCCAATCAAATGCCCCACTCATGAGCAGCTTTGAAACCGCAGGAGCATGGGCCAACTGTGAGTTCAGGGCTGCAGCCTCACTTCCCAGCTTCATCAATCCACACGCTCACTAAGGTAACGGAAATGAAGCTCCAAGAAATCAACCCACGACGGATAAATCACCTCGTATTCCAATATAGTACTAATTTCGCTGACGGAGTGATATTAAGTCTCTATTCTGTTCCAAATGCTGCAGGTACTCCATACCAAATGCATATGCACACCAACCCCCTATGCAATGCAACCCTCAATGCTGGAATACAATGCTCCCTCCTCTTGTACCCGACATATGTATGCGACTCTAGCATGTATCAATCATGGACGATATCCCAATGTATGCACACCTGCCAACTAGAATTGTCCTTCCAAAGTTCCAACCCATCCATGCTTAATTATTCGTCTGGGCTCCAAAGACGCACAACGGTCGGCCCTTGTCTCGCCAACATGATTCCTTCTTCCCGTGAAGCTGCAGCTGCTGCCGGTGCAGTCTCGTACATGTGTTCCATAGTCCGCATCGGTATCCAGGATCCACCAGTCACCAGCCCCCGCTCCTCAAAGCGCTCCGCCGTCTGCTCGCGACTGTCCATCCGCACAACTTTCGCGGCCCGCATGGACTCCGGGCCGAGGGGATGAGAGGATGGTCGCTTCCGTGTCCCCCGAGCCTTGGAAGATTCTGAAATGCCCGAAGTTGACGTGCTCGCCACATCTGCGTGGGCGTAACAGAAGGCGAGGCGAGGTCGATGAAGTCCCTGGCGATATCGTGTTGCTGGATAACTTCTGCCTCGGGTTCCGACGTCAGGTCAATGACCTCGGTGAAAGCGCTCAGAAGCTGACCGTTTGTTGCCGGCGCCGCTGTTGCCGCTGCACGTGCTGCTTGCACCCTATCAGCCCTCATTACCCCAGCCGCAAAGCTCTCCCTCGTAGCAGCACCACCGCCATCGGCAGCACTATCAATCGAACCAATCCCCTCCCTCATTCCCGCAACCACCGCTCCCGAAACTTCAACCCCAGCGCCAGCGCCATCTGCCTCGCGACACTATTACCCACCAACTTCCACTGATCTGCCAGCGACCCCAACAGAACCTCCTCATCCGGAAACCCCTGCGCGCGACGGACTTCCTGCACCGTCAGCGGCCGATTATCCGCCCAGTGCAGAATCGTGCCCGTCATCATATCCGTCGACTGGCAGCTCGTGGTGACGGTTCGAAAGACACCGCCGGGGTCAACGCGGGCCCAGCCCAGCGAGGCGCTCGATAGCACCCGAAACCCCTTCTCGGGAAAAAGCTCCCTGTCCGAGCGCGACATGACGCCGCCGTGGCCCTTGCGCCAGGCGGTGGCAAAGGACATGCCGTGGGGTTTCGTGGGGATGGCAGCGATCTGCGCTCGGAGGGTCGACGATACGGTGACGCTAACGCGGTGGTCAGGGAAGGCGATGGCGGGTTCTGCCTTGCCGTCGCCGATGAGCGGGAGGTCGGCTGTGGCTTCGCCGGCGCTGACGTAATTGAATGGAGTGAGCTGAAAGGAGCGGCGGACAAAGGCCTCGCCGTTACACAGTTGCCCAAGTCCGCGATTGGTAACCTCGGAGAAGTGAGAATGGGACAGCAGGGGGGCTTTGGGGAGCTTCTGACCGCGGGCCGCGAAGTACAGGAGACGCGGTTGCGGCTTTGGGGGGCACCGTGGGACCAGGCATCGCCCAGGACGAGCTGCGCTTGGTAGCCCATGCCGACGATGGCGCAGAAGAGTTGCGAGAGCACGTCCTCGGACCGGTTACGATGTGACTGGACGATGCTGGAGACGTTCTCCAGGATGCCGTATTGCGGCCGGTAAAAGTCGACAAAGGAGGCGAAGGACGCTACTAGCGACTGGTTTTTGATTTGGGCGAGAGCTTTTTTGTCCTGCGTCAGAAGGGAGAACCCGGGACATGGGCTGCCGGCCGAGATGAACTCGACCTCGCCGGGCCGAGGGACGTTGTCACAGTACTTCCCCTCGAGAGCCAGCCTCAAGAAATCGTCAACCGACCCTAGAAAGGCTTGGTAGCCTTGTGGTTCGGGCTGTTTGCCATGTACGTGTGGATTGCTCGGTCCCAGATGTCATTGATCCAACGCATCTCAACCGCACCGCCCTCCTCAAGTCCCCGCCCAAAGTTGCCGCTTCCACAGAACAGGTCCATCCCCCTGAGTTTGCGGAACGTCTGCTGAGTCGGATCAAACCCTTGCCGCAACGAAGCCGGGAACTCGCCGTTGAAAGGCATACATTTCGAGGTGCTGCCATTTTGGGGCTGGAGCCTATGGATGATGTAAAACAAGTTGCCAGTGCCACCTCTGTCGTACGGCGTGGGTATGGGCTCTCCAGCCCTGAGAAACCGAACGAGGCATCTGCCGATCACCCTGTCCGGCTTGGCTACAAGAAGCTCGTCGGTGTACACCAGCTCGTTCGGTGGGGCATCCGCGCCAGGATCGATCTGGTTCCTCCGCAGCAAGCGTCGTAGCCGCACAAAGATGGTCTGACCTTGCCTAAAACCCTTGACCACCTCGTAAACTTCAGTGAAAGGCTGGGAGTTGAGCATCGAGGCCAGCACGGTGTCGCCGGTCTTGAACGCAAGGCTCTGCCGGCCATGGCAGCACCTCATGTGCGATTCCTGAAGAGCAACCCAGCGGCGGGTCTCGACGACGTAGGTCTGCCGTACAAAGAACTCGCCGTTATCGCCATCGGGGCTGCCGAACCAGTCGATGTCATGGGTGGCCAAGACTTGGTGCTCCTTGATGCGAGCCTCGTGCCCTTCCTCGCATGTGCAGTGGTCCGACAAGAAAAGCTCGTTCGGCCAAGGGTATTTCATCATGCAGCACGGCGTCTCAACGGGCCTATAAAACCAAGTCACGTAGAAACTGCGGGCGCCATTCTTGGCGACATGGACTTTCTGCACCAGGCCGAACCACCTGTCGTCTTGAACCGCGCCTTTAGCGGCCATGGTGCGCCCACTTTGTGCCTGTGGTAGCCCCGTCGCGTGGCGTCGAGATCGTATCACCGGGTTTTATCTATTCTATTACATCGAGCGAAAGGAAACAGTTTTCGCTCTTTCGGTCTCTCTTGATCGAGGGATTCGGGAGAGGCAAAACCCAATGTGCCCTGTCCACTGATTGGGGCGGCCGAGTTCTGGGAAGCTGGCTTGTGGCGTTCCCAATCGCCATCAGCATCTTCCCGATGATCATGTGTCCAAAACACTCCTTGATGTATGGCGTGACAATGGTCGCCGGTGCCGTCTCGTCGCCCTGCACAATTAATGGAAGCGGCGGTTGGCTCTTCTGCTGGCTGAACTGGCTGAAATGAACCATCTCCCGGAAAAGCCGCAACGCCGACACTTTTCTCTCTCCCAAAACGCCATGCATCTCTTTCCAGATGAAACCTATGTTGGCGGAGACCGACGTGCGGTAGTCGTCGCTGGGATGCTTCCGTCGCCAATTCTGGAACTCGGCGGACTGGCCGTGAGTGTCGGCCAGCCATTGCGAAAAATGCGACTTGAACGAGTTGATCTCGACCCGGCGCCTTTGTTGAATCATGAAGGCCGAGTAGTCGACGACGTGCTTGGCGAGATCAGCTATCCATAGAAACGGTGTGTAGAAACGTTCGTACTCGACCCGAGGTTTCTTGAGGAGGTAGTAGATCTCCTTCTTGGAATTAAGGCGTGACCGGATCCAGATTTGGCCTTGGACGGTCGAGTGAGTTGTGCCGTAGTTGCCGATTGGCAAACCGGAAACCTCGACTTGTTGGATGTAATGCTCGACAGGACCCAGGCTCAGCACCCCGTCGAAGTAGAACCGGAAATGGCGAAGCTTGGTCGCCATGTGCTGCAGGGACCGCATCTCGAACCGGCAGGATGTGACAGGTTGCAGAAGCAGAACTGATCGAGTTCAACTTCGACAACTTCTCTTCGCTTGCCGGGCCCCCTTGGGCGTCGAGGGCGTCCAGCAAGGAAGCGAGAGCCATGCTTTCTTCGCAGGGCGGCAGTGGGGGGACGTACCCTTCGTACTGCGACTTCGGGTGGATGAGCGTTGACCTTGTTAGCTCGACACATATGCCCCTGCTGCGCTCGACTTTGAAGTCCCGCGCGCTGCCGGAAAGTGATGTGATGGTGGGCAAAACGGACGTAGTTGGTGAGGAGGGTCTCGCTGCCTCTGAAATGACTGGAAGCCCTTGGCCATCCCCATCGACTCGTGCAGCTGCGGCATTGTCGTTGACCTCTAGGCCTGCTTTGTTGTCGTCGGGCTCTGAAGATGTCACCTGCCTTCCGACGTCCTCTGTTTCTCCATTCACCTCGATGAGGTCGCTGGGCGATATGCGGAATTTTCGGGTCTGTCGAGTGCCCTTGCGAGCAGGACGTCTTCTGGTCTCTGGGCTCATGCAACACGGCCCCCAAGGCATCCGCAACACGGACCAAGAACCCCATTGGTACTGGCGAGTATGGGCGGTGAGAGCTGATGTACCGGCTACCTGAGGGCTGAGGATGCGTTGTGAGACTGAGACGGTGCCGAGGGAGGGCAGGCCGAGGTTCTGGAAGAGGAGCCCAGGATTTCGAATCGGGTGAGCCGCCGAGGAAACATCTGTCTAAACAAACGATGATATTGAGATGCTGGCTTACATCATGATCAGCAAGGTGCTGACCGGCAAGTATGGTATCATTGTTGACTGCGAATGAGGGTCAATGGGAAGGCGAAGAATAAGAGAAATAGCAAGCAGAAATAGGTTTGATGAAAAACAATCGGCGAGAGAATCATCTATTTGCTATTGAATCGCCCAACACAGCAGCACCAAGTCGTCGAAAAAAGCGGCAGATAGCAGCCAATTGAAATTGATCCGCCGAGATGCAGTCGGCCTTGAACCGGGCAACCGGGTGCATTCCAACGCAAAATGAATTGAAGAAATGAAGCGCGCTTGCTGTTCACGCGCATTGTGACGTGCCGTGGCAGATCGATCGGATTTGGAATCCGGAAAGGTTCAAGAAACGGAATTGGCCAATGGCAAGAGGAGAATATGCAGGGTTTGAAAGCGTAAAAAGATTGAGATCCACCTCTGGTTGAAAGTTGCGAGAGGTTTTGGAAGGGCGGTCGGAATGGCAAAAGGGTCGGAATGGTAGAAGCTTGAAGCTTAAACAAAACCTGGGAAGCTGAGTTTGGGTCGTCGCTTCCTGGAATTTAAAAGTTCCTCTGCTAGAAGGAGCAGCAGGAAACAAACATCTTGTAGGCCAAGACGGGAGGGAACGAGTTGGCACAAGGAAGACAACAGAACATGCAATGTAGGTCGAATTGTACAGAAAAGTATATAGGTTGATACAGATTTACACTACAGCAGTCTCCTCCTGTTCGCCATTGAACTGCACGGGCAAGGTCGGCGCCAACTCATCCAGCGACGCGGGCGCCTGCTGGTCAGGATGCTTGAAGTTGACCATCTGCCTCAGCCTCGACCAGCGGCCGACCAGCACCAAATCCGTCTCTAGCTCCGGCAGATCGGGGCCATCGGCCTGCCAGCCCTCTTTGGGCCAGAACCAGGTACACCCCTTCTGCCAGCGCATGTCCGCGAGCCGCCGCTCCAGCCGCGCCATCTCGGCCGGGTCGACGAGCTCCCTGCCCATCCGCGCAAAATAGGCAATCGTCCGCATCGTGTAGTGGTAGTCGATGTGGTACGACGCCTTGGCCTCTTCGCGTATGTACTCGCGGTCCCACCCGTCGAGCAGCCAGTCGATGACCCGCACCATCTCCTTGTGGTCGCCGCAGCACGCCAAAGCCAACATGTATTTATGGACGGGCCGCCCGACGACATTGTAGCGGAGCATCTCCGGTGTCACGCCGCCGTTATCCGCCTCTTCGACGCCGTCATTCTCGGATCCGAGTCCGCTAATAGCTTCAGGCTCGGTATCCTCAAGGAATTCCGGGACTGGCGCGGTAATGGCCTCGAACGTCTTCGTCATGTACCGGTGCGCTTTATAGATGAAGGTCTCAATGACCTTGGTGCTGGCAATATGCGGACGGACAACCATCTGTCCTCCCTCCGCCCTTTGAAAAGTCGTCAATTTCAACGCCTTGCGGATCATGACGCATAGCGCTTCGAACGACACCGGGTCCACGCCCTTGGACTCGGTCGTCCGCTCAAAAATCCTCAGGAAAGTCGTCAGCGTCTCAAGGACGTTGAACTCTGCTCCCAACCGGCTGTGCAATAGCTTGCGCCCCGCCAGGGCCTGCATGATGGTATGCCACGGAGCCTTGTCGTGGTTAGCCGCCCTTGCATTTTCCCTTTGGAACGCCGTGGCAAGCTCGATAGCCTCCTGTATTGAGCCGCCCTGGGAAACCTGCCGGGAGCGGCGCTCGTGCTTGGCTCCGCCATTTGCGTCATCGTCCGACGCCGCTTCGTCCCGGGGCTCGTCCAGCGACTCGGTAAAGATGCCCTCCTGCCGTGGCGCTCGGGTGTGGAGGCGGCAGAGCAAGGCGATCCACGCGTTGAAAACGCCGAGGGGGACCGAGGATAATGTCTTGAGGCTCTCGGCATCCATGTTGGACACCGGTACCCTGAGCGCCCCGATGTACGGCTCGTAGGGGCTGTCGCTCAAGTATCGCAATGCCGTCGTTTTGCAAGGGGCGTTGCGAACGAGAACCGCGAGGCAGTGCCCGGCGGGTTTGAGCTTGTCATGGAGCAGCATGTAGTCGTAGAGCTCTTCGGGGCTCGGCGGCGTGAGCCGGGCAATTTCGAACTCGCTGAGGTTGCCATCGTGCACGGGGAACACCTCCTTGGCGTCACCCGGCCGGATCACCGGCGAATCTGTGACTGGACGGGCATAGAGCTTCTCAAACATTTGGCCGTACACTTTGACGTCCGGCCGAAGTCCCGGTTCCGGAGGGTTTTCGAAAACCATCCACGCTTCCCTAGCATTTCTCGTGGCCTTCACATGCGCAGCCCACTCGGCGTAGATGTTGTGGCTGGCCAATGCACCCGAGAAGAAATGCGGAGCCAGGGATCTCGTCTGGATCGTGGGCGAACTGCCAAACGTCGAGCCAGCCAGGGCACTGATCGCCCGATCGACGATATCATCGTTGTAGCCCGCTGCGCGGACGAGCAAGCCGGCTTTGGCGCTTCTGCTCAGGTCGTCCTCGGGATCGCGGCGTTCGTCTATCCCATCCACAGTCCGCCGGTACGGCGGCCACGTCTTGGCGGCACGGTCGACGTTCTTGGCCTCTCCCTTGCTCTTGCTTAAGGCAATCAAGACCTCCCTGACGGCGCGGTACCCGTGCTGGTCGATTACAAGCGGCGGCTCGGTGGTCGCGGCGAGGCGCAAAAGATGTCGTTGGGCTGCCCAGTTGTGCTCCATGTGGTCCAGTGGGCGGACGCGGGCGGGCCACGAAAAGTAGCGAAGTGCCTTATTCAAGACGAGGGATCGGGCCTGATAGCCTGTCAGTGCCCGGGCTCTGGTGTCGAGACGCATCGTGGAGATGTAGTCGGCGGTGAGGCGAGCAAGCAACGGCATCGCCGCCGGCCACCCCTCCCGACAATGCCACACGAGTCGATAGAGAAAGACTACGTAATGCCACCACGTCACGGCTTTCCCCTGGTCCTTGTAGGCTGGATGCTCCAGCTCGTCCTGCGGGCGGTCGGCCAGAACATAGTTCTCCCTTACGTACTGTAGCAAGCTAAGGAAGGTAGCGGGCTCGTGGATTTTCTTGTCCCTGGCCAGAAGCACCTGCAGAAGAAACAGGGGCTTGCGGCATTTGCTGCTGAAGAATCTCTGGAGCTTGACGTCTCCGCTCGATGGAGAGAGAATCCAAAGCCACTGCTTGATGTCGGCCTCGGTGATGCCAAACCGGCTTTCGAGCTCGGCCAGTCTCGATTTCCACTCGTGGGTAGGGCCCAAATACCTGCCCATCTTTAGCTCAACGCCACGACGACGAGCGAGAAGGGTATGTCGCCGGAGAAAGGCCTGTGCTGCCAGCACAGGGAGGCGCAGGGTCTTGTTGCCGGCGATGGCACGAGCGAGTTGCCATTGTGAAGGGGTCCAGGCATGGGTGCGCCAGCGGTGTAACATGCCCAGCACTTTAGATGGCGAATAGGGAGGGTAGTCGTGGACATAGGCCTCGTGCTTGCCGGGGTTCGGTGGCTTCCACTCTTCCTTGGCGAGACGCGCCTCTTCCAGCACTATCCAAATCTCTTCCTGCTGCTCAAGATCCGTCATGTCGTGAAAGCCTGTCGGCAGGGCTTTCAGGAGAGCCGGATCCGTCGGAATCTCCTGGCGAGGGACCTCGATTACTTCATTTCTGAACCCTCGCCACTCCGTTTTGGAGGCACTGTGCTCGATCGCCAATTCGGCGGGCACAAAATCGTTGTTAAACGGCGCATGCAGTCGCCGGTTTTCGAATTGGGCATCCCGCCGCTCTCTCCTTGGCTGCTGTTGTCTGGGCTCGAGCAGCGTGTTAAAAGGGTCTAGCTCGTGTTCCGGAACCTCCCTGCCATGCCTTCCGCCTAGCGGTTCAAATACACCATCAGGAACCTGTTGCTTTAGCCGTCGCTCGGCCTCCGTGGCCTCCCGTGCTGCGTCAAGGACAGCCGCAAATGGGTCATTGTCGAACGGTTGCCCGGTTTGTTGGCTTCGTCCCTCTGCTGTCGGTCCAACGGCAAATTCGGTGGAGTGCCAGCGGATTGCAGCAACAGGCTGACGGCTGAGTCGCTGGGGTCGAGTCAAGTCAGCAGCCAGCGCAGAAGGTAAAGCCTGAATGGAGGGGACAGCGAGAAGTTGACGACAAAAAAAGACAACGGCCACTCACCAAATGAGCGAGTGCTCGGTATCCCCCGGCCTGTCTCAGGACATTGATCCCCGCGCTAAGCATTGAACCTAGCAGCCACTCATTGTAGAAATATTACGGGGAATATGACTACAACGGGCAGCAAAAGCGTGCTTCGATGTCGGCTGGCTGTCTTTGGGGTTCGATGGGTATTGCGAAACATCGACATGCAGACCCGCATTTTCAAAAGAAATCCACCTTGAGAGGCTCAGATGCTGCCAGGGTCTGTCCGACGAGAAGACAGGGGTCTTTGCACGCTAACCAAGACATGATGCAGCAACTCAACTTCCCCGCTAATCCCCTGTTTGTTACTGGAGCTCTTGCATGATCACATCTCAGTGATCTCACCATGTGCGATTGTGCGATTGTGCGACAGCTGCCCCGAGCATCTCGTACAAGACAAGCAGGCAAGCATCACAGTCACAGATGCCGGCTCGTCTCAAGCGAAAACGTCCTTCGGGGGAATTGGACCAACCTGCCAGTGCGACTACCATCACTGCCGTTACTACCCCAGCAGTATCGCGGCGAGCGACACGCCAGAGCTTTATTCCCCCACTCCCTGTTCTCCAAGATCCAGAACCGCGACGACGTCGTCGTCGACCGGATTTAGATGGCCAGTCTGCCGGGAATTCGCAGATTTCCAGCTCCCCACGCGGGAAGGAGAACATGCCCCTGCACGCAGAGCAGCTGCACGAGCCTGCGCAAAACGTGAAGATGACGCCGCCCGCGACGCGCTTGACTCGACATAAAGCCAATCTCGACGAGCCGACAGTTGCTCCGCGCCTTTCTCACTCTTCCAACCTAAACATCCATCACCCGAAATCTGCAAGCATCCCCGCTTCTGCTCAGAGAATTCTGTTATCCGAACCAGATACACAGCCAGCGACCCGGGGGCCTGGGAGACCCCCGTCGAAAGCTATCGATCCATTCATCCCCCACCAGTCCGTCTCGCTGGGACGCAATAAGCCGATAATCATGACGACGTCAGTGGTACAATCAGGTCAGACCTCCAATTCGAATCCGAACGGTACGAGCGATGGCGCGACCAGGGGCACCGACAGCGCAGCGAAGTCAGACCGGAATATAGACAAGGTCGTACTAGGCGACATATGCTTCCGCGCCTGGTACGCCTCATACTACGGCAAGGAGATGCTGAGTGACTTCTCGGGGAGCAGCAGCACAAAGGGCGAGAACGGTGCAAAAACCAATGGCAGCAGGAGCGCATCCCAACAACAACACGACCACGACGGGAAACCTGATAGCAACGGAGGGACAGCACACGGACGACGGGACCGCGATAACCACCAGCCTATGCTGGATAGGCTCTATGTGTGCCCGTGCTGCTTCAAATACTCAAAGGAACTGGTCACATGGTGGGAGCATGTCCGCTGGTGTGAGCGGCGGGGGGTTGTTCCGGGCAGGAAGATCTACACGCACCCCAAGGGCAAGCGAACTGTGCTCGTTCCATCCGGGCCGCCGCCGAAGCATGGGAGGGGAAAGCGCGGTCATGTCGGGCAGAAGATGGTTCAAGAGGTTGTGCAGGATGAGGGGGAGTGGAGCATCTGGGAGGTTGACGGCCAAGAGGACGTGGTAAGTTCGTTAGACAGCATACCGAGAAAGAGCGATGAGAATGTATCTGATAACTAACTCTACCCTCCAGCTCTTCTGCCAAAACCTCTCGCTCTTCGCCAAGCTCTTCCTCGACAACAAGTCCGTCTTCTTCGACGTGACGGGCTTCAACTACTTCCTCCTCGTCTACAGCCCGCCGGCCCAGGCGACGACGACGACGGCAACGGCAACCAACACCGCCGCGGCAACCCACCCCGTCGCGACAACAACAACCCAGCCGCGCAACCAAATCGTCGGTTTCTTCTCCAAAGAGAAAATCTCCTGGGACAACAACAACCTCGCCTGCATCCTCGTCTTCCCGCCCTGGCAACGCAAGGGCCTGGGCTCGCTCCTAATGGGTGTCTCGTACGAGATCTCGCGCCGCGAGGGCCTGCTGGGCGGGCCCGAGAAGCCCATCTCGGACCTGGGCAAAAAGGGGTACAAGCGTTTCTGGGCAGGCGAGATCGCCCGCTGGCTGCTCACCCTCCAACCACAACGCCTTTCATCAGGCAACGGCCATCACCAAGGAGGAAGAGATGACCAACAAAAGGAACCTGTCGTCGTCGTCGACATCGAGACATGCAGTCAAGCGACTTGGATAGCGCCCGACGACTGCCTGCTTGTGCTGAGGGAGATGGGCGTTGCAGAGGATGCAGGCACGGGTCCGCCGCCTCCGCCGGCGGCAAGACAACTTCCACCTTTACTGAGGGCGAGGGAAGAGCCGAAAGCAGCAGCAGCAGCAGAGGAAAACAGCAATGAGGCTGCTGCTGCTGGCACATCCCCGCCACCGCCGCCGAACAAGATGGTGCCGCGGGTCCGCATCTCCCAGGCCGCCGTCCGGGCGTGGGTCGCAGCCAACAAGATCAGTCTCGAGCGGGCGTGTGATCCGGATGGGTTTGTGGAAGGGTATGCTCTTAAGGGGAGTGGGCATGCATCCTTGGAGGAGGCTGTCTGAGTGCAATTATAAGGTACATTGGGGTTTTCTGCGGTGGGTTTCTGAGCATCGGCCATAGGTTTTCTCTTTGGAGGATACCGCTTCATTGGGTTTGCCAATTGGTGGAGAGTTGCCACGTTTCATCACTGTTCGATTATGCATGACGGAGGAATGCGTCTGGTTGTTTATGGTCTGGATCTTATACCCAATGCAAGTGAGATTCAAGAGCCGTCGCTTGCTTTGTGTTGCTGTTCGCTACTTGGATGTTGTGTGAGTTGTAGCGATGATTGCGGTGTGGGAATGATGCTCTCAGGGTTACTCCTATAATCGATTGTGCAGGTACATTGTTTCGATTTGATAAACCTTCTGTGGCAGGGGGTTGTCAATCATAGACATGAACAAGAGACTCTAGTCCTGTGTCCGTCTTGTTTGAACCTAGTTGAGCTTCATCGTAGAACCAACCAGGAACCTGCTATATTTTCGTGTGCTATGGTTTATTCTAGCATTTCTTGACTTCCGTTCAGCAGTCTTTAACCCTTCTCTTGCTGTCTCTTTTTCCACGTCCCTTCCTGATTTTTGGCTCGCAAAGACGCAACTTCACTTTGATTCTCATAATAGTACGTTATACCAGTGAGAAACTTGGGCTTCCGCGTAATAAGCCCGCATATAAGCACGCTGTTGACTTAGATCGATACAGCTTCGTGGCACATCTTGCTAACATACACCATTACGTACTATTTGCGTATATATCTTCCTTGCTGATTCCGACTACCTTAAGTATTGAAGGTCCTCCACCATTGCAGTTGTTTCTTTTTGGTATCCAAGTCTTCCAAACCGCCCAAGCGCACAGCCTATGCTATATCCAAGGGCTCACCCTAAAGCTTCGCCTTCGCCGCAGCCGACTCCAGCAACTTGTTGCCCAACTGCGCCATCTCAAACTTGCGGACCTTGCCGCTGCCCGTCAGGGGCACCGCGCTCGGCACGCCATCCACACCGAGCCAGAACACATGGGTCGGCGCCTTGTGTTTGCCGAGCCTTCTCCTCACCCATTCCCTGACCTCCTCTAGCCCGGGCCGTTGCCTCTGCCCCAGGCTGGCGTCCACGTCCAAGAACGCGCCGACCACCTCGCCATAGTGCGCGTCTTTCAAGCCCACCACCACCGCCATCCCGATAGCCGGGTGGGCCATCAACCGCTCCTCGATTTCCAGGGGGTAGATGTTCTCCCCGCCGCGGATGATGATGTCCTTGAACCGTCCCGTGATCGTACAGTAACCCCTCTCATCAAACACGGCCTCGTCGCCGGTATGCAGCCACAACACGCCGCTCTCATCCCTCATCATGACCTCGTTCGTCTTCTCCGAGTTATTCCAATACCCGGCCTGCAGCTGATAGCCCGCAATGCATAACTCGCCCTTGGAGCCCACCGGCACGACATTGCCCTCTCGGTCCACAATCTTGGCCATGGCGTGAGGCATGAGCGTGCCGACCGTCGTCAGGCGTGTCTGGATGGGATCGTCGGTGAAGGCGTTGAAGCACGTCGGGCTCGCCTCGGTGAGCCCGTAGCTCGACGTGAACTCGGCCATGCCCAGCCGCGACACCATCTGCTCCATGAGATAGCGCGGCACGGGCGCGCCCGCCACGATGCCCGTCCGCAGCCGGAGGTCTGCCGCGCGTAGGTGCTTGGCCTCGGGTAACGCGAGCAGGCTGTCGAACATGGCCGGCACGCCGTGCACGGCGGTGCATTGCTCCGCGATGATGGCGCGGAGGGTCGACGGCGCGTCGAAAAGCTCGGCTGGGTAGACAATCTTGGCGCCGTGCGTCAGGACTGACATGAGGCCGAGCACGAGGCCGAAGCAGTGGAAAAGCGGGGGCGGGCAGCAGAGGACGTCGGACGGGGTAAGGCGCATGCGGTCGCCGATGAACCGCGAGTTGTTGACAATGTTGCTGGGAGGTAGTCAGTGCCAGGGCTGTTTATCGGGGGTCAAGTGAGCCTGTGGGAGGCGTACTGATGGGTCAGCATGGCGGCCTTGGGAATGCCGGTGGTGCCGCTGGTAAATTGCAGATTGCAGACCATGTGAGGCAGCACCTTGGCCTCAGCGTGGTGGAGCTGCTCGGGGTCGACGCGCGAGCCCTGCGTGAGCAGGTCCTTGTACGTCGTGTACCCGTCCGAGTCGCCCCGGAGCATCACCACCTTGGGTCCCTTGGCTCGTGCTGCGAGTTGGGTGAGCAGAGGCTGCTGGTCGAGCCGGCCTATTCTCTTGGTGGTGAAGAAGACCTTGCATTCTAGACAACAGTCAGCCTGTTATTATGAAGATGGACGGGAGGCAATACGCATACCGGAAAAGTCGAGGCCGTACTGCGCCTCGGTCGGGGTGTACGTGTTATTGAGGATGACCAGGATGGCCCCTATCCTGGTGGCGGCGAAGAACACTGAGGCATACTGCTCACAGTTGCCGGCCATGATACCCACCCTATCACCCAAGCCGATGCCCATCTCTAGCAGCGCCGCCGCAAGCAGGCGGCTGTGATGATTGATCTCGTTGTAGGTCCATCGCGCACCGGTCCAGGGGATCACCAGTCCTTCCCTCGTGCCGTGCTGCATGCATTGCAAGTCGAGCAGTTCTCCGAGCGTCAAATCAACCAGGGGCGGATCTGTTGGACCGAAGAGGAGGGACGGTTTTGGGGGCTGGGGAAAGACAATGCTGTCCTCTGCAGGATGCCGCACTGGAACCTGAACCGACATGTTCAGGAGTGTCGATCTGTCTGGTGTCTGTAGCCCCGCGTGTCTCACCTAACGTCTGTTGTTGTAAGTGTTGTTGTCAACTGGCACACACAAGTCTCGAATCCAATTAGGAAAGCTTCACGGTTGATGATCCAAATTTCCGAAGAGATTTGGGAACCACAAAGCCGGAGCGGAGCGGAGAGACAGACGGCACCCAAGCTTTGGCTGCTGACCTCAGGGAAAAAGGGGTGCGCCAGCCGGGCCACCCACGTTGCAACCCCAAGAGCATTTCCATGATCTGATCTGATCAGATAAGATCCATGGGGTTCATACAGCCTGGCCTCCGAGAACGCATCACTGGGTTATGACGATTTCGAGGATACGACGGCCCATTCCAGGAACTGCTCAACTGCTCGGCTTCCCTTCTTGTTCCTCGGATCCGCGGTATTCCATGCACCATGGCGGATCTGCGTGAATGCCCGCTGCTGCGCGCAAGCAAATAACTTTGTTCCTCGGCCGGCGCACGGCAGATGGAGTCCGCAAGCGAACACGGATCAGAGTTTTCTTGCAGACTTTCCATCGGGCAGTGGGGTGCGTGGCTCCTCTCGCCATCTGATAAGGCAACTGCACGAGATGGCGTGATGGTGGGGCCGCTCTTGCCCTGGGGAGCCTGGGAAAAATGCCTCACAAAAAGGGCCGCCGACTGACAGTTCTTCTCTTGGGATCTGATAATTATTCATGCCAAGTCTATGATCCCACGCCGGGACACAACCTCGGCAGCCTTCATCAACCGACACTTTCCAGAAGCTGCCAGCAAAGCTGGATTCGGACGCGGCGTCGTCGTCGACCGATGTTTCAATGGTTCAGTGCAGCGTAAACACCCCACTGAGTACACACCTTACGACCGAAAACAGGGTTGCCAACCTTTGCCGTGTGGAACAATACTCGGTACCAAGGCAGCAAACATGCTCCGAAGTCGGGTGCCATGCAAAATTATCTGATCCGCTTTCTGGCGTCCGACTAAAGTTATCAGATCCGAACCCAGCACCTCTGGACTTCACTTGATTGGCCAGTCGCTCACCCCCTGTTCGAAACACACAAGGACTGCCGCCACACGCACATCGGCGGGTAAGATGAGTTCGTGGAACCGGTCTCCGCCGCCAAAGACATGGAACCACTGTCGTGGTCCTCGTTTGGCCAATGCCGAAATAATGAAGACGGGAATTTTGGGTAAGGCTAGCTGTGGTGCATGTGAGACGCAGAGACCTAGGAGTTCTCGAGCTGTCTGATGTCTTGTAGCTCAATCTGTGCTTCCTGTTGGTTCTCATTCTCCAGATCCTGGATAACAGCACATCAAATATGGCATTCTCATCCAGACCACCACGGCAGCTTGTCAAGTATGCCGCCTCTTCAGAACCGATCCTGAAGCTCCCACATCCGTACCAGACAGCCTACCTCGTCAAGTTTGTCGTAGGCAGCAGTTCCTATCAACTCGTTCCTCACAATCCCCAACCTGGCACCGAGTCTCCCGTCACACCCCTTCACAATGCTGCCGTCTCCTTCTCCGAACCCCAGGACCTCAAGTCGAGCGACCGACCAACTGACTCCAACAACACCCCCTGGGCGAGGGCGAGACGGAACCCAGCCGTGACGGTAACCTGGACGAGCGCTGAGCCCCCAACAGTTGCCCAGCTTTGGCTCATCACCTACGCCATCTTTACCGTCCGGCCAAGCGAAGAAGCCTTCCGCCTCGACGCCCAGGGGCCCGGCGCCGACCGGCTGGCCCGCCAACTCCAAACCGTCGGGCTTGCCATCACCCACCCCACGCCGGCCTCCAAACCCGAGGTTATTGCCCAGTCCTCCAGCAACAACCCCAACAACGAACTCCTCGTCTCACGCAGTGCCTTCTGGCAAGGTGCCGGCTCCCCCTTTGGCTCGCGCCCAGTCTGGGCCCCGGAGGCCCAAGACCCGGACCTCTCGTGCTACCCGATCCCTCCGCCCGAGTACATCATCACCACGGCCTCAGACCCATCGACCACCGGCTCGGCCTTCTACTGGCACCCGCGGCGCCGCTCCAAGCCTCAGCCGGGGTCGGTCGTGTACAGCCGGTGGATCCCGCACCTGCGCGAGACGTTCAGCATGGTGGCGCTCGACTGGTCCCGCGCCGAGCACGTCGACCTGTTCCATGCGTGGCAAAATGACCCGCGCGTGTCGCAGGGCTGGGACCTGAGGGGCACGCGCGAGCAGCACGTCGAGTACCTGCGCCGGGCGCACGAGGACCCCCATCGGTTGGCGGTGCTGGCGCGGTTTGACGAGACGTTTTTTGCTTATTTTGAGGTGTACTGGGCAAAGGTAAGCCTTCCCTTTCCCACCCACTTGCCAGGTTATTATGTAAACGGGGTTGCGCTGACAGGTGTGCAGGAAGACAGCGTCGGCGCGTACTATCCCGCCGGCGACTACGACCGCGGCCGGCACAGCTTGGTGGGCGACGTGCGGTACCGGGGACCGCACCGCGTCAGCGCGTGGTGGTCCAGCCTGATGCACTACCTGTTCCTGGACGAGCCGCGCACGGCGCGGCTCGTCGGCGAGCCCAAGTTCACCAACAGCTCGGTCCTCATGTACGACCTCATCCACGGCTTCGGGCTCGACAAGTTCATCGACCTGCCCCACAAGCGGTCCGCCCTCATGAGCTGCTCTCGCGAACGCTTCTTTCAGCTGTGTCCGCTCGACGACAACGAAAAGGTCATGGGCGGGACGGGGGTGAGGCTGGTCCCGAAACTGTAAGGGGCGGTTTTGCAGTGTAACCGATGATATCGAGTAAAAAGTATACAAGAAAATCGTTGAATATTCAGCTTCTATCCGTCATCTACCCAGCATTTCTGCGTCTGAATAACTCAAAGCTCACACCCGGAAGAAAAAAAAAACTCCAATTTCCAAAAAGCTCACGAAGTTCCGAACAACAGTGCTTCACACATTAACGCCTGTCATGCAGACTAACCAACGTCACTCTTTTCCCCCGTCAACCCCCAATCCGAGATGATTCCAGCAGACTGCCGGTACGTCAGTACACACAATAATCCCTCAACCTCACACACAGAAAAGTGAAGGAGCAAGAGTGGAAAAATACTCACTCGCAAACCCCAAATCCTCCCCAAAAAACACCTTCATCACCTCCTCCCCGGAATCCACCCCGGCCTCAGGCCAGTATGACACGGCTTGCCTGCCGACGGCCAGCCCGATCATGGGCGGGATCTCGGCCAGCTCGAGGTAGTTGGGCGCCGCGATGCGGCCCGTGGCGAGCTGCATCTGCTGGTGCACGTTCGTCGCGGCGTAGTAGCCCATGTGCATGGCGGCGCCGCAGCGCTTGATGCCCGACCAGCGGACCAGGTCGCCGATGGCGAAGTGCGACGACGAGTTGGGTGAGTCGGTGGGGAAGGCGAGGCTGAAGGGGTTTTGGTTAGTGGGTTGAAAAGGGGTAGATAGGTGAATAATGGAGGGACATATGGGTGGTACATACCTAGCCTGGATTCTGACGTAGCCCTCTTTGTCGAGCACGCTGCTCGGGAGGTAGGCCGTTGAAGGGACCGGCCTGGATACGGCCATTGATACCTGGTCTGCGAGCATGATGTGGCCATTGGTGAAGTGCAGACGGAGGCACTTGTTCCCGTGCTCGTCCTGCGTCTCCTCGGTCCGATCTAGCCGGTGGGACATGAGCACGTCGACGCTGGCTTCGCGGACAAGCTGCAGAGCGCGGTCCTTGACCTCTTCGGGAAGAGGCTCCGAGGAGAGCAGCTTGTCCCGGGAATGGACCAGGGTTACTTTGAGATGAGGGTGGACGAGCTTGAGCTCGGCTGCCATCTCAATGCCGACGGCACCTGTGGGAATTGTCAGTCTAAAATGGCTTTTTTTGTTGTTGTAAGGATAGGGATGGTGATTTACCACCGCCGACAATTACAACGCCATGCTTTGCGGCCGTGGCGGCGCTAATGTGGTCGCCGGCTTCGAACAGAAATTGCTTCCTCCGCAATGATTGAGGGACCACCGGCCAGGCCCGCCTCAACCCGGTCGCAGCAACAAAATAGTCGTATTGCAGTTCCAAGGTCTCTCCGCTGCCGTGCGCAGCAAAGGTGGCTATCTTTTGCCGAGGGTCAACCGCCTTCACAGACCCCTGAAGGACGCGGATGTTGGGCGACCGCAGCGCGGGAATGTCGTCGTACTTGACCCAGGCCTTCTCGGTGTATGCATCAGACGCCAGCGCCAGGGGCGAGCCTATCAGGTGGTCTGGCAGATGTGAGCAGGGTGAGACGGTCTGGGAAGCCGAGGCAAGAGCTCACAGTAACCATCCCTCTCGTCCACAATGGTGATATCGACGGCAAACTTTGGCCGCTCGACCTGATCGGCCTCGTCAGGACTCGGCCCACACCGCGGAGGAAGGCCACGGCAAAGATCTTGTAGGTTGAGAGCGGCCGAGAGACCGCCGTATGCGCCGCCAGCCACCAGGACTCTGAATGGCTTCGTTGTGGAGTTGAAGGTGGTCAGCGCTTCGGGAATGGAGCCCATCGTGGCTGCGGGGGTGTGGAAAGGGGCAGAGCTATGAAGGAGTCGCAGCGAGAAGACGTGATGGACTGATGATGTGTACACTCGGCGCAGAGACCTCAATGGTGCAGGTGTGGCGTACGAAACAGTCCTGCTCGGCGCGAATAGAAAGCTGCACAGGGGGTAGCTGGAGTCGGGAAGTTGTAGAACATGGAGGGTGGTCCGGTCTGGCCAGCACACCACCTCATAATATTTGAGGCGCCGACTCTCTCACCATCTCTGCGTCCCCGGGCCTGCATGGGACACATCCAATGCTGGCAACCTGGAAGCGGTTCGAGCGACGGACCCGAGGAACCACCGACCCACACCGCAATTCCTCGCCCCATTTCTGCGTCTCTGAAAGCAGTGGAAATGATGGGAAATTCTGCGCTCCTTTCCCTTCCTTCGTCCTTGGCTTCCCTCCAGACCGACTTGGCAAGAACAGCTCCACCGATGCTGCTCCTGCCCAGATCGCTCAGCCATTATTGGATGAGCCATGGCATCCGGATGCCCTGGCCTGGGCCGTTTGATTGCAGCCGGATTCGGAGCCTTTGAGCGTTGGATCCAACATTCGACGCATTTTTCTCAAAGAACCAACCGGAGGACCCGTCGGGGGCAAGTTTCGTGTCCCCCGCTTTGTTGGCGCTGGTGTGGACCCACTTTGCTGCAGGCTCATCTTATCAGATCATCAGTCGCCAAGGAGGCTAAAAGCCGGCTTTTGGTCGCCGAAAGTCGCAGCCCAGGCTGTTGGTCGGGGTCCATCAATTCCCGCCTTCGACTTTCGCTATCATTCTACGTCCTCTTCAACATCAACAATTTGGAAAAGTGCAATTGAGACTGTAGTCTAAGCATGCCACTCAGACTCTTCTGAGATACTTGGCAATTCCGTATCGACATCCCCTTGTCTCTGTACTCGACGAAGGCAAGATAGGCCGCAATGATAACCAAACCAACCAGCTCCCAGTCATCGCGCCGCGCCCTCAGAAACCCGGAAACTCAAACTTTACTTCCTCAGCATGATACCCACCAGGCGGGATCCCGGCATTGGTCAACTCGCCCAGGAAGCTGGTATGCAGCGCGTGAAGGTCCGGATTCGCCTTGAGCGCCTCCTCCTGCGCAAGCACGTCTTCCAGATCCTGTCCGACGTCAAAGTACTTTCCCCTCAGCGCGCGCTTGCCGACGCCTGTCGCCAGCGCCACGCACACCATGCCGTTGAGATACGGCGAGTCGTTGTACACGTCGAGCGTGTTAAGGAAGGCGGGCTGGGCCGACGCCGGGAGGCTGGAGATGGACTTCTTGGCATACTCTGTTTTTCGTCCACCACATACCGTCAGCCGGCCGCGTCAGTGACACTGACCCATGATATTCGTGAACAAGGAAAGAAGAAGGGGATTCCCTACTCGTCAGCGTCATGGCGCTCTTGATTCCCCCTGGATGCAGCGAATACAAGTGCACGTCGTCCAACCCTTCGATGTCCATCTCCTTTTGCGTGCACGCCGTCAGGTTGATCAGCGCCGCCTTGCTCGCGCAGTAGCTCGTGCTGTAGGGGGTGGCGACGGTGCCCGCGCGCGAGGCAATGTTGAGCACGCACCCGCTGCGTTGTGCGCGGAACCCGGGCAGGAGCAGCCGCATGAGATAGTAGGGTCCGTTTAGGTTGACGGCGATGTCATGGGCGAAGTCGCGCGGATCTTGTACGTAGATCTGGATTCAGTCAGTCGTTGAGCTGGATCGGGGAGGCATAGGAATGGGCCTTACCGGCCCCAACCGGTTGGCGCCGGCGTTGTTAACGAGAATATCGACTCTGCCATGGAGGTTGAGTGCCTATCAGGTAAAGTAAGTAGACAATCCCCATCTCCGCTTACACCAGATGCCCAGGACCTCGCACCTCATACCCACCCAGCAGCTGAGTCAACAGCCTAGGTACCGTATCACGGCAGCAAACTTCAAGAAACAAACTCACCCGCCGCACAAGCTCCTTACACCCCTCTAGCTCGGCAACATTGCACTGTACAAACTCAACCGCCGCAGCCCCGAACCGGACACACCTTTCCCTCAGCTCAGGCGGCGGCGCCGTCTTGTTGTACGTCAACACCAACTTGACGCCGGCCACGGCAAACGATTCTGCCAGCGCCTGGCCCAGCGCTCCGGCGGCACCTAGTTGTGTACACTACATTAGGAAAGCTCACACAAAGTCATGTCGGTCTGGGAGAAACAGTACATGTATCCTGACAGTGGCAAAAGAGGGAGGGTGGAGGGAGAGGGAGAACCTCACCTGTGATGATGGCCACCTTGTCTTGCAACGTACCCCTGTATTTGGAAGGGTAGATGAAGGGGTAGATGTCGGTACGGAAGCGTGGGCTGAACTGGGCTACCGTTGTTTGTTGTTCCTCGGCCATACCTACGGCGGCTGTCAGTTTCGGAAGGGGTGCTGATGTGTAGCTGGAGTAATTGAAGACCGCGGATCTCTAGCTGTCCTGCCAGTGTCTCTGAAGGACGGACGCAAAAAGAGTCCAAGTTCACCCTGGATGTTCAAGTTGAATACGGAAGATCAGCAGCAGCAGAAAACGGTGGTACAAGAACCCGAAACCCGGAACCCCCGAGCCCTCCGTCCATTTCAGACTAAAGGTAGCCTAGGTGCAAGGCCAGAAGTTTGCATGTGGTGTACGCAGTGCCAGCAGTGGCCTGCAGGACATCGCTCTCCAAAAGCCCAGGATAACTATAACCGAGCCCTGCAGCGGCAGCTGTTTACCCTCTTACCTGCTATGTATGTACTTTAGCCAAAAACTGTAAAACTGTACCCCCCTAAGCCTCTCATACCTTACTCCGCCTGTGCAAAGTGGTCGGGAATTGGTAGGTTAACGGCTCATCGGGATAGAAAGGGCAAAAAAGCCCTTTCCTAGACCGAAGGAATCTTCCTTTCTATCTTACCGTTTTTTTTCCTTTTTCTATTCCTGTTATGCTCCTTTCCTCTTTTTTCCCGCTTGTTAGTTTCTTCCATGCTTTCTACTTTATACCAGTTATCGTTCATTTTCAACGCATAGTTTTATACGAGGACAAGCCCTAGATCACCGGTTTTGATGAAGTCACTCATCATGCGCCTTAGAACCTGCGTGGCGGGCTTGTTGATAATGTGTGGAAAGTTAAGGGCTGTAGAATGGACGGGGTGCCGACTTGACGAGCTGAATCAACTTCTGCTAGAAAAAGAACAGGCATATTGCGTTCGCTTGATCCCCTTCGTCCCTAAACGAAGTCTCCAGCTTTGCTCACCCTTTCCATATCCATCACTTCCCAGACTCATGACGACAAAACCAGTCCGCTTCATGAACGTCATGCTGTTCTATATTACTTGTAGACTAAGATGTACTCTCAATCAACCAACAGCTTGCAACCTGTCCGGTGCTTAGGATCTAATGTATACTCTTTAAAGCATGCTCTATCCCCCCGGATTCTTGCCTGCTAACCGCCATGCCCAAAGCACTGATCACTGGCCGCCGTACCAAACAACCGCCTTCCCAATGCTATCCAGGCACCACGAGGACATCAACCACCGCTGTCAATGCCGTCGCCATCTTTCCTGAGCCCGCTTGTCCCAACACAGCCCGCCCTTCCCAAACAACCACGCCATCATGTCTCTGAATAGCGCAACTTAGACGGTGACCCCCTCTTGTCGGACCCCGCCTGAGCCGTTTGAACAAACGTCCACGTATAAGGATCGGCATCGCTCATCAGCCCGCCATCCGAAGCCTGCGACGCCCGCTCCGTTTCCAGCTGCACCGGCGTCAGAATGACCTCCATCTCCGGCCCAAGCACGTCCAGATTCGGACTGTCAACCCCTCCCTCCTCGGCCGTCGTCGTGCCGGTGGCGGTAGTATCCTCCCCTGTCCCAATCTCGGCCGAAACCAAGCCTGCCCCCGTATTCAACAGCTCGCGGGCCGAAAGCCGCAGCTCATCCCTCGCGCGATAGAATTCTGCCACCACCGGCTTCCCGCTCCGCATGTGCCCATGGCTTTTGGCATTCCTCCTAAGCCTCGGCTTGACCGACGCACTGCCACCGCGCAGACTAGCCTTACCGGAGGTGCGCGACGACCGAGGTTTAAGTTCCAGCCTCTCTTCCTCCTCCGACTGGTCCTCGTCCCCGTCCTGGTGAAACGACTTCCTGTTATGTCGAGCCGCCACCAGCTGGATGCTCGCACCAGACCCTCTCCTACGGTCGAACGACTTCTCCTCCGACGACGTGACCTCTCCGGAGCCCGGGGGTTGGACGACGCGGACGGCGAGGCTTGAGGTACTGGGGCTCAGCTCGTAGCCAGAGTCAGCGCTTGCGCCCAGGGCGGAGGATGTGTTGTTCGGGTTGTAGTCGCCGTAGCGGCCCACCGGCCTGGACACGCCCATAGCGCGACGGAGATCGACCTGGCTTTTGCTAAACACCACGCGGGTTCGTAGGGCGTGCACGGCCTGGTCCAGAGCCAGTTCGATGGCGAGACGGTCGCGGATGCGGCTCAATTTCGGCCAGGTTGCGCGCTCTCCAATCAGACAGTTGCGGAGCATGAACTCGGGGGTAGGGTTCTTTAGCATGAGCGGGAGGTCGCTCAGGGTGATCTCTGGGAGGATGTTGACGTCGCCCGAGTACTGTTGGCCCATGACCGAGAGGAGCTTGGTGAGCAGGTTCGGAAAGACTCCCAGCTCGGCGAGAAATTGCATCCTGTGAAGACCTTCCTCTTTCGCTATCGAAGTCAGGTTGTGAAGGCACTCATCTTCGTCTTGGGAGTCCATCTTCTTCTGTAGTTGCCCGGGCACGGCCTGCTCATCCTTGGGGAGGAACGGAACGACATGCGGGTTGACCTGCGACACGATGAAGTGGTTGACGTTGAACATTTCGGCGAGACGCGTCATGGGAAGGTCGTTGTCGACAGATCCGTCGATGAACTGCTGCGGCGTAGGGATCCAGGGCTCATGGACCCCGGTGACGGGATGCTTCATCAGCAAAGGGTGGCCCTGGAAAATAAGGGGGACAGCGCACGAGGCGGCGACGGCCGACCATATGAGCACATTAGGGGCGGTAATGTAGTTGAGGAGGCGCGGAACGTCGTAGATGGACGCTGACGACACACAGATGTTGCATATCCGCCGCGTCCGGTTATACGCCTCGAGAAAAGTCACGTCGCCGAGCCACGAACGCATCACCCTAGTCAGGTTCGAGATATCGGACCAGGAACCCTTGGTCAAGAGGTTGAGGAGGTGAGACGAAAGGCCTTCATTCTCGCCCTCAAACACGCCCAGGTCGCCAAACGGGAAGGCCTTGATCAGCGAGGGAACCTCGTCGTCCTTGCGCGTGCACGCGACGGCGCAGACGATGGATCCGGCCGAGGCGCCCGACATGATACGCGGCAGGAGCTTTTCCTCGTAGAGGGTCTTGAGCACGCCGATGTGCGCCATGCCAAACGTAGCGCCTCCACTAAGGAGCAGAGCACTCCTCCCAAAGCTCTGCCTGGCGTAAACCATGTCTTCAAGCAGCTCTCTAGCATCCAGCTCGGGTCGGTAGGCCGGCATGTCCACCGCCGCTTGAATGGTCTGGACAGCCGAGTCGACATAACGATCGATCAGCGCTTTGGTGCCGATGTATGAGTGTCGGTAGAGTTCCGTATTCCCCGTACCGCCGAGGTCACGCGACAATGCAGTCCTGATCAGATACATCATGGCATTGATGTCGCAATTCGTTCGCGCCGTGTCCAAAGCGTGTAGTTGTGCCCGGATCAAGTCTGGGCGATATTCGGATTCCACGCTCGCATAATCGTCGAGTTTCCACTCGTCATTGCCCTCAAGCTGGTCGAGCTCAATGGCGGCCGTCTTCCATTCTTTTAGCGTGGCAGCCTGCGGCGACAGGTCAGCGAGTGGACTGCGCAAGACTGCGACGCCTGGGTACGTACATTTTGCATGCGCGCAGCAAGAATTTGCATCCGCTCCTCCTTCTTTCTCCTTTCCTCGCGCTCTGACCACGAGAGACCGTCCCGCCATGACAGAACAACATTGCCGGCACTTTGGACGAGCCGTGACACGTGTGAAGGGCCATGGCCGTGATGCTTTTTCTTCCTCCGCGACTTGGGAGGGTCGAAGAGCTGTAATACCTTCGAGCCTGGCTCGGCAGTGCTGACGTGAACGGGGAGATGTTTGTGTAGAAGAACGTCTGGCATTTCGGTGATCTTCGAGTGAGATGGTCAAGCGGAGGGATGGTTCCCCTCCGGTGGGACCCTTGCTCCGGCGACCAATGTGACGCGCCAGTCGTAAATGGGTTAATCTTGAAACTTCTGCTCGAAAATGATGGGCGAACAAAGCACCGTTGCTCATTCGCATGAAATACCTTCCCTTGCCCACGAGAGCCGCTGAGCAAAGAAGGACGTCGAGGTCGATGTTATTTCAACATAAATGATGGCCTCGTGGCCGCTAGGTCGTTGGAAAGCATAAAAATACACACAGGAGTTCCACTGAGAAGTGGGAGAGGGAATAAAAAAGCAAGCAGCGAATACTTACGCTGAGGTTCGCATCGCGCTCTTTTTCCTGACGATCATCAGGATCTGATCAAGAATCATGGACGTAAAAGGCCACCTGACGAAATGCGGTCTAGGTCTCACCAGCCAAACTGGGAAATGGGCAACGTGGGGCGCCCCCACCTTGCCGTCTCGGAAGGTGGACGGCAGGCACAAAGGAATCGCGGGGTAGTCGCACCGGGCACTCTAATTGGCGCGCCGGTTCCGGCGTTATGTGGGGTTGCTGCAGTGGGGTAGGAAGTCCGGTTCACTAACCAATCGCATGAGGCTGAAATGCAAGCGACTCGAACTGGAAACCTCCATGTGATGCGACGTCGGCAGCAGAGCAATTGCCGGCCTGCATGCTGCCGTGCGATGGAGACGACTTTAAGGCATCGCACATACAGCCCTTCTCACGCGGAGACCCGAGAGATAACTGCTGCGGATGAAACCACAAGCTTTTTCTCGGTTGAGGCGCTATTATTAACTGGGATGAAGTTGACACCCCATCTTGCTCGATGTGCAAGGTGCTCTGAGACGGCGAGTCAGTTCTCTGACCGAGTGTGTGAGGGCTATTTTCACTTCTCCACAACTACCTCCTATGGTAATGAGTCCGTCGGGTACGGTCTATTATGGCCAGCTAGTGCACTCGTCTTGTGCAAGGAACCCCTTTGCGGTGTGCACTCGGGTGGGTGGAATCATCTGTCATCGAACGGCGTGGCTGGCCGAAGGTCATGCTCCAAATGATCATGGTCATCCGGCGGAATGTCACGCCCAAAGAGACAGATCTGGCTCACCGCAACCTACTTAGTGCCGTGGTGCGGGATGAACAGGGTGGATTGAGAGGCATGTGCGAAACGGACAACCTACCTCGTGCCTTGCCTCATGAGAGAGTCGTGACGCGAGCTAGCGACACTGCGTGCCATTGTGTTCTTTTCCGTTTCCGTCTAAAAATACAAAGCTTCCATTGTCACATCGAAAGCTTTCCTGGATATGAGAGGGGTAAACGTTCTACACATATAGAAGATTTGAAAGTCGGCCCATTCTTGTGAACGAGTGAAAATGGGGCTGGATGGTGTCTTAGGCTTTGTGGGGTTGCTCGCCCTGCGTCAATAATGCCTGGTCCTGTGATTGGCTTCGCACAAGCTGAGAGCCCCACCGTCAGTGGCAGGCTGCGAGCTGACGGATAGATGCTCAGGGTTCGCTACCAATGGATCCCAATGCATACGCGTCACGGTCCTATCCACGACATGCCCTCACCATATCCCGTCGGCCTGACGACGAGTCTCCGCTGCCCCCTGGGCTAGGGGATTTGCTCCATCGAGTGGGACATGGCCGCTACTCAGGACTACTCGTCATCGACAATGCTTCCGAAGCCGAGCCTGATTTTTACGGTGCCCAGTGTCCATGATGGGCTCCCCATCGACTGCCGTGTCTACCATCCGCTCTCCCTGGCTGCCGCTCCCAATGCGCCGCGCTGGCAAAAGCATGCCGCCGTTGTTGCCCACCCATATGCACCGCTAGGAGGCAGCTACGACGATCCTGTTGTCGACATTGTTGCAGGCACCCTCCTGCGCCGAGGCTTCCTCGTGGTCACATTCAACTTCAGGTTCGTACCGCTTGACCATCCGCTCTAAGCTACCTTGCACTGGCCCGCTGATACCTCTTCCCACGATCTAGAGGAGCCCAGGGCTCTGCTGGCAAAACCTCATGGACGGCCAAGGCCGAGCGGGCCGACTACATGTCTGTCGTCGGATTCGCAATCCACTACGTGCACTTTCTCGACCCGTTCGGCCGAGGTGCGCCGGCCGGACGCGGGAACGCGAGCCCTGATGATGAAATGGTGGAGGACGATGGGGGTTTTGGATCGACAATATGTGTCGGTCCACCGACCCCGAGTCCGCCAGACCCGCCCGAACCCACGCCAATCCTGTTGCTCGGAGGATATTCCTACGGTGCCATGGTTACCTCGCAGCTGCCCTCTGTCGAGACAATAGCCGCCCTGTTCGATATCCCGGAATGCGGGACACACGCCGCTGAGGTACGGCTGCGCGCACAACACCTTGCCGAGATGCAGAACACGGTTTTGGCAAGCGCAAGGCAAGCCGCAGCAGACTGTCGGCGCCCACAATCTCCGCGGAAACACGTTGGGCTGCGCGTTGGGGGGGATGACGGGCGCCGCAAAAGCTATGAATCGCGCCGCTCCCTCTCGATGGAGTTGGAAGAGACAATACGGCATGGAGTTGCAGAGCTTCTGGCGCGGACCAGGAAGGGCCACAAGCGATCCAGTAGCGGGAAGGGGCATGCGCCTCGAGGCTCGGATGGAGTCAGCAGAGATGCGGGGGTTACGCCTGAGTACCTGCGTCCGATCTCCGGCCGGATTTCGTTCCGTCCGGCATACCTGCTCGTCTCGCCGTTGCAGGGTGTTGTTACGAACCTGGCAACCATGTCCCTTCCTCCGTCTTTGTCGGGCTTACCCGCAAAGGCGTGGACTCGGTTCTCCGGACGAGCCAAGGGGTCACACCCTCCAGAACCCCGGGAGCCAGCTGTGGTCGCCCATGCAGTCCCGGTTGAAGCAGAATACAAGCTCGTTCAGAATCCCACACTTGCCATCTACGGCGACCGCGACGGGTTCGTTCCGATCAAGAAGCTCCGCAACTGGGCATCTCGACTGGAGGCGATGCCGGGCTCCGAGTTCCGTGCCCACGAAGTGTCTAGTGCGAACCATTTCTGGCAACAGCGCAACGTGGCCGCCACTCTCCGCGAAGCAGTCGCCGCATTTGCAGCATCTCTATTGAGTGCCGGGACAGGCTGACTTTGTTTATCTGTGCCAGGGCGGCATTGCAGGGGCATCATCGTTGCATACTACTTCCTAACGCTCCTATCGCAGCCAGACTGCAAGCACCGCCGTGATGTATGTGTCAGACCGGGATGGCATGCTCTCTCTCCGGCTGCGCTGACGCTTCCACTGATGGCGTGGGATCCGGACCAGCGGCCGGTCCGTGAAGAAGCTCGAGCTGGTAGTATCCCATGCTGAACGACCGGACGGAGCTGGAGGAGGGAAGTCCGCTGGCGCCGAGCCTGCCGTGGTCGCAGAGGAAGACTGAGAGTCCGTGGGCGGTGTATGAGGATGGTCGCTTGTTGATGGTAATGATACCAAGGAGAGCGAGCAGGACAAGGAACGGTCAAGACATGCGGTGCGTGCGAGGGTCGAGGATTTGGAGGGCCTGCGGACGACGCATATTGATGTTGGCATGCTGGGTCTGTTTCCCAGCGAGTGTATGGAGTACGCCTCGAGTCTGGCGCAGGCCTCCGTGGACGTCAAGTATTAATGTGGCATGGCGTGCCAAATACGTGGGGCTTCGGTCGTGGCGGATGCGCCTGGGACGAGGCATGCGGTGTCGAGCTGAGTGTATCTGCTGCGGGAGGTGTAGTGTTGAAGGCACGGTTAAGACATTGACCCAGTACTTGTACGCATGGATGGCGGAGCAGTGTTCAGCATGAAGTTAGTTCATCAGATAAGGTAGCTGCGAGGTTACCCTACAGTTATCAGTTCTCGAGTTTTGTCCAGGTGTAAGTTTGACCTCGTCCTTGAACCACAGAGGGATCATGCAAAGCACAAGCCACAACTCCCTTCGCAACTCCCAAAAACCGAACCCACACCCCCATGCCTTCTCACCGCAGTACAAGTATGAAAATAGAGCCCCAAATCATAGGAGCAAACCTCACCGCAACTCTCCACCTATACGGTATCAATTCTCTTAACGCTAATCCCTCGTCCACGGCACCTCCAACGCCCCGTCCTCCCACCCAGTCACCACCTGCACCCGCCTGGACCCATTCACGAACCGAAAATACACGGCCCACGTCTTCCTCTCGTACGGCCACGGATCCGTTCCGAAAAAAGCATTGTTCATGCGCACCTGGCCCCACCTGCCCTCAAAGTAGTTGCTCAGCACCGACAGCACCGAGGGCGTCTCAATCCGCGCGGGGCCGTACATGACGGCCAGGATATCGACCTGCCCCTGCGGCCCCGCCCGCCACGGCCGTGGCAGCGTCTCGTGGTAGAAGAAGCGGTTCCGTCCTCCGTGTCCATTTTCTCCTCCCGAGTGGGTGGAGGAGTTCTGGATGGAGGCGTGCGCGTGCCGGGCGATAGTTAGCTTGGGCGGCTGGGCGGTTTCGGCGGCTGAGAAGAGGCGGAATTGATTGTCCAAGTCCGAGTCTGAGTCGTCGTCTTGGAAGCGGTAGAGGATGGTCAGGACTTTGGTCTTGCCTGGCGCTGGGTCGGGGTGCAGGTGGCGGTGCAGGGTGCGCATGTCCAGCGTGAGCTTGTCGCTGGTGCCGACGAGCTTCTGGATGTCCGGCGTCACTGTTACGCCGCCCCAGGTCGCGCCCAGGATCTGCAGGGCGTTGGGCCGGGGGGCCGAGACGGATCCTTCGTAGGACGGGATTGGGTCCAGGTGGGTGAGGTCAGTCCCGTCTGGTGTTGAGTGAGGAGTCGGGTCTTGCAGCGTCACTTTGGTCATTGCGATAATGGTGTTAATGATAAGACGAGACAGGGCAAGTAGAGTAGTACTATTATTATCTTGGTGGAGTCTGGGCGGGAGGACACGATACTAAGTCAGGTAGGTATTGGTAATTGGAAGGGCGCATGAGCTTGTGATAATGTCCGGGGAGCTTTGCATGTGCACTGCCTTCATCAACGGGAAAAACGCTGGAATGTGGGGGAACAATGGCACCTGGCTGCCTGCTATTGGCGGTGCTGGGTCTTGTGATACGGTACCTGGTAAGTCACAACATTTGGAAGTCGCCACCGCCTAGTTCGATTACCGTACATTAGCATTATCTGGTGCGGAGATCCGTCAGCGGAGATCCGTCAGCGGAGAGGAGATTGCTGATTCAGAAACACGCCAACTCGATGGTTTGGGAATCGTTCGGAATTCGGCACCTGCCTGTTCTTTGGCGAAGTCTTTTCTGGTCTGAATCTCTTATATAAGTAATGTATGGTTGATCTGGTTCATCTGTTGTTGAGAATCAATCAAACCTCTCGTTGAATCAACCTGAACTTCGGGGTAGCATTTCAAGGCTTCAAACTTCAACTTTCGCTAACTACCTGATTTGCTCGGTGTTCAGAATGGTTCCGTTATTGGCGGTGTCCTTGCTGCTTTCGATTCTACTGGTGGCCACTCTCCGTCGACGTCGTGAACTCTCCCTCCTTCAGCCGACTCAGCCCTCGCCATCCCGGAGTCAAGGTCCTTACAGCGGAGGGCACGTCGCCGTTAAGGATGACAAGATCAGCCAATCGAAGCCAACGATCGAACCTCTTCCAAACTTTGACTGGAAAGCCACGCCGCCAATGAAGATCAGACCATTCAAACCAACGTATAACATCACAATGGGTATATCTCACCTTCATTCACCAATGAGAGTCGCGCTCAATCCCTAGACGGAAAGCATCATCAAACATACTCACACTGGCTCTCCTCTAATAGCCATCCAAAACAGCGCCCCCTCGGACCTCATCGTCATGGACCGCAACTACCTCTCCCGCGTAACGGCCCGCCGCCATCTCATAGCGCAGCACACCTCTTCCGTACTCGGCGCCATCCCGCCAGGCGAAGCAGCCGTCAGAGAATTGTACACCCACCTCCTCGGCACCTACCTGCCGGCGCGCTATCCCACCATGTTTGAACTCATCCGAGCCCCTTCTGCCAACAGCAACAGCCACCACCAGAGTGTCTCCTTGCGCAACAAAGTCACCGGGCTCGAAGCTCCCGTCCACCCGCTGCCTTCTGACACGAACGAGATGCTCCGAATCTTGGGCGAGACGGTCGAGGACGACATGTTTTTGCTCTTGCGGGATCGGGCTACTAGCAGCGATGAAAAAGGCATTGGTGGTCGTGGTGATGGTGGTGGCGAGCACAGGGCCGTGGCGTTTGTGTGCTGCCACCCGGCAGGCTTTGACCCCTCGGAGAAGCTGGGCAAGAGGCTGGCCGAGATCCATGGGCCGGTGCCGGCGTATGAGAAGATCGGACCCAGCATGGAGAGGTTCTTTGGACGGTTGGAGGTCGGGAAGGCCGTGAAGAGGGTGAATGTGAGTTTGTCTCTCTCACGGACTTTTAATGGGTTGTGCGCAGTGTTACGTAGGTTGGGTGCTGACATGCTCTGCACAGTGGAGTATACAGACACATTTGAAAATGTATACGCCGCGGGGAAACCACGTCCATGTGGGCGAGACAGTCGAGGAAGAGACGAGCATTGACGTTGACGAGGCAAGGCTCAGGGTTGAGCTGCAGACCCTGACACGGCTGCCGGAGACGCAGGCAATCCTCTTCAGTTTTAAGACGTACATGTATCCGCTCGCCGAGATCAAGGCGGAGGGGCTTGGGCCGCAGCTTGCGGACGCGATCGAGGGACTGAAGGCTGGGAACGCCCCCGGTATGTGGGTGTACAAGGGAGGTGTGAGATGGGGGAGAGCTGCTTGCGAGTATCTGAGAGCTTGAACATGAGAACCATGACAGAAACGGTCCAGGGGTGAAAGGAGTACGGACCTGGTGTCATCTGGGAGATCTCACCGGCAATGAAGTGATGGAATATGACTGATGATTATGCCTACGGCTAGGTATCAGATGTCTAAAATCAAACTATTCCCAGTCAATGCCTCATGTGCTCCATGGACGTGTCGGATTCCGGACTTCTAACTCCATGCTGTGCCGCTTGTTCACAGCAGGACTTCAGGCTCAACTTTAACCCCGTCTCCCGAAGGGTCGGGCCGGGTTCTCCACATCGGCTCGGAGTACGGATGTGGAATTTCGGAAAACCCTCTGATCAGTGAAAATGAAAACAGGGCGTTGAAAATTTCCAAATTTTTGGAAATTCAATTATACCTCGTTCGACAGGCGGTAGCACCTAAGGGTTAAGGCTGGCTACTACAGGCTTGCTCAACAACCTCCCGAGTGGACGTGAATAATTATACGGATTACTTTAACTGATTACTAACCCTGGCTTTAACCCATATATCCACTGCGCCAAGCCTTCTCAAGCGAGGCTTGACATCAATTCTTTCAAATTTGGTTGAAATTCCGCAAACTGCATATTTCCTTCCACATCCGTAGCTCGGAGATCCACCAGTAGCGCCGAGACGCGAGGGCGACCAGGGTTTTATCTGATTATCTGATAAACTTCGTCCTCCCATATACTTTAAGTCTCCCCGGCCACAATCGGAAATGTGTCTACTCCTAGCAGTATTAGCTTTCTCAGGGTATTGATCTTACGTTGTCGGGTCAAGTGCAACCTTCAGTCACACATTATCACCTGAATAGTACCAGCAAAGTTCTGTTCCCAGAGCGATTGCCAGAACCATTATGGCTGGGGCACTTCGGAATGTTGTCGTGGTTGGCGGGTCGTATGTCGGAGTGGTGAGTTAACTCGACCATATGATCGGGACCTTTATCAATATTGAGTTCTGACATGGTTGCAGAATACGGCCAAGGAGCTCGCCAGTCTTCTTCCAAAAACACATCGTGTAAGTGGGATGAGCTGCTCTGTCTACGCATTATCTAACTCTGCTAGGTGCTCCTTGTTGAGCCTCACAGTCACTTTCACCACTTGTTTGCCTTTGTGAGCGAGCTAATATTATCTCTCCTCTACGCGCCGTTCCAGCTGACCAAGTCACCAAAATTCAGCCCCGGTTCGCCATTAGTTCCGGCCACGAACACAAGGCCTTCATCCCCTTTACCTCAGTCTTCTCCGGCGCGCCAGGGTCACCGCGCCACCAGGTAGCCCGCGCGAGGGCCGTCTCGCTGCAGCCAAACAGCCTCACCCTCGATAGAGAATGGCAGGGCTCCAAGACCATCCCGTTCGACTTCCTCGTCGTCGCCACAGGCACCCGCCTCGCCGTTCCAGGGACCATGCCCGACGACGACAAGCCGCCATCCGTCCGCTACCTGCAAGCCTACCAAGAGCGCATCCGAACCGCCAGCTCCGTCGCCATCATCGGCGGCGGCGCCGTCGGTGTGCAAATGGCTTGCGACCTGAAAGAGCTCTACCCTGCCAAGACCGTCACCCTCATCCACTCCCGCGAGCACCTCATGCCCGTCTACCACGAGGCGCTCAGCAACCTCATCAAGGACCGTTTCAGAGAACTCGGCGTCCAGCTCATAACCGGCAGCCGCGTGGTGATTCCGCCGGAAGGATTTCCCAACGTTAACAGACAGGCCTTTGACATATGCCTGCAAGACGGGCGCAGTCTCTCGGCGGAGTTTGCTATACAGGCAACAGGGCAGACGCCAAATAATCAGTTTCTCCTGTCCGGGCTGGTTGGAGAGTCCGGGCAGTCGGCGGTGCTCAATCCCAAGAACGGCTTCGTCCGCGTGCTGCCGACGATGCAATTTGCTGACCCGCGCTATCCGCACCTGTTCGCGGTCGGGGACATTGCCGACTCGGGTGCGCACAAGGCAGCGCGGCCGGGCATGGTGCAGGCGGCCGTGGCGGCGAAGAATATCGCGAGTCTGATCAAGGGGGAGGAGCCGGTGGAAAGGGCGGCTGTGGCGCCGGCGGGGATACATTTGACGCTGGGGTTGGTAAGTTAGATGAGGGATCTTCTTTGTTTCTCTCGAGAATGACTGGATGTCTGGGTGAAGTGGTTACTAACATGCGGACGCAGACGCGTAATGTCATCTTCCGGAACCCCAACATTGCGGCTGGAGATGCAGAGCCGTTCATCAATCTCAAAGATGAGTAAGTATTTCACAGGATCAACGCCTCGCAGTGTTGAGTGCTGACAGACTTGAACAGCGGCCGGGAGGATATGGGCATCGACGGTGTTTGGGTCAGACGCGGAGTCGTGGTGACAAGTCCACAGGACTATCATCTGTGATTGACACTGGAGCGTCAGAACTTGGAATGTGCTTCGTTGCTGGCTAAGTTTAGTTAAACCTCTGTAAGATACTGAATCAAACCGAACGGAGAAGGATCATCTCTGGAGGCTGCTCCCGCCGTGCTTGCACAAGACGCAATATCACCACGCAAGAGACTCAGCTCGAGAAAGGGCAGCAGGGTCCGACCGCGAGCCTTCGGGCCGCAGAAGCCCATAGCAGTGGGAAAGCCGCCATCACAATTGCAGTTTGGACGGGGGGAACGGCCGACACGGACAGGGTAATGCAGGAGGCTTGGGAGGAGAGGTGGCTGAAGGAACGAGACGGCCGGGCAGCCACGAGGCCAGCCGACGACTTCGACCACCAGCAGGAAACTTGTTCAAAAGACCAAGACTCTAAAGAGGCACGTGGGCCTAAACAAGGCGAAAGGTTCACTGCTGGTCAAGGTCCGAACTGGGGCTATAGGCCTTCGGGGCTTCCTCTTCGAAAGGGGCGTCCCGAAGGTCTTGACGCCCAGCTGCGAGGGTGGGAAAGGGCGAGAGACCGTCGAACACCAGGTGATGTGAGTCTGGCGCCACCGGTGGCTCGAAGATGGGAGAGAGCCGCGGTCCGAACGTGAAGGGACTTTTACTCTGTTCTACAAGGAATTAGTCTCACAGCTGCGCGGCTAACAGGGAGGATCCTGAGATGGCTGATGGACTCGGGGAGGCTGTCGATGTACAATCCGGCTAGGAGGCTGGAGCTGGAGCTTATGGTCTGATGTCCCCTCCTCCGAAGGCCAAGAGGCCTTCTCTCTTTGTATTTGCAGGCTCACTCACTGATCGTTTCCTTGATTACCGATATGGGCTTTTCAGGCAACCCGCAAGGGTGCGGTTTTCCTGCTAATAATAATAATAGTTGCTACTGTCTCTCAGTCCCCTCACTCATTCAATTGTCCTCCGACGGATAGCCCAAGTCAATAACGCACATACCTGGGCCAAAATGTTCAAAGCCGAGTCAGTCTGAGCCAAAATCCCCTTCAGACTCAGAAACTTGCAGAGTCAGGGTCAGCTGCTACACAACCCGCAGTTTCATGGGCTGAATCTGGCTGGAACTCGCTCACAAACCACGGCCACGCACAGTTTGGCACACAGCTTTAACTTCTGCAGCCGGCACACCGCCGCAGAGCCATCAAGGTTCTCTCTCTACGCAGCAATCAGGTTCTAAGTTGCAGACCTTCATTGACAGTATTGAACAGTTATTGGAAATTAGCCGGTGCTCAGCTCAACTTGTGATTAAGCTAAGAAGAGATGTGAAGACATGTGCTCTGAGCGGACACAGGGCTTGATCACGAGAATCAATTAACACCTCACGGCTGCAAGAGAACCAGCTTCTTGATTCCAAACTGTTCACCGAATGAGTGACTGAGGTAGCGGTGAGTTAAAACAGCACACTTGGCCCCCTCCGGACCTTCCTCTTCCCCCGCCCCTTCCCCCCTCTCTCTTACAGCCCATCCCTGGAAACCATAGCAACCGCACTTGCGCGCTGCAGGACCCGCCTGCGCCGTGCCGCTGCCAGTCCCAGCGTCAATCAAACCGACCCATTACTTCTTGGCCTTGGTAACGTTCTGCCTGTAAGTCTCCTTGTACGTGGCCTTGTACTCCTTCTTCTTCGCCTCTGCAGAAGCACAGAGCCTTCCGCCGTTGAGGAACTGGGATTTGACCGCAAAGCTCGACGGCGACCTCGGGCACGTTCGAGCCGCCCCGCTTGATGAGAGACACTTTGCACATGGCGGTATCGGTGCTGTGGCGATGTCGTTGAACAGATTGTATGAGTGTTTTAAAAAAGAGTAGATAGGAAATTCGAACAAGTCCGGCTTGTCGGTGGTGAAGATGGAAAAGTTGGTAACTGAAATGCTTGGATCGGAATAATTGGCAGGCTTGCCAAGTGAGGAATGAGACACCTCCAAAGCAAAACGAGCTTCCTTTATATAGATACATGATTCTTGCAAAGACTGGACGTCTTGCGCATTCCAAAAAGAACTCATAGTGCTCTGAGACGACGGCCAACGCGCTTAACCATCACGGTAGCCTTTGTATCAGCCTGCCGGAGGGCTGGAGTTCGAAATGTCTGAGATGGAGAATTGAGCTGGTTTGATAAGTGGAGTGTAAAGGCATATCGAGAGACTTGGATGAAATCCCCTGTACCATCCGAAGTACGGGCCGTAGAAAGCGTACGCTGGCTGTTCTGAGTGAGGCGTCATAGAGCAAAGTATCCACTTACAGGAATCTTTCACGCTGTACATGGTGCGATCTAATTACGGGAGGATTGCGAGGCAGTATGTTGTACCAAGATAGGCCACTCATATTAAGAGGTATACCGATATAAAACCAAGAAAAGGAACCAAACGACTTGGTGCAAATTTGGGTTCTCGAAATCCCAGCGTGGAGCGATTGGTTCAGGAGGCAAGGGATGTAGACTGGGAATAGCTTCATAGACCTGGAGTGGAGACCGAAGGACGGGAGGAGTCCGTTGTTTCATGCGCCGTCACTTGGCCCGGGGGAAGGATCTCGACCTATCTAAGGTAAGGTAGGCAGAACTCACCTCAGACATCCTATCTCTTGATGCCTTACTGCGTGGAGGAGCCTTTCGTTTCATGCGCCGTCATTTGGCCAGCTAAAGGCTGGCGACTTACCTACGGTAGGCAGCATTCACCTGAAAATTCCATCTTTATCGTCGAGTGGTGTCTTCAAAAATAATTTTGCCACAATGTTTGCTTCTTTAGCCTTCCAGAGGCGCATCTATAAGGTACGTTCGCCTTCTATGGCGCAGGTCAGGCAGGGTAGCAGTGAGCGTTGTCTTGAGGGGAGGGTTGTGCGAATTCAGCGCCCGTCACGAGCATAGCGATTTGATGACGAGGAGGGGTACAGCTGCCCAGCTAAAGGGATTGACCGGGCAGGAGTGGACGATTGTTCGGAACGACTCGCTGGCAAAAACGGTCCCTTGAGCTCGAGTCCCTGATGCGACGGAAGCGCACTGACAGCCATGCCGATCAACATCCGCAATCTTGCTGGCGTCATTCACATCTTCGAATCTCCAGAAACGTCTTGTCCATTGCCTTACTGCCTACAGCAAGAGGAACATAACCGGCGAGGCTCTCCCCAGCTCACATCCGTTGACAGGTGAGCACCAAACAAGCTATCCGCCGGAAGCTAGCGTGTTCCCAAATCCACAGTTGGGGCCCGTAGGCAAGAACCAAGAAAACACCAGCCGTTCTAACCACGGCCAACAGCATCACAGCAGTCCACCTGCAGTCAGTCCAAATCAACCAACGCAAGCATCCGCCATCCAACTGTAGCCTGCCAGGCACCGCAAAGGCCACCATCCGCTGGCACATCTCACTGCTCAACAGCAGCAGCATCCGCCGCGACCGCCCCCTGCTGCTTATTATGCTTCCTACCCACCTTGTCCTGATCATACAGCGGCTTGAGCTCCGCCTTCCTCTGCCACAGCACCCACCGCCTCAGAAACCACGGCAGGGTCTGCGTGAGCTGGTACCTCGTGAACCTGGCCGTCGGCACAGCAAACACATAATCCAGCTCCTCGAGCGTGCGCTGCTTGGTCTCGGGCACCCAGAAGAAGATCATGATGAGCGCCACCACGTTAAACCCGGCGTAAATGCCAAACGCGCCCACCGTGCCCGTCGATGCGAGCATGAACGGGAACGTCATGCTGAGCACGGCCGCCCAGAACAGACAGGTCGCAACGGCAAACCCCATGCCGACCTCTCGGTGCGACAGGGGAAAGACCTCGGCGCTGTACGTGTACGGGACGGGCCCCTCGCCGGGGGAGTAGAAGGCGCCGAACAGGTAGACGAACAGGGCGACGAGCGCGGTGCGGGCGGTGCCCTGGTCCATCAGCGTGCACAGGCCGGCCGCGAGGAGGGTCCACGTCATCTGGGGGAAAGTGAAGAGGAGGAGGGAGCGCCTGCCGAACGTGTCAATAGTCCAGAAGGCGGGGAAGGCAAACAGCCAATTGACGAGGCCGAAGCCGAAGGACGAGAGGAGGGCCTGGAAGTCGGTTGATCCACTCTCTTTGAACACGCTGAGGGAAGGGGTTAGCACGGTGTCCTGGTCTGAGCTGGGTTTGTGGGTGTACAGTGCGTAACAGAAAAAAAAAACGAAACAAAACTCACGTTGAAGAGTAAAAGGCTATGATGTTGATGCCGCACATCTGCTGGGCAATCATGACTGTAAACGCAGCTAGAGTGGCGCGGCGGATGCGGGGGACGGTAAAAAGCTCGACAAAGCGTTGGATGTAACTGCTGTTGCGGAGGAGCTGGATTTCGAGCTCGAGTTGGGAGTGGATGTAGAAGATATCACGCGCCACCTGCAGCGGGTGGTGGCGGAGCCTGGCCATGGATCTCCAGGCTTCGGCGTATCGGTTCTTTTTCATGTACCAGCGAGGTGACTCGGGGCAGAAGTAGATGAGGAGCATGAGGGGCACGGCGGGAATAAAGGGAGCGCCTATATGGAGTCAGGGGTTGGCAATGTGAAACGGAGTAAGACGATACAGGCTAAGGTATTAAAAGCCTTACCCAACATGAGACGCCAGTTGATATGGTCACCGGTGTTGAAGACGGCCAGATTGAAGGCTGTCCCGAGGAAGATGCCAAAGGCGGTCCACATCTCTGCACTCGTTGTCAGTTGTGTGCCCTCAAGCCCCTGGGACTCCCTCGATACTCACGCCAAGACATGACGAGCGCTCCACGGATGGCGGCGGGGGAGTTCTCAGCAGCATAGATGGGCACCGTTGAGGCCTTGACGCCCATGCCGATGCCCATGAGAAGTCGGCAGGCCAGCTGCTGTGGCCATGTGTGGCAAAAGGCGGATCCGATGACAGGCCAGCAGCAGAAATGTGCCGAGACGAAGATGACACCGCGGCGGCCAAGTAGGTTGTTGATGGGATCCGAGAGCCAGCAGCCGATGAAAGCGCTGCCAATGTAGGGACCGGCGTTGACGAGACCAACAAGGAGCGTGTTGCGAGTGTCCGTGCCGTCGATGCCGTAGAACTTGGGAAAGAAGATGTTGGCACCGTTGGAGCCCGTCTGATCCCAGCCCTGAACTGCAGCGCCGATCGAACAGGTGGCGATGGTCAGGAAAAGCTTCATGGGAAGGCGCCATTTGTACTTTATTTCGTGGCGGAGAGCCTCCTTTTCATCTTCGTTCAAGGCATTGGGGCCGGTGATGTCCTCAAACGCATTGGGATCCTGGGCGACGAGGGCGCCTTTTCGAAGCAAGGGAAGATGCTCTGTGAGGCCCTTCTCCTGGGCGAACGCCTCGACGCGGCTCATGAGCTCATCTTCTGGGATCCCTTCGAGAGGGTTTCTGATCCTGTGCAGGGGTATTACTTGTCAGTTTTGGCACATTATCTAGCCCATTGCTGGCTCACCTGGCCTCGAGGTTCCGGTTGAGGTCAACATGTTCTGCGTGCGAGACGCCCTTCTCGAGGTGGTGTCCGGCAGCACCCTTGGGGTCGCTGCTGCTCAACTGAAGTCTAGTTCATGTTAGATAGGGCATGCTTTTGGTCCGAGCGGCAAGCCATACGACTGATCTTTAGCAACTTGCACGCTGTCCGAGCTTCCGCTGTCCGCCATAGCTGCGGGTGACGGTGTCGATCTCCGAGTCACGCAGGCCAAGACAACGGGTCTTCGTGGGTGTGTCCTTACGAGGCTGCACAGAATACTCATTCACGAGAGATGAAAGAGCGAGGAGCAGGCCAGGCCTGCAAGCACGGGACAGACTCGGATTTAAGAAACCAGCTTTCGGCCTGCATACCACACACCGCAACGGCCGTCATACCATGTGGGTGCCTCCGTACAAGACTTCTTCCCCTTGGACGTGGTCCAGGTCCACAATAGTCCCCCGCAACAGGCACGAGGCGGAAGTGATCGACAAGTGGCCAGGCGGGAAGTGTGGTAGAAGGATCAATTCGGGGTCCTGGAAGCCGGGGTCGAGCCAAGGTTCGCAGCAGACCAGTCGCGCCATCCAGGAAATTCTTCTGAGGAGGGTGAACTCCGGGCGACGGCGTCAGTTTACTAAGGAAATGCAGGAGGGTTGCCCCGCATCTCACCAGCATGGATGATCCCTCATCTCGTTCGTGTACACTACCGCTCTGTTGCTAAGGTAGCGCACGGTTGATGGTTGGTCTTGAGTACGCAGTAGTCATTGAAGCTTCTTGTTCTTGTCACATCCAGATCGCACCCCCCTGGGATAAGATCTAGGGGAGCACTTACCGCAAAACGTGGGCGGTTGATCCCGTTCTTTCTCAACTCTCAATGGCTGTCTGTGTGATGGTCGGCGTCGGGTCATGGCCATGCGAGTTCTCGACCTTGACGTGAGACCCTGCAACGGCAGCCGTTGCGGCGCTATTCTTGGCCAGTCGACGCTCGGTCCTTGGCATGCTGCTTGGCTGACGTGGAAACAACCTCCGCTAAGATTTGGCGTGTTTAGCTTGTGTGGGGATATCGGTCCGATCAAGGCGCTAAAGTTACGATTGCCGAGAGCCGATTGAATCCGCTGGCGTTGGCAGCAACGCAAATTTGAAAGGGAATACCTAAGAAATGTCAAAGCTTGAGACGGACAGAGGCCCGAGAGTCTGTGCCCGGCCGCCTTGAACTTCGAGTGTGTAACTGCAAAGAGCACCAGGCTGCAAGTGGTACAATACAAGTGATGTGATGTAGGTACCATATATCCGTACTGTATTCCTGGAAAGACCGAAGCTGCCCCTGCCTGCAGAAACCCTTTTTCCCTCCTCGAGGTTGGAAGTCCCACCAAAAAGAGCGAGAGCCAAATCATCCACTGCCGAGCATGCAATAAAATCCTTCGGATTATGGTCACATGCCTGGCCGATTTTCATGCCAAACTCCCCCGGATTCCACCCCGGAATCTCCATTTGCCTGGAACCCCGTCACAAGTTTAAGTTAATGTTGCAGACGTCAGGGCTCTCGGTGGGCCCTTCAATTGATGATTGAGGCCCCGCAAAGAATTTGTCCCCTCAATCCATCACTCGTGTCTCCCCTTCACCACTTCATCGGCCGCCCCGGATATCTGTGTATACTGCGGTAAAGTGCAACCTGTTTCCCATCGGGCAACAGTCCCAGCAACTCATTGCTTGCCGAAAACTTTGTCAGCACTACATCGGCTGGCGACTTGGAGTACGGGCAGTTACAGTGCTTTCGTTGTGAGCTGAGGCCTGCCAGACTGTTCGAAATCACTTGGTGGGGTGATACGCATACAGAGGAATCCTAGAACAATGGAGCCCTTGGACGCAAAGAAAAAAGACAGTCATCGGCATACAATTCCCAACACCGAGACGACAAACCAGTCACAGCCAGCGTCTACTTGACCTGGTCTCGGTGTAACGCAAACGACACGTCTTCAAGCACGCCCCTTCACTCGCACTCAATACCTCCCCCCTTCCTCGTCTTCGAACCGCCTCCACATCCCCTCCACCATCTCCCTTCCCACCTCCCCAACATACCCCTGCTCCCTCAACACCCCCAACGACATATTCGCATACCTCTCCGCGTTCTCCATATCCCTCACCACATAAAAGATGCGCGCCATGTTCTCATATTGCTCGCTGTACAGCGGAAACAGCCCCTCGGCGGGGAGCAGCGCAAGCACTTGCTTGGTGAGCCGCAGCGCCGTGTACGGCCTCCCGGCCTGGAACGCGCGCACCGCGTCGTCGCGGAGCCTCTCGATTTCGCGGCGGCGCGCGTCCGACGCTTCGCGCTCGGCTTCTGGCGCGCTGCAGAGGCTGCACGTGCAGGTGAAGCCCCATTTGTGGAGCCTGCGCTGACGCTCTGGGGTCGGTTGGCCGAGGGGTATGTCTGGGGGATAAGTTAGATAGGTATGTGAGTGTGTACCCAACCTAGATAGAAGCGTGGTGCAAGTGCAAGGCGGCTTACAGCTGATAGAGATCTCTTCGCCTGTGGGGATATCTCGTGCCGCGGCGACGCTGACTTGGAGGGTTTCGGGCATGAAACGGGTGTAGGCACTGAACAAAACATCAGAGAACGGAACGAGACCTCGAGATGGGCAGCCGGACTCACTTGGGCTTGCAAGCGTGATTGATTCGCTGCAGTCCGAATATCAGTTCTACCCATTGCCCACGAAAAAGTGATCTGCAGACTCACCGACACAGCTGGATACACCGCGAGATGCGGCACCTCGCCCAGGTTCGTGTGGAACGCATTCGTTCTCACCACATTCTCGACCACATCCTGCGCAAACCCGTTGCTCTGGCCCAGGTCCAGCACGCTCGCCGGGTCCGACAGCCGGTCGACGGCCGCATGCAGGAGCCGATACCCCAGGACAGCCGGGACCTTGGTCGTGAACTCAATATCGACCAGGAGCGTCGCGTAATCGAGCAGTATCTCCTCGTACTGCTTGATGTCTCGGACGGCAACGAGCCCCCTTCCCTTGCCGGGCATCTCGACGACCTTGTAAGGCGCGCCGTGCGAGTCGGATGTCAGGCTAGGCGCCTTCAGCGGTGGGCTGAGACTCAGGAAAGAGACGCTGTCGGCCGCTGTTTCGGGCGAGGTGACCACGCTCCATCCACGCGAGCCGTGTTGTGCGTTGGTGTAGGCGCAATACCTAGCCGTCCTGTCCATCGAATGCTCGCACTCTGGTTGGTGTGTCCACAGTGACCTCCGATACCGCCATGATTCTGCCTTGTCGTCGACTGGCAATGGGCACGCCACATCAAGGCCCAGTGGCCTCTGTGTGAGCGGGACGGAGGAGTATCCGAGCCCCGTCCGGCCCAACTGGAACCAAATCAACAGCGCTGAAAGGGTTGCTGAACTCAGGTCTCTGACACCTCGAAGAGCCATGGTTGATTCGTGTGTTCTTATCCTTCATTCGTTTTTGAGAGAAGTTGAGCATGAAGGGCATACAGTGTCATCGGTCTCTGAGAACTGGCTTCTCTCCCCTTTTTCAGGATCAAGACTAACCATAGCCCAACATTCCGAACTTTCCGGCAGCACCATGTCGGATTTAGAGCAAATTGTCGAGTATATATTATGACTTGACCGATCGACACTGGGACAGACCAGAAGCATAACCCAACAGCCCAAGCCAAGAGACTTGGCCGCGGCTCATTGTGTCTTGGAGAACCATGGCCACGCGCGGTTAAAATCTAATAGCAGCCCCAAACGAATGCTAAGCATCTGCCTAGACGGAACCAAGCCATGGCCGCCTCCGTGCTAAGAAGAGTCAAGCCTCGAGGAGGAAAGGGTCACATGGAACGGACTTGTCGAACTTCTAAGAGAAAAGCTGATAACAAAACAACCGCGACGAGAGTCTGGACTCAAACCCGGCTGAGATAAATGTCGTCCTAATCTGTAATCTGTCTAATATAGATGTTCATGCCGAGTTAAGTTATCTATGGGGTATCGGGAAGGCAGGAAAGAAGGAAGACGTGCAAGCAAACAGAGGAACACAATAACGGAACAAGAATTGGGAATGACCATTCTAGCAACCTGAATGCAAACCATCATGCAACCAGCTCCTCGAGGGGGTTGGGTCCCAAGCCGTATAGCTATGTTTGAAGGCAGTCTCATCAGTCCTAGTCCCCCAGTAGACACTAGACCCAAACCATAAAAGACGCATGCCTGGCAGGCCCGAGGCACAACACCTGTCTTGACCCTCTTCGAGTCCCTCACTCAATGCACCGCACGCATGTGCCAACCAACGCAAAGAGGGTAAGAGTTCCCTCTTTGTACCCTAACATGAGGTATTTAGTGTAGGTAAGGTAGGTAGGTAGGTAGGTGAGCGAGCAGGTAACTGTACCTAGGTTATCCTCCCGTCGTGGTCTTGCCAGTTGAGCCATTCCATAGCAATTCCCATCCACGAATCATGCCATGCCAGAGCAACTAACCGAACACAACGTACGTAGGTGAAGGTACCTTATGTAGGTAATGGTACCGCCAATTCACACCCATCCACACCCGGTTCCCAATCCCACCTTCCGCCACGCCACGCAACAAGAAGAACCCACCGCTCTCAACTTTGCCCGATGCCTCAGGCCCATCCATCGCTCTATAGAAACGCCTGCGTCTGTCTGTCCGTTCCACCTGTCTGCCGCCCATGCACCCGGTCCACGCCCTGATGATTCACAATGAGATCTGGCATTTCATTCCTTCCCCTCTCCCCCCCCCTCCCCCCTCCACCAACCCCGCCTCCCTCGGCTCAACTCAAAAACCCAGACACGCAAAATCTACATGTTCTCATTCCCCAACACCCAGGCGCGACCGCTGCGCCAGCACCTCGCGCGCATAGAACTCGACCAGCATGGTGGCGTAGGCTTCTAGGTCCTCGACGGGCACGGCCAGGCGGAAGTCGTTGAGGAGGAGGAACTGCAGCTCGAGATGGTTCAGTTCGGGGAGGGGGAGGCCGCCGACCTGCATACCGACTTTATTAGAAAAACTGTCATGATATCTCGGTGGTTGGTCGGGTGAGAAAAAGGAAGACGGAAGAGAAACACACACTTTTGCGTATCGCGAATTGGTATAAAACACATCCGAAAAAAACTTGCTGGCACACGTCACGCCAGCAATGATGAGCCGGTGGATGTTGAAGCTGTCCACCACAAAATACGTCGCCTGCGGCGCAGCAGCGGCAGAGCCCCCGGAAGGGGCGCTGACAGGCACGGCGGCAGCTTTCCTCCCCGCCTGCGCTGCAGCGCCGCCGTCCGACCTCTCATCGCCGTCGGTCGAGTCGGCCAGCTCGGAGTCAGTCTCAGTCGCGTCGCTGGAGTTATCCTCATCCACGCCACCCTCGTCATCATGGTCGCGCATGACCGCGTCTTTGTCAGCGACACTTTCTACCCCTGCAGACGGCGCTTGTCGTCGTAGCTGCTGTTGCTGCTGCTGCGCCCGCCGCGCCTCCTCGCTCTTCATGACCATGTCGTTGACGCGCTCCGTCATGCGGTCAAAGTACACCAGCAGGCTCAGAAACACCTCGTACGTAGTCGGGCAGTACTTGTGGATGCGGCTGAGGTAGCTGAGAATGGTGATGGCGGGCACGTTCTTGCCGTGGAAGGCGAGCACGCTGCTGCTGAGCGGGCTGATGCTGCTGTCGGCGCCTCCCTCCTCGCCCCTCGCCTGCGCTTGCGCCTGCCGGAGGTGGTGTGCGTTGCGGTTGAGGGCGTCGTGCTGGAGGTCGTTGGTCGTTGTGATTTTGGTCAGTAGCGCCGCCACCATCTCGATAATGTCACCGATCGGCATGCCGCTAATTTCATACTTCATTTGCTGTAGTGGCGGATCGTTGACAATTCCAAGCCCCGTGCCGCTGAGCAGGTCCGCCCTTGCCAGGCTTTGGATGTGCGCGAGGTCGCGGACACGGATCGTAGTTTGCATCGGTATCGGCGACTCGGGTGGATCGTCGAGGTGAGGAGGGATAGATGAGGCGCCAACGGTTTGGCTGTCCACAGGATCCCACCGCGGACCACTATCGGAAGCAGGAGACGGGATGGCCCTTGAGGGCGGTGGTATCACCGTTGTGGCGGTACTCTCCGAGGACGTGCTTGAATCCGGATTAGGGAAAGCTACAGGAGCGGAGTCCTGTGCGCCATCTCGGGGTATTTCATGGCGTGGTGGTGCGCCACCAGATGATGGTTGGGATGAGGAAGAAGACGAGGGTGGAGACGGCGGTCGGGCAGCCCGGTCGCCGGTGGAGGAGAGGTTGGAGTTCGTTTGCTTTGCGTTCTTGTCCAATACTAATTCATCCCGCGGCCGCCAGCTCGGCGTCTGGCTCTGCGCGCCTGTGTGAGATGCAGAGGCCCTCCTTGGGCTCGCAGTTGGGCGCGGCGTGTGATGGGTCTGAGCGTCCCGGTCGCGGGTTCGGCTGACGGAGCGGCTCTGGTAGTGGATATCGTGGGAATGGCCTCCGATCATGCCATGAAAGCGTGAGGGCGAATCAGCAAAGACGTCGCCGATGAGGGCAGCCATGATGTCGCCGTCGTCGGGGTCCGGGGATTTGAGGGTTCTCAGGGGGGATGATGTTATCGGGTGGAGGGCAGAAGTTCGACGCTACCAGGCGGAGGGTGGCTGTGTTGCAGATAGCGGAGAATTCTGTTAGCACGGTGTTATGAAACAAACGGGTCCCGGCGAGAAGACCCAGGAGTCTTGCACACAACGACATCCAACCCAGCACTATCACTGAAAACAAGGAGAATGGGCGGTCTGGATGGTCCATGCAGCCCGCGAATATTGGAACAAGACACAGGGAAGAGGCAGCTAGATGGATGCGGTTGGATGCGGCAACGTTGCCGCCGCGAGCGGCACTTCGCAGCGGAATGAATGCGGTCGTGGTGGCACCTCATCCCGTCCAAAGCAAAGCAGGCCGCAAGCCAACCAAGACACAATTTCGTTGCTGTGCAGAATGCAGAGCCGGTGCATTCCACATCCCCGTGTCTCGGTGCGCGAACACAAATAATGGTTGGATTTGACTCGGGAAATGACGCCACTGAGGCCGCCGCGTCCAACTCGCGGGACACAAAAAGGCTGTCCAACAGCAAACAGATGGTCGCCCGAGTCCAGAGGAAATGGCCTTCCGTGGGCAAGCGAATGGGATTAGGCATGTCGGCCAACGACGTCACCCGGACCCCATGGGACGAATACAGCGACGAGAAGGAAACCGACGACGCTTACCTGGATGGTATCACGCGGTTGTTCATTCGAAAAATTTCGAACCGATTTTGATCTCAAAGTTGGAGAAATGTTAGAAAGAACCAGGGGTACCAGCGCTGACGTGAATGACGCCAGGTCCGAGTATAAATGAGCAGAAACACAGCAGTGGAAAGCCAGAGACGATCAGTCACCGACGGCAGTGCAGTGGCGAGGCGAGGAGAGTGATCTCAGTGATCAGGAAAAGATCAGAGATGGATGGCCAGATTGGTGCATAACGAGGGATGATGAAGCAATGCCAAGAAGCGACCGGAGGGCTGGAGCTGGGAGAGAGCTCTGATAGACAGTTGCACATCCACTCGCCCCTAGTACTTGTCGGCAACGATCTCCACGGTCCAGCCCAGGCCGGTTCTTTCAAAGGCCAAAGTGGGGGAAGGGCGTCAAAGGAAGCCAAACCACCTGGTGGGAATTCCCAAACTTATTGAATGCACTGGCTCTGGACGAGAGCGTGGGGCAGCAAAAATGACGAGTGCTGAGTCCCGCCACGTGTGTGGATTCCGAAATCATGGACCTGAACAAGGGCTCTGGCACAAGCGCCAGCTGTAATCATGGGAGGAAGGAGCAGCGAGTGACATTTACATACCACGGATTCACGGAGTACGGATAGATTAATCGTCCTTTATCGTAGCCCATAATACGTGGTAATAATCTAAGCGTGTTCGAATACCTTAATCTGGAAACAACTTAAAGGGCACGAATCCAAGAGTCTCCGGCGCTTGTTCCCGTCCCATGGATTGATGGTAACAACAGCAGCAGGTGCCAGGTGGAGCTGATGCGATAAAGGTAGCCGCGGGCTGGGTCGGCCCACATTCAGCTCAGTGGATTGCAAGCCGCAAGCAGCCAGGGCTCGGGCGACATCCAATGCATGGACATCGAAGAGGTACTGTAACTTTTCCTAGACTAAGTCAACTATTCTTGGTGCCTTCGGTAGCTTGGATACACCGACCTCATCTTGCCTGATGCTGTCTTTCCCACGCCGACTTCTCAGGTCTCTCACACGGATCCCTTGTCGACATCGCGGGATGACATGGGACCGTAAGAATATCCGCTTTGATCGTCCGTTCCTGGAGTTTCCCCCATGTCATGAGTTTCGATTCTTGGACGACCTCACTGCAAGGTCGGGGTTACCCATGAGACTCTCAAGCCAAATCGCATTTTCGCGTAGCCAATCTGAGGGCGCCAGTCGACCACGGGGAGGGGTGATAAGGGCAACGAGCGGGGGTTTGTCTGTCCCTCACCGACATTCGGGGTCGGGCCCCTCTTCAAGATGCCGCCCTCTCATGCCTTCCATCTTCCTTCAAAAATGCTAGGCCAACAAAACACGCCAATGGCTTGTCAGATCTGGCCGCGTGTGTCCGGGTTCCGTTCCCGGCCGCAATGACAAATCAATACTGTCTCAGCCATGGGATTGGGATCCCGTCCGCGTGCCTGGACCGGCGCCGCCTCGGTGAACCGTCGATCACAAACTGCACTCGGAAGGCGTCTTTAGATCCGACCTAATGCGTTGCACTTATCGTAGAACGCCCTCCCGCGCGTTCGTGATGGAGATATGTTTTTCAGCGCCAGAAAGCCCCTTGTCGGTACAGAGAGAGCAGAATGCTAGCGTGTTCGCTTTACAAGACTGTCGTGGAGGTTGCAAATACAATCCAACCCTGGTTTGTTCGTTGGCGTGGCACATGGCGGGGCTCTAGATATGAATGGGATAAAAGAAACGGACGTAAGAAAACAAGAAAGAGAGAAAAATAGGGAGAGAAAAGAGGAAGGAAACAAGAAGAAAGAAGAAAGAACAAAGAACAAAGAAAGAATGTACAAAGGTTAAGTAAGTTAACTAAAGGGAAGATGAGGGTGTAATCACGTTACCTATTACGAAAGTTCTAGTTATACTAACAAACAAACTACTCCGTACTTAAGGTTGAATTATAGAGACATACTTTCCGGACTGTGATGTCCATCTCCCCAGACTGTGACCCACCCACCATGCCATACATACTCCTAACCCTGGCCGTCGCACGCCTTGTTCGCGCCCGCATCAATCAATTGAACTGCACTCAGATGCATCAAATGCGCTGCATCGCTCAATTCCTTCAAAAACGCAGTAAAATTCGCATCAGGGTTAGGGTCCTGTATGGGGCCTTGTCAGAGTAAGACACAGTAGATGCATCGCGATCTTATTGCGTTTTTGATCGAATTGAGCAGATCTGATAGATTTGATGGATTTGATGGATTTGAGCGCATTGCGATGCGGTTCAATTGAGCGAGGGGATGCGATGCGGCCTGCGATGTGGGTGCGACCCGCGAAAAATTTGTCAGGGTTAGGGATATGTATAGCATGGTAGGTGGGGTCACAGTCTAGGAAGATGGACATCACTATCCGAAAAGTATGTCTCGAATTATAAGTTAGATACTCCCCTTTCCAACGACTTAGATTCTAACCACTCCAGATTTCAACCACTCCAGATTCCAACCACTGCAGATTATAACCACTCCAGATTCTAACCACTCTAGCTTTAACCCTCAAAAAACCTCAGGGTGAACTATGCATTAATAGCTCCAACACACACAGTTAAATTTCGCAAAGGCTGTCACGGCGATTGCGCCGTGCCCGCCGGTTCCCACCCGTGTGACCCGCAGTGTGGTAAGCATGGGCGCTGTGGGTTGAAAATACTGCATCTCGCTGCGGAGATCTGTTCGTAGGTCCTCCAGCTACGTCTTGACAATTAAACCCCCGAACCTGACGGAATAGAGCCTAAACTGGAGCTTAGCTCGAATACAACTGTCATTGAACTACCAGTCTGTCCCGCCCATGACAAAGGCATAGCAGTTGAAATAGGTGATAGGAAGTTAAAAGAACGAGATAAATTTTTTTGCTATCTTACAACGTACATTAACAGCGAGTGACCCATATCACCGAGTAACCCACTTCCCACTATCATCTGACAACTATGTTTAATTAGAGTACATCAACAGGAGGACTTAACTACAGTTGCATCGAGAACAGCTGAATCAGATGATCCTGCAACCTTCTAGCAGATACGTGTATTATAGCTAGGCTTGCCGCACACACCACAGCACCGATTTTCATACGGCCCGCCCTGCATCACCGCTATCCGGCTGCATTTCTTGCACTCCCTCCTCACCCACGGCCTTATAGTCCAACAGATCGTATACATCCTACACAGCAAGTGACCCTCCAAACCTCACACGTCTCTTTTGGCTCTGCGGCGCTTGCTCAGCGCCTCGTTGGCCATGCGGAGCGAAGAGACCTCTGCGCGAAGAAGAGACACCTCGTGCATTGCAGCCATTGTACCCTTGGTAAGCTGTCCAAAGCACCCGAAATCGAGTGGCTGGAGCTTGAGAGAAGAGTGCGGAGGCATGCAGAGCGTGATGATGTTGTTCTGCTGCCGTACTTGGCCTTAACATTCTATACAAACGTAAACCACTGGCGAATGATCTCTGGATCCTCGCACCTGGCCCTCTGGTAGTCGTATCTACGCGTATAACGCGTTCAGAGCTCTGGCTGGCGTTTAACAAAGTTGTGAGCCCAGCGTTTGCCAACAGGAAGCGCGTCGCGTTCGTCTGGCAGATGATTGTCCATATCTTCCAAGCCACTGAGCCTAGGTAAAAATGCGCGTTTAGATAGCTCGAAAACATACTGAACTATCGTCTACTCTTCTAGATCTGTGAGCTTACGCGAAATGGCTGGAAGATCGCGTCGTGCAGGTCGGCCAGAGCGTCGGTAAGACAGAGTTGAGATTGGCACATTGTAGAGCTTGGATGCAGCTCGCAAGCTTAGTTCTTCGTCGTTTTGAAGAGCTTAGAGAACCGAGACTATTCTGCTTTCCTTTAAAGTAGGAGGCATATTGGGTTGTTGAGGAAATTTGTGTCGAGTAAGAGGTGGCGCGTCACGTGGAAAAGTGTTCCGCTCGGTTATCTGTTCCGCTCGCTTTTATCATTTGCGTTAGCAAATCTTTACACTTTTAGGAGCTTAGGGTAGTGCTTTAATAGGCTGTTGAGAATCAGCACTTTTGGTGTAAAAGGGTAGTCGGAATCTGGAGTGGTTGGAAAGGGGGTGTTTGACTTACACTACGTCCGAATCTTGAAGCTTGGCGCTCGAGCTGGCTCACTTGTCGTTTATGCGATTTGAAGTTCCCCTTCCTGCTTCTTCATCTCCTCTCTGATCTGGCTCACCATGTTGGTACAACAACAGTAACGACTAAGACCAGGACAGAGGTTTTGGCGAGGAAGGAGGAGGCGGCGCCGCCCCTGGAAGCCGTTGGAAAGAGCTATCCCAAACTACGGGACCAATCCTGAGTGGGAATTGAGGGCGGCTGAAAAGCTGTGAGGGTAACTCCTTCTGTGCGTACAAGTCTAGTGGTTTCCCTGCTTACGGCGAACTGTCCTTGGGTCTTGGGATTTCTGGTGGCTGTCGCACTGTGCCAGTGTAGGGAACTGTCCCAGGTTCTGGGACTCTCCCAAGCTTCCGGCCCCTTCACGACATCACCTTCACTCTTCGATCTCTCGTGACTTGGCTCAGCCACAACATTAATGGCGCCTGCAGCCCGACAATCTCAATTTGTATTTTGGATATCTGACATTCACCGTCCCTGCGCCAGGCAAAATTTTGAATCTTGCCGTCCGGCAGAAATGAAAAAGGCCCTGGGCAGCTGGCACACCCAGGCATCTTCCTGTCTTGGTCCGGGATCAGTACGGGCTTTTTCCACGCGCACCGCATTTCTAGCTGGAAAACACCGACCTGCTAACCATTGGGCGCGTCATTCACGCCCGGGTTTCCAAGTTCGATTGACTTCAAGGTCCAAGAACCCGCCACGCACAGTGAACGCGGTCTAGGTGCAACACCCCTACAGCTCGTTCAAGACGCATACTGCGCTGCACACCATTCCTTTGCACAGCAGCGTGGGCCTGGGTTGGACTGTTTCAGGTGTCTTCGTACTGGTCACCCTCTTGCTCGCAGGCACATGATTATGGGTCTCCGACGGCACCGTCAACAAACTCAACCAAGGCCGAGGGCCCGAACTCCAGTATATACCCGCCCTTGAAAAACTGAACGGATAGCCGGCGGCTTCTGATACTCTTCCCTGGCCGCTAGTACCAACCCATTCACTGCAAACTCGTCTCAACCACGTTCTCGGAACGCCCACAGTATGAAGCGCTGTCCTATGGTTGGGGCGTCGAACCACAGCCGGCTTTCCGGTTCAGAACGGTGAACGGCACCCATGTTAAGGTTGACAGAGATCTCTGGAACGCACTGAGCCACCTGCGCAGCCGGACGCAATCTCAGGTGCTGTGGGTCGACGCTCTGTGCTTCAATCATTACGATACCAACGAGATGCACGGACAGATTCCCCTCATGCTCTTCATTTACAGTCGCACCCGAGGCGTCCTCGTCTGGCTTTTATTTCTCTCTCGTCCCGTTGACATGAACAAGTTGACCCCCCAGGAATACGTCGCCAATCTGGAGCACGCGGGGGTGCTGAAGAAGCAGCAAGAAATGGAACAAAAGCTGAACGATATGAATCAGAAGCACCTGAATGAGCAGAACAGGCGCATTTGAGATTATATCTCTCTCGACATTCCTGACGTGACCACAAGTTCCGGTCCACCGGACTGGGACAGAGTCGTCAGGCCATTCCTCACTGCCCTCATTCACGAGGGCTACTGGAGGCGCACTTGGATAGTTCAGGAGTCCATTGTCGCCTCAAGCTCACCGTCTTCTTCGGCACCTTTGCGGTACCCTGGGAAGACTTTCTGAAATGGGTTACCTACTACAACCAGATGGCCCCGGGTGATGCGGCGGTAGAGTTCATCCTTCAAACTCGACCGCATGCGCCTGTCGCAGTTTCGAGTTACCTCCGAGTTCACATTGGCGAACCTCATCGACACTTTCCAGGGATCCGTCTGCCAACTCCCACACGTAAGATCTACGCTTTCCGAGGGCTGACGCACGACCATCTCGACGGCAGCATACCGTCGACTACCGGAAGCCGCTCTTTGAAACGTATAAGGGCGCGGTTCACTTTCAGAACACAGCAGCGCGCGACGGCGTTGAAAGGGCTGCGGAGATGGTCTATCTAAGTGCCCTTGTCTATCATATGCTGATGAAGGATTCTCGATGACATGGCAGCAGCACTTGGAATCCATGGATTTATGGAAGAGGAGCGGAGTCGACGACTTTGACAGAGGCAAAAAGACAGAGAAACTACCTTACATTCAAACCCCAGGGCACCACCAGCCATGCAGGTTTAGCACAAGTTCACTCGCCAGCTCGTTTATAGGGGGCTTCTCAAAGGAAATGGCCGTGAACGGGAATAAGCAATCTCATGTCCCCGCCCAAACCCGACGACGACAAGATTGCACTGAGAAGCCTGGCCATCCGGATCAAACACCTTGGTCCGCCCCTGCCGCTGTCCAACCTGCGTGCTTCCTTTCTACGCGGCTACCAAGCGCTGGGCGGCGAGTATCGCCGACCATGTTAGGATCCCAAACATGGACAAGGCACGCGGACTTAGCAACAAATTCCTCATGACACTTGCCGGCCACCCGGACGACATGCGCCCCTTCGTTGGCACTGGGGGCGCCATTGGCCTCGTCCCCGCCAACGTGCGCGTGGGCCACTTCGTCTGTCAATTCTGGAACCATGATACCTGCGCCGTGCTCCGCGAGAGTGTGATGTGAAGTCCCGAGGATGGGAGTCTGTTAGTGGGCTACGACGTCGTGGACAAATCGGTCCTTGTCAGCAGCGTCGAACACATTGGCTGGGAGGTGGCGGAGGACAAGACTCAGTTCACGCGGCCAGGTATGGCTTGCATGGGGGATGAGACCTGGATTCTGGGTCTGCGCGCTGATCTGCCTGGCTTGGAGATCTAGGACCTCTTCGGAAGATCAGGCTTGACAACACACATGGGGTGAAACAGTAGGTGAATGTTTTCTTGTCAAGGCGAGACGCTGGCTTGTCAGTCCGATCCATGGATGTTTCAACCAATGGTTTTACGTGAGTTCATGAGGCTGCGCATCGCAGCAGGAAAAAGACACAGAGAGCCCAGCGGCTAGCTGCAGGGGTTCTTTTTGTCGTTACACGACGAGTCGGGGATAGGCGCTTCTCAGCTTAAGGTTGCCTTTCAGTGTTGGCATGGCTCATCGCCGACTTTTATTCCTACATTGAGGGACAAACTCAACTTGATCTCACTGTCTCATGAAACATTCGCTCCTCAATCACTCAGTCTCACATCCGCCCAATTTTGACTCCCGTATTGGCTAGCACATTGCAAGCATCTCAACCAGTCCAAGTTCTCAGCACGCCACCGAAAGGATGTCATCGAACTCGGATTCGACCCCAAAACCGAAGGCCAGCCCTCAACAACAACAACAACAACAGGGAGCGCCTCCCCAGATCAGCATGAGACCGTCCAAATCGATCCTGACGGCGATCTTCTTCTGTGAGTTGGGTCCGACTTCGGCACCCCCTCGACTTTCAGAGTCTGCTCCGCAACCATGCGTCGAGCCTCGCAGGTCTGGCGGAGCATGCTGTTCGGTCCGTGGAAGGAGTCCAAGCCGGCACAGGGTGACTGGGACGCCTCGCTCCCAGACGACAAGCCATGCGCAACGCGAGTTCTTCTCTCCATCGTTCATGGCACATTCTGCAATGTCCCCAAGACGGTAGGGGTTGTCCAACTCTACGATATTGTATTGCTCGTCGACAAATATGCGCTACTCCGCGCCCTGCAGCCGTGGGTGAATCCATGGGTGAATTTGGTTCAAAACCCGGCCCTAATGAGGATGGCACACCAACAAAGATCACGGGTTAGGAACGACTCATGAAAGCTCACGCAACCTGGAAGCTCGGGAGTGAGGAACTGCTCTCTGTCACTATCCGGGATCTTGTCTGGGGCATGACTGTGGGATCCACGGACGACGACGGCGGGGCCAGTGCTGCCTCGTACGCAGGCGGTGGCCTCCTCACATTCGAGGAACATCTGGGGCCTCCTGACTTGTTGGGTAGGTAGGGGGAGTTTCACTTTCTGACTGCCGATCGTCTCCGCTAACCTGAACTAAACAGAGATGGTGACGAAACTCCGCCTCTCTGTGATCCAGGATAGCCTCGATTTCTTCAACCGGGAACTGGATGCCCGCAGCCACACCCATCCCGCCTGGCCGCTGACTGCCTCGCCCAAACGTAGAGCCTCGCTCACGAGTGCAAGCCACTGTGACGCGGTCATCCTCGGTCGTATTTGGTGGTCCTTCCGGCAGTTGAACGAGGATTTACTTCCTCGACATGCGAGAGAATATTCCAAGAGCGCCTTTCATCCCCTGTGGCTTCTGTCGGACACGTTCACCGTCAAAATGAAGGCGATGCCCGCCCTGGACGGGTATCGCCACGATGGGTGTATTCCCCTGGAGAAATGGTCAAAGTTCAAGGCCGCCACGAGAAACCACGAGCGGTTGAAGAATTTCTTGCAACCGCATCTTAAAAAGCGCCTGGCAGCGCAGCGGGCGAAGATAGGGCTGTGAGACTTGCCCGCAGTTTGAGGTTCTGGACTCTAGACGCGATGGCAGTGGGAATCTCACCATGGGCCTCTAGCGCCGCGCTCTTCTCCGGTGCGGGTAACCCCTTTTATTACATGTAGTAATGCTCCGATGTGCGGAAGGATTGCGGACATGAGGATGGTTATATGCCTTGAAGCGGCGGAAGATGTACATTAGGTCTGATATGTCACGATTCCAACCATGCTGTCCCGTGCAACTTGGGGTTTATTACCCCGGATGAAAAGGTCCTTGCATTAGCACAATTGATTTCGCCGACCTTCGCAAAACCATCAGAGGCCCGTTGATTATTTGTCTGCACTAAGTTCCAACATCGCCTTGACCAACATCAAGAGAACGACCGCTGCTACCGTGACCTTGCCCCCAGGCCCAAATCAAATCCAAACCCCAACGTTAACCAGATATCTAGATAGTATGATGCATCTAGGCTAAGCGGCAATAATCGTTCTTTCCAGATCCACCATCGACGCACTGGTCGCATGTAGTGATATACCTGATCCATCCATCGCCGCCAGCGCCGCAATAATACAGTGAGTACCACAGCGAGTACTTATCGGTCGGTGCTCCAAGTCGCTTGTTCTCAGCGATCATCTCGTTTTGGTATTTCCCTACCACACAACGTCAGTCCGCTACATGGGGTGAAATAGACTACCGCTTACAGCGCCCGAGGAGGCAGAGAAAGAAGAGACTGGATGGGATGATCCGTACGTACCTTTCTTCAGAAGGTTGTAACCGCAGTAGTATAGACCGTTCTTGCACGCGGCTGCTTCCGCGAGGGGCGAAAGGGCGCAGACAACTGCGAGGCTGATGGCGCTGAGCTTAACCATTTTGCAGAAAGGAGTCTGAATGGAATTGAGATGTCGACACACAAGGAGATGGTGTTGAAGGTCTGTTGAGTTGTGAAGTCGGATTGAAGATGTAGATGTGGTTGTCAGCGTCTGGTGGAATTGCATCAAGTGCGTCGAGGATTGAGCCTTCTTATAGTCATGTTGTTCACTTCCGAGACATCGTCGTTGTTTGCTTGTCTAGGCCCAAACTCCCCTTAACTCAGGTACCTACCGAAGGCACATCATACGACGCTAAAAGCAGTAACAGTCCTGGCCCAGAAGAACGGCGAGCCCGAGCATCGCGATGTTACCATGGGCGGTTCCGAGTACTGGGTCCAGAGCTTACATCGCCGAAATCAGCTCAACTAAAGCGCTGATTTCGAGTCGAAATCGGTAACGGAATCTGTGTTGTCGTAACCTGTGCCAATCAACGCCTGCATGTTGTTGGCTCCCTCTTCAACTAAACATCCGTCCCCGACATGACTTCCCATCAATAACCAGAGTGCGCTTTTTGCCCGTACTCAGCCCTATGGTTTGTTTGTGTGTTCTGCCCCAGTTTCGTGCATATTGCCCCGCCCCTCTGCGACTCTGCTGCGCCAAACCTCCAATCCTTCGTCTCCATCGACGGCCTCACCGCCCTCCCGGAGGCCGCTTCTCGAGACGTTGGCAACAAGGAAGTCAACATAACCAAACCCTACTGGACACCCCGACGTCGACTGGAACCGCCGTAGATAGGTGTCCAACTTCTCCACTCGGAGCACGAAAGTGAGGTTAGGCTCGGCACCTCGGTCGTCCTCGTCTTGATGGGTTCATTCTCCCAGTCATCATCAAATGTCCCAACTCTGCCGTCCCAACGGCCCCAGAAACCTGCTCTGCCGCTCTAGAAACATGACCTTGGGCCGGTCAAGCTCATACGTCAGCTTCTTGTCCTTCATATCAAGCGACGGGTGGGTGGGTGCCTTCTGCAGCGTCCACCCTCTTGTTGTCGAGTCGCCATTGCCGCTCTGCCCTATCGCCCCTGCGACAGCCTTGTGCTCATACCACGCATGGAAGTTGGACTTGGAGCGGACGGCGCGTCGAAGCTGGGCAATCATCATGGCCTCGACGCAGCACCATGCCCGGTCGTAGTACGTGTCGTCGACCAGGCTGATGACGGCGTCACATTCTGCCCGGCAAAGTCAGTCGTTGATACCAGTTACACTCAAGAGACAGACTACCGACGAGTGATGATGATGGGAAGCGCCGAGACGCCGGTGCCGGGATTGTCTTGGTCGACGCAAGCAAAATCCTACAAGAAGGTGCGGTGTCAGCATCGATTCGACCCAAGGTAACCTAGTCTCCAAACGCACCATCCAGACACACAGTTTCGTCTCGTCCACGGAGGGATTCTGTTGCATATACAGTTCGGCAGCATCCAGCATCCGCCGGTACTGCGTATGGTTGGCGTCGTCGGGCGTGTTGAGGCTCTTGTCCTGGTTCAGCCAGCGATACGAGAAGAAGACGAGCACGTCCAGGTCTTCGCCGTCCTCGTACGAGCGCACCAGCCCGTCGCTGGACCGCGGCAGCCTGCCAAACCGCCTGAAGTCGGTATACCGTATGAACTTGAGACGGTCGAAGAAGCGGCTCTTCCGCGGGTCGGCCGCGAGCGCCTCGGCGTACACCCGCCGGAGTTTCTTCATGCAGTCCGGATCCTCGTCCCGCCGGTAGAGGATCGGCCGGAGCTTCTCCTGCAGCATCTCCCGGTATCCCTTGCGGAGGTGTGCCTCGGTCCGGCGTGCTGCCACGTCAGTGTCAGAGAGATTCAGCTGCTTCCTGAGCCCATTGAGGAGCATCGTTTCGCACTCGGCGTCTCCGCTGAAGACTGCATGGTCGAGAGCAGTGTAGCCGTCGGGATCGACCACGTCCAAATCGGCGCCGGCCTCAATCATCTCGGCGAGATAGCCGCGATGCTCGTCCGACGGTTCCTTGCACATGACCATGACCGGCGTGATGGCTTGCCAGGGCCAGGGCGAGGCGATGTTGTTGAACTGGTCCAGCGCGAGCTCCTTGTGGCCCTGCTTGAGAAGCACGTGTCCGTAGCTGAATCTTGCCATGGGTAGGATCGAGCCGAGCATCAGTCCGGCAGAATCCACAGCCTTGCGTCCGGCATCTGCTGCCTTCTCCAGCATCTCCTTCTCGTTGTTGGTCTGGACAGCCGCCCAAAGACAGTAGCAGAGCGCCATCCTAGCGTAACCCAAGGCCTTCCAAGCCCTCGCCTCCCTCTCCCTGGTGTCAGGCCGATGTCCCCCGCGCTTCGACTCTTCTGCCCGTATCCTCTCCGCAATCTCTATCCCTTTTTGTAAATGATCCATCGCCAGAGCAACCATGCCTTCTACTTCTTCTCTGACATTCCCGTCACCCCTGCTACCTGCAGCCTCGGCGATTTCCCACCTCCTCAAAGCCAGTTGGTACCTTACGATCCCGAGATTGACCCTTGCCCGACACTGCGGCCCGTCGATGCCCAACCGTCTGGCAATAGCCAGCTGCGACCTGAACGCCTCCCGAGCCTCCTCCAGCTTCCCCAACTGCCTGTACACGGTCCCAATCTCGCCGGCGATGAACAGACTGGGCCGACTATAACTCTCACCATGTGCTTCCCTCTCCGCCTCACCAACAGTACCCGCCGACTGCACGCGATCCCCCACTATAGCATTCTCACCTTCCCTCCTAACCGATTCTACAACTCTGCGCTCAGCATCCCCATACCTATCGCCATCCGCATCCCACCACCCAATTTCGTAACCTTCATCCTCACCCTTCCCCCCATCAGTCGTAGTAGCAGTAGCAGAATCTAAAAGAACAACAGAAAGTGAAACAGCCTCCCTCAAAACCTCCAACGCAGTTTCATACCGCCCACTCAACCGCTCCACCCAGCCCAGATCGCCCAACACCCTGAATCTGAAACGGTGCGGCGTCAGGATGTCCGGATAGCGATCACACAGGTGCAGGGCCGAGGTAAAGACGTGGCTGGCGCGCTCGAGCTCGCGGCGGGCGGTGTGGGTGCGGCCGCGGTCCATGAGAGCTTGCCATTGCGACGTTATCGCTGCTGCGATTGCGATTGCATCGGTGGTGGTGGTGGTGGCGGCGTGTTTGATGGGCTCGGTTGCTTTCTGATCATGATTTTCGTTGCCTGTTTTGTTGTTTTCGGGCCTAGTTTCATGGTTGGGGTTGGGATTGGAGGTTACAGCAGTAGTGCGATGTTCGTCTTTGATCTGAGGGAGGACGGGATCTGACATGGTGAATTTAGGGGACCCTCGCGGGTTATCCTCTGCATGCAGGGTGAGCGAGAGGTAGGTTGTATGTAGTGTTTACTGGATATGATATGCCTGGGAGGAGAAGGCGAGAAGGGAGGTCAGGGTATGAATGCGGAGAAGGAGATGGACATTCGTGCACCTCGAGGAGGTGGCTGAGTACCTAGAGGATGTCAGAAAACGCCCCACAAAACATCAAAGCAAGCAGGCAGCACGGCGCAGCATGACATTGCAGCTTCTTGCGGCCGCTGCATAATTCGCGAGGCGGAATCGCACCGGCTCCTCGCTGCTAGCGTCGGGTGGTTAGAGATTTGCTGTTTCGTAACCTTCAAGCGGGGTGTACTTGAGAACTTCCCGATTAGGGAAGCGAATCCAGTGAAACAGACCCCGACAACAGGAAACACTCACTATCCCAGAGAGCGCTTCAAGCGACCAGTGATCGCCCGAGTTTTTAGCATGCAATGAGCAAGGGAGCTGTACACTGGCAAAATGGTCTCCTCGCACAGAGCGCTCGCAACTTCTTGATCCCGGCTCGAAAACCGCCTTCCAGCCACGCCGCTTCAGACCATGTTCACACACCAGCGCACACTGGGCCGACACAGTCGCTTCATGACCCGAACGCAATGTCATTGTTGTTGTTGTTGTAAAACGCCCAGCGCTCAACCAGGGCTCAGAATGCCGCTCTCGACCTCGCCCTCCACTTGCGTTCACAGATGCCGCACCTTGTAGTCCGTATCCGGCAAATATAGATGCCTGTCGGCGCCCTTGGCCGTCAGCACAACCATGCGGATGACGCCGCCCGAACTGCCGTCCCACTTGATGGCCTCCTTGAGCGCGTCCTTGACAAAGTTTACTGCGTCGGCCTCGTCCATGCCCTCGCGCCAGTGGGCGTCGCAGAAGCCGTAAATGTAGGTCGAGCCGGACCCGCCGATGGCATACGGCTGCTTGTGCAGCGACCCGCCCAGCGGGATGCTGTACACCTGCCCACCGTGCCGCTCGTCCCAGCCCGCGATGATGAGGCCTGCCCTGTTTTCAAATCAGCCCGAGCCATTTCCCATGATTGTGTGTAGAGTGCGTTGCGTTGCGGGGTGAGGGTGGTGAGGAGGACTCACGTCAACCGGTCTTTGTTGGCATAGCAAATTTCCTGGAAGATGGCGGCGGCCGTCTGCGTCGTCGGCGGCTTGCCGTTGACCATGGCATACAGCTCGAGCTGGTACTTGACAATGTCGGCGACGGCTTGTGTGTCGGCGGCGGAGCCGGAGCGGCAGCACCAGATGGTGTCGTGCACCTGCGTCAGCTTGTCGGTCACGCGATTCGCAATGTAGGCGCCCGTTGTTGTGCGCGAGTCGGCCCCGAGGATGACGCCATCCTTGAATGTAACGGCCATGCTGTTGTGGCGCTCGTTAGGTAAGGTGCTCGGGCGGGGGATGGTCATGGGAGAACCGGCTTACATCGATGTGCCTAGACTGGAGGGAGAGGTCAGTCACTGTTTACGGAGAGAAAAACATGGTGATGAGCCGGACATACTTGACCTCCCCCTTCTTCAACCGGTCCATGTCAAGATGGATGCCATCTGCAAGTCGCATCGGTTAGTCTACGGCCGGGTGAGTAGGGTGGAGCACGGCGGCGGCGGCCATGACTTGCCTTCCCTCAACTTGCCCGAGTTCCCGAAGTCCATTTCGGAGTACTGTGTGAATCTGATGGTTCAAGTGTAGTGTCGTCAAAGTGAAACCGTGGTCGATTGTAAATGGGGAGATGTGGTCGGTTTCCAAGAAATCGCAGGCTATGGTAGGCGTAGGTGGTGATGGTGGTTGGCGAGCTTGGAGCTCCAGCTCAAGGCAGCGCCGACACGCGTGCGCCTTACCGGGCTGAGGAGTGTCACGTGAAGTCGACAGTCCCACCAATGTCTATCTTATCAATCGGCTCATAAACTGAGCGACATTCCGTACATGGCATTCCCTTAACACTGCACTTACCCTGGGTTTGTGATTTGAGACCATTTTCATTATGAATCCAGAGCGCTAACCAGGTCTAATGACTTCCAAACCCGGGCATGATATGCTATACGTTATAACTGCTGCAGCATAGTCAGACTCTAAGGTAGTGAATCTCCGGAGCAAGAGAGAATCCAGAAAACCGCCCCTCATGCCATGGCCTGGCGCAGGAATTCAATCATGTTGTGTCTGTCCCTGCTCTGAGGTTCCTTCTACCTCTCCAATAAGTGGCCCCCTCTCTATTTGGTCTCCAAACGGCATCATATTTCCCATGCGAGCAAGCAAAACCGCACAATAAGAATCAACCCACCGGATACCCAAGAACGCCGTTAACTCCTGCTTCACCCACAACAGAAGCCCTCACCCACCCCTCCTCAACCCCTCCTCCTTCTCCAGCGTAACGCTCTCTCGCCCCTGCAATTCCTCCCCCTTCCCCTCGGCCTTCTCCCGACCTTTCAGCTCTTCCCCTTTCTCCCCCTTCTCCCCGTCCTTCTTCCTCCCCTCCGCCTTATCCTTATGGTCCTCCTCGCCACAGCCACAATCATAAAAGTCCCCAATCTTATTACAGTCAAACTCGGGCTTGCGTAGCCTCTTGTTGACCTCGTTGTGCACGAAGCACGCCCAGCCCGCCGCGGCGTTGCGGCTGCCCGTCTGCGGCGGGTACTTCTTGAGCAGCTTCTGGAAGTGCGAGGCGCAGTCGCCGCAGGGGTATAGCCGCGCAAACAGCTGGATGTACGTCTTGAGCGCGAGGCTGTCGTCGGCTGTCGGCTGCTCGGGGAAACGCGCCATCATGGTGTGGAAGAGCTTCCAGGAGGCGCGGCCTAGTTCGGCTCTGCGGAACGGAGAAGATGGGTGCGTTAGCGATTTTCCCCTTTTGGTGGGCTGCAGGAGTGAGGGGTGAAAGGGGTGTGTTTACTTTGCTGTGGCGTTCTCGAGCTTGGGCGCAATCGAGCCGCCTTGGAGGATGCTGTCGGAGATGCCTGAGGCGAAACTGCTGCTGCTGCTGCTGCTGCTGCTGTCGTCGCTGCTGGTGAGGCTGCCGTGCTCGGTTTGGCTTTTCAAGGTGTCCTCGGATATCCTCATTGTGTTGTACTGATCGCTCGACTTGCCGAATGACATGAAATATGTCAGCCCCAGGAAGAGCATGACAGTCACTAGGCCCAGCGCAAGATGCTGCCGCCGCGCCATTGCTCCGCTCTGGTTTCGCTTTCTGCCCCGGCTGCCGCACTCTGCGCCGTTCAGATAAAGGGAACGTCGAAAGGTTGACGACGAGAATGTGCCGCCAAGCACTGTAAAGAAAACTTGAAGGAGTGACTGCAGAACGAGAGACAAAGAAAGTTGTAAAAGCCAAGAGCGACCGGGAGAGTGGTGTGAGAGTCGTCAGATGTTTGGCTGGCCAAATCACAGGGGTCTTGCATTGGCAGCCCAGAGCCTGTGGGGCTAGTGGAGCGCCACGCGGCAGGCAATACGAAACGAAACTGGACCCGAGATTTGGGAATTGGGAGCCCTAGCGCACGAATCCTGCCTCCATCACGAGCCTGCGAACCTTGACGGCCCACCGTTTCTCAGAAGCGAGAGTCGGCGACACCAGACTTCGAGATATGGCAGCTTAGATCAACTTCCACCCGATAGCTTCAGCATTTAATTAGAGTAATCTATTTCGCTTCTAAGTTTCTTCTGAACTATCTCGACAGCTGAGTCTATGGAGCTGCGGACTGCATACCCCCGGATGTTACAGGTTTGACTCTCGAGGGAGTTACCTACGGAGTAGTACTGCCATTATCACATCCTGAGCCATGATATTGGTTCCCTAGGATGTTGCCAAGCCTTCAAGCTCTCAACGTTTAGGGAGCAGGTAACGTCGTCTATTCCCCGTCTTGATGTTCAAGCAGCTCCTCCAACTCCCAGCTCGTTCGCATAGCAACTTGTGCTTCCCCACATACAGGAACAGTGTCAAATCCCTGCTACATAACGGCTGCTTGTCCTTTTGCCCTTCATCGCGTGTGACCAGTGCTTCTCCCCTTATGTTGAGTTGTAGACTCCACGCTTTGGTCCGATCTCAGCTGCAGCCAGCACTTGCCTGCAGCCTGCCAGTGCTTCGTAAGGGATCTCTCCGGCTCACACTTTACCACGTCCTCCTAACCGAGTTAGCTCAACGGCATCGGGAGAAGCTCTGGTTGGAACTTCAGCAACCGAAATGGTGGGAGTTCGACTCCCCTCTAAAGAAGTAGCTCAACTACCTCTATTCGACAGGCGCGGGGATAGGGCTAGTTGGTAAGCTTTTGCAATTTTCACCTCTCACGCTGCCTGCAACCTATCAAACAAAACCATGCCTTGTTTCCTTCTCCCCAAAGAATCAACACTTGACCCGATGCGCAACTGATGAACGTTGCCTACCTGCGGCCAGGCAAAGCTCATTCCTCAAAAACCGACAGCGACGCATCGAGTCTTCTAACTTGGGAAACCAGCATTGATTAATGATGCTTGCCAAGCGACTCCATTCCCAGTTTTGGCAGAGGGACAGGAACTCGGCCACTGTAGGTCTGTATAAGGCATATCAACCATAGTTGCAGACAACCCTAGAATAGCCAAGTTTGATTACCAGTCTCTTGAAACAAAGGACTTAGCTGATATTCACCAAAGTATGTCGTTCGCCGTCAGCAGCCAATCTTGCTCGCAGAGACCGCTCCCATACCATAGGTCCGTGGTCGCCAACCCTCAGCTTGTCCGAAACAGGGAATCTCGACTTCAAGGCATGACGTCGCACTCGCCACCCCACCACGATGCAGCCACACCACTGCCCTGTAGGGCACATGTTCTTGTTTGCGGACAGGACTTGCATCATCAGTTAACTGAACATTAAGGATACCGAGGCCCTGAGTTGCCTTCCATCCACTCCTGCTCTCGAACTCGACCATCTCAATCTCGGCTTCAGACCTGTAGATACATCTCCACATTCAACATCACTTACAACACCCTTGATAGACCAACATGGAGTGGGTCAAAGCCCAATACAACAAGCAATACGACATCTGGGTCCCCTGGCTGGAGGACCTCTACCTGCGCTACTTCACCCGCGACAACAAAGCCAGCTACACGACGCGCGGTACGCCACCACCACCACCACCACGCTTTCCTTTCCCTACCTTATCGTCCACTACGAAAACATATTGCAACCATCACCAGCAGTAGCGAGATTCCTACTAAATCTGCACAGAAAACCTCGCCAAAACCAAAATCGACAACGGCCCGCTCCCGCAGGGCGCCTCGACGCTGCAAGACGGCACGCACAACCTCGTAGCGAACCAGCTCGGCCAGGACGGGCTGGGCCGCCCCGTCGGCGACCTCGTCTCGCGTGAGGGCGTCAACCGCGTCGAGCGCAAGGGCAGGGACGAGAGGGGCGCGTACGTTCCGAACCCGGTAGAGACCGCCGAGACGACGTCCCGGGGGCTAGGCGAGGCGGTCGCGGGGACGGGCAACACGGTCGTCGGAGGGGCCGTCGCGGGCGGGGAGCAAGCTGCGGGGGCGGTCAAGGGCGGCGTGGCGAGGGCTGGCGGCTTGTTTGGTTTTGGTGAAAAGGGGAAAGGGCGGGAGTGAACTAATTAGGTGAGGTAATGGATGAGTGAAACGGAGGCAGACGCCAGCTGTGTCTGATTTGTTGTTTTCATTTCGCCCAGGCTACAAGTTGTACATGATGGGAGGAGGAAGAAAGATACGACGTAATGTATAGCGAAGTTTCATAGGACGGATACCCAGAGAATTTGGTTTTCAACTGCTTTCTTCCTTTTAACATCCCCAGACCCAGCAGTCGAAATTCAACGTTGGCAATCCCATGATCAATCTCGAGTCCCGTAGAGTAAGATTCGGGTTCCATAATCTAAAGCCAGAACAATTTGAGCCAGGGCGTCAGGTGCAATCAATGATGATCTTTGCCAGCCAGAGGGCGAAACTGAACCTCTGTCTACATCTAACTAAACTATCCAATAAGTCCGCTCAAAACACCCGAACGTGTCGGCTGCATCACAACAAGTGGTATCCCCAATCAACACATGTACAAGGCATCAAAACAAAGAAAAGAGAAATGAACCCCCAAAACAGAAGCAACTGTACACCAAGTAATACACCACTCCATCACAAGCAAAACCAAATCCCGCCAAGCCCTCTGACAGCCGCCCACAACATATCAACTCTCCGCCTTACCCGCCACCGCCGTGGCAGCCCTGATCTCCACAGGTGGCTGCAACCCTGCGACTTCTTCCGCCTCCTCCTCGCCCTCCTCATAAATGTTCTCCTCTACAATCTCCCCAGGCCTTTTGACAATGGGACTAAACGCCTCCACCTCCTCCACCTCCTCTTCCCCTTCGCCTTCCTCGCCCACATCACCCATCGCAAACACACCCGCACCAGTCCCCGTCCCAGTTTTAGTCCCAGCGGTCGCAGCAGCAGCCGCCTCCGCCTCAACCTCGGCCTCCTCATCCTCATCCTCCTCCTGAATCGCCATCTCCCCACTCCTCCTCCCAGCGCCCAACCCACTGGCGCTCGCACTCCTCGAATGGCTCCCACTACTCCCACTCCCGGCAACCCCACCAATACCACCACCTCCTCCCTTTCCAACCCCGCTTTTCCCCTCCCTCGAGCCATGATGATGATGGAACCCCCCAAAATGATGCCCCGACAGGCTCAACATAGGCCCCTTGAACAGATTCCTCTTCCGCTTCGCAAACACCACCCCACCTCCATTCCCATTTCCATTCCCATTTCCATGCCCCGATGAAGCAAAAAACGGATTCGGACTCCCCGGCGCCGCGATGACGGGTGAAATTCCACCACCATGCCGATACGCATACCCACCGTGCCCGCCCACCGATCCCGAACCCATCACACCCACCCCAGCCAACCCCTCCGTATTAAAAATGCTCAACGGCGGCCCGGCGCGATCCCTAACCAGCCGGATATTACTCGGAAACCCGGGGAACGTCCCCGCCGTCGGCGTGGCAGGCAGCACTTTGACCGAATGATGCGGCGACCGTGTACTCTGCATCGGCGTCTTGGACGCCACCGACGTCGACACGGACCCGTTAGAGCTGGTCGAGCTGGCCTTGCTGTGGGAGTGTGTGTGGTGGGTGGTGTGGTGCAGGGACCGCACCGACGAGACGGACGACGACGTGGACTTGCGGCCGCGGAGGCCCGTCATCTGGCCCGACGAGCGGCGGACCGTCGAGCGCGGGGTTAGAGGCGAAGGGGAGAGGGAATGGCGCTTGTAGGACGAGCCTGAGGTGTGCAGGCGCGGGGCGTGGTTGGAGGAGGGGATGGGCGGGGTGATGAGGCCCGGGGAGAGAGGAGGGTGCGAGGAGAGGGCGGCGGCGGAGGACGGGCCGCCCCTTGCGGTGTAGCCGTTAGCAACGACGCCCTTGGGGAGGCTGGCGGTTTGTGGGGCTGCGCGGGAGCTGCTGGCCGGGTACTTGCTCGTCTGTGGCCGCGGGCTGTTTGCCTGCGACTTGCCCTCCTTCCCGCTGGCCGGCTTGGAGGAGACGAGGTTCGGCGTTGATTGACTCCCCCGCTTATTGGAGTTTTTATGACGCCTCCCAGCGGTGTTCTCAAACAGCCAGTGCGTCCAGTTCTTCCAGGTGGCCATGATGGCGTGTGACGGCCGTTTCTTGACCTTCTTCGGGTCTCCTTGCGAGGCGCCGTTGGCGCCCAATGCATCGCTAGTCGTCACGAGGTGCAGGGTCGATCCGCGAGACCGTGCGCTGCGCAGGACTCCCTCCTTCGGCGGGGGTATCGGCTTGCGGTGCCTGGAGGAGCTGACGGATCGAATCGAGTCCTTGTCGATGGGCGGTGGCGGCGCTTCACTCTCGGGACTGAGATTGCCGTTCGCAACCTTGGCCAGGTCGGAGAGATCGGGCATGTCGGGGATCGCCAGGCTGGGAAAATAGCCGCTCCTCCGCTCGCTTCTCCCTCGCGTCCTCGGCGGTGGCGGATCGGACGAATGCGCAAGCTGTGCTTCCTCGACGGTCGCCAAGGCGTTCAGCCGGCTGGAAGCCTGCGAGAAGCGTCTCGAAGTCCTATTCTCCAACTCCTTCTCCTTGCGCTTCCGCTCTCTCCTCTTCTGTTTCCGCTCCTCCTTCTCGATCAGAAGGGTCCACCAACCGGCCAACACGTCGCATCTCTGCGCCAGCACGCTCTCGATGACCGAGTCGATATCGACCCCCGCGCTGCGCATCCGGTGCAGCGTCTCTTTCTCGAGAGGCGTCGAGAACGGCTCGGGTCGCTCCACCTTGAGAATCTCCTGCTGCTGGGGCGCGTACTCAGCAAGGAACGGATGGGCCAGGATGTCGGGCAGCGTCGGCCGAAGGAGAGGCCGCTTCGAGAGCAAACTCTTCAGCAGGGACAGGGCGTCGGGGGGTATGTGATCTGGGTAGTTGGGCTCCAGCGTCAAGATCTTGGTCCGCGTGACGCTATCGTCGTCGTCGTCGAAGGGTAGCTCTCCGCAGAGCAACGCATAGAGGATGACGCCCAGGCTCCACACGTCCACTTTTTCGCCCGCATACTTCTCCCCCTTGAGCATCTCGGGCGCCGAGTAGCATATTGTCCCGCAGAACGTCTGCAGGTAGTTTGCCTTTCCCTCGTACTCTCGCGTGAAGCCAAAATCGCACAGCTTCACATTCTCGTGCTTGTCGAGAAGTATGTTCTCGAGCTTGAGGTCCCGATGGACGCATGATTGCTGGTGGACGTAGCACACGGCGCCGACGAGCTGCGTAAACGTCTTCTGGACCTTGTCGACGGGTAGCTTGCCGTGTTTCAAGAGGTAGTTGTACAGCTCGTCGCCTGAACCAGAGGTTAGACAGGGAACGGCTGCCGTTGGACTCCACAACACACACCTGGACAGTATTCCAAGACCAGCCAGACCAAGCTCTCGGTCACGATGACCTCGTACAGGCGGGCGATGTGGGGGTGGACGAACTGGCGGTGGTGGTGGATCTCCCGAGCGAGGTTTGAATCGTCCTTGTTCGCCGACTTGAGAACGACCTGTCGCAAAGTTAGCCGTCGGCTCCAGTTGGAGGGAGAGGTCGGCAACGCACCTTGGAGCCGTTTGTGAGCTTGTGCGTGGCGAGATAGACTTTGCCAAACGAGCCCTTCCCGATCAGCCGGCCCAGGGTATAGTTTCCAACCGACTTGAGGTCCTTGTTTGAGAATTCACTGCGAGCGGCGGTCAGTGCCATGTGAATGGCCGGAGGCGGGCGAGTTGGCAGGGTAGCTCTTACTCAAGAAGCTCCTGGTATGACTGGGTGAGCTGTGGTACGGTGGTCAGCAAGGCGCTAGCAGATGTCAGGCCACAGGGGGAAACACACCTTGGCCTTACGTCCAAGCGTCTCAGCCTTCACCTTTGACGACTGCATCCCTCCACCGCGGCGGGACAAAGCCCGGTGGTCATCCGCGGATGGTTGGATTGGGGTTACAGTTGCTGGCTATGTATATCCAAGGTAACCGTTCGCTGGGCGGGGATCAATTGATGGGGCGGCTTGATGGGAGCATCAGGGGCAATGCGGGCAAATTTCGTGATGCGAAGTGATGTCGAGCTCTCGGAAGATGGCGCAGAGTTCAACTGATGATAGGGGCTCGAGGACAAGGCTATCACCGCTGCTAATTCGAACAAAGCTTCCGGGGCGCCCTGGGGTATCTCGGAATCCGCCTTGTGCCGCTGGGGCAAGAGACAGCCGTCGACTACCAGTACCGTTCGCCACGCGAAGCAGGAGAGGGTGGCATTCTTTGGTGGTGGATGGACGCGACTCCTTTCGTGGCACGGGGTTCGGGCAGGAGCTCCAAAATTGTTAGCGTCGCCGCTCACCCATCCATCGGAATGCGGTGGGCTGCATGCCCGGAGGGTGGCTCCGCAGTGGGGTCCGCCCCGGAATGAACAGAAGCTCACGCTGAAGTCTGATGAGATTGCAATAACCTACTGTACTTATCGAGAATGTTGGGGTTTACTGTAAACTGCCCTGGGCATATCGATCCGAATGAACGCCCTGTAATGGAGAACGGAATGACAATACCCCGAACATGACCGTTGGAGATTTTCTTCTGCTATTTCTTGTTTCAGAATGGAGCATTGTTCCAGAAGCAGAGCGCCAAGCTGCGTGACCCCACACGAGACTGTGATCTCGGTGTGGATCCGACATGGATCCTGTGAGTGGCCTGCACATCAGCAGCGGGCCGATGCTCCCCAGTTCCATCGGATCATATGCGGCTTGGAGGATCCAAAACGCCAGCAGATCCAAAACCGATCCCTACAAAGTCACGAAAGAAACAAGAGGCAGCTTTTCTGACCTCCTTACCAAGCCAATTCTCTCCCTCAAACGCCACTTACTATTTACATGAACAAATGAATGCCCAACCACAACCCCATAACCAATCCCACTTCAACCCCTTTCCCTCTCCTTCCCTTTCCCTTTCCCACCCCTAATCCCAGGCCCAGCAGACCCAAGAACCTCCCTCCACCTCCCAGGCTCACTAACCACATCAAAGACCCTCTCCCTCCCACTCCTGCCCCCCCCCGCTCCATCATCATTATCCTCCTCCTCCGCTGCAGCAATCTCCAACCGTCCCAAGCGACTCTCGTCCTCCGAACTAAACAGACTACTACTGCTCCCGCTCGAGCTGATACTTGTCCGGCCCATGACCACCATCCCGTCTCCCTCCTTCTTCTTGGCCTCCAGCTGCGCCTTCTTCATCTCGGCCAGCCGCTCGTCGGCGCAGTGCATCGCCACGACGTGGAGGCCGGGGAAGTTGCGCGACAGGAAAGATTGCAGGTCTGGGAGGACGGATTCGTCGGGTCGGTAGGTGCCGCTGTCGTTGTCGATTACTAGTTGGTAGAGCCTTGGGTCGTGTGGGGGCGAGGAGGATGGGGGTCCGCCTGGTGGTGAGCTTGGCGGGTGGGTTGGTTGGAAATGTTCCAGTTGATCATTGCTGTTGTCCTGTGGTTGATGGCTGTCGTCTGGGGGTTGGTGGGGAAAGGGCGAGGAGTAATGGGAGGGGGAGGAAGAAGGTTCTGAGTCGTCGCTGTGATGGTTGTGATGGTCACCATCGGCGGGATGGGCGAGCCGCCGGATAAAAAACTCGCCCGCGCACGCGACGTAGGTCGCCACGTTTGAGTGCATCGTGTGCTTGCTCAGCAGGTCGATGCCGAACTCCTTGCCGGTCTCGGTGAAGCGCATCATGCCGTCGAGCGTGATGACATAGGTGAAGACGCGACCGCCCTCGTCAAAGTGCGCCATGCGCAGAAACTGCAGCGACGCCTCCTCGCTGCAGGGCGGGAACGAGCCGTACTCGGTGCCCGAGTCGTAGTTGTAGATGCGGTTGTGCTGCTTGTGGAGGACCGCGTGCAAGATGCGGCCCCGGATGCCACGCGACGAGAACATACGTCCGATCATGGGGCGGAACTCGACGTAGCGATGGTAAAGCCGCGGCGGGACGGGACCCGAGAGCTGGATCTCGTTTGCTTGAAAGCTGGATATCGTCAATATTGCTGTTCCTCGGCTCGATACAAGGCACGCACTCGTATTTCTTTGTCTGGTTCTCCCTCTTGTCTGAATTTGCATTCGACGACGCAGCCTCCTGCTCCTCCCTGTTCACCTTGACGCCCGTCAACCGCCCAATCATGGGACTGTAGTGCTTCACCCATGTAGTCGGCCCAACGGTATACATCTGGGCATGCGGCGGATCCGACTTGCCGAGCACCTTGATGTTGACATGCAGACGCGGCGTGACAGACCCCGGTCCGCACCACAGCGCGACCGAGACACCCTTGACCAGATAGGCCACCTTGCTACCCGCGCGCTTCTTGACGCTAAACACGCGGCCGTCCGGACCCAGTCCTTCCCAGTTCTCGTCCACGTGGGGAACGCGGATGGTGACGTTGCCCAGGCGGTCGTCGTGGTCCGGCCAGTCCTCGTCGTACAGCCGGCACTTGAGCGTGAACCCTGATGCGGGAACATTCGCGACGACCCAGTCCTCTTCCCAGGCCGGCTCGGTGGTTTTCCTGAGCGTGCGGGTGCGCCGGGTGAGCAGCGGGTCTTCCTTGTGCCGCCGAGGCACGGCGGCTATCAGGGTAGCCTTGAGGAAGGGGTCGGACGAGGTGAGGTGAAGGTCGCCGACGGGCAGATTCTCGGCGCGGTGGAATGTGAACTTGAGGGTGTATCCTGGAGGGGCGTCTGGTAGCGGAGTGGGGTCGAAGCCGCCTGGAGGTTTGGACTTGTGCTTGAGCTGCTCCTTCTTTTCCGTGAGCTTCCCCTTTTTATGCATGAACTTCTCGCGGAGATCGCCGGCTGTCGGTGCGTGGAGCTCGTTGCCCATGCTGTGAGGCGGGCCGTCACGTCCATTCGCAGCTCCATCTTTCTGGACTGCGTTGGAGGTGGACTGTGGGGATTGCGGGTGAGGTGAGCCATTCAGCTGTGCACCGTCCGCCGGAGAAGAATGGTCCGGCCTCTCCGGGCTGTGAGTTGGCATCGCTGGCGTGGGGTTAAGATGATTTCGTAGGAGAGTCCCTGGTCAATACAGATAGATGTATGGAAGGGACCCCTCGATCGTTCTTCAAACGGTAGAGAAAGTTAGAGATGCCAAGAAACTCTTGGCTCCTGTCGCGATGGAGCGATTATCGAACCATGGGTCGTCGATCGGGTGGCTTCCAGGTTGAGCAAGGGAAATGTACCCGAGTGGAGTTAACAGCTGTCAATGATCAATCAGAGCGAAGCGCAAGACAGGACTGCTGCAGGGCTTATATCTTCGCGAAAGGAACTTCAACCTCGCGACCTCCTCTCGGTCATGATACTATTGGATCTCTCCAGCATTTCGATGCGCCTTCAAGTGCAGGTGCATGCTCGCGCACCGCCAATGTGACGTCATAGGTCCGGGCAGTCCGGCTATGGTCCAAACCAGCCTTGGCAAGTTTTCCCTTTTTGGAGGCTGCAGCTGACATTGGCATTGTCCGAGAAGCAGTAACAGTCGAACACCCCATGCATGCCCTGGTCGTGTTTGTGACATTCCCAAGAAGTCAACCCTTGGAGCGGAAGACGAGACGTCCCGGTGCCAAGGAGAATACACTCAACCGGAGAAGACCTCCCCATTAGTGTATCGCGCCTCCCGATCAACGCAAACTCCGGCTGTGTTGACCTGATATATGTAAATATATGAGCCGGATGATCTAGTAGATGCGTGTTGCTATGATCCCGGGTTGTGATGGAAGTATGAGTTGGCGCCATGTTGTCATCTTCCGAATACACCACGTCGTAATCATGAAATCAACAGCAACCCTTCCCCCATATTCATACCCAAAGCCTGTAATGTACCTTCTCAAACGACAACCCGTCCCTCGCCCCCCGCCCACCCCTCACACTCGAGTACTAACGGTCCCCCGGACGCGCCACTGGCATCCAAACTCAGCGTGACCTTGCCCCGGTCCGCAACCACACACACCGTCTCGCCCAAGTTCCTAAAGTCTGTCTCACACTGCCCATACCCGCCAACAGCAGCCCCATCCTCACCACGCCCACCACCGCCGCCGCCCCCGACAGGCTTGATCTCGACCCCCGGAAAACTCAACCACCCCTCCCTGAGCGGGACAAGCACAACTGGAATCTCGGCCTCTGTTTCCACCGTCGAGCTCATCATCCCCTCCCCACCACCACTACCACCACCACCACCATCTCCATCTGTTGTTATAGTAGGCTCATAAGCAGGAATGACGAAATGTCCCTTCCTCCTCCCGCCCACCAACCAAGTATCACTCGCCGCCACGATCTCGTACCCAAACTCGAGGTCCTGGTTCCGCCGGTCGCCGGCAGACGACGTGTCCCATATCCTGGTCCACTTGAGATGCAGTGTCGCGGGCAGGACCTGGTTGACTACCACCGTCGGAGGACAACCCGCTGCATCATCCGTGAGGCTGGGCAACGGCTGGTGCAGACGGATGTCGGCTGTGTGGACCACCGAGACGGGCGGGATGTCGACCGGGATGAGGATCGTGTTCGTCTTTGTTGATGGTTGTAGCTCGGGGTAGTGGAAGAGAAGGGGGAGGGTGGGGTGGGCGTGAAGCCAGGCGCGGAGGAACGCTGATACCTGCTGGCTACTGGCGCCGAGACCCGGGAATTGCTTCTCCCAGTTGATGGCTGAGAGGAAGGAAGTGGGGAGCTCGCCGAGGAGGGTGGCCTTTTCGAGGTCGAACGCTGAGAGGTTGTTTTGCACGCGCCCGAGGACTTTGGAGACCACCAGCTTGGAGAACTCCTTGAGCGGGGTCGACTCGAGTTTGGCGGTGAGAGAGCGGCTGAAGAGGTCTCGGATTTCGTCTTGGATGACGCTATAGTAGAGCTTGAGGTACAGCGTCTTTCTCACCTTGGGCCCGAGCTTAGACCCGGGTTTCCGCGTGATCTTGTACAGCAGGCTTGCCGGCTGCTTGGGGAAAACCAGCACTGGCTGGTTCGACGGCTGCCCAAAGTGCGCCTCGAAAAGGTCCGAACCCAGCAACTCGCTCTTCAGCAGCCGCAGGGGGCTGTCACTAGCCGTGGACACGGCGAACCTCGAAAAGAGAGCCTCGTGCTTGAAGATATCTTGCACATTGACCTCCAAGGCGAGCGCAATCGGAACTGAGGACGCTTTGAAAAAGGAAAACGTTCCCTTGTCAGTCGAGTAGATTACCTCGGCTCGGACGGTCACGACGAGGACATCGTTTTCAACTGTAAAAGGGAACCTGATCTTGACCGAGCTGTGTGCTGGCATGGCGCCAAACATGAACGAGCCTCCCTGCGATTTGGTCGGTTGGAGCGACCCCAACACCTCGGCCTCGCTCATGACGAGCCTCAAACCGCCCGTGGCCGCCTTGATTCTGACTTCGCAGTTCGTGATGTCGTTCCACCCGGTCGACAGCTCCAGATCCAGCGACTTCTTCCTGTCGAGCTGGAGGTCCGGGGCGCCCGTGAGCTCCACGTCGAGGCAGCTGGTGCGCTGATAGAGCGCCACTCGCGCGTTTTTGACGGCCGACGCCTTATCGGCCGGTTGGTACGCGTCCCGCTCATAGTGTAGAAGAACCTTGCTGCTGCACAAGCGGATTTGATCCAGCTCGAAGGTCCCAGCCATCATCATCGTGCCCTGCACCTTCACCTTGTTCGGACCAGGGCGGATAGTAACTGGGTCCTTGGTCTGCAACCATATTTCCTTGTTGCCTCCAGCCGCGGGGCTCGAGATTCGCACTCTGACTGTGTCGGCCTTGAATTCGTCCACTAGCAGGCTGTGCAGATCCAAGAAAAGCGAGAAGCTGTCCTGGCCTTCGTCGTACATCGGTGGTCCATCCAGGCCCAAGTCGCAAAAGAAATTCACCAATGGGATCTTGACGTCTTTCTCCAGTGACACTGAGACGCTCAACAGGTCTGCAAGGTACCCGGATATCGCCGACGCCTCGGGATACTGGGTGGCCGCGGGGAGCCCGACGCGGAACCGCAATCTCTGCTGCAGCCGATCCCGTTCCGCAGCAGCAGCCTTGGTCAGCAGCTGGAACAGGGCCTTATTGACGTAGTCGTCCAGCTTTTTGAGCTCCTTCAGACACCGCGCGTACATAACCAGCATGGACAGCTCGAGGAGGCTCCACCCGCTCTGGCCAAAGAAGGGGATGACGCGGTAAAAGTAAAAGGCTGCCTCATTGTACTCGCCCAGGTGAAACTTGAGCACGGCGAGGTCGGCCATGCCGGCCTGGACCGAGTGCGTGTGGCTGGCCACCGTGTAGTGACGCAGTGCCTTATCAATCAGCGTCTCGTACAGGCGGTAAAAGTCGTCCTTGTTGTCGAGGGCTGTCCGTAAAAGAGTATTGCCCACGCCAGAAACCGACCTTTGAAGGTGTTCTGAGACCTCTGACTTCGGCTCAGCCTTGTCGTCGTCCTCAAGGTTGATGTCCTCCATCTCGGATATGCCCGTTTCTCCAACTATAGGCACCAACGCCCAGCCGTCCGTCCAACCCCGTTTCTTGCCGCACTCATGGAGGATGTTTCTGGACAAAGTGCACAGCTCGGCTCTTTGGGCCGCGAGCTCTTCGAGACCAGACTTGAGATAGGGGGGAGCAGGGCCGGCTTCCTCGGGACGGCCAGGTCCCGGAAACCCGAGCGGACTCAACGGCGGGCCCGGACGCGCTTGGGTGATGAGTGATGAGCTCCGGGCCGGATGCATCATGGTTTTCGGCTCCGGTATTGCAGCCTTTTGCTCGTGGGCCTCGGGCGTGCCGAGCGTCGACGGCGGAATGGGAAGGGCTTTTGTTGAAGTCTGGGCGAGGATCTGCTGGGCGACAGAGAAGGCGAAAGAAGAGACCATGTTGTCAATGACCTCTGAGAGCAATGGGTCTAGGGGCAGCTGGGCCTCAGCTCTATCTCCCTCAACCTTGGCTGCCACGATGTCTGCCCTCATGACCGCCGACACGGCTGGGACGAACTCGAGCGTCCGCTTGCATATCTCAGCGAGATGCAGCAAGATCTCTGGCTCCTCCGTCATCTTTGGCATAGGCGTCCTAGGAGCAACGCCGCGAGGGGCCAGCTCTTGTTGCTCCTTGAGCTTAGCAAGGAGCTCTTCCCGCGTCGACCACGCATTTGCCAAGCGGAGGAGAAGCGCGATCTGGCGAGAGAAAATGTAGCATCTAAAGTCAAAGAGCGACACGTTGTTGGCGAGGATGAGATCCCGGTATGATTTTCTGGACGAGCTGATGGGAATGCTGTCAAAGGTCTCGGTGCGCTTCTTTCCCGTAGATTGGAGGTCGACGGCTTCCTCATCGTCAAACTCAAGTTGTCCCCCCCCAATCTCGGCCATGGCTCTCTGGGCGAGCTCTTTCAAGTCTTCAGTGTAACTGAGCAGCGCGCCACCGTGTGTCTCGGCAGATTCCGCGATCGCCTGCTCTTTGATGATGTTGTCCAATCCGACACTCAGCTCATCGTACACGACGAGAGCGTCTTCGACTAAACCCACGCTCTCGAACCCGCGGGCCAAGCCTTCTTTGAGGATAAAAAAGGTACAAAAGTTCCAGCCGGGAAGGCTCCTCTGGGCATCTCTCTCCTTGATATCCTCCTCATACTGACTGACGCGCCTGTCGAAACTTGAGAGGATGAGCTCCTTGAACTTCGTAATTAAGTCGGTCCAGGCGACCTCGGCATCTTGCTCCGTCTCGGTGTATCCCGTTGGCACGGCCGGAACGACGCGCGGCAGCATGTTATACGGCACGTCGTTGATACCGATGCGGATTTGCCTCACACGGTCAACGGCGCCTTTGGAGGAGCCGTTGAAGTCGGCGCGCATCTTCTCCAGCAAGGTGCTCGATCCCCCACGCCATCGGGACGACGTCTTGGCATCGGAGCTCGAGTCTGGTGCCTTGCCCGAGATACGAGGCTGGGTCGCTGCGGTGGAATTGGGCAGGACAACGTGAATGATAAGCCACTCAAAGGCGTCATGGTTCTCGGCGGTGCTGCCCGACTTCCCCTGGATGCCGACCGTGTTCGTCTTGATCCACTCGCGTATCTCGGATCTCGTGGTTGCCTTGTACGAGTCGTTGTCGTCGCATCTCACTAACAGAACCTTGAGATAGGGTGTCCTGCGCAGGCCGGGAATCTGGTGTCTGCGTTCCTTGGCGGCGCCTCCTGCTGGTGGGCGTAGTGTGCCGGCCACCGAATCACCCTGCTGTTCCGTGGAACCTGCCCTGCTGCCAATGGGTGCTGTCTGGAAACCATCGTCGCGGCTGGCCGACACGGCAGTATCGCCAGGACTCGGGGTCTTCGGGTTCGGAGAGGAGAGCGGAGTAAAGATGGCCGAATAATCGACGCCGGCTGGGACCAGCTCGATGTGGAGGGTGTTGATGGAACGTAGTGGGCCCGCGTGCGACTGCCAGTTGAGATCGCGCAGCGGGAGGCGAGGGATCAGGCCCGGCGCTAGCAGCTTGTAGACATCGTAGGGATCATGGTACTCGACTGCCGGGGGATCAAAGTCAATTGTGGCCCTGGATGGAAGGAGGGAAGTTTGGGAGAGTCTACCTGTTACTTTCGAGGTTGAGAATGGCTGTTCCATGCTGAACAGCGCGAGGCGGGCTTATATCATGACCTTCGTCGAAGCTGTCAAGAAGACCGCGACATCGCAGCAGTTGGAGACGGAGGGTTGAAGTTGCTTCTCCACGTTCCGCTGCTAGGAGACGTTGGTTATGCACAGCGTGTATGTCGGTGACTCTCACCGCCTGAGCCCTGCAGCTGTGACCCGCCCGTGCGCTGAGCTTACGCCGGCTCGGGACTAGCGCGGGGTGATCTGCCACCCCTGACAGCTACCCCACCAAGAAAGATGTCGCCTGTGGCGGGGTCTTGTCGCCATCTCAAGAAGTGCCTGAAGAGACATTTTCATCCATATGCGAAAGCCGTTTTTTCTGATCGCCAGAGAATCGGGCACTTTGATAGCTTTGATCCTCTTTGGCTTGTCCCTCCAAATTTAGTTTTTTTTTTTTATGACCCCTACCTCGGTTCAAAGTTATGGCATCACTCCAGGCGATCAAGTATTCGCGGGGCAAGTTGTTAGTCCTGGACCAGCTCAGGCTTCCCCATGAACATCACTACGATGAGGTGTCGACGGCAGAAGAGGCTTTTGAATGTATCCGGTCCATGAGGGTGAGGGGTGAGTGCAGCATCGCTTAAACAGGTACTCGGATTCCCGGCTGACGATTATCAGGAGCACCGGCGATCGCCATTGTTGCTGCTCTCGCTCATGCTGTCGAGCTGCAAAACGGGGGATGCAGTGAGCGCTGAAGGCTATCTTCGAGCATGCCCACTCACTAACAGCACCACCAGCCGCAACAACGCCGGAAGACACCATCGCCTACATTGAGTCTCGCCTCGACTACCTAAAAGAAAGCCGGCCGACCGCCGTTGACCTTTCCAACGCCATCGCCCTGCTCAAACTGGCCGCACGCGCAACCAAGCTCGAGGGCTTGGCTTACCCCGAGGCCAAGGAAGCCATCCTCAACTCGTACATTGAGGCCGCCGAAAACATCCTGGCCAAGGATCTTGAGAACAACACGTCCATCGGCTCCTACGGCGCCGCCTGGCTGCAGCAGCAATTCAATGCCACCCCGGACCGCCCTCTCTCGGTCCTCACCCACTGCAACACGGGTTCGCTGGCCACCTCGGGCCACGGCACCGCCCTCGGCATCATCCGCAGCGTGCACGCGCAGGGCCTCCTCAAGCATGCCTTCTGCACCGAGACGCGGCCGTACAACCAGGGTAGCCGGCTGACGTCGTTTGAGCTCGTCTTCGAGGGCATCCCCGCGACGCTCATCACCGATAGCATGGCGGCCGCGCTGTTCGCGCAGCAGCGCGCGCGTATGAACATTGGCGCCGTCATCGTCGGCGCCGACCGCGTCGTGCGCAACGGCGACACGGCCAACAAGATTGGCACCTACGCGCTGGCCGTGCTGGCACGCCATCACGGCGTCAAGTTCGTCGTGGCCGCCCCAACCACGAGCATCGACCTCGACACCGAGAATGGTGACGGCATCAAGATTGAGGAGCGCAAGCCCGAGGAGCTGACCCAGATCAGTGGCGCTGTGGTGGAGCCGGATGGGAAGGTCGACACGACCAGGACGGCCAGGGTCGCCATTGCCGATCAGAGAATTGCCGTGTGGAATCCCGCGTTTGATGTCACGCCGCATACCCTTATTGATGCCATTGTCACCGAGAGGGGGACAGTGGTCAAGGGGGCCGATGGCCGGTTCGACTTTAGCCAGGTGCTGCCCGAGAGGTGGCGGAGGTAGGTCCGAGCTGAGCCCGTTGACTTTGTTTCTTCTTTACTTCCGGCTATGATTTGGCGATTCTGGATAAGCAGCCTGTTGAGCATAGAGTATAGCGGCTGGGTTCACAGCTGGTGAAGTTGACCAGCAGAGGGTCAGATCTGCGTGGACGGCGTTTGTCGCTCGGCGGCCTACCAAGGGCTTGGCATTCTCAGCTGCTGAGTGCAGTGGGCTCCGCTTGAGATGACCTCATCCCGCCGCAACCCACGCAGCTTCTCCCATTCATCACTTGGCTTCATACTTTGATCCGACTCGGAGAAGTGAATCGAGATGAGGCTTGGATCTCATTCTTTACGGCTTCTCAGCGCTCTGAGCGCTTCAGCCTTAGCGTACTTGTCTTCCAACGACCAACAACCCCTTGCCTCCTCTCTCGATGCCATACCCAGCCGCGAGGATGCTCCGTCTTACCGCGTCTCCTTGCTCACCCTCCACCGCGACCTCGTCAACATCCCTTCCATCAGCGGCTCTGAAGCCGACGTCGCTTTGTTCCTAGAAAAATGCCTCACCCGCCTGAACTTCACCGTTACTCTGCAACCGCTCCCTAGACACGTCAGCAGCCCGGCCCGATTCAACGTCATCGCCTGGCCGGGCCGTGACCACATCCCCCCAACCCCCTTACACAACCGCGTTCTCATCACCTCGCACATCGACGTCGTCCCACCTTTCCTCCCGTACGCGCTCAACTCGACCCACATCCCACCCTCCCAACCCCTCAACTTCACCACTCTCCACCCATCAACCCTCATCTCAGGCCGCGGCTCCGTCGACGCTAAAGGCTCCGTCGCCGCCCAAATCACCGCCATCACCCTCCTTCTGCAATCAGGCTCCATCCCGCGCGACAGCATAGCCCTCCTCTTCGTCGTAGGCGAGGAGGTCGGCGGGAAGGGCATGAAGTATTTCTCATCCTCCCTCCAGCACTCGTCCCCTCCCCAGAAACTGAAGGCGGCCGTGTTCGGCGAACCGACAGAGGGCAAGCTCGCCTGCGGCCACAAGGGCATTGCCTCTGCGACGGTGGTGGCGACCGGCAAGGCCGGGCACTCGGGGTACCCCTGGCTGGGGAAGAGCGCAACGGCGGTGTTGGTCAGGGGTTTGGGGAGGTTGCTTGATGCGGAGCTTGGGAGCAGCGAGAGGTATGGGAATACGACAGTTAATGTCGGGGTTATTGAGGGCGGGGTGGCGGCGAATGTGATTGCCAAGGAGGCGAGGGCGAGGTTGGCGGTGAGGGTTGCGGCGGGGGATCGGAGGACGGGGGCGGAAATTGTTGGGGAGAGGATGAGGAGAGTGTTGAAGGAGGTGGATTCCGAGGCGCTGACATTGGAGGTTGGGGGTGGCTATGGGCCCGTGGAGTGCGAGTGCGATGTTGATGGTGAGTTTTTACAGGGTGCGGTGTGTGGTGTGTGGTGTGTGGTGTGTGGTGTGTAGAGAAGGCGGGCTAATGAGACGCAGGTTTCGAGACGATGGTTGCCAACTATGGGACGGATGTGCCCAACCTTGAGGGGGACCACGTCAGTTACCTGTACGGACCGGGCAGTATCCTCGTGGCGCATGGTGATGACGAGGGCCTGACCATCAAGGACCTGGAGGATGCAGTGGAGGGCTACAAGAGGCTGATCAAGCATGTTGTGGAGGCTTAAAGATCGATACCCTAACTTTGTTTCGATCAGATATCGCAATTCGGGTTAGCGAAGGCAACTAGCCAGTTTCTGTAGGATGTTAACCCCCAACAGCACTCAACCAAGCCGGTTTCGTCCCCCTCATCGCCAGCCCCATCTCCAGCGCTCCAGTGACCAACCTCCTTCTCTCGTCCATAGCCCTCTCCACCGACGCCGCCCGGGCTTTCTCAATCACTCTCACAGTCCTCACCGGCACGGCCAACGCGCTGTCCACCTCGCTCAGCCCAGGCTCACCCATGACGGCCAACGCCGTCAGGCCAAAGCACGCATGGTACACGTCGGGCGGATCGCCTGCGTGCTTACCGAACCCGCCGATGCGGTGGGCCATCTTTTCGAGCAGGAACCGCCGCGAGGACCTCCAGTCAAGCAAGTGCTTCTGCCCAAGGTTGGCCAGCGCCGCGCCGACCCACCAGGTGTAGCAGGTATCTGCGACCTTGTTGCAGCGGCCGTTGCAGGCCACATGGCGGTAATCTTCGGAGAGCGTGAGGTCTGCGAGCCGTTGCGGGAGCAGGAAGTTGTCTTCTTCTTCCCCTTCCTCCTCTTCATCGAGAGCGGGTGGCTCCAGGTAGACGAACTGGCGCGAGGCCAGCCAGTGGATCAGACCGGGCATGTTACGGATGCCCGAGTGGAGGACTGCGCTGGGGTGGGCGGCGGTGCTGTTGTAGAGGGGCCGGTCCAGCAGGGAGAGGGCGCCGATTGCACAGTAGGCGTAGCCGGCTGATGGGTTAGTAGAGTGCCACAGGACGGGAGGAGAGGCGTACCGTGAGGCTCCTCGGCCGAACTGCCCGCAAAGCCGCCGTCGTAGGTCTACCGGGTCAATAGCCATCACTCCACAAGCAAAGACCGTTCAGAAAAACACACCTGGCTTCTTAAAATATACTTTGCCAACGCTTCGGTATCAAAATCCTCCACCCACCCGGGCTCTCCCTCGCTCACATCCCCCCTCAACATCCACCGTATCGACGCCGCAATATAACAATACCGCATGTCATACCCACCCCCAATAAACCACCCCACACCCGGCATCTGCTTCAACACCTCCCCAAAACTCCCATCCTCCCGCTGCAACCTCCTCAGCCACCGCAGTGTTTGCACCCTGTCCACGCCCGCAAACGCGCCGGCCTCGTTGTGCTCGTCCGCCAGCAGCGCAAGCAGCTGCAGCGCGAATAATGTCGCGGGCAGGTTCGCCAGCCCCGCCGAGCCCGCCCCTTCCCGGTCCTCTTCCTCCGTGTCCGTCTCGTGACCCTTCTTCATGGGGAAGAGAAGGGTCGGGGTGGAGGCGAAACCGCCGCCTGGCTGCTGGTGGGAGAGGACCCATCGGCGGAGTTTGCTGCGGTCTTCTGGGGGGATCAGGGGTTTTCTTTGCGGGGTTGTGTGTTGTTGTTGGGGAGTAGTGTTGGTACTGCTGTCGGGTGATACTGGGTGATGCTGAGTGCTGGCTGAGGGAGGGGAGAGGATGGCGATGGAGTTGATGATGAAGTAAGCCAGGGCCATGCGGTTCCCGTCGTTGGAGAGGTAGTGGATGGGCAGGGGTGCCTGGAGGCACATCTTCCAGTATTTGAGGTGGCGGTCAATGTCGAGCGCGGGCTCGCCCAATTCTGGGGAGCCTGTCATTTAGTGGTGTGAGTGATTTGCTATGTGTGTTGTTGTAGAGGATGATTATGGTAATGGCTGCCGCCGTTTTGCAAGCAGGCAGTAGAATGTTTTTGGAAGTGAGGTAAAACTTGAAGAAATTATGGGATTAGTCAATCAAGAGGTCATGAACACCTCACTGTCCTGACTTTTCTCAACACTTGGGAGGCATTCTCAGAGAGGCAAGCATTGAAACCAGGGCCTGCCATATCAACCCTGACACCTCTGGACCCTGGAGCCCTAGCCACAAGCCCCGCGTTTAGGCACCTGAATTGTGGCTCGAGCTCCGATCCATGACCTGGCAGCTAATCGAACACCCTTGTCTATCAGCGAGACGTGGCCGATAAGGTCCCATGCCCGTCATTGTTCCAGTCACTAGAATCCCAAACACCAAGATCCCATGGTTTTGCCAAGGTAGATATGCCACAGAACCATCCATGGATCAACACCGATTTTGAATCAGTAGCATCTCCTAGCCGAACCTGATTTGTGAGCACGTCCGTCCGACACGACTTTGAGGTCCTCCAACCACTACCGCAGCATCCGTGTCACCCCACCCGACTCCGGACCTGCCTTGTGACAGAGTCTTGCGACTTCAGCGCTCCAGTTTCACAGCGCCTAGGAGCTGCTAACCTCCTTCTCGCGCCGTTCATCATAACCTTGAGCGGTTTTCTCCATGCTGCTTCCCTGACCGTCAACCCACAACATTAACAAACGCGATCATGGCGCTCATATCCGCCAAGACGATCCTCACCTCGCTCTGCCTCTTCCACATCACACTGGGCTTCTTCTTCCTCACCAACCCAGGGACAATAGCCGACCAAGCAGTCGTCTACCTCCTCGGCGAGTCGATGGGACTGGTACATCTTCCCCCCCTTCCACCCATGTCAAACTACCAAGAGCTAACAACAGCCCCCGCAATCCAGCCACATTCACGCTCCTTCGAGACACAATCCCCCGCCCTCGCCTTCCTAGCCGTCGTCCTCGCCCTGTTCGGCCTAACCGACCTCGTCACCCTCTCCCTCCCCGACGAGATCTGTCTGATCCACTACTGGGGGATGCAGGCCCCCCTCCGCACATCAATATCCTTCATCCTGACCCTCTACACCTTCTTCTTCTCCGCCTCCTCTCCCTTCTTTTCGTCCTCGTCCCAATCCAACTCCTCATCCTCCTCTTCTTCTTCTTCGTCGTCGTCGTCATCGTCTTTTTCATTCAAACACCCGTCATCCCACCGCCACCACAACCAGGACGGCTACGCCCTGTCCACCTGGGGCGGCGACGCACTCAAGAACAGGGTGTTCTTCACGTTTATGTTCGTTGAGACCATGAGCTGGTTCTGGGTGTGGGTTACGCTGCAGGAGGATAGGCGGGAGATTCTTGCGAGGAAGGCGAGACGGAGGAGCAGTAGCTCTTCGGGACATTTTCCTCATTCTTATTGAAGCATTTTCTGGTTCTTTTTGGGCGTGAAGGGGGGCTGGCTGCAGGGGTTATTCATGGGTGAGTGAGAAAGGGGATAATGATGGGGTGGTTATGATTTCCATTTTCCTGGCTGAGGGTTGCGTTGAAGGCAGTTTGAATGATCTTGCCATTTGCAGTCAATCTCCTTTATTTTTTTACCTCATCTCCATCCTCCCGTCATTCTGGGCTCGAGTAGGTTCGGAGTTGGATGCGACGGATGATACCTCCGCATAGCGGGTGATGATGTGCCAGGAGCACGGCGAATTTGGGTAGTCGGCGTTGCATTAAGAACATTCATCTTCGATCCATTTGTTGAACTTGCGGCAGATCGGCCCTCCATTAGAGTGGACGGGAGCAAGATTTATGGGTTTCCCCTAGCTGGCTACTCCATGAAGGGAGGCGGGTGGCTGGTCAATGAGCCTTTCCGCAGTTCTTATCCACGCGATCTATGTTTATCTCGCATTCCGCATATACTCGGACTGAACTCAGCCACACAACACTCATCCTTCATCCATCTCCAGCACCTCATCCACCTTACTCCATCCTGACCATCCCCCACCCCTTAACCCCCTCCCGCCAACTCTCAACCACCTTTCCAGCCCACTCCTCCGTCAGCGCTCTCCCGCCCACAACCTCTTCCACCACCCTACCCACATCCTCCTCCCTACCATTACCATCATGGCCATCCCCCTCGGCAAAAACCAACCCAAGCAGCCGATCCAACCACCCGGCCTCAGCAAGCGCCTCCTTCAGCCGGTGCACACACCCCTTGACCTCGACGAGCGCCTTCCCCGCCAGCTCGGCGAGAACCTTCATCTCGGATATGACATCGCGGTGCAAGCCCGACCGGCCGCTCCGGTCGCGCGCCAGCTCCTTCTCGTGAAACGACAGCACAAAGGCGGCGCTGTGCTTGATGGCGAGGGCTGTATCGCGGATGGCGGCGAGGTGCGGCATTTCTGTCAGGTGGAGGCAGGCGGACGGTAGGTGTCTGTTGGTGTGTTCGTCTGCATGGGGAAGGGTAAAGAAGCTCATGCGGAGGGAGGCGAAGGCGGATTTGATTGATTTTGAAAGCAGGGAGAGCGTTTTAGGAACGGGGTCGGAGCGAGGAGTGGAGAGGGCTATGAGAAGCGCTGCGGAGAGCAGGGAGAGGACGGTATAGTAGGTTGTCTCGGGGGTTGTGAGACGGGTCGGGGTGGCGGGTTGGTGGAGGAAGTCGGTCAGGGAATTGCTGAGGCGGGAGAGGGTTTCCAGAGTGTATTCGCGATCGCGGAGGGCGGCTTCGGAGGCTTTGGAGGGCTTGTAATCTTTCGGGGGCTTATAGTGAAGCAAGTCCAGGTACTGTTCAGAGAGGAAAGCCAGGTGGGAGCGTTCATTCTGTAAAGGTTAGTGGCCGAAAAGGCGAGACAGGAAACTGCTGCTTACAGAAAGACCAGGGCCAAGACGGAGGTACTCGTGGATTGGCGGGCCGTGGACGCTTTCGAGGTTAGGGAAGGGACCGTAGTCCGTCTTATTGACGAGGGTTGTGTCGTCGTTGATGTTTTCTAGAAGGTCAGCGAGCCCCAAACATTACTATCAGAGCGATGAACGCACCAGCAAGCGGATGCTCCTCAATCTCGACATCAATCTTCCCGCCGTAGCACCTGGTTGCTCGCCTCTCTTCCACCAGAGTCATCATCACAGTGCAGCTCCTGCGCAAGTTCCCGTCATACTCGGTCATGTCGAGAATGCTGGTGTAGCTGCCCGCGGCAAAAGCATCCCAGATGCGCACCGGTGACCTGTCGTCCAGATTGTGGTTGTAAAAACTTCGCAACGGCTCCATCAACGGACGAGTTCCCTGGAACAGCCCGGGTGACAGTGAGGATATCCTGTCGAAGAACAGAGGGCTGAGCGAGTCCTGGATCGTTCGCTTTATATCGAGTGGCGTCCAGAGCTGATAGGCGTAGGACGCACAACCAAGGAGCAAGTACAGCTGAACCAGCAGCAACCGCAGCTCGGTATCCCCGTGTGTTTCCTTCAGCTGGGCATCGAGGAGCAGCACGGCCTGCAGGAATTGGCCAGGATTCACGTCCTGCCACAGCGAGTGACCTGCGTCTGGCGTCCGTGGCCTCAACCCGGACAACTTCAGGAGTGAGGTACCCATGACAAGGGCGAGATCCAGACGAGGATCTTTATCCAGGCGGGGGATTGAGTCCAAAATCTCTTTGTCCCCGTTTATTTGCTGGTACGATTTGGAGGCATCGGTAATGAGCGTTCTGAGACAGCCCTCGCAAGGAAGCGAGGCTGGGCTGGTGCAGAATCGGCATTGATATGGCTTTTGGGCTTCGCCATTGGCGACAGACGTTTGGGGTGAGAGCGTTTGCGGACATGTTGTGAGGAGATAACGCAGCTTGCACTGCAAGGCGTGGAGAACCGTTTTTCTGGGCTTGTCGGCATTCTGGCAAGGCGTTAGAGATCCTGCTGAAACAGATACAACATTGACGTACCTCATCCAGAAGCTTTGGTAAAACACCTTCCATCAGGGTCTTGATCTCCTCAAAGCTCAGCTCGGCCACGTAACCCTTGATGTCGTCAAAGGCGGAGAGTCGCTCAAAGTACTGGTCCAGGAACAGACCGAGCTGGACTACTCTCGGTGTCAAGCCCAGATTATCGTGGGCGGGATTCAGCGTCGTCGCGGGTAGCCGGAAGGTTGTCTCGAGCAGGGCTAAGCTGAGGTTCTTCTTGTACATGGCACTAGCCTTGTCTTTGAGTTCGATGTAGCGTTTTAGAATGGCCTGGACCTCACTGAGCGCACTGCGATGCATTAGTGGCTGTCCCAGATGGCCCCAAGTGACGGGTGAGCCCACCTGTCCGAGTCTGTAACTTTGCTAGCAGACGACGCAAACTTCCTCCATATTTGCAGGTCGCAGACGAAGAAAGGGGAGGTGGTACCCTCCAGACCGAATGTCAAGGCCTCGCGGCAGAAATTGTAAATGAGCTCCCATTCGCCCCAGGTCTCAAGGGCATTGAGTCCCTCACAGAAGAGGAGCTTGCGGCCTTCCTTAAGCTGGCTGATGGCCCCCAGCTTGGGGCTCTTTAACCTGGAGACGAACTCCTCCTTGGTCCCATGACTCAGCAGCACGCGGAAGTAGAGGCAAATCTCCTCCTCCGTGAGAAGGCCCCTGTCTGTAGGTTCCAATTTGGCCGACTGAGAGTGTCAGAATAGGTTCACAGGGGTAGTAGCGCACGACGTACATTCTCTGTCAGATCAGCAGCCCGCTCGAGCTGCCTGACGGCCAAGAGACTGTAGACCTTGCGGCTCGCATCGGTGCACTGTGGGCTAATCTGTCCATGTCAGGCAAGGGCAACGCCGTATGTGATTAGGAGACTCACTGAAAGGAGAAAGGTAAGAGTGATACTCCAGAACATGTAGCGGCGGTCGGCAGTGTTGGCATAAGCCTTGTCCAGACTGGTTGCAATCTGAAAGAATGTCAATGACTTGGATAACTGCAGCGGGTCGGAGCGATGCTTGGTTACCTGCTGGGCGCTCACGAGATCCCACTTCTCGAGACAGGCCTGGAGACACTGCAGGGCCAGGGGGCTGCCAGGGTTGGCCTTGGCCCAGCGGGCCCTCAGGGGTCCCAGGGTGTCGGCATACTCGACTTCATAGTCAAAGAAGTCGCGGCATGCCCACTCGTAGAGCTCAATGGTGTCGAGGTCGGGCGTCTTCTTGCTCTTGACGAAGTCATCAATGGCCACCAGCACGCCGCACTTCTGAGCTGTGCCGTCGAGCTGGGACTCGGCGCACATCTTGATGGCCTGGGAAAATGAGATAAGTGTCTGTTTATTTGTTTGAACCAGGGAAAATGAACGCTTATACACACCTCGTAGTATGGATCTTTGAGGGTGGCTGCCCTCTTGGCTGCCAGGCGGATGACGGTGTTCCAGTTGCCATCGCTGAAGGCCGTCTGCAGCTGCACGTCGACGCTGCTCTTGAGGGCCGGACGGCCATATCTGTAAGAAGACATGGAGTGAAGCTGAGACTGCTCCGGAGCGACAGGGCAAGGTATATGCGTTCAAGGCGTGTAATGTTCCCAACGCGGGGCAGCGCCAATCGCAAACGCAACCGCAATCGCAATCAAGTTGAGCTTCCTGCTCTTCACTTCTACACGCTCAATGTCAGCGTCTGAGCTGACTTATTTCGTGCTTCCTATGCGCCTTCTCAAATCCGTGAGTTCCAACGCGCGATGCCCGGCTGCCGACGCCAGCCACCGTTGGACAAGTACGGATCCGTACCCTGCGAAGCGTGGCAGTTGGCTGGATCGGCTTTGGTGTCAGTTTTGGCGGGGTGATTGTCGACCATGGCCTGTGCGCCGAGAAAAAAGGAACCCCACCTCCACCGAGCGGATTCACCAAGGTGAGTGGCCTGTCCACCCGACCGATCTCCCCGGCACTTCGACTCTGATACTTTGAAGTTCATGATGCTCCCTATTCCCAGATGCCACCGCAATACCGATGCCATCGACTTCCCATCCCGTTCCTGAGGAATGGGTAATAGATATTAGAAAAAATTATTCTACATGTGTTGTACACAAGAAAACTAAACACGCCGATCGTCCGCTGCAGGGTTTTGTCACGGAGAGATACCAAGACCGAGCGCTGCCTGGCTCTCCCTCGGCGGGACACAGAGGAAGCCGACTCAATGCCAGACAATGTGATCAACTCGGCCGGGTGAATGTATCGCAGAAACCTGGGTATCAAAACAGGATCCCCTTCTTCTCTAGCTTTCTCCTCTCGATCTAAGACCAAGTCAGCGACCAGTCCAAAAGCAGCGCAAGCGGCAGGCCATACCCAGGCCTTCTTGCAGTCCCTGTATGCCCTGCGAGATCCCAACGTCAGTCAGCTATGTCTTCACAGACTCCGTCCCCTCTACGCAGCCATCACTAACTGGAAGTAATCTGAGCACATCTGTCTGTCCCCAGCGTTTCGATGCAAACACCGGATGCTCCGCGCGGCTGCCTCCTGGCAAGGGTCAAGGAACTCGCTTCGGTCCTTGCTGTTGCACATGGAGTAGGTTAGTATTGCCGACTCCGAGGAGGACAACGCAGCTGGAAAGACACTCACTCCTCAAACTTCTGCTTCGTTTCCTTGTCCCAGGGACCGGCCTCGCTGTTCTCCGTGGGCGCCATGGTTACAGTTCACCTGGGTTTGTGCATAGGAACGGCGCCGTTGCAGCCGCTGGCACTGAGTTGTGTCAATCGGATTTGCGACGAAAGCACAACACCAAGCGTCGGGACTTTTGAGGTTGCGACGTCAGTTGCCTCTCAAGAGGTACTCCACTTCACTCTTCGCACGGACCATCTTCCCCTGAACACTCAGTGCCCTGTCAACCTGTCAACCAGGTTTTGAACAAACCCCTGAGCATGTCAATAAGGCAGCTTGGAGCTTCAGGCTCACGAAGGACAGCCCAGGGATGCGACAATACCTACTATGTGCCGATGGTGTCGACACTATCCAGATTGCACCCTAGTTCTGTAACATTGCTCTGACATTTCTTGATTTTGTGAAGGCAAGGCAATCCGCCCCAAGTACCAAAAAGAAACTGCGCGGCATCCCTCTTTGTTCCTGGACCCCTGGATAAACATCTGGGTGAACCAGCCTAAGTTGCTATCTTATGTGAGATATCACATACTTACTTGCTAGCAACTTGCAAGCCAATTGTCCAGTTTGGATCTTGATCAATACCATCGGCCATGGTCCCTGTTCCCTGAACTCCTTCCTTCACGTCTGGTTCTCTTTAGCACCTGCCGGCAAGCAGAACGGATCCTGACTTTTGTTGCTTGGGAGATTTGAGTCTCCTCAATGTCAGGCAATGGTCCAAGCCTCCATTGATACGGGCTTGGTGCGGAGCAGACCTCTCCCCCTAACAAGCCCGGAGTTCTAAGCCGGCTCCGCCTCCCTCCGGCCACGCTCTCCACCTTGCACCTTCCGCCATCTTCCGGAAAAACCGCCTCAGTGACCTAAGCGTGTGACGTGTTTTTTATTGTTCGCCCGCTTTTTCCTGGTCTTCTTCCTCATCCTTACACCCCTCCACTGCGAATGCGAGCCATCGAGGTCGTTCTGTTTGTCGTTTCCAGTAAAGCATGACATTCGATGAAGCTATCTGCTTGCATTCGTTTTCATTCCTGCCTCTTTCCTCATTCCGATTTTCCTCAGGAATCATTATTGTTATTATTATTCCTACACCGCTGTGCCCTCGGGCTTGCCGGACCTTCAACAACTTGCTATACAGGAAAACCGCGCCCTCGTGGGCCGGGTGAAAAACCCATATCGACAATCAAGGAAACGATCAGTGTGCGATCCTGCAAATACAAAGTGGGAAGGCCTCTTGGCCTTCGAAGGAAAGGGTATTAGACTTCGAGCTCCAGCTCCAGCCTCCTGGCCAGACCGTACATCGGCAGTTTCCCCGAGTCCATCAGCCAGTCCAGGATCCTCCCCGTTAGCCGTGCAGCTTTGG